GGCGCCCCAGGGGAATGACTAACTTATGAGCATAGTGTAACAAGCCAGATAAAAAAATTGAAAGAAAGTGTGCTAAATTCAATGCCCCGTGTGGGAATCAAACCTAGGACCCTTGGACCCAAAGTCTGATGCTCTACCGACTGAGCTATAAAGGCTTAAGCCACTATAGCTGGGCCGTAGTAGCAACTTGCTATCAAGGGTCATTACACTTTCGTTTGATAGGATAATAAATAGTACCGAGGGTATTGTGCTCCTTCATACAACTACATGTACTCTTTACATTGACATGGCTTTTTACAATGTCACAAGGTGACACAAGGTTTCTTTCTATATTGATGTTGAACAAAAATAATTTAAAATGGGAATCCTATCAACAGAGGATTTGACAGACAGAGGTTTTAAAACGTGCCACTATTTTGGGCTGACTGAGAGACAGATGGACAAATCAATGTTAACTAAAATGGCCAAAAATAAAAAAGACGGATATAATCTTTTGCCAATATTTTGTAACAAATTATTTCATACAACTACTCTTTACAGTGACATGGCTTTTTACAATGCAGGCAATTATTTGTAAAGCTAGGAAATGAGCCAAAAGTGAATTTCGCGAGACAAAAATGGCGACCATTTTGAAAGTAGGCGAGCTTTTGAACCAGGAGTCATAGGGGAGTTTTCTATATTGATGTTGAACAAAGATAACCTAGAACAGGAATCTTATTGACAGAGGTTTTTTAAACGGGCCAATTGTTGACAGACAGACAGACGGATGGACAGACGGACAGACTGAGAGACAGACGGACAAGTGAGTGATTGCAATATGAGCCAATAAAAAGTAAAAGACAATGAATTTTCATAGTTAATGTTGTACTATATAGGTAATCACTGGACTTGGAATATTGTATACAGGTTAACCCATGATTTACAAGAGCCTCCTGAGGGTATGGAGGAGTTTTGTATGCCTGAGATAGTTACACATGATGTCATAAGTTCTGTGCCTTCTCCAAGAGTTATCAGAACACACCAGCTACCAAGTTCAATTCCACAGACAGTATGAAGGTAAGCAAACTAAATACATACATGATTAGATTATATGACATGGCATTCGTTAATGAAAATCTCATTCTTATGTTGGCTTAAATTATAACTAACTGAGTTATTTAAATTCTTTCTTCAAGGAAATTTATTTTATTTGATGAAAGTGGTAGTTATGAATCACAACTACATTCTATTAATACTAAATTACTATTAATTTTATGGAGGCCCTGTTTTGACCATTAAGAAGCCTATTTCAGTTACTGGAACATAGAGCTATAATATAGAGTAACATAAAACTGACTGCTATATTATTTAATGTTCCAGTAAAAAATGTAAGGCAATCAACATTGTGCGTCACCCGAAGGATGAAGCATACAGTTTCTTTAAACACCAATCAACTTTACTCGCTTATGGCTATAATGGCACGTGGGAAGGGTACTTTACCTGCCTATGTGGCTGAAAGGAGAAGGTAAAGATGATAAAATGCAAGAGTATTAGGTGGTTGTTTGTGGTAACATTTCTGAATAAGAATTATACATGTAGCTGTTCAAACATGATAAATATCCTCTGGACATTTGGCAACGAATATTCTTACACTTTTAGTACCATGGGATAATTGGTTCAAGCATGTACAAGAATACAAGAAACTAGCTGAAAGTGTTGACATGCTATTCCTCACTTATGAAGAAACAAGAAAGGTCAGTAAACAAAAGTTATGTTCAGCAATTTCAAAATATATACTTTTGATAAAAAAGACAAAAACAAATGTAAAGTAATATATTCAAAGGGGAAACAGAAAATAACTTCCTATTAAGGTCACATTTTAAACTCCCTTTTTGCCTAAATAACTATAAGACATCTCTACATTTTAAATCTTCAATACCTTTCATATTTAATTTGATCTTTTTAAGAGAAACAAATGGTATTTTTGTATCCTATAATTAACATCCAATTCACAATTGGATACACTAGGAACCATAAAGAAGATAGCTGAGTACATAGGTGTGAGTTGGAGTGAAGAAGATTACCAGCGTATGGTTGATGAAACACATATTGATGTCATACAATCAAGAAATCATGAATATGATAGATATTCAAGAGATGGACGAGGAGCAGATATGATGTTCAGAAAAGGTAGGAACAGGGACTGAGACTGTCGACTGAAACTGTCAGGTTTAATGTTCATTATACCTTTTGACTCATCACTTTAACACTATCATGAATGTACTTTTAAAGCTTCTAGATTGAAGTCTGTAATAGTATTGAAGACAGAAACGGCTTGATCATACTGGTAAGTGAATTTACCCTATCGCCCAATCATTTTTTCGAGTTGCCAGAGAATTTCATGAAAAAGTAGGATGTGCATTTATTAGGGTATGTGTGTCTCTATTAGAGAGAATACGGTAAATGAAATACTTTGTAACATTTTTTGAGGATTTGGGAGTTGAAATTAGTCATATCTTTAAGTGTTTGATTCAGACAAGTTTCCAAGAACTAAAGCAAATTCATTTTGATATGAGAGATCAGAATTCCAATTCTTAAATTCTGATTTATCAATTTCACCTGATTCATTTAAAAAAACTAAAACCTCACCATAGAGTAATGTGTATTGTATTTTTCAGGGCAAGTAGGAGCATGGAAGCAACATTTTACTGTAGCAAAGAGTGAGCTGTTTAATAAAGTCTACAAAGAACATATGAAGGGAATGCCATTTGTCTATGATGACTTGCTAGACACATAGGCAGTCTTTCACTTTCAGTGTTTCACTTATTAAGCCTATAAAAACAACATTGATAGTTTAAAGACTATAAAATAGATAAAGGCGATTTTTTACAGGAAGCGATAACTTTACATGGCAAGAAATTTCACATGTATACAGTACATGTAAATGACACTTATGACATTGATGGTAAACAGATGTGATATCAGCAATAACATTTGAGTACACAAGGAAAATAAAATTCATGATTCTGTTAAGTTTATCATCTAAAGTCAATGTAGAATGTAGATTGATTGAGAAATCCAAGCAAAGACAACTGATACAAAGACTCATCTATTTTTCTATTTGTGTTAGGAATTTGAATGTTAGAAATAAAATATATACTCCATAAGAATTCCACATACAACTTGTGCCAAAAACTCAGAATAGTGGCCAATACCCCAATACCTCTGTGTGCAGTTTAATGCTCAGACAAGGCATTAACATGACAAAATGTCATCATCTAGTTGCTCACAATATTATGAGTTCAATTTTTTGTCAGATTTGAATGGTTTTGAAAAATGGTCAATTTGAGGCAATTTAAAAAATACCTTTTTGACCTGTTTAACCTTCAGAAGGTCAAGTGATCAGTTTAAAAATCAGTTTTCAATTTCTGAAAACTTGTAGATGACTTTGAAAAAAAAGTGGTCAATTTGAAGCAAGTTGAAAAAAACCTTTTTGACCTTGTGAAGGTCATTGAAGGTCGAATCCCATATCTAAAGTGAGATTTAAACTTCTGAGAACTTGTGCAACATATGCCCATTAGCAGCATGTTTTACAGTGTATGTTATATCTGAAATTATGAAATAAATTGAATTGAATTGTAGATGATTTTGAAAAAAATTGGCCAAATATGAAGCAAGTTAAAAAACACCTTTTTGACCTTTTTTGACCTTAAGAATGTCATTGAAGGTCAAATTGAAGGTGAACTTTTGTACATGATTTTGAAAAAGATTGAAGTCAGTCAACAGTATTTGTGAAGTTACTGGAAGTTGTAAGAATTTGTTACAGACGCCAACCGCCAACTGCCGATCGCCAACCGCCATCACAAAAACAGAGACCATAACAATATGTCATCACTTTTTGGTGGTGACATAATTAAACCATATTGGAGTTGAAAACCTCTCCAATGATATACATGAACAGTGATTTAGGATATTTAAACAGTCAGTCAACAAATATTCTCCTCAGAATTTCATGTTTAGAAGATTAAGGTCAAAGATCATTTGTGTCAGATAATGTTACCACTGTATTTCACTGCCTAAGTGTATTTTATAATGGCAGAACTTAACTATGCAGATTGTGGAATATCTGATGATATAGGAGCAACTAAAGGAAAGCCTACAATTAGCAAAGATAATCTGGGAATTCCATTCCCTGTGCACAAAATAGATGGATACATTTACCCACAGTTCATTAGACCAACAATTCATGGTGACATGAACAACTTTGATGTTAGGGCAGATGATATATGGTTGTTTTCATATCCGAGATCAGGTAATTAATGAAGAACAATGTCATAAATGTACTTTCAAAATCAAAAGAAATATTGTATGCCAGATGCCAGGTCCACTGATACACAATCTACAAAAGTTAAATCATATACAGTACATATTGCATTGCTAGATTCTTACTGTTCATGTATATCAACATAATGTGCTAAACAGTAAGTTACTTAAGTAAGTTTATATTAGTCTTGGTTTGGAGAGCAAAGTTCATCAGTCTACTGAACGTTACACCTGCTCTTGACAATTTTGATATTTTTACATATTGTAGATTTAAATGTCCTCTTTTGAACATCCATAATTTAATTTGGGTGTTATTTCTATAAAATATGATGAAGACTAATGAACTTCATTCTCCAAACCGAGACTTGTCTTTTATTGAAGGTCTACTGCATTTACGCCTGCTTCGGACAATTTTGATATTTTTACATATTGCAGATTTAAATGTTTTCTTTTGAATATTCATAATTTAATTTAGGTGTTATTTCTATACTTTTCATGAAAAAATTATTATTACAGTAGACTGTTCTCTAAACCGAGACTAGTCCTTTGAATCAAGTTTGAGAAGTTCATTGAAGGTCAAATCTAAAGTCAGATTTGAACTTCTGAGGTATCATTTTGTTATCTTACTTTTAATGAATCACTTAGGTCAACACTGGATATGGAATATTATATATGGGCTGACCCATGATTTACAAGAGGCCCCTAAGGGTATGGAGGAGTTTTGTATGCCAGAGTTGATTACACATGATATCATAAGTTCTGTGCCTTCTCCCAGAATCATCAGAACACACCAGTTGCCGAGTTCTCTCCCACAGACAGTATGGGAGTAAGCAAACTAAATTATTCTATTTTGGTACTCAAATCATTCAATATGGAATTATTTATTCAATAGTTGCTTTTAAAGGTTCACTGTGTCAGTTGAAGTTAACACTCACTTTTTGTTTCCGACATCTAACTTCAATGTTATTCAATATTCCAGCAAAACTTGCAAGACAATCAACATTGTGCGTCACCCAAAAGATGTAGCATATAGTTTCTTTAAACATCAATCAACGGCACTCACATATGGTTATAATGGCACATGGGAAGGCTACCTGCCTATGTGGTTGAGAGGAGAAGGTAATATATACATGTATAATAATATATAAAGGGCCACCAATTTTCTAATGAGCAGCCTTATTGGGCAAGTTGTTAAAAAGAATGTATATCATGCTTCAAAATCACAATGGTGAAACTCTTCAAATTGTTAACGAAAATGGTAAAACGGTTAATATGTATGGATCTGTTTCAGTAACAAAATTTAGCAGCCTCAGAGGTAAAATTTTACTTTTTCCACAATTTCATGAGGTGTAGGCATAATCTTCAGAGCTTTTGGCACAAACTTGTACTAAACTCAATACGATTCCTCACTTTTGCTACACAAACAGAACGTCAGAAAACGTTAACATCCGCACTTTTAACCATTCCATTTATGAAAACATTTTTGTTCCCTTTTGACTGACAAAGGATGATCTTATATTTATAGTGGCATGGAATGATTGGTTCAAACATGTACAAGAGTACAGGAAACAAGGCGAAAATTGCAACATGTTATTCCTTACTTATGAAGAAGTCAAAAGGGTCAGTATTAAGCTAATTGTATTTTCAAATTAATATTCTAAAAGCTTCTTAGCAATAGTTAGATGGATGTACACTATGTCCCCTAATCCGCTGGATCAATTGAGAATTCTTAATTTTAGTTGATAGTTTATTGAGATTTTTATGTGTCATATACAAATTTCAAGAATGATCTTAGCTTTGGAAAATAAATATTTGTATTACGGAATTATAGGACATAGCCATGTCATCCGGCACCAAAAGCCAAGGGTAGGAAAAGTGAGGACCTAGAGTCCGTAAGAAAACCAAATGCCGATAAAGGATAAAGATATGATCCAAAATATATGATCCAACAATACACTGTGCCTCGCACCAATGAGCTGCCATACTTCACTAGCAACATTGGTCAGAATATTCAGGTTACAGGCAAACCACAAAAACCATCAATTACATTTTGAACCTATTGATCACAGTTGCTATATTTTCAGGATACACTTGGTTCCATAAGGAAGATAGCAGAGTATTTAGGTGTAAGTTGGAGTGAAGAGGATTACAACAAAATAGTTGGTGAAACACATATTGATGTCATGAAATCACGAAATGAAGGACATGATAGATATGCAAGGGATGGACGAGGGGAAGATGTCATGTTCAGAAAAGGTTTGATAATAAATATAACTTTACATTTACAAGATGACACAGAAGATGCCACCCACATAATGTTGCATAACTTTTTTGACAGTTTTATGTTTTAAAATACTGGGAAATTAACAATAAAAAAATGGCCACTTTCATTTTGAAAGCAGAGGCCATTTTCAAAATCAGAACTTGTACTCTCATGGAAATAAGTGAATAAAATTAAACAATATAGAGCGATACTCAATAGGATAATAATACTGCAACAATTTGAAAAGATTTTAGGCATCTAAACGTATAATCTCTATATAATATACAGGTTTACTAATTGTTATGTTTCAGGGGAAGTTGGTGAATGGAAACAACACTTCACTGTGGCACAAAATGAGTTATTCAATAAAGTATACAAAGAACGAATGGAGGGGATGTCATTTGTCTATGATGACTTGCTAGACTCCTAGTTCTAGTCTTCAATTTTATATCAATGGGCAACAAAAATATATACTTTTTGTATATCAAGAAAAAATTACTCTATGTCTGGAACTAAACAAAGTGGTGTTTAATAAAATAAGTAATTCTATGATATCTATATTCTTCTGTGCAGTTGTTATTTTTCATCAATAAATCAGTAGTATTCTAAACATTTCAGTTAAATTTCATAAGTATTATGCCATTTTGAATTTAGTGGCCAGCCTTTTTGGAAATTCCTTCTCAAGCAAAGTTCATGTACCCATAAGGCATTGAGCTTATAGAATTTGAAAACATATGTCAACCAGTACTTCAGTTATTGCCAGGATAGACATATGAATGGATGGATGGCTCCTCTCTTCTTTCTCTCTAACTTCATTCAGTTTGATAACTTTTATTTCTAACAGCTGTACAGGCTCACAGTAGAACATCAATTGGATGTCAATACTTCAGGTTTGAATCATCAACTTATGATATACAAGTGTAGCATACCTAATGTGGGTAAGCTGACCTCACAGTGTCACTGCATGTTTTTGATAATATTCTGTCAAATTGTACATTTATAATAAGCTGTGTAACACTCAGGTTGATAAACAAGTGTTAACTCTTTGACTATTCTATTGCATCGCATAGTACATGTATGTGTTATTCAGGGACTTGCCGCATTGCATAGTACATGTATGTGTTATTCAGTGACTTGCCGCATTGCATAGTACATGTATGTGTTATTCAGTTACTTGCCACATTGCATAATACATGTACATGCTATTCAGTGACTTGCCATGTGGCATAGTAAATGTAAATGTTATTCACTGACTTGGCATATCGCATAGTACATGTATTTATCGTATGATCTGTAAAACGAAGCCTTCTGATTGGTCGATTTTTGTGCTGTACCAATCTGTATTGCTAATGATACTGTCCCCATTAATCATCTCTATTGCAATACAGAAAATATTGGTTCGGAGGGGACATTCTCAGTAAGTACAGAGGATCACATGATAAATCGTTATTGAATGATTTGAAGTGCAATACAGGATATATTCTCCTCTCAATATTCTGTACTGGCACTCGACTTTGTCTCGTTCCAAAATGGAATTTCTCGAGCAGAATATATCCTGTATTGCACTTCAAATCATTCAATAACTTATAGTGTTATTCAGTGACTTACCACATTGCATAGTACATGCAGATGTTATTCAGTGACTTGCCATATTGCATCGTACATGTATTTATCGTATGATCTGCAGAACGAAGCCTTCTGATTGGTCAATTCTTGTGCTGTACCAATCTGTATTGCTAATGATACTGTCCCCATTAATCATCTCTATTTGCAATACAGAAAATATTGGTTCGGAGGAGACATTCTCAGTAAGTACAGAGGATCACATGATAAATCGTTATTGAATGATTTGAAGTGCAATACAGGATATATTCTGCTCTCAATATTTTATACTGGCACTCGACTTTGTCTCGTTCCAATACAGAATTTCTCGAGCAGAATATATCCTGTATTGCACTTCAAATCATTCAATAACTTATAGTGTTATTCAGTGACTTGCCACATTGCATAGTACATGTACATGTTATTCAGTGAATTGCCACATTGCATAGTACATGTACATGTTATTCAATGAATTGCCACATTGCATAGTACATGTACATGTTATTCAATGAACTGCTACATTGCACAGTACATGTACATGTTATTCAATGAATTGCCACATTGCATAGTACATGTACATGTTATTCAATGAATTGCCACATTGTATAGTACATGTACATGTTATTGTGCTGCACTACTCGGTTGTGCTGTTTTATTTGTTTATATTATCTTATAATATACTCATATATACAGGGTGGGCCAAAAAAAACCAATACCCAACTTCGAATCAGGATAAAAATAGTTACATTCAATATGGTACATTGACTTACATACCATTTTAAAGGTAATACAATCTCAAACAATTTGGTATATAACACTGTATCATGAAATCAATAGTAACGTTTTATTATACTTATTTGGAAGGTTGGGTCGCTATTTAAGGTCTCCAGAATTTAGGGAGAAAATAGTAAATCTGCAGAATTATGTTAATTTTTTATCTATAGAATATCATTCTTTTGTTAGGTGAATACATGCTTGGATATTGATATTTGCATCATTGTGTGACTTAATTTATTGTTTATGAATTTCAGTGTTGTTTAATAACATTTTACACTTTATTTATTTAGACAATTTTCACAGTTGCTCAATATACCCCCACCCCCTCCCCTATGCATCAACAATAAGCTTCAAGTGGTAGCGCAATCTATCAATAGCCTTATTGAGAGATTTCTGTTGCAATTCATTTCAGCACTTTAGGATTCTGTTTCAGCTCATCAAAGCTGTTTATTGGATGCTTTTGATTGTACCATTTCCTCGAGATGGCTCCATGTATGGTAATCAAACACATTACATGTAGCATCGGGGCTGTTGGGTGGCCAAGCATCGAGATCAATCAAATTGATACCTTGTTTGCAAAGGAATGCCAATGTCTCCTGAGATCTATGGTACGGGGCTATATCTTGTTGGAAAATAAAATTCTCGTCATATATACGTTTAATGTCTTTTAACAGACCCCCTTTGAGTACTTATTGATAATAAACAACACTAAAATTCATAAATAAACAATAAGTTTAGTCACACAATATGCAAATATACAAGCATTTATTCACCTAACAAAATGATATTCTATAAATAAAAAATTAACATTATTCCGCAGATTTACTATTTTCTCCCTAAAATCTGGATACCATAAATACCGACCCGGCCTCCCAAATAAGCATAATAAAACTTTAATATTGATTTCATGACATAGTGTTATATACCAAATTGTTCGAAAATGGATTACCTTTAAAATGATATATAAATCAATGTATCATATTGAACATAGCTATTTTCAGTCTGATTTAAAGTTGGGTATTGGTTTTTTTTGGCCCACCCTGTATATTATGAAAATGTCATTAATTCAACAGACAGAGGGTTAAAAAGTTCAATAAAACATATACCCCATGAGTGCCATATGTGATTCATGATAGAAGTTAAGTCATAATGGCAGACAAAAACTATGCAGCTGGTGGCATATATGATGATATACTGACCATCAAAGGAACACCAACAATTAACAAAGATGATCTTGGGGCACCATTCCCTGTGCACAATGTAAATGGATTCTTTTATCCACAAGCGATAAAACCAACAATTCATGACTATATGAAAGACTTAGAAGTAAGGGATGATGATATATGGTTCTTCTCCTACCCAAGATCAGGTATGAAACACATTATTAGAGGTGTCATATCGACCCAAAGACAACCAAAATCTTGGACCGGAAGGCTCAGTTTGGGTCACAAACAGCTACTTACCAATTTTGGGTCGGGTCAGAACACTCAGTAATATCGTAAATTTTCGTAAAACGCTTTATATTCGTGGCAAATTTTTCAAACTTCTAGCAGGCCTATTTCTCATGTACATATAGATCACAAGCAGAAAATAGTTTACAGTTCTTCTCTAATGATTTAATGCAGGTTTAATCAATTTCCTTCATCAAAGCATAATATGCAATAATGCAGGCTTAAACAGTCTTATACTATGGCGTGTATTCATTCAGTCATTTAAGATGCTTGTACTAAATTCATTTTTCTGTTTTTTTCTGACCCGACCCAAAATTACCCGACCCACACACTTTTTTCTGGCCCGACCCGACTCGAAGAATTACCAGGAGTGCAATTCTGTAGCATTCTTAACTGAATAAGTGTACTCTGAGTGTTATTACAAACTCTTTTTTGACATGATACTCAATTATATCACAGGTACTTCTCATGATTCATTGAAAAAGACATGCACATGAATATTTTGGAAAATAATCCACTGATGAATTGAAAGTTAAGCACCAAATTAATCAATAATGTAATTAATATTCATTCTTGTAAACACTTAGGTCAGCACTGGACCTGGAATATTGTATACAGGCTAACCCATGATCTAAAAGAGGCCCCAAAGGGTATGGAGGAGTTTTGTATGCCTGAGTTAGTAACACATGATGTCATAAGTTCTGTACCTTCCCCCAGAATTATGAGAACACACCAGCTACCAAGTTCAATTCCACAGACAGTATGGAAGTAAGCAGACTTAGTAATTTGATTTTAACACATGAATGGAATATCTTAACATTTCTAAAATTAATATCTGTCTAGTATCATATCAATTCAGTAGAATTACAGCTTTTATCAGTAATGGCCTAGTCACATAGCCCGGCCGATGAAGTTACGATGAGCCAGCGATGCAATTTTCACCGAACTCGGCCGAACACCGGCCGGACACAAGCCGGACATCCGTGGCGTTTGTTGCTTAAAACCGCATCGGTGGTAGCTCGGTGAAATTTTAACTTTCGGAGTTAAATTTCACCAGGCTCTCACCGAGCTCCCTCATCATGTCATCGCAGCCCCATCATAACCACATCGGAAAACACGTCGGCCGAGTATCGGCCGGTGTCCCGTGCATCTGAGACAACCAGAGGACGAGGTTTTTTAACGGACAGCGGCCGAGCTCCGACCGAGCTCCGGCCGATGTGGGACAGAGCATCGGCCGGTCACTGTTCAAAGCTCCGGCCGGTAGTTGCTGCCACATCGGCAGAAAAAAACTACCATTTTGAGACAGACTCCGTACGGTCACCGGCCGGTGTTCGGTCGGTCACCTGAAGATGTCGGGACGGAGTCCGTTCACGTCACCGAGCTCTGCTTCCGATGAGGAGAGCTCGGTGGCACCAAAAAAATCCACCGAGCTCTACCGATGCCGGACATCGGCCGGGCTATGTGACTAGGCCATAAATGTACTGTAGTTTATTGTATTGACTGAAGATTGTCTTAAGTGATTTTTGTGCCTAAATATGACTTCAATATTTTTTTTATCTCACTATGATGTTTCTCATTCAGATTCATCCTGGGCATATTTTTTTAGAAAACATCCTCGAGAATGAGGTCCTCAAAAATTTCCTGGGGATGTTCACTATTGACAATTTTGGCACAAATATTGTTAAAATCACTTGAGAAGTGCTCAAAATGGTGAAACTGCATGATTTTGAAAGAAACCCCCTGGCTAGGGGCCTGACTCGTGGAAGATTCTCAGGTATTCCCAGAAGAAAAAACAAAATATTGGTATATCATTCCAGGAAGAAATGCAAAGCTATCAACCTTGTGCGTCACCCAAAAGATGTTGCGTATAGTTTCTTTAAACACCAAACAACTCTACTTTCCTATGGCTATGATGGCACGTGGGAAGGGTACCTGCCCATGTGGCTAAGAGGAGAAGGTAAAACAAAGAATGTATTGGTAGAAATCTTTATTTGAGTAAGTTTTGAACTTAGTTAAAAACTCAAGAGCTGTTAAAATATAATCAAAATGACTTGCACTTTTGAATGCTATAATCTGAGCAGAGGTCCTTTGATCATAAGGCATCAGCCTACAAAATTTTAACCAAATCCGTCAACTGGCAAGTTATTGTCAAATGAATGAACAGATGAATGGACGAACAGACGAATGGATGGGTGGGTGGATAGCTTCTCTATATCCCTAAATGAACTTCAGTGGTGGGATGACAGTAATATGTAGTAGTCATTGAAAACATCTTCAGTATTCAACATCTGCATAACCATTCATTCCTCCTAATACAGATTAATGATACATTTATAGTTGCATGGAATGATTGGTTCAAGCATGTACAAGAGTACAAGAAACTAGCAGAAAATGTTGACATGTTATTCCTTACTTACGAAGAAATGAAAAAAGTAAGTATTTTTGATGAATATATCATTGATTAAAAAAAGAATTCAGGTCAGACCTGAACTCCAATAACTGATATTAAATTTATACAAAAATAACTTTTACTTAGAGGGGTCCAATCTGTGTTCTCATTCTATTACATGTTTATGTCATGTATAATTCAAGATGGTGACTAAAATGTAGTCACATATCTTTCCATTCATAAAGCTGTCTATAATTGTATCTTTGAAATAGTCTATTTTCCCGTGTAAAATCATTGATATATACCTTAATATATCATCAAGGTAACACCTTTTATCAATTCTATGCCGTAGGGCTGGCACGGAACGGAATTATTGTCCGAACCGTCCGATTTTGCCTTCATAAACGGACTTTCGGACCTACCTTCTCATATTCCGATAATTTTCGGAACTTTTATTTTCCGTTAAGAACATTCACTTATCGTTATAGCGAACTAGTACTATGGAATGAAATCAATAAATATATATAATTATTAAACATTTTCACTTGGTAAAGTTGTTTTATATGTAATGAATGATAGAAATAAATAAAGTATGATTGTTTTATATGTATTCAGTACCCATAAGAAACGACAATTATTGTAAGAAAGACAATATACAGTAACAGGTGTATGCCAAGGTGCCAAGAAGGCAAAGACATTAACATTTTGCCATTAGTTTTGAACATTTATGCCACTTGTTCTAAATAAACATAATACAACTTATATATATAGTTGTACACTGCTGTTCAGATGGTAACAAAAATGAGAACTTAAGGGGAGAAGTAGGAACTATTTTAAATAAGGTCCGAAATTCCTAAAGTTTCAAATTCCAACACCAAGTTTCGAATTCCATTCCGATTGCGTTCCATTCCGTCCCAGCCCTACTATGCCGTAGTTTATGCTACCTTAACTTTTAGCATGCTGACTTATTTTGGCCACTTTATCCCTAACAACTGCCTTATTTTGTAAAAAAATGATATTTTTGAATTGGCGAAAACTTTTCATCAGATTGCCATTTCTGGCTTACCCGGAAGTCATTAATGGCACTGAATAATATGTGCAGTCTTATTTGATCATAAGAATGGCTTGAAAAGGCAAAGTTTTTAAAAGTTTAAACTGGGTCGACCTGAGTCGCAGAGTCTAGTTATAAATGAAGCTCTCTTTTGAGAAACGAAGTAGAATGAATGCAAAGGGTACTAAATTCCTCACAAGCATATTTGAAGGGATAAATATCCTCATCATATGCAAATACGCAACTAAAAAGGCGTTTGAATTTTGGGAGGTTCTGCTTTTAAGAGAGTTAAAAACATACATCATGCATCATTATTTAAGTTAAGGATATACCAGTGTAACCTTTACGACAATGGTGATATAATTTTAGATTACAGAAATAGAAAATGAACACCTCTATGAAAAGCTCGTTTGTTAACTTCACGTTTGACAAGTGTTCTGTATTAAATATCAAGGACGCAGAATGACGATATATGACGCTTTACGACATAGTAATCCATAGCAACTAAGAGATTCTCATTTTCAATGTTGTTTTATCATGACGTCATATAACACTTTTGCTAATGGATTCTCGGAATATGATACCATTATCTGTGACGTCAGTGACATATTGCCCCATCAACAAATAAATAAACAAATGAACTATACGTCATCAATTCTTCCAAATAATTCAGTAATTTTTGTATATTTTTGTTTCATTCGTTTCATGTCCGTTTCTTTCGTTTATCCCAGCAGTATATGTGTATGTCCCCATGTATTACAAACACGACAAATCTAATGTGTAACTTGCTTCTTATTTCGCTACAGCCTGTATGCGTTTTCATTAAGTTATAGTCTATAGCCAAGGCAACTGTAAAATACAGTATTCTATTTTGGAATTTCTATAATTCATGTATACACTTATTACATGAACCACGGACACTTAAAGTGACACGAACATTCATTTATATGCATTTCTATTGAAATCATTACCTTGCTTCGTTTTTCCTTTCTGTCAAAACGTATACCATCAAACATATGAAACTAGCCATTCAAACCTTTTTTTCAATTTATGTTATTATTCTAATTTTTTATAATTATAGTTACCAGTTAAAAATATTTTCCCAGTGAGTATTAACGACCATGATCGGACATGTCGGATACAATGCGAAAAACGTCCATAGCCATTCACAAAAACACTTTATTCGTGTACTACATTCAGTAGACGTATCTTGCTCAAATCCGACAGCTTTACATAAGTGGGGACCTCGGGGAGAGGAATGTACAACCCAACCCGAAAATCATCAAAAAGCATGCATGCTATATATCATGAGCGAAATCATTCATGCCTGATCTATGAGGTTATACTTGTGAAAGCAGTTCATTAAGACAGGACATGTTGAGTTTTCACAATTGTTAACCTCAAATGTAACGTTATCCTTTCCCGAAAAATGAACAGAAATATTAGCATATTAGAATAGGAGTCAAATATGGCTATTATTAGCCATTTTAAATCATCATTTATTGAATGAATGTCTTACTGGGGCATCTAGCCCTCAATTTATTCATAATTTGTAATATTTTGGAATGATGTTTATCATGTGGACTTAGCTAGTTTATGTTTTTGTGAGCAGTCGATTTTGTTAACTCTTGAGAAAGACGTCATATATCTAGTTAAATTATGACGCGAATTGACCAGTGGCTTTTGTATCATTGTTAAAGCACACTAATCTTCAACGGCATTTTCAAGAGTAAAACAGACTGTTGACCCTATGTTTTTTTTATATCAAAATAAACACGAGAACACCTTTTTTAGAATAAGCAAATAAAACAAATACCACAATCCATTGGAAATTTGCGTAATTTTTGATTCAAAACATGTCAAAATGCGAAAATGAAAAAGATATGTTTTTAATGGAAAAACGTTAAAAAAATTCACAAATATTGTTGGGGTTGGGGTAACACTTTAAGTGAAAAAAGTAAGAAAAAATGTCCTGAGTGTACCAATATTCTAACCAATGTAATTATGTATGAAGGAAGTTTATATAGGCTCGAAAAAAATCGTCAATACTCCCTAAATCATCATTTTATCGACGAAATATAGGAAAATATGTTTTTTTGCTTTGGAATCAATGGCACCTCTAATGTTCAAATGATGATAACGTCACACCTATTTTCATTCTTTCATTCAAGCTTCTCATGAAAAAACTAATCCGTTGACCTACCTTTTTTATTACATTTTTCGAATCGCTACATCTAGGTCTATAATAAAAACCTAGTTTCGTTGAGATTGAAAATGGTTGATTTTTTCGGAGGTCACACTGGTATATCCTTAATTGTATATTTCAATTCGTTTTTTTAAATTTGTCTTACCCTTCTACAACTGGTTATTCAAGGATACACTTGGCACCATAAAGAAGATAGCTGAGTATCTAGGTGTACGTTGGAGTGAAGAAGATTACAAGCAATTGATCGATGAAACACATATCAATGTCATACAATCACGTAATCAAACATGGGATGTCTATGCAAGAGGAGGACAAGGGGCAGATATAATGTTCAGAAAAGGTGTCATCATCTGTTAAGACATTACTTTACATATATTTTGTCAAGTGCTTTATGCAAAATTGCTTATGTTTTGGTTACAGATTTATCTAATTTTGGAATATCTCAATTTATTTGATATAATTCTTGAGTAACTGCCAATTTTTCAAAATCAAATATAACATCATACACTGTACATTACGAAAATAGACTTACAAGCTTAAATTTATATATTACATGTATATTTATATCTTAATCAAGGCTCTTTTCTGTCATTTTAAGAATGAGTTCTTACAGATAAATTATTTTGATTCTTATACTTCAGGGCAAGTTGGTGAATGGAAACAACACTTCACTGTGGCACAGAATGAGCTGTTCAACAAAGTCTACAAAGAACGAATGAAGGGGATGCCATTTGTTTATGATGACTTGCTAGACTCCTAGATGGACTTCATTCCAGTAGTCATAACTAAATAGAGGCTTAGCTATACTTTATGATCATTTTAGATCAGCATATTTACCCTTTATTTGACAAACTAAAGTCTATTTGATTACACACATCTTTTGTTGTATTCAGTTTCCCATAGTACTAAGAATTGTTATGTTCTTTTAAAAAGGTTAATATCATACATTATAACATACCTATGATGATGTATAGTGCAAAGTGTACACAAGATAGCGGGCCAATATAAGTTTTGAAAAGCCCGCGCCCGCTAACTTTCTGATTGGTCAAGGCGCTGACGTCATAACCAATCAATCGAAGATAAAACTGCGCGAGCAATTTTTCTAAACTCATTTCAATCATTTTTAAACCATTTGTTTGTCAATTCTATAAGAAAACGGTACTCTCTGACCAGTCTACATCATCATAGGTATGTTATAAATCGTTTATGTCACTATCGTGCCACATATGCCCTCAGTTCTCAGAGATCAATGTCCCTCCCAAGGTCGGGCCATATATCACTGAGACCTCGGGCATATATGCCACGATAGTGACATAACCTCTAATTAAAAATACTATTGTGAGGAATAAAAATGATTTTGAAGAGATGTAGCATACATTCTACTACTTGTTGCATTGTAAAATGTTTATGCTTGGGTATGGGCACTGTAGAATTCTGTTTGCTTCACAACAGAGATAGACAGGCCATCCACTAGGCCACAGTGGTTTACTGATATAATATACTTGAGTCAAGTTTAAAACATCCCTGTGACATAGTTGTAGAAACGACTAAATAAGAGCAGTTTAAAGGACAGGTGGCGGTAAACCCCTCTTTTAGCCCCCCTACAAAACAAGTATATATTGACATGGAATTGAAGAGGAAGTATGACTTATTACTTAAAATGTGATTTCTGAGAGTTTTGACATTTGACCTTGACACTAGGGTGGTTTAAAGGACAACTTTGAGAGTTGCTATTTTTGTCAAAATTTTACTGTTTCTAATCAAAGAAATGAGAGCAATTGGCTTTATTTTGATTGTGACCGATAAAAAAACATGTGAATAAAAATAAAAAATTTTTTAATAAATTATCACGGGCAATTACCTGAAAATAAATACCGATATGGGCATTTTTAGGGGGACTAAATTTTCTTGTTTCAAAAATGAATGTTCTTGTTACCTCTTGAGACTCTAGCAGTATCCTAAGTATGTTTTAAGAGTTGGAATGTGATTATTATTTTAAATGCCCATGGGCAATTAGGATAAAATGACTGAAATTAAATGCACACAAGGGCACTTCAAAAAGAATGGATTTTCTTATTTCAATTGCTTCTCGCCAGTTTTCTAAACGTGTTTGCCATATTCTAAATAGTTATAGGGTCACTTTTACTAAATGCCCATTGGCATTTGGCATTTTTATTTGGCATTTGAAAACAAGAACACAAATGTGTACAAAATGTCCCCACCTATGGGTGATCCCATCAAATGGTTATCCTAAAAATGAGTAGACAAGACTTTACCGACACAATTTGAGGATGGAATATCAAAAATGGCCACCTTAAAATTTACCCAGAATGCCAAAAAATTAGTCAGTTCTAGATTTTCATACTAAGAACCATCCCCGAAAATTTGAAATTGATCCCTCACACAGTTAACCAGAAAACATGTAAACAAGGCTTTACAAACAAGATTTTAGGACGGAAAATCCAAAATGGGTGCCTTGACATTTATCCAGAATGCCAAAAAGCTATTCTCTTCTAGATTTTCATACTAAGAATCATCCCTGAAAATTTGAAATTGATCTACCAAACGGTTCACCTGGAAATGCGTAGACAAAACATAACAGACAAGATTTTAGGACAGAAAATCCAAAATGGCTGCCTTGACATTTACCCAGAATGCCCAAAAACTAATCAGATCTAGATTTTCATACTAAGAATCATCCCTAAAAATTCGAAATTGATCTACCAAACGGTTCACCTAAAAATGCGTAAACAAGACTTTACAGGCAAGATTTTAGGACAGAAAATCCAAAATGGCTGCCTTGACATTTACCCAGAATGCCAAAAAACTAATCAGATCTAGATTTTCATACTAAGAATCATCCCTGAAAATTTGAAATTGATTGACCACACGGTTCACCTAAAAATGCGTAGATAAGATTTTACAGGCAAGATTTTAAGATGGAAAATCCAAAATGCCTGCCTTGACATTTACCCAGAATGCCCAAAAACTTATCAGATCTAGATTTTCATACTAAAAATCATCCCTGAAAATTTGAAATTGATCTACCAAACGGTTCACCTGAAAATGCGAAGACAAGACTTTACAGACAAGATTTTAGGACGGAAAATCCAAAATGGCCGACAATAAAAAAGTGATTATGAGTTTTTGCCGATTTATTTTTACAAAATTATCACATATAACTACTGTTAACAATAACATAGGCTTTTACAACAAAGTACACCTGCAATTATTTATAAAGCTACAAAATAGTTAAAGTATGAAAACTGAAAAACACCATTCAATATGATACAAAGTATTATCGCGCGCTAACTTTTCTTAAAACATTCAAAATTGCTGACATGACTGAGCTAACAGGTCCAAAACCTAATCAGATCTAGAATGAAGTGAGCTGAACAAGATGTAAAAGTTTCAAAAGCAACTGTGAAGCCATTTTTCTTAAAGTTTGCAGACAAGGATTTTAGCATTTGACTTCAAAATGGCCGACAGGAAGTAGGTATCGAGTTAAATTTTTTCATCCACATCTAGATGCACTCATAAGTTAACCCTGAAAATTTTAAGGTGATATCTGTAGCGGTTTTGGAGAAAACTGCCGGACGTACGTACGGACGGACGGACAGACAGACGCGCCTAGGCCGACAATATGGCCCCACACTATGTGGTGGGGACATAATAAAATGTTTGAATGTACACTTACTTTTAAAGTTATTTGCCAATTTGCAGTTCCCATATTTGAAACACAAATAATTCAGAGAAATCCTCTCTCAATATATATCATAAAATATAAGGCAGCATCATGTATGAATGGCATGACACTCAAAGGATTGCCTAAAATAATTTCTACTTATTCCCTATTTAGAAAAACACTTGGGCCATTCAAATATTTTCTTATAATAATGTCACTAAATTCTATGTTTTCAGAAAAAACAAAATGTCCCCATGTACTCTCTACTTGTAATGTATATAAATGACAAAGGGAATTGTGATCTTGGATTATATTGTTGCGAAATGAGTTCCAAGATTGATTAAAAACTACATGTATATAAACTTCATTAACAAGGTCATCTGAACTCAAGAGGTGTGTTACTTGCTTTGGCACAATGTGTTATTGCATTTTCACTCTTAAATAATATAAAATACCCTTTAAATAAATGAAGGTTTTGTAGTTTTTATAATAAGGCTCTTCATCAGAATGCCAACATATAATTAATTTTGGATGGCCTAATCTGTACATGCAGTTGTGTAGTGTACATGTATGCCCAGGGGTAATAGCAGCAATATTGAAAACATAAACAAGTCAGGCTTATTTTCATCACAAAAGTTAAGTTTTAGTGGTGAGCCAATTTTTCAAAGAAACGGAGAACTTATGCCACTTTTTGAAATTGCACATCTCAAGAAGAAAGGTTTATCTACAACTTGCAATCGGTTTTAAAAGTAAATGGAAGAATGAGTTTTTCAGAAAAAGTCTAAGTGGACCAATAGTCTGTTAAATGGACCTGTTCTTTGTTCTAATCAGCATCCCAGACGTTTTGTTGTTTGAATATTTCAATGTGAACACTGAAGTTCAAAATAATGTCTGAATAACTTCAAACATTAAATAAACACGAAATTCAAAAAAAGAAATGAATGAAATATTCCAAATTAAAATTAATTTTGAATATTCATTGGCCTCCCTATCCAGAGAGTAGCTCGTGGCTAAAAGAATATGTCATCATGTCTCATGATTTAAGAAATGATGCATTGATGTCTAAAATAAGATTTAAAAATATATCTTACCAGAGATCTAAGAGAGTCTGACTCCCACAAATAGGCTGTAATCTCCCCTTCAAGCAGGTATGGTTTGCCTCCATAATTGACAATATGAGCAATATCATCTTCCTCTGTCAGTTGCACCCTACAGATAATAAATATATAAACAAAATTACAAAGAACCAATAGGATTAAAGAAAAATTGGTGGCCAATGGCATAACAATAAAGCTATTCCTTTGCAAGAATTTAAACACATGATCACGAAATATTCTTTATAATAATTCACAATAGTGATCCAAAATAACAATTGATTCTTTAATTTAATTTCTTATTAAATGTCCATCATTTACAAGGTAATGTGTAAAAACTGTAAAATCTGAGTGACTTCAAGGGGGTTGACACACAAGTTTTTCTGTACAGCAGGTTTAGAACTGGTGCTGAACCAGCACTATATGACAATATTTTATGAATAACACTATATAGAAATGTGAGAAATTGGCAGTGTAAAGTATAGCTATTTAACACCATACAAAAAACTGATTCATCTGAGGTGATTAATCATGAAACAGAGAACATGGAGTTAATCAGAGAGAAAAACAATGAAATCAAGGAAGAAAACAATGAAATCAGAGAGAAAAACAATGAAATCAAGGAGGAAAACAATGAAATCAGAGAGAAAATGGAGTCAATCAGAGAGAAAAACAATGAAGTTAAACAGAAAGTTTCGCTTTGACCTTCACATGGCATCATTATGAAACAGCTTACTCTTTAACATATCTCGGGACAAGACTGCCTGTTGATTGGGCCTGTCCCATGGTTGCCTCCTCAGTTGATCTGTTGTGTGCTTCAAGGTTGTCTTCAGTCATGCTATGAGCTTCCAGTGTTGCGCTACATGAATAACAGTAAGGGAGATGACTTTTAATAGGGCACATACAAGAACAAGACATAACATGATGAAATGCCTTCACCAGAATGCAACTGTGTAACAATTTTTGTATATATATGCTGATTACCAAAAATAGTGGCTACAACAATGTCAAGCCCAAGCCAATTGCTCATAACTTGAACTTAATTAGTGATTTAGTCCTTTCAATCATATTATCATCATATTTTTTAAACTACATGTATTATTTGAGAATTTAACAAACTAGTTTAACAGTCCTACCAATTGTCTGTGCAATCATTGTATTTAAAGATTCTTGAATGAGAATGAAATCAAGAATCAAATTTTCAGTTTATAAAGTAACCTTCAGTTGCTATTACACTAAATGTAAAAATGTTAACCAACCTTTGTGAAGATGCCTCAGCACCCAAAGGTAGATCAAGGTCTTCATTCAGTCTTGGTTGCATCATATGCTCCAACTAAAAACAAAAGGAAGTTTTTAAGGAACACAATACTTCAATGATATATTATCTTAAATACTGGAAATATTTAGATTCCTCAGCATATTATTGTTGAGAGGGATAGTTTTAAATTTTTGCAGTTCCCAACCATGTGTATTGGGTATATCCCGTATAGATATACAGTCGTAATTACTGCATTTAATCATGGAAGGCAGACCCAGGAACCCCTCCTTGGAGGAGCCCTGTGTTCTTTTATGAGCACTCAGTCATACACATACACGCCCACTGCCTTTTTTATGAGTTGTGGACCACTCAGTCAATCACCCTGAAGTATATATTTTACACAAACAAGCAAATTAAGTATTGCCTGAACTGGGGATCAAATCATGGACCTATTGCATAAGAGGTACACGCACTACCGAGTGTTTGGAAAGACAAATCTCTAATAAAAAATGATATCTTTCTAAAACAAGTCATTTTTCTTTTGTTATATGAGACACTATACACTTTTCAGTGTCTCGCTCCCTTCATCATCATCTATTTTTGTATGATATGTAAAGATAATAAAATGAATGTTTTCCAATAAGGCTAAGTACCTGATCAGGTGGAATGTCATCAGGCACAAATCGAGCATGACCCTCTTGAACCAGGACATCATTGATGTGGATGTCATCATTTGTTGATGTGTCCACTAAGCACAGTGAGACAACATTATTCTACAAACATAAAAACATGCGTATGATTAAAATGATATATATCAAAAGCTGTTTAAATAATAAATTGGCTTGAAATAAATTGGCTGTGAAATATAAACTGAAAAATCCCATAATAGAAAACAGCGTAACAATGTACTGTGCATTAATATGTCTTCTAGAAGGAAGGTCACCTAAAATGCTTCCCTCATATTCTCCTTTGATGTGCATTTTTCTGACACAAATATAATTATTACCACTTACACGACAAGAGCATGCAAAATAAAAAAATATATAAAAAAATGAAAATTTCACCATTCAGTGGACTCAGATATTGAATGAACTAGTAGGAAGTTCAACCAATTCTGTAAATTACCAGTAAGAACCCCCATAAAATGGATATCGATAATTTAGACGATGGCAGCTTTCATTTTCCAATAATTGTTGACAGATGGATGGGCAGACTGACAGAAAAAACCATAATGAGAAGGTAATTACATAGGCGAAGCCAAAAATGTTCAAGGATCAAATATATTTTACACATTTTAAAAGTACCTTTATCCCAGTTGCCAGGGCGACAAGAGGTTTGTTTGCAACCATTGAGAGCATCCTGTTCCGAGCTGTTACCTCCCACAATGTCTGCAACATACAATACATCAACATACAATATATAGGGTAGCATTTACATTTTATATAATGTAAGAGTGATATACAATACAGGTTTACCTTTTATCTTAGTACAACAAAACCTTATAGGAACATTATATTTTAAGAACGATAAATGCACACATTATAAATGCATCAGGTTTGAGACTAAATGTTATCATCTCATTTGACTGACTATTTTTCCAGGAACTTTTTAAAAGACCCACTCCAGTATCAATCACGTATACACCATGATCAACAAATCATCTTCTAACAAAAATAACAGTTATCAATTATTTTACTGACTAGTCTTTTGAAGGCATTTCATTCACACCTGTGGCCTTAACACACATCTTTAGTAAAAATGTCATAAAAATAAGTGGATTGTTACCCCTTTAATAGGCTGTATATTGGATAGTCTTGCAAGTACAGCTTGAGCAGGTAATTGGAGCAGACTTCGTCTGAAAACATAATGAAAATAGGTTGTATCCTTATGGCATAAGGGATCGTATCCAAACAGTGGAATAATAAAGGTAGTTCTGTGAGGAGACGCCGCTGGTAAACAATTTTCAAATTTGGCTGTATGAGTGGAGAGGAATGGAGGTTGCACTATAATAAAGCATAACAAGACAAAATGTCATCACCTGGTAAGTTATTGCAAATGGTTACAAATGGCAACAATTTAATTTGTTAGTACCTCAATTGAAATACTCAATTCTGATTGGTTGATGAGCGGTCAACAATAAGTACTGTTGAGCGCTACTAGGTACTGTTGACCGCTACTTTTGAAAAAAGTGTTTTTTGAATGTTGAAAATTTTTTTAATTTTGAAAAAATAAATTGAATATTAAAAAATAAAAGTATTCGACGGTTTGGGGATTTTTTGCTAAAATATGATACCTTCACTCATCAAATATGTTCATGTGATTTTCGATTATGTATTCTTCCAATTATTAGACTCCAGATTGAAAATCTGGAGTCTATTGTTTTCGTCAGTTTTCTTCTTATTATTATTATTCTTATTCTTATTATTCTAAACCAGTTTTCTCAATAACCATAAGGTTTTCAGTAAAGTCAGTCATTTGGTCAATTTAGGTCCAGAATCTAGTTCCTCGGAAATTGGGTCAAATTTTTAGCTAGGTCAAAGGTCAAGAACTAGGTCAAATCCAGTACTTTGCCACTTTTTTCGATTTTCTCGGTCGTCCTTCAATATTTTTGATCCGGTTTTTTTTCATTGTGTTCCTTATAAAAAAGTAGAAAACCTAGGGTCGATTTAGTTTTTTGATATCTCAAACCGATTTCGAGATATCAGTGTCAAAAAACAAGGTCCAAAAAAAAGTTCTCCGAATCAAATGTCCAGGATATTAGTCATATAGGAAATTTTCTCAGGATTCCGAATCTGAAAACCAAATTTAGATCAGACTTCCGGTTCAGAAGTTATGGCGTTTTGAAAGCTCAAAAATCGCTAAATTTGGTGCCCATGTTAAGTCAATGGGAAAAAAGATTTTTTTGAAGTAAAAAATATGAAATATAGACTGAGTTTAGCTAAATATAATGAAAGCTTTTAAAAGAATGGGACCTAAAAAGCCATCTAGCTTCAAAATTTGGACACCAAAATGCCTAGGTCAAAATCTAGGTCAAATTTAAAGTTTTTCCTTATTTTTGCGATTCTGACACTACAGATTAATTATATTCTTCGAAATTTTGTATACATGTAGCCAAGAGTACGCTAATAGTGTTAGCCTTTTGCCGTCAGAAAGTATTTTGACCCACTTTTGAGATATGGTGTCCGAAAAGTAGGTCAAAATAAAAAGTTCTCCAAATTTAACGTTTGAGTTATGAATTAAGAATAGAATCTTCTCAGAAATCCGAATCTGCAAACCAAATTTCAATTCGACTTCCGGTTCCGAAGTTATGGCGTGTCCGAAAAGTAGGTCAAAATAAAAATTCGCCAAATTTAACGTATGAGTTATGAATTAGGGGTAGAATTTTGTCAGGAATCCGAATCTGCAAATCAAATTTCGATCCGACTTCCGGTTCGGAAGTTATGGCGTGTCCGAAAAGTAGATCAAAATAAAAAATCTCCAAATTTAACGTATGAGTTATGAATTAGGTATAGAATTTTCTCAGGAATCCGGATCTGCAAGCCAAATTTCGATCCGACTTCCGGTTCGGAAGTTATGGCATGTCAGAAAAGTAGGTCAAAATAAAAAATCTCCAAATTTAACGTATGAGTTATGAATTAGGGGTAGAATTTTGTCAGGAATCCGGAATTGCAAACTAAATTTCGATCCAACTTCCGGTTCGGAAGTTATGGCGTGTCCGAAAAGTAGGTCAAAATAAAAAATCTCCAAATTTAACCTATGAGTTATGATTTAGGGGTAGAATTCGGTCAGAAATCCGGATCTGCAAACCAAATTTCGATCCGACTTCCGGTTCGGAAGTTATGGCGTGTCCGAAAAGTAGGTCAAAATAAAAAATCTCCAAATTTAACGTATGTGTTATGAATTAGGGGTAGAATTTTGTCAGGAATCCGAATCTGCAAACCAAGTTATAGCGTTTTGAAATTTCGAGAAAAATCGATCTGATGGTATCCTGATAGAAAGTCAAGAGTAGAGAAGAAAATATTGAAAAATTCATCCATCCTTCCTATCTCATCCTATCCTATCCTTCCTATCTTTCCTTTCTTCATATCTTTTCCTTCCTATCCTATCCTATCCTTTCTTCCTATTCTATTCTATCCTATCCTTCTTTCTTATTCTATCCTATCGTTCTTTCCTATTCTATCCTATCCTACCTTCCTTTTTTATTTATCCATCTCTTTCTAGATGACTCAGCTTATACTGGATGACTCGGCTTATTCTGGATGACTCGGCTAAAAAAAGTCTAGATCTGGAGTCTGAAATTGAACTTCGTTCAATTTCCAAAATCTAGTTATATTCTTTGTTGATGAAAATACAGAATGAGGCTTTAATACTGATGTCAAGTAAACAGGTCCCAACACCATCATTTCCAGTGTACTAAAACAACATACAACCTGGATAGACTAGCTACATGTAGTACATACCTAAGCAATCTTAGATTGGATTTGTGCACACTACATGTATTTCCATAGTCCACAAAATACACCTGAAAACAACAATATTTGCACAAAGTTGTTGATTTTCTTTCTCAGAGATATTTCTTTTTCTTTTTGACGTTTCGTAGGATGTCCATCCTACTTCTTCAGAAATAAAGTTATATTTGAATCAAACTGAAATAATTAATTATTACATAACACTCTATCAATAAAGAACATGAAATAAATTGGACAGGTGTATCGGTTATTGATAATGAAAAACACTGGTTAAAAAGAAAAATCAAAGAAGCAATCCATATTAAACTTAAAAGTCCAGAATTAAACAGGGATCAGGGTTACACACTGGATCCCGTCTATTTTAAGATGTTATAGTTTATATATTCATATTCATAATGTCTCAGTGTCGTTTCTAGGTGGTATGTTGTGTAATACCTTATTAACGTTTTTAATTGTATATTACATCATTGAAGCTTTTTATGGTAACGGTTGCTATTTTTCTCAATAATTTTTTAATTGTAACATCAATCAAGTTTTCTATAGTAACGGTTGCTATTTGTCTCATTGTTATGTAATAATTAATTATTTCAGTTTGATTCAAATATAACTTTATTTCTGAAGAAGTAGGATGGACATCCTACGAAACGTCAAAAAGAAAAATAAATATCTCTGAGAAAGAAAATCAACAACTTTGTACATTACTACCACAGAGATGAACATTCATAGAAACAATATTTGCATTAAACAGCTCTGATGCATAATGCTTAAAAATGGCACATTTTATCTCTTCACCCCTGTTCTCACTCTCGACTGTGATACATTCAACAATTAAGAATTTTTTTCTGTTCATTATTAGACTGAAAACACATAGCGATTGAGGTCTTTGGCAATGGCCAGAATAAAATCTGAGGTCGTATATTTGATTTATAGATTTATTTTTAGATTTATATTCACTATAGTGCTTACCTCAACAAAATCTAAGCCTCCTTTTCCAGTTATTTGTACCCTATGCCAATTATCATCTTCAGGAAAAACTGTAGCACACACCTGACCCACAGTTATCATGGACTCGGGCAGTTCATAACCCTCAGAGTTAAGAGAGTAATAGAAATCTCTAAATGTAAAAACATTAACATCATCAAAACATTTACTTTTAAGCATAAATAACTTATTGTATTCTAATTGAACCAGAGGTGTTTTACTACCTAGAGATGCTAGACACAAGCTTTCGGGGAAGGGCTGGATTACGTTAAGAATTGGAAACTCTGAATTTCACAAATGTTTTTGTAAGTACATGTATTCAAATATTACATCAAAAGTCAAAGTGTCAATGTAAATTAATGTAAATAAATAAAGGGAAAGGGAAAAGGAAAGTTAAGTTGTTTAATGCCAAACGTGGATATTTAGAGGAATGTCCAATTCTTTATTAAACTACTTGCTTGATACAGCACTCAATATCTGTTTGAAGTCATTTGACATATAAATGTACTTACTCAAGTTTGTCCATGACAGTCTCAAGGGCCTCAGTGGTGTTCTTTCCCTTCAGCTGGAACCAGAAATGCCCAGGGCTGGAAATGTTGGAGACTAAGACCTCTATGTATCTATCGGCACTTGCTTTAGGGAGAGGTAGGGGTGAGTAGTGAACATTGGGACCTACAGCATCAGCAGGAAGATGTCTCTTGGGTATATCAGCCTAAAATTTCATGAGATATCATGTAAATAAATATCGAAATTATTTTTTTCAGAAAAACAATTAAGATTGTTAGAGATTCCAACATTTACACTCTTGATACTCCCCCCATTTTTACATTATCTATTTTCCTTCTGGCCTACTGCATGTATATTTCATGACCATCAGACTGATGTTACAGCACTTTGAAGAACATGCTCTAGTAGCCCCTTTTGCACTGTGTGTGTACAAAAAATGAACAAAATCGGGCCTAGGGTATTGGAGTTATTGCCCGGACAAACGGAGGTGTTCCCTATATCCCCTGAACTTCGTTCGATGAAATAATGATGTAAAATTGTGTCAAATATCAGGGAGCAATTTCTTTAAATGAGAAATATATAACTAAAACGCAGGCTTTCCATTTTTGACCACCCTGTATTTTTAATTAACCCCGTCCCCACTAATTTGCAATTTAAAAAAAATATGTCTTTAAAAAATAGATTGTGACCTGTGATGCTTCAGCTTGTAAGGCTCCATTAGATGGCAATTTGAGTAGATCACTCCTTGGGTCACCTTCTATTGGTAGGGCAGTCAGTGTAACACTACCAGACCCCTCTGTATAGTTCATCTTAATCACATCCAGTAGGTCTAACAACATGCTCTCTAGTGTTCTGTACCCAAGGTCTTCCATTGGCAAGTTCTGGCCTGTCAACACCTAAATGTAGAAGATGAGGCCATTCAGAAAGCAAATTAAATTTTTATGTCCGCTGATATGTTCTTGTATTGTAACAACTTTGCATTCGTTCCATTTTGCTTCTTACAAAGAGCTTCATGTTCACTCTCTCAGTTTACAACTAATCTCTGAACTCACCGAGCCTATCAGAGTTTGTCTGACTCTCAGACTTTCTGTATTTGGTCATTTCCTCTGATGGCATTGCATAGTTAATGAAAAGAGTATTAGAGCTTAAGGGCAGAGAATGACCTCACAGCGTAAAAGAGATGATGTGAGTGGGAGAATAGCTGTATTGCAAGAGAAGGGAGAGGGTGCCCTTACAGCACAAAAGAGTATTAGAGTTTAAGGGCAGAGGGTGCCCTTACAGCACAAAAGAGTATTAGAGTTTAAGGGTAGAGAGTGACGTCACAGCACAAAAGACAAAAGAGTACTTGAGTTTGAGGGGGAGAAGATGACCTCACAGCACAAAAGAGCAAAAGAGTATTAGGGTTTGAGGGGGAGAGGGTGACCTCACAGCACAAAATACAAAGGAGTATTAGTGTTTGATGGGGAGAGGACCTCACAGCACAAAAGAGCAAAAGAGTATTAGGGTTTGAGGGGGAGAGGGTGACCTTACAACACAGGCTGTCCAGACCACAGTGCTGCTAAGAACAACCCCAGTAGGTAAGAACTGATAGTAGAGCTGTCTCTTGACGACTGCACCATTAGTCCCTATCAACCAATATAATACTGGTTCAGTTGCACATTATATAGAAACCTTCATCATTGAACAAATTAAATGGTGTCTGATAGCACTTCAAATATACATGCTATAAAACTGTTCTAGCTTTATTTCGATGAAAATACCATTTTAAGCAGAATATGAGAACATAGCCAAGGAATAATCAGTAAGGCAAATTTTCATTGTGTAAATTTTTAAACTAATTACTTCATTATATTGTAATTAGTTGAGAAAGCAAATGGAGACACTTCCTGTTAGTCTGATGACGTACCACAGATGGAGGTTGGGTAAAAGGGGAATCCCACAACGTCTCAGTTTCATATTGTAAAATGTAATACATTCATATCAAAAAGAAACTGAAACTGGAGCTGTATCTTTGTAGCCAAACAAAAAGCTATTGCAGAGACATCTTTACATTGATTCAAGGATGATAATGCCAAATACAGAATACAGGACTTTTCAAAACAATTTAGTAAGTTGAAAATTATGTTTTGAAAAGGTGGAAGAAATAAAAGTGAATACATTCATAAAATGTTCAATATCCCCGATAGATACCATCTTTTAATAAACCACTTCTATATTATTTAAATAATCACAATTCTTGAATAATTTCCTCTATTATCATTCCTTAGCTTGTTTATTTTAAAGGGAGAATCATAGACAGAGAAGGAAACATGTACATTTTTTAAATTGTCAGAATTCTAGAATAATTTCTTCTATTTTCATCCCTTGACAACCCTATTTTCACCTATCTTTAGGTTATTCTTCTATTCATTACTGTAATATACGATATTCTTTGTATTGTGCTATACAATTTATAACGTAGTTAGTGGTTTGAAGAAAACATGTATAAATACCTATACCCCAGAGAGTAAATAGAGATTATCCTATATGAGGTTCCGGATATTGGGATAATCCCGAGGCCAATATAATATATCTGTCCTAGGGCTGGGGTCCAAGGGCCCGCCAAGGGATACTCCCAATATTCTGAACTGACTATAAAATGATCCGTTTATCCCATACCAATTTTGCTCACATAATTCAATTGGCCTGAGTTCAGAAAAATTCAACTGTAGAAATTCTTTTCAAATATTCATGTCATGTTTTGGCCCTAGTAGGATTTTCATGTTCTTTCAGATATTCATTCACATTTACATTCTCGAATCTTTGATTATTAACATTGATAAGTATGCTCCTTTCCTCATTTAAATCATCAAACAAAATGTGACTGTTCACATATTTTGCCATTGCTACATATTTAAAGTGCACTAACATACGAACGGTGATTATGACGTAGCGGGCAAATATATCTGCCTGCTCAGAGCGGGACATAAAGCTATATCTGCCCGCTGATGAAAATATAAGTTTTTATAAACCTGCTTTATGTACCTGAAACACGTCCAAGTATGGGTTTAGTAGTAAATACACATAACCTCACATTCCTCTTACCTTCAACATATTCAGTCTTTTTATGACATACTCTTTCTTTAGTATGTAACTCATATATAACTGTGATTCAATTTATGCCTCTATTCTGGGACTTGGACATTGTCTCCCTTTTACATAAGCTATACATGTAAATGATTTCTCAAAATATCCCTCTTTCTCTATATGGTAAACTCCTTTAAATATGCAACCTTTAATAACTTCACCACTTATATATGCATCATACCTAAGGCATATTCCACCTTTAAATATCGACTCGTCGTTATACAAGTTATTCCACACATTTGCTTTAAATAATTTTACCTTGAAAACATCAGGAAAGTCTGCGATTACAGTGTGAGGTCTTTGTTGTAAAACTTGTCGCACCATCTCTTTTAACCTGACACTTATACCAGGACTGGGTGGTCGAGAAGGTCTCACGGCTTGGACTTCTACAAAAGATGTATTAACCCTTGATCACATAAATATGGACTGAAAGACATACCATTAACAAGTTGATGTATTTAAACCAATCAAGTGACGAAAAGGAAAATATTTAGGCATCATAATCTTGAAAGTTAAAAACAATAAGTAATGTTTGAGCATTTTTGCATGAAGATTCCTCAATTTTTTTGAAATATGTCGTGCTTTCTCGATATATTAATCACTTTTTCCATTTGTAAAAATATGAATTTGATGTACCTTCCATTTTGTTGGCAGTCACTTCCTTATAAACCTGCTTATCATAGATCATCCAATCACCTGCCTGCCCAGGCCTCTCTATGGTAACAATGTCACTTAACGCACCCATGAAGTCAATGACACTCAGAAAACCTAATTCTCTAAATGGCAGGTCAGTCTTGTAGAGTTTCTAGAAGTACACGTTTAATCAAACGATTTGCGTTTGATTCAAATTTTAAACACATCTACAGTATCTTTGAATTGTAATTGTGTATAATGATTCACAAAATGAATGACATTGAGAGTTCTATTTAAAATTAGTACATTCTTGCAACTCAGAAAATGTTTGAAAGATATAGGTACACAAATGCTTGATACAATAATAATAGATCCTTACCTTGTATTCAAAAGGAAACCTAGCCGCCCATATGCCTTTCTCTTTACCATCAAGTACCTACAAATTCAATATATCTACATGAAGCCTATTTTGTGTTTGATTGGTCTCTGAAATGTTCTCTGGAGAAGGTCTAGCCCCCCCCCCTCCTTATATACTTACAAACGCAACACACTCTTGTAAATACTGCCTTGTTTCACATGCTGCCTTTAAGAAACACAATCTATTCACCTTTCCCCAAAGTCAGCTCATGAATATTATAATTAGCAAATCTGAAATCTCTGACGTCAGAGTAGGGCACATTTTCGCGGGAAAATCCTAACACATTAGAAGTCAATGGGAATCGTGACGGAAACGGATTAATTTTATTGTCAAACTAGTTGAGTAGTAATAATATTTATGATAAAATGTAATGGAATTCAATTAATTATACTCCCGTTTATATTCCCCCTTCTTTATATTGTTCTGGGGAATCAAATGAATAGAGAAATATTGATGTGAAGAGTCCAATGTTTCCTGTACATTTTCAAATTACGCCGACTGTACAAAACCCCATGTTTAGTTCTTGACTGTCAAAATGTCAACATCCCATGGTTATCTTAAGTTTGTGTAATATTTTCTCATGGGGTGAAGAAGGGGGTACGGCTTCACCTTGAAAAAAAAGTATTCGACTGTTAAATCTGGGCCAAAGCGTTACTTTCACTTACGTTCAGCCACTTATTATTCCACATGACAATGTTACTTTTATGTCTGCCGGAGAATTTGACAATGGTTACTTGCCCGTAGCCAGCTTTTACCAGGAGGGGGAGCTTTTTTCCGGGTGGGGGGGGGCTTTTTCACAATTTTGGCTAAAAATCATGCGAAAAATTCTCAGAATCTTGAAAAACTGCTTCCGCTTCCCCAGCTCCCCCTCTGGCTACGGGCCTGGGTTACATGAATGATGACTAATTTCATTGAACAATGTTAAGGCCGTTCATGTATGCTTATTGAGACAATGTACCAGAGTTGCTTGTTTTACCGACGATCGTCTATTTGAAGAGATTTATCTCTTGAAAAGCCCATGGGCGTTCTATTAAATATTGAACTTTTTAGAGAACTTACAGGATATGTTTGGACCGTTATACCTACAAGAGGGAAACTCCGGCAATTCAACCCCGTAGTCAGGATTTACGTGGGGGAGCGGTTTACCAAGGGGGGGGGGGGAGCTTTTTGACAGTTTTGGCAAAAAATCATGCACAAAGTGCTCAGAATGGTGAAAAGCTGCATGATTTTGAAAAAATATCTGACCAGGGGGGGGGGAGCGGCCGCTCCTTCCGCTCACCCCCCCACCCCCCCCCCCAATTATTTGGGCAACCCGATATGAAAAATGCAAGTGGACTTTGACATTTAAAACTGTTCTTCATATATTTTTTATTGGATACATATAATAATAATGAACTATTTAATTGAATAATCATGATAAATGTATATTCCTAATCCATACAGTCTTATTGTTTGAATGATTGTCAATCTTTGGTTTGCGTAATTGGATTCACTTTGTTAAAAGACTAGCACTCGTATCAAAATTATTTCTATGGTTTGATTTACCGGATGGTGTATTTAAGACACAGCTTTTAAAAGGCAAAATAGTCAGAAAAATATATTTCACTTAGTTTTGTTATCATTTTATAATGAGATCTATTTCACTCATTGGGCGATCTAATAGTAATTGAAGTTTTGGCGCGAAATCTGCCCTGCTTTGACGTCATTGATTTTCATCGACCAATCAGCGCGCGCAGCGGTCAAATGAGTACACTTTGGACTTTGGGGAAAGGTGAATATTGAGCCAAGTATTAATGCACTAAAATGTTGCTTAATGTTTTACTCAGATACAGCATTTAAGATGTTCTGGTAAACATTTATGAATCAATTATTTAAACAACTGCTGAAATTAATGAAACATTCAACAATTGATACTGACAATCAAAAAAATGACTACAGTATATAATATTTGGGTACACGATTTAAACAATGCTGTCAGTGGTACAAACCTTTAAAATTTTCAGTTTAATAGAAGGATTTATGCCACTTGTTTCTTGTAAATCTAAGCTGACTTGACCTGACGATCTTGGACTCTTTCTACTTTGACTAGTGGAAGACTGCGAAAGTGGCTGTTTATTCTCAGTTGTATGTGCATTCTGTCTTTGTAGACGTGGTGGGATGAATTGCGTGTACTGCTGTTGCTGTTCTTGTTTGTTACCTGGTGAAATGGCATAAGCTGATTACATAACCATGTATATGTAGCAAAACAGATAACCTATAGGTTCATGTAGAAAAATTGAATAAAAATTGTGTGAGATGAGATATGATGATGATCTTTCTGTAAAACCTGGAATAAATATACACATATTGAGGGATTTACAGTATACAGGGCGATAACTTCACGAAGTTGTGAAACTAAGGCTCCCATTTGACTTTTACAACCATAAATGAATGAATCATATAAAGTTTTTTTATTCAAAAGTGAACTTCTTTTAAATTTTATACTAAGCCACATCTTCCAAAAATAGGATGCTCAATAAAATAGTTTCCCCCTTTGCCATTTAAATACAAAGACCGCTGCCCCAGATACCAAGGACGTTCTTGTAAATACCAACCTGACCCATAATTCCATTCTTGATCCATCAATGGATTGATTTTATTTCTTGTTGTTTGCATTTGTCGAAGATATAATCGTGCACCTCCTGTATTTTCTTCAAAACTGATGTCAGGAATAGAGTGTAACAAATCTGAAACTGATCTAAACCCATAGATGGAATAATCCAGCATGCTACTAAATCTCCTCTGAAACGCAACACCAAATGATGACAGCTGTAGACCATTCGGGTATGACATCAATAATTCACGAATGTTCTGTTGCATCTGATAACTAACCATAGGCTTAGGGGGAGGAGGTCTAAAATGGGCTCTAAATGGGCGACGTGAACGTGGTTTTCTTTTTTGGTTTAGCACAAGCTTTTGGATATGGCGAGTAGTTTCATCAGCAATTCCTTTCAGAATGAGGATCCCTCTTTCCCACATTAGACTGCAAACATCAGGCATATCCCTAAACATTTCCTCTTCATTGACGTAACCTAATTTTCTGTATGGAAGTGGCTTTCCGAGGATGTCTCTGAAGTCTCTTTTGATTTCATCAATAGACCTTCCTTTTGGGTCAGATATAAGGAATGCTCGGACATCCTTCTTAGTCTCAGACAGCAAAGCTGCTTGTTGAGACATTTTAGATACTCTGCAATACTATAATAGCTGAGTGTAAGCAAGTAAATAAGACTAATAAAAACGAATATCGAAACACATAATCAGCATGTCTTGCACGTTCGGAGCTACTAAATTATTCTAAATAAATACTCGACAAAACAATATTGCACTTTAGATGTTAAATACATCAATTATATTCCTATAACAAATAAAATAAATTTTATGAAATATAGTAATCATACATAATGAAAAATATGAGATTTAAAGCCCATAAATACGTTCATATTTACTCAAACTCAGATACGTAGATATGTACTGGAAAATTGCCACTTTTTCTTGCTCAAGGTCGTACAAAATTTAAAGAAAATTTTACAAGAACTTACCATTAAATAAAATCTCTGCGGACAGAAAGACGTCTCTAGATAGAATATAGCATGGGAGTAGTTTATGCCAAGGTATTGTATAGTTTTCAAGGGAGTTTACACAATTTGAATCGAGTAAATATATCTAAAAAGTTGACGTTCAAAAATTGACGAGAACAGGCCAAAAGAGAAAGTGAAAGTAGAAACTTCAAATTGTCTGTATCCAATCGACTAGGGGATGCTAGTTCAAATAGACTACATAATGTTCTGATATAGGCTATCTAGAATGCAGGTAATGTACTACAGGTATAACAAGCCTACCTTCTCCAAGGCTGTCTCCGCATTTTGCCTTGACTGAGCTACATGTATGAAGCCGCTACAGTCTTATTTAGCCTAGAGGACAGGGACGCAATGTCTTCTTTGTTGGTAATTGTCCGACAAAGGAATGGCTACACTTTACTCACTTCGAGAACCATGTTAGATTTTGAAACTTATGGCTCTCAAACGGAGAAGTGAACAGCTGATCAATAGTGACCTTTGAAATCGAATTAAGTCGATCAGCGGCTTACTTTTGGTCTCTAACTGTGTCTTACATCAGTATCATCAATCCGTGTAAGTGTTGGAGCGCTGGAGTACTTCTTTTTCGATCAAGACTTGTAAATTGTTCATCGAGTGAAAGTTTTTTAGACCTATTTCCAATATGGCGGTTTGCTAGGTGCGAGATACGCAACGAACGAAATGAATTTTGAAAATTAGTTAGGTTCGGACAACCTCCGGAGATTTACGAAAATGTCCGAGCAGAAACCGCCATATTGGAATTTGGCAGTAAAACGATTCACTCGACTTACAATTACAAGTCTTGATCGAAAAAGAAGTACTCCAGCGCTCCAATACTTACACGGATTGATGATACTGATGTAAGACACAGTTAGAGACCAAAAGTAAGCCGCTGATCGACTTAATTCGATTTCAAAGGTCACAATCATTGAGCTGTCCAAATGCTCCGTGGGAAAGCTATTATATCAAAATCCAAATAGCTTTCGCAGGAAGTAAGCTACACTGTGTGTCCGACAATTACCTCAATGATCTTCTATAATTTTCTTCACAACTTTGGTCCTGAGAAATTAGTCATATAAATCCGACCATCGTATGCTTTATTTGTCATTATTTTTTGATAATTTGGATATTTATTTTTTGTTATTTTCTTGCATACTAGGGTCGTACACACTTGCCAGTTCTAAATTGAGGGAAATGCTTTCCTGGCCTGTTTAGGCAACCAAGATCACTCAAATTATGTATTAGAATATGCTCTTCATCGATAATGTATTTAATCCTACCTTACACACGTCAAACACTTGATAAGTGAAGAAGTATAAGAATTTTTCTGGAAAATTTTTTTTTCTCCATGTGTAGATGCATTCTGGGTAATGATTGTGTAAAAGTAAAAGTCTAGGTGAAACGAAAAACGAAATTACAATAAATAACGGCAGCCATATTGAGATCAAGATTTCCACTCAAAAAAGTTGTTCAGGGGGAGGAAGGCGGCTTCTGGCGATCGAATCTCCTTCTCGGACACCAAGGAGGGTGAAGAAACCGAAAACACTAAACAGATATGTTTGTAATAAATAATTACGATTTTGTTTTGGTTGCATGGTTTCACATTTAGACTGTATTTAGTGACCTTGACATGAGTGACCTTGAGAGCCATATTGAAAATTGGTTCAAACATATAAGAAAATGATTACATTTCTTCAATTGTTAAGTGTTTCCTGTGTTTAAGGTAAGATTTTATACATTCTAGTTGAAGCATTGGATCCATTATCTTATCTGTGTAACTTTTGTTGGGCATAGAGGGCAGAAAAGCATTTACCGCAATATACTGGGCTTAATATCCTCGACGCAAATGTTGAAAACAAAAATAAAAAACAAATATCCAAATCGTCAAAAAGAAACGTGAAACAACAACATTAAGTCGAGTTCACTTGACTATGAGAAATAAGAAATTTACCACATGTACATTAGCCAGTATGTAATAGGTCCTTTTACAGCCTATGATATTGTGAAATTCCCCTAAACACAACAGTGAGATGAATTTCCATCAATTGCCATACACTGTAGGATTGCACATTTTGGATACAGACCACAGTTCGGCGCCAGCATAATCGACTCATTGTTTTTCTTGATATATTCTTTACGTTTACCTTACATTCTTTACAGGACAATTTTTTGAAAAATTCATAGTTCAGAAAGCCTGTTTCATTTACAAAGGTAGATAGGCCGTCTGGCAGTTAGAGAATGAATATGTGAAACCTTTTGGGTGACCACTTGTATATGAATGTGTTATTTCAGGAGTTACCAAGTAATGGGCCTAATCAGGTGGATGACTCCCACTCACAACATGAAGTAGTAGAAAGAGAGGAGGTCGAAGTTGACCTGGCAAAAACACCAGTGAGTCAATTAGATATTTATACTAATAGTTCTAAAATCTGGATCAAAATATCCATGATTTTACAAAAGTTTCATTTAAGCAAAAGTCATTGAAATTTTGATATCAATAGTTTTTCCAAAAATGAGGTCAAATCTATCTTTATTAACATCTTTGAGGGAGCTCGAAAATTATTCAGGATTATACATTGTCCATTGTTTTCCTATTATGCTAATATGTAAAGCTGGCATTGTAGCATAGCAACAAAATAAAGTAATACAAATTACAATCAGCTGTGTAAAGATTTTATTCTGTTACAATATGTGCACAGTATATTGAGAAAAACATATGAAATACCTTTGTTTATTGCACATCTGTGTAATACCCTTATATGGATGGAGTGTGATTAATTATAAAAAAATAAAAATGGTGACATATATGACTTTGTTTTATGGAGCAATACATTTCAGTCTTTACTATATACAGTCAAGTTTTACGAGTTTTGAAAATACCTTATCAAGTTGCTCTTATTGCATAGTCAGGCATTCACTTATATAGGACAACACCTGCCATTTAAGAAAACAGTTGTACAATTCTTGAAATAACTTTCCCAAACCAGGAGGTTGGAGTTTCATTCTCTTTATTTTCTTTGGTTTCGAATGTATTTGTAGACATATGTTCTATATATTGGATTTTATGTGTATGCTTTGGCTTAGTGTTCTCACTCATAGAACAGTCATCAACTTTTTGTGGCACTTTCTCTTGGTACATTCCTTTCACAGCATCAGAGTAACCACGAAGACCAGTATAAGGTTCAGGTACTCTTATTGGTACACTTGCATCATTGGAATATTCTTCATCTGGAAGTGAGCAAGAAAAGTTATAAGCTTGACAATTAACTCATGAGACATTACAATATTATAGACCTTTATCAAACCTCTTGTGCCCTCCAAAATGAGACTTGATACAAGGTTAGTACATACAATGAAAAGAATACGTACAGTTAAATTCATAGAATCCATATTTCAGTTGGATAAACCTCCCTATGCTTACAAATAAAAGAACAGTTTTAAAGTGACATGTACCTGTATATTCACTGTCTGTATAGCTGCCATCAGTAAAGGTCTCATCAGAATATCTTGAAGATATGTATTTCTTTGCAATTTGATTCAGTTTGTTTGTCATATTTTTCTTCCCTCTCACTTTAACAGTTGTCCCCCCATTGTTTGTTGTGAATCGTTGTGTGAAGACATATTCATTTATTGTTGTTTTTACTTTGACTTTGATAATGTCACAAAGGCCCCATTTGTTGAGAATCTTGAAGAGGTATAATCGTCGGTTGCCACTGGTTACCCAGAATTTCCCATCAATCATGGCAACTTCTAGCTTTGGAAGTGTCGCAACTGCTACTTCATTTCTAACAAGGGAAATAAATGTTTCTTCAAGCGAGTATCTGGAAGAAATATAAAAGATATAATTTATTTATGATTTACATTAATGAGCTCTTCCTAATTTAACAAAATTGTTATTTAGTTCAACCAATCTGGACTGATCATACCAAAGGCATCAAAATGATGTCTGGTATTTTATCCAGTTTATCTTGTTATGCACTTATATTGAGATGCAGATTTATAATATAAAATATTAAAATATGTTTATCAATATATTGTAACATTAGATATAGTATTTAAGATGTATTAATTTATTTACTGAGAAATATCATACAATCAATGTACAACTTCTTAACAGATTTAATAAATGGATAATTTTTACCTCTCATCTGTAAATGTTGCTTTAATGCTACTCTGGGAGTAGAACACATCATTTGGTGATATTGACAATACAAATGTATTCCCATAGTTTTTTTTCTTGATATCTGTCATTAATTGTGGCATCTTGTCTGCTTCTTATGCTCTCTTTTCTCAGTCTGATTATTCAAAATCTGATGGTTTGTTTTATCAGAATATGCACAGAAATGCTGAGTTTGGGAATTCTAGTTTCAGAAGTGGCTATCGAAACTAAAGGAGGTTCAGAATTCCCATCATTTTTGCTATTAGTTACTTTAGTAATTGACTTGATAAGATAACATGATTTGTACTGAAGCACTTGGGTAAGAACCTCCTGTGTTTGATAAATATAAGTGCTAACTGATAAGAAACTTCGGGGAACTTATTAGTATAAAATACTTCAAGAGCATTTTATAATTTGTACTTTCGGTAATAAGGTAACAAGTTGTCAAAACTGGCAACATTTTTTACAAATAGAAATGATAGCCTGGGAAATTTTTAAGATATATTTTCCCAATGAATTTGTTTGTGTTGTTAACAGCTCACATATAAAACATTATAAACATTCAGAACCTCACATTTTTATCTAAACTTAACAGGTGTCATCTAAAAATTAAAGTTTTAATAATAAGCTTACAATGCTCGGAACTATACTCTAATTCTAAGATAAAATCATTTTTGATGAAATGTCACTTCTCCGACGAACTGTAGACCTTAAACCTTTTAGAACAGGTCAAAATATTGATATAGAGATATATACAGGTATACATTTACTTCACAAAGCTGATTATATTTGAGGAACTGGCTGGAGTGTTCAATATATTAATGTCTTAAAGGGCTCATGTAGAGGGAAAATGGGGTCTGGGGCTACATGTAATAAGTGAAGTTTCATTTTGAAAAGACATCATTATTTTGGCCTGGGTATAGGCGTGTAGTCAGAGGAGGCACCCCCCATCACCTATAAAAATAGAACCATTGGAAAGAAGAACAAAAGAGTTTTAAAATGTTTTTTTATTTGAAGCTGCTCGCTCAATTTTGAAGGTAGTTGCATCAATTTTTGTAGAATTCAAAATAAATCTTTAATTTTTTGGGCTCGCTACAGAAAGATGGCACCCCCTGGCTGAAAGCTGACTCAACCCCTGCTTGCCCTTCATCATTCCTGACATTTTATGTAAACATCACATTCTAAATTGAACTCTCAAATATGAACTCCAAAACATTATATTATTTCCAGTAAGATGTAATTTACTTCAGTGTTTTGAACAATTTTTTAATAAGCTACATGTATATGCAAAAAACATTATATAGTTTATAAATATTGTTTAAACTCAGTTAATTATAGCTATATGATATCTTTTCATGTTTAACCATCTTGTTCTTGACATGTTTTTTTGGTTTGATCATGTGTTTGTCCCACTGTTCATAGTTTCATTATACTCAAAGTTATTGTCATTTGTATAGTATACTCCCTTCTCATACATTGTCTTTACCAAGCTTTTGGGCTGGTTTTTAACTGATCTTTAATTATCACGAAAACTTCATATGATTGATGTTATTATCATATAATGTTTACTCCCAACTGATAGATATGTCATTGTCATTACACGTTTTTGAGCCATCTTTTGGCTGGTCAATAATCTTGTGTCTTCTTAGATTACGAAAAGTTCATATGATTGATGTTATTGTCATATAATGTTTACTCTCAACTGATAGATATGTCATCGTCATTATACGTTTTTTGAGCCGTCTTTTGGCGGGTCAATAATCTTGTGTCTTCTTAGATTACGAAAAGTTCATATGATTGATGTTATTGTCATATAATGTTTACTCTCAACTGATAGATATGTCATCGTCATTATACGTTTTTTGAGCCGTCTTTTGGCGGGTCAATAATCTTGTGTCTTATTAGATTACGAAAAGTTCATATGATTGGTGTTATTGTCATATGTTCACTCCCATCTCATATATGGCATTGGCAATTCTTGTCGTTATATGTTGTACTCGTCCATTTTGCATATTCTATTTTGTTCTTAATCATATGCTGATTGTGATGTTTCAGTTATATATAATCCTGACCTAAGAGTGAGACGTGCATTGGTCTAGATGTTGACCATGCTATTTTGATAATGAATCTGCCAAGGGAGAAACTCAGTACCACTTGTCATCAAGTACCACTCTTTCTCTATTTAGATCGAGACATATCATTCGTAAACGCCATTCCATAAGTGGGTCTCCTCTTACTTTAATGCTTTCTCCACCATTTTTTGTTGTAAGTTTCCTTCTTAGAGAATGTAAGTTATAGTTTGTACAAACTTTCACTTTGATTTTATCAATGTGGCCATATGAGTGTAATATCTGGTACAGATATAGACGCCGGTTTCCATCAACTGCCCAATAGCTCCCACAGCTTAAGATGACCTTTATTGGTGGAAGGTCATCGGGGGTCAAGTCATCATTCAACATATCTTCTAGGGTGTCTTCAAAGGACCTGAAATCAGTTTTTGAATTATTTAGACATAACATGGATATCTACTGCAAATAAATATCATTATCTTTGCTGCATTTTTGACTCTGTTGTTAAACTTTAATTTCGAAGAAAAAATATGTGAGAGGAGCATTCATAGAGGAATTAATTTAAAAATGAATTGAAAACTACTGGGTGGCTCAAAAACAGATTTTTTCTGCTGAATAAATGGTTTTTTTTGGTCACCCTGCCTGATTAAAAAGTATCGGTAAAATTATGTACATATGAATTTGAACATCTTAAAATTAGAAATTGACGATTAAGTTTTAAAGGAATGTTATGTGTGTTCAAAGATATGCTACATTAACTTACCTGCCATCTTTAAATTCTCCTTTGATGGATGACTGACTGAATAAGACATCAACTGGACAGACAAGTCTGATTGAGCCCATATTTCCTTCCTTCTTGTATAGTTCAATAGTAAAGCAAGCTTTTATTCTCTTCTGTGCTAGCACAAAATTCTTTCTGATATGTTTATGTATGAAATGTGATATAACCAATAGGTTATTGCAAATTTTTTATTTTATTTGGCCCAGATCAGGGGAATACCCTTAGTTTTACTTGTGTTTTTTCATGATCATATAATCATCTGGAATGTTCTTTAAAGATACACTTACTTTAACATTTCAACTTTCATTTTATATATTCTATGTAGTTGTCTTAGAATAAATGGATCATTGAAACCAATATTTTGGTTTTGAAATGAATGAATAAACACATGGAGCACACATGTCTCGAACTCGCAACCTCGTGGTTACGGCGCCCAATCGCCTAGCCTAAACGTGCTGGCGCTCAAGCCAACTCAACAACCCCAAAAAAGGTTGTTTTGTTACTCGATCTGACTAGAGGCAACTGATGTAAACGCTCGAACACACCAGAGGAAGCACAACTGACATTTCCTACCCTTTTTTCCCTTTGGCATTTGCGCTTATATATTCCTACACATACATACATTGCTCAACTGTCCTTATGACAGACACAGACATGTATTTTTACAATTGGTTATCGGTTCATTTTTCAAATAAGTGCTTCTATTTATATTAATCATTTTTTCATTTTTTGAAAAAATTATAGACTGTGCCAAGGTAGTTTTTACCGCATAGTAGTGTTAAAACATGATTTTCATCAAGATTTCAAGTTCTTTTTGTACTTCAATCTGGGAGCAATGATGCAGGTGTATCTATGTCGGCAAATCTGATTGCCTATCATGGTTTCCGAAGATTCACAGGATTTCTAAATGCAGACGTTTGTCTGAAACGCAGATTTTGTTTGGTTTCAAACATTTTTTTAAACATTTTACAGCATACTTATAAATGTTTGATTATGTTTTAACAGTAATGTAGTGATTCTGCTATCTTCTATTTAATCTTTTTCATTTGATAATTTCCTCAAGGTTGGGATTTGACAAGTAACTTTTTGTATTTAAAGTAAGTGCTGAACTGAGTAATAATATTTTGTAGCATAATGTCACATTGATCTGGTTATTAATGTCAACAAATATAACCTGGATTGATAAGAGGTTATGCATAAAATTAGAGATATTACGTCAGCAGAGTGTTCTAGAATGTCAGCTGACAGTATGTCATTGGTATGAGTTAAGAGCTGGGAGAATTTGTCATCATGAAAATTTAATGATGTAATGATTTAATCTTCATGAAGTGTTCTTGAACATCATGGAGTTCTCTTGAGATTCCTTTGTCTTGTCATGTTTAATTTGATTCTGGACATTAAGTGTTGTCATTAACAAACATAGAACTGTGCTAAAACAAGGGGCTCAGACATTTCTAATCTTGTGTAATTTAGAATATATTTCACAAACAACACAAGAGGTGCAGATGCATGTGTTTTTTTAAAGAAGGAAATGACATAAGCTGAGTAAGGGTATTGGCATTGATTCAATGTGCATATACTCTGACCTTGACCTCAAATGAATAAAATGACCTACTTTTAATAATCCAGTTTGGCCAAATGTCAATAAAGTCGTCTTTGTGATTTCAACAAGAGCGAGCCTTGCAAAGACCTATTAATCTCAATAGAAAACCTATATGTATATGTGGTGAGTACCACTTCTCATAATTTGACTTTCTCTTACAATTCCTTTGTAATATAATTCTATATAATTAACAAACATATATCACTTCATAATTGATATTAATATATTTCATCTTCAACTACATCCATATTTGAAGTAAAATAACATTCAAAACGGTTAGAATCTTATAAATTCAAGTATATATTTTTTATTTATTCTTCAAGTACATTCACACCCCTTGGGGTCCAGTACATGTACAAACAAAAATTATAACAATTATAAAGGAAGAAAAAAAGAAGACATTTACATGTAAAAAACTATATAACTATTAGTATTACTTTTAATGATGATGATGCATTGGTGCACTAGAGATATAGCTATTGGTACTGGATGTAAATATATATTTTGCTACATTTATACAGTTTTGATCTTAACCAGACATCAAATTTCAAATATATACTGTATTGTTTTGTTTCACGTATTGTCATTGATGTTTATGGCTGTGCATCACCATGACATCATGCTTTGATTACTCCATATTGTACAACTACGAAATGCACATTTGTTAAATGTATTTCCTAAGGTCTTGATTGTCACATGGTGGTATTGATCAATTCATATGTTCATCACATTGTCATATGAATGTTCACTTCTCTGTATGATATACACTGCTAGTCTGTTATGCATGTCAATCATAATGCAGGATGTTATTGCCATTATGTTACGATTTTCCACCTGCATAGGTCTTAAATCATTAGCTATTGTAATGTTATCATGCGGCTCTTACTCTATTTTCACCGAGGGCCCCACAAGATATCAATTCATTACAGAAGATATTCAACGGGTCTCATCCAATATGAAGATATTTTACCAAAATTGCTGTAAGAATTAGTTCGTCAATTAACTCCTTCGAATTTTCACCCCGGATTTTGATACTCTTGCCTCCAGTTTTTGAAGTCATCCTCTTCTTCATTAAATATGGACGACAGTTTTTCAGAACTTTTACTTTGATTTTATCACAAAATCCTAGGAGGTTTAAGAGCTTATAATTGAAGAGTCTTCTATTTCCACTTATCGCCCATAACTTTCCATCCTTCTCTATTACTTCAATTGGTGGAAGGTCGTTAGGTGAAAGCTTTTTTGTGGCTATGGATTCTATCATGTCCTTAAAGGCTCTGGAAGTAAAATAGAAAGTACAGTTATATGATTATTAAACTTTCCAAACATATTGTGACAAATATTTCAACATAGCATTACTAAATATCAAAATTAAATACACAATAAGGAAAAAAAGATTATAAATAAAATCTAATTATAGCTTGTCACAATTTCTATTATACCTTATTTAATGTACATGTATACAGATAAAATGTATATCTGCTAACATTGTTTTGTTTCTATTTCACCACAAAGTTAAATCCACAATTTTTTGTGACCAGTATTCGACATTCAGTTTTCAGCATTTTGCGATACCAAATATTTTTTTTAACTTTGTTATTTTACTATTTTAAAAATGGCAAAGATTAAAAACAGCTTCGGAAACACTAATGATAGCTTTATTTGAATACATTTGAATAAGTCATCTAAATATTCCAGACGTAAGATCTACATTTTTCTTTAAGTTGCATACATTTGTTCAAGTTCATGTATGATTAACATAAGTCAGTTGTAAAGCTGATTCATTGAAGAAAAAAGTTATGGTTTAGTTAGTAGACCTATTACCATTGAGAATACAGGATGAAGATTAAATAGCATGCATATAATACCTTCCATCAGTAAATTCTCCTTTAATAGATGATTGGCTGTATAATACAGCTTTTGGAGATACAAGTATCGATCCCATATTTAGTGGTAGTCGTTTGCGTTGTGTAGTTTATTGTTGTAAACTGAAATATGGAGTGAGCATTTACTTATAAAGAACCACCAATTTGGAATTCCCTCACTTACTTTTGGTAGAAAGCCGGTGGTTTTACCATTAGTCATTCTCTAGAATCATCCTTTTAACCATGTCACATTGACCCACCTTATCAAAAATAGTATTGATTAGATGTGGTAATCAAATTAGTATCTTTACTGGATTACACACATTGTATTTTGGTGCATTATGTAGTTTTGAAATGGGACTTACCTGCATGTATAAGCCCTGTACAAATTGATTTTTACCTGTTTCAATCAGGTCACATTACAACCCTCCTATTGAAACCATACCTATTTTATCTGACCCTTGGGTACAAATTAAAATCAGTTTGCCAGGCTGGTGATACATGGTAGACATCTGATCCCTGAGTCATTTTTTGCGGGATAGGGTAGATGTCGATGCATCTGTTGATCGGTCTGCTGGTTTGTCCATCAAGATAAGAATTGCTATTTATATTAGATCATAATATGTTCATTCATTTATGTCGATCTATGATATCTATTTGATAAATCATTTTCATTCCCCAAGTCATCTTGAGTAATTGGCAATTTTGACTTCAAAAAGTCACATTTTGTTAATTTATTCAGACATAAAATTAATGTAGTTCCAAACTTCCAAATAGGAGTTATAATACCAAATATGGGTTAGCAATATTGCAAGATATTTATTTGTTTTATAAAATAGATATAATAGCACTTTCTTAAGTCTTTCAATTAAACAGATAATTCACCTGTAAAAGGGCCTTAATTCAGTTTTAGAAATGAGTATTCTTTTTTTTATTAGTCATTGTCTAGGTCAATATATATGTGCATGTAGTTATATTATTGTTTACTGCTGATAAGATATCATTTAAGATCAAAATATATTTCAAGTCCTTTGAGTCACATGACAGGTTTGGGTTCAGTTTATAAATAAATATGAACTCAGAATTGAAATAGTTCAAAACTGAAACTGCATGTATGCACTGATTATCTTTGTACGGTGGGGATATAGAGAAGCAGTGATTTCCACAGGATTTTTTTTAAGTGGGTGCTAATTCTCATTTTCACCATTCAGACCAAAATTGGTCAAAATATGCCAATTTTTCATGATTTTTCTCATTTTCAAGTAGGTGTGGTGGGTGCGAGCATATTTCCAAAGGTGGGTGCTGCACTCACTTGCTAAAATGCTGGGGAGATCACTGAGAAATCTACCGTCCCTCTGTTGGTCCATCCGTTCATCCATCCATCCATTTGTGTTTCCGGTCGATAACTCAAATATTGGTTGACGGAGTTGATTCAAATTTCATAGTTCAAATTTTACATGCTGATGCCTAGGGACAAAGGAGCTCTTCCCAAGAGGAGATTTTCAAGATGGTCACTGATTTTCAAAATGGCTACCACCAGGGGTGTTTGAGTCAATTTGCCAACAATATTTTTGATGTGAAAACTAATGATGTTTTGTTAGAATTTTGAAAAAAAATGTTAATTTCAATTTTTGAAAATAATCACCCAGATACAGAGTGTATAGATTTCCTCTCATGCAAAATGCAATATACATATAGGAAGCCATATAAAAGTTTGGCTCTTCTTAACTATTTTATCATTCTACCAAACAAAGTCCAGTTGGGATATAGTGAAGCCCTTTACTTGTCTGTCCATTTGTCTATCATCCATCCTTCTGTTCGTAGAATGATATGAATACTAATGAACCAACTCGATTGATTAATTAAATCAACATGATTTGAACCTAAGTGAAAAATATGAAAATTAAAAACTTTTTTAATTTTGCTTTTTTCCAGGCACATGTTCAGAAGGTTCACATTGATGGTCTTGGACGTACAAAGAATGATTTTGTTACAGATGAAGTGGATGAACTCTTCAAAGCAGAAAACTTTGAAGATGTGAGTATACGAGTATCTTGTTGCATTGTATGTACCCCTGGAAGGAAAAACGTATTGATTTATGTATTAAAGAATTTAAAATGATGTCATCTCCTTCAAGAATGGGTGTACATACTTACACAAGCAAACCTAATAGGAATTTAACCTTCTCCCAAAATTGCAACAATCAAATCTTAATAACATTTTAAAATAAATTAAATTGCGGTTGGCAATGGCGGATGATGATTATAACATTAATACTTCAGTCATATTTAAATACATATGTGGTACTATCTTTTATGTTTCAGATGATAAAGAAATGTGCAGAGACGAAAATGAAACTGAACAACCTTGGAATCTTCAAGAAGATCAGCATCTTAGTAGACACCAGTAAAGGTATAACGTCATGACAAATATCAAGTTCATCCTCCATCATTATACAAATAAAAATACTTAATATCAGAAATTAATTATTTCTCTGTCTTTATAGCCATTATTTGATTAAATTTTAGGTTAAGATGGTAAGTATAATTCATTCAAGGAAAAATACACTTGCATTCTTTTTTTTCTTTGACATTTTGTTAACATGCAAAGAATATTTATATTTGATACTAGTATGTGAATGTTATAGGGGAAAAAGCCAGGCCTGATGGCTATGAAGTTACATTCAAAGTTGAAGAGATGAGACGTGTTGGAGGAACACTGAACACACATGTTGGCACAAATGATGGTACAGTGGTATGTCAAATATTTCAATCTAGTAAATTTCAATGTTCACAGTCTACCAAGAATTCCTATTTTTGTAAATAAATAAACAGGTAAATACATTATTAGAGTTTTAAGTAGTTCTCCATCTTGAAATTTACACTATCACTACAGTTTATTGCCGTCACTCTGGACCTTTATCCTCGCCTCTAGCCACAGTACCCTTTGAGTTTTATGGATGATTTAATTCCCTATATGCTCAATAGCTCAAGTGTAGCTACTTTACTATTACTGACTTTCAGTCAGTAGGTGCTAAATTACCCAATATATTTGGCCGTGGGGAGAAGTTTGACGCCACCTATACATATGGAACCAAAAACACAGTTGGTTACAACGCCACCTTTAGGAGACCACTCAAGATAAATAAAAAATGGAGGTGAGTCTTTTATTTATTCAAAGTCAATTTAATTATCAGTGTTTCCTTTCAATACCCTTGAGATTATGAAATTTGTTGCTTGCAAAATATAATGAATGGCTTAAAAATATGTGCTTGATGTAATCTGTCTTAATGCTGAATGTTGGTATTTCCATTTTGTACAGCAGTGTATCCAGCAGTATATACAGATATTCTGGTGACTTCCCCTGGAGTGGCTATAGTGAGACAAATACCGGAATAGACCTCAACTTTAATGTAAGATTAGAATTAAGTTATTATATGAACTAAGAGCTATACCATGAAACCATGCAGCTCAGTGGTAAGCAGGTTTTCCTCTGATGCAGTGGTTCTGGGTTCAATTCCCAGTTCAGGCAAGACTTCTTTGCTTGTTGCATTAAGAAATTCATCCTTTTGACTGAGTCCACAGTGTGTACAAATGGCTTTGATGTACTACTATGTATAATTATGAGTGCATGTAAATGAGAAAAAAAACATTGCTCAAAAAAATCAGCTAAATAATTCAATTTCACCAAAATTACAATTAGACATCTATTTATAAATAATGACATTTTCAATCTCAAATGAATACAAGTTAGGTTCATTTTATATCGATTCCTGGATATGTAGTCAATTCACATATTGTTCTTTGAACCAACTTGATAATAATCAAATCCATTGTTTTAAGATTGCCATCAATAGTGTACATGTAATGATAACCCTTTAATGGCAATGTCAACATCATAACATACAACACATTTATGTGCACTCTTTGTTTACAGTTTAAGAGTATATTTGGTGACCATGCCCTCGGCTGGGATGGTGTGTGGAGAGATCTTGGTTGTATCAACAGACAGACAGCTTTCGTAGTACGAGAACAGTGCGGTCACACTCTCAAGTCATCTCTAAAGGTAGGCATTTATACATATTTATATTTGAAACCTTTTGATTGAAGATTGAAGATTTTATCTAACATGTACATGAAGAACAACAATCTTTATGCATCAAGTATTGAAAAGTTTAGTGATTTTTGATTTGAAATAAATCAATAAACCTTTAGTTTGATTTTTGAGGCAATAGAAAGGAGTGAATTTGAAATGAATAAAACAGTCTTCAGTCGTGTAACATTGAATTCATATGCAGCATAATACTTTTATCATAGTGTTATCATATGTTTATAAATTAATGATATTAATACTGTACAAATAGATATTTTATTACAGCACACTGTTGTACAAGACCATAGGGACAATAAGATACTTCCTAACCATGGCTCATATCTCAGAATAACAGAGGTAAGCGTCTTAGGGATCCCTTTCTTAACAATTTTTCAATGTTTTAATATCATCAAAAAATTCTGATACACAAAAAATATTGAAGGAATATCTTTGATTATTTGGTTGATTTCGGTAATAATTGCCCATTTATGAAACAGACTTCTGATTATCTATTTTTCTCTTCACTAAATGTTGCACATCATTACTAAGAAATTATTCAATCTGGTGAATATTCATGAAAAGTTGTGTACATTGGATGGAATGTTTAATAAATGCAGCCATGTAGTAATAAAATTGCTTGTTCTAATGGCATATCCTTCACTTTTGTAGGAGTTTGCTGGTCTAGGGGGAGATGTGCAGTTCCTGAAACATGATATGGAACTCCAGCTCAACAGATCCTTTATACTAGATACTGTAAGTATACTATGTACATTTATGAGTAAGTAGGTACATGTACATGTGCATTACTATGTATGTTATCTACTGTATGATTAAGAAAGTACAGTAATGGAGTAAATTATTAATATCCTTTAATATATGGATTTTACTTTGCATTAAAATTACCTTCCATTAAAGGCAAGGTAAAAACTTAAACCATCCAGTATTTTTCACAACAAATGGCACACCATTATACATGTTTACATCACTTGGATTGTAGAAGAGTTAAACACTGAATGTTTAACTCTTTTTGCATTTGTTGTTATATTCTTCTGTGCATTTAGGTGCTGCAGCTCTGTCTGGCTGGTGGTGTTATGAAAGGTTTACATGGGAAGACCATGTTAAATGACAGGTTCTATGTTGGAGGACCATTAACCTTGAGGGGCTTTAATCTCAGAGGTGCAGGACCAAATAGTGATGGTAAGATTTGAAATTTAGCCTATATAAAAAGTCTTGATAGTTAGACGTTATGTAACTATGTTTCATGTCAAAGGTACATAACTAATGTATACCTTTATTTCCTACTTTATACCAATGATATTAACTTTATATCACACACCTGTGTGTCAGGTGAATTTAATAGAAATGAAATATGAAGTTATAAAGTTACCATGGTAATAAATGAAAGTGAGCTACTAACAGTGGGTAGCTGGGCTACATGGGCCTGTATATTTTTAGAGGGTAGAATTTTAGTACTGGTCATCAGGTAAAAAAAGATGTAAAAATTGATTTGTAATTCCAATTTGTAATTGTAATTTTTTCCAGGCAACTCCCTCGGAGCAGAGACGTATCTATGTGGAGGTCTTCACATGTATACTCCCCTTCCTTTTAGGCCAGGAAAGGGAGGCTTTGGGGAATTGTTTAGGACACACTTTTTCGTAAATGCTGGCAATGCAGTCAATGTAGATTTCAGTAAGTTCTTTAACAAACAATTAAATATAACACTCAGAATTGATTGGTTTACAGCAACTCTGGCAAGTTTATCCAACATATTAAGTAGGAGTATGTTACACACGTTTTACGACAATTTATAATATTTGTGTTATTCAGAAGTAAATATACCTTTAGCTTCTTCGTTTCATGTACATGTAAGACTACATAGTTGATTAAGTGGGGTTCTTTGCATTTCTGTGTCTTGTCTTAAATGAAATCTATCAGTGGATTTAATTCACCAAAAATGTTTTAATATTGAAAGTTTATCACATTTAGAGGTTCTAATTGCATAATGGGTGTTCAGATTGCTGGTTGACCTGACATTAGAACTTGCTTTCTGAATTTTGACCTTTATATTTGGAATTCTGATTAAACATATTCACTGGATGAACTTACTCTTTACGAGTTTTCTGTTTTCTCGATCTTCTTATAAGTCAAGTTGCAGATTATAATTTGGCACAAAGCTAGAAAATATAGTCTAGTTTCAGTAAGTTTCTTCAATTTGGAATTTGTTTTGTAAATGAAGTTGCAATTCATATATTTAGCCCCTCGCTTTTGTTACATTGACAAAAATCCGTTAGATTACCAATGTATGTTACTTTGACGACTTACGTCAATGTAACAAAAGTAATAAATGCATGAATTCTAGCTCTATTTAAAAATCAAATTCCAAACCGAGGGCATTTCTAAAAGCTAGACTATATCGTCTAACTCAGTGCCAAATGATAATCCGCAACTTGACTTCTACGTTAGTTTAAATCGAGAAAACAAAAAACTTGTATCCAGGAAGTTCCTCCATTTTTATGTCCCCACCACATAGTGTGGGGCCATATTGTCGGCCTAGGCGCGTCCGTCCGTCTGTCTGTCCGTCTGTCTGTCTGTCCATCTGTCCGTACGTCCGGCAGTTTTCTCCAAAACCGCTACAGATATCACCTTCAAATTTTCAGGTATAACTTATGAGTGCATACAGATGTGGATGAAGAAAAATTAACTCGATACCAACTTCCTGTCGGCCATTTTGAAGTCAAATGCTAAAATCCTTGTCTGCAAACTTTAAGAAAAACGGCTTCACAGTTGCTTTTAAAACTTTAACATCTTGTTCAGCTCACTTCATTCTAGATCTGATTAGGTTTTGGACCTGTAAGCTCAGTCATGTCAGCCATTTTGAATGTTTTAAGAAAAGTTAGCGCATGATAATACTAGTTTGTATCATATTGAATGGTGTTATTCAGTTTTCATACTGAAACTATTTAGTAGCTTTATAAATAATTTCAGGTGTATTTTGTTGTAAAAGCCTATGTTATTGTTAACAGTAGTTATATGTGATAATTTTGTTGAAAGAAATTAGCAAAAACTCATAATCACTTTTTTATTGTCGGCCATTTTGGATTTTTCGGTCCTAAAATCTCATGTTTAAAGTCTTGTCTACACGTTTTCAGGTGAACCGTTTGGTGGATCAATTTCAAATTTTCAGGGATGATTCTGTTTAAAGTCTTGTCTACACGTTTTCAGGTGAACCGTTTGGTGGATCAATTTCAAATTTTCAGGGATGATTCTTAGTATGAACATCTAGATCTGATTAGTTTTTGGGCATTCTGGGTAAATGTCAAGGCAGCCATTTTGGATTTTCCGTCCTAAAATCTTGTCAGTAAAGTCTTGTCTACGCATTTTCAGGTGAACCATTTGGTAGATCAATTTCAAATTTTCAGGGATGATTCCCAGTATGAAATACTAGATCTGATTAGTTTTTGGGCATTCTAGGTAAATGTCATGGTAGCCATTTTGGATTTTCCGTCCTCAAATCTTGTCTGTAAAGTCTTGTCTACGCGTTTTTAGGTGAACCGTTTGGTAGATCAATTTCAAGTTTTCAGGGATGATTCTTAGTATGATTCTAGAACTGATTAGTTTTTGGGCATTCTGGGTAAATGTCAAGGCAGCCATTTTGGATTTTCTGTCCTAAATCTCGTCTGTAAAGTATTGTCTACACATTTCCAGGTGAACTGTTTGGTAGATCAATTTCAAATTTTCAGGGATGATTCTTAGTATGAAAATCTAGATCTCATTAGTTTTTATGCATTCAGGATAAATGTCAAGGCAGCCATTTTGGATTTTCCGTCTTAAAATCTTGCCCGTAAAGTCTTGTCTACGCGTTTTTAGGTGAACCTTTAGGTAGATCAATTTCAAATTTTCAGGGATGATTCTTAGTATGAAAATCTAGATCTGATTAGTTTTTGGGCATTCTGGGTAAATGTCAAGGCAGCCATTTTGGATTTTCTGTCCTAAAATCTTGTTTGTAAAGTTTTGTCTACGCATTTCCAGGTGAACCGTTTGGTAGATCAATTTCAAATTTTCAGGGATGATTCTTAGTATAAAAATATAGAACAGATTAGTTTTTTGGCATTCTGGATAAATGTCAAGGCAGCCATTTTGGATTTTCGGTCCTCAAATCTTGTCTGTAAAGTCTTGTTTACATGTTTTCTGGTTAACTGTGTGACGGATCAATTTCAAATTTTCAGGGGTGCCTCTTAGTATGAAAATCTAGAACTGACTAATTTTTGGGCATTCTGGGTAAATTTTAAGGTGGCCATATTGGATTTTCCCTCCTCAAATTGTGTCGTTAAAGTCTTGTCTACTCATTTTTAGGATAATGTTTGATGGGATCACCCATAGGTGGGGACATTTTGTACACATTTGTGTTCTTGTGTTATATTGACGTTCCGTCAAAGTTACTAGTTGTGGAACAGTGATATTGTCAGTGATAGGCTATTAAAAACACATGAAATTATTTATGACAATTTTATCATGTAAAGAGCAAGTATTGATTTTGTTCATTATGTGAAGTTTTCATTCGTCCCAAAGGTAGACTTAGACAGTTCAACTATAATTCTGTTTGAATTCTTTTCCATGCCTGCCCTAAATACAAAGTGCTCATTTTAGTTAAGTGGTTACATGCACATCAGCTTATAAACACACATAGGTTTTATTGTATTTACACTCCTATTTTCACTGAACTGCACATGTAATATATTTTTACTTTTCACATTAAGATACAACAGCAATAGAGAACCTACAACAGTTGGTTGACACAGTGAGGTTGACATATGGTATGGGGGTAGTCAAGTATTTGAATGCATTATATTCTTCTTTTCATATTAAGATACAACAGCAATAGAGAACTTACAACAGTTGGTTGACACAGTGAGGTTGACATATGGTATGGGGGTAGTCAAGTATTTGAATGCATTATATTCTTCTTTTCATATTAAGATACAACAGCAATAGAGAACTTACAACAGTTGGTTGACACAGTGAGGTTGACATATGGTATGGGGGTAGTCAAGTATTTGAATGCATTATATTCTTCTTTTCATATTAAGATACAACAGCAATAGAGAACTTACAACAGTTGGTTGACACAGTGAGGTTGACATATGGTATGGGGGTAGTACTCAACCTAGGAGGTGTAGCCAGACTGGAGTTGAACTATTGTATACCAGTCAAGTCTCAACCAGGAGATAGGTAAGGCATGAGTAACCATGGTACAGACAAAAGTCTGCATTATATTTATGAACATGAATGGTCAGTGGCCAGTCCAGCAATTGATAAGGGGGCCCAAATTTTGAGTCTGGAAAAAAATGCCTGCGCTTTATACTTAAAGGAGGATATTTATAATATGAGTACATTCAAACAACTGCTATGCATGCTATATGTGGCTTGTCTATGAACCCCAAGTTCTGATATGTCTCACCAAAGTAATGATATAGTGATATAGAACACATCAAGCCGAGTTTATTTTGGTGCAAATTTTTTTTTTGATCGAAAACTATCACTTTAACTTGATTAACTTACTGTAGGTGGCAATGTTTCTACAACTTCGTTTTGGTTTTGGCATTTTCTTGGAATAATTGACTGTCACCAGGTGGAATTATTAAAAGGTTGTCAAAAGCCCTCTATCGAATACAAAATTAGTTAAAACCAGGTCCATTTCACACTGAACAAAAAACTTTTAGCTGAGTATGGAATTTATGCTCTCGCAGTCGATCAATATCGTCAATATCGAGATGAATTATTTTTCATTCTCTTATTTTGCCAAAAGTAAGTTGGGGTCATAGTCATTCTTCCATTCTTCAAGGCAGGTTTGAGGCACCAACGATTTATTTTGAAGTTTTTCAAAGAAATTATCCATGATTTCTCTCTTTTCTCTCTTTAATCATATGTCTAATGTTGGTCAAATTTTTGTTTCAGTGTCAACCCAGGTGTGCAATTTGGAATTGGTGTTTCATATCTATGATGGACATTACATATAGACAATATGTAGGAAATATGGAAATATAGATAATATAAAGAATCACAGAATATCTAGGGAATCACAGAATATCTAGAAAATCGCTAGTCAATATTTAGGGAATTGCTGCTGACTAGAAAATGATGTGTTAACATTAGTTGTGCCAAGCCTTAGTACTAAACTGACTATTGATATAGCAGCTATTAAAATGCCATTCCTTCGAATCAAGTCTTAATGAAACTTATTAAATTAAAAAAACGCATTTATGCTCCTTGAATTTGAAGTCAGTTATTGCCAAATTTTACATTTGTATTGAATCGTGTCTGGAAGATTCACTGCCAAAAAAGGCACATACATGTATTGTGTTTGAAAATGACACTCCATGTCGGAAAATGTGATAGGCATAATATGCCATGTCATTCAAAGAAGTTCTGCTAGAAATTGCTGCGACACAATTTCTTAGTGATTTACAAGTGGTGTTATTATGAAGCAGTATATTATAGAATGGAGTGTGCCTTGATTGTGAATTGGAACAGTTTAGAATGAAATAAACAGTACATGCACTTGTATTTTATTGAATCATTTTATAAAATTGTGTTATGCTTGTATTCTTTTCTCATTTTTTATGGAATCAGTACAGTTTTATTTTGTGATCAGTATCAACAGTTGCTCAGTATCAACAGTTGCCTGTCAGTGGTCTGTGTCAATTGTATCAACCCAAAATCAGTCCTGACTATCATCCTGACTTATAATTATAACACAAATTGAAAATCCAGTTGTGCCAACATTGGGAGATGGAATCCAACTTAAATACAGTCAATGAAATGAATCTTTTATATTCACTGGTGGAGTCATCTTAATTGCTTTAGTCATTATGTTTCTCACTTGATATATTGCCTTGTGATATACATATACTCAAACCCTACAAACATTACATAACAAAACATTTCAGTAATTACTCTAATAATGATTGGAAGAAAAATGTTCACTTTTGAATGGTTTTGTAATAGAGCATGTCTTGGTGGTAAACATTATTTCATAGTCATTGATGCAATAGCCTAACTATTTAACACTCCTAACAAATAATATTCTACCATCATAATTGAAAAAGTTATTCCTAAATTAGGGGGACATCTTTTGTCACCACTATAAGTAAACATGTAAATGACTTTTTTGGTTATCATTTTGTAATTGAATGTATGATATGAAGTATCAACTTATAAACCAATATACTTGTACTAGGATAATAACTCCATGTTTAAGAGCGTGACACTGAATTTACTACAAAGTAAAATGAAAGTCTTCCTACAAATTATTAAAATGAGACAGAATAAGTTGACGCCAAAAATGTGATATATTAGAAAAATTCCTTCCAGTGGTTCAACTCAGTGCCTTTTTTGATAAAGTGCAAAAATCTAGACCTATATAGGTCTGACTGTATGGAGCCAAAAGATCAGCTTACAATTTGATTATTTTGATACTTGTTGTCAATTTTATCTCTCCTTATCTTACATTCTTCAGCTGTACTTATTTTGTGCCCGTTTTTGACATGCAATATTGCACCTCACTCAATTCTCTTGAGATTTTGACTACACGAACAATACCTTAGGGGCATACCATTAGATCTTGAGAACCTATCTGAGTATTTTGGGAGTCCAAATATGAATGAAAGGAAATAATATTTGGAGCTATATTAGATTTGACAAAACTAACATCCAATGGAAGAATTTTGGGTTCAGAAGCTTTTGAGAATCATTTGTTGTTGATGTAGTATAAAGATTTAAGCCCCCATCCTAAGGTCTATTGACACTCCCCTTACATACTGATAATTAATTGTGTGTAATATAAAGGCATGTAGCATCCTTGGGACTGAATACCATTTATTTAGTCATAAGCAAGGAATCAACATGGTAAGTCATTTTCTTAGCTTTTGCAATGCATTTCCAGAATTTGAGAACAAAATGTTATCTCTTAAAGGAAAATCTTGGCAAGATTTTATCAATAGAAAATTCTACAATGCATGCTTATTACTTGTCTACATAGAATAGAATCAAACGATAGAAAGAACCAGTACCCATAAATCATATAAATGATTTAAAACCAATGCTGTTATTTAGAAGCTGCTGTATATGTTACTCCTTGTGGTTGGGTGCCATGGCCAGTATGTACCCCCAGATCCAACCTTCACCCTCCTTAACCCTGGGGTCAGGATGTCTATTCCAGGTAGGCACAATTGCCAAATGATTAGAAACTGGACATAAAAGCAAACCACGAAAATCTAAGCTAGTCTGACAATGTCAAGATTTTTAACACCTCAAAATAGGTTTCAAGTTGTTACATTGAAACACAAAGGCAAAGAAAAAAATCATTTAACATTTTTCTAAACAGAGCAAGCCACAAGAGTTCAAAGCAAATGTGTCAATGCCAAATATTTAAAGCAGGGTAAAGCTTAATTTACTTATTGTCATATTCAATCCCAAAAACTCCTATAACTGATATAACACATCAACAGAATAATTTAGCTGAGATACAGTACATGAAAAATGACAATTAGATATATCTTCATTGTATTGTAGATGAGTCTGGTATATCTATGGTAGCCTATCACTATAACATCAACAGACCTTTACCAGGAGTAGCTGCTGGAGACTATAATGTTGATGTCAACGCTCCCGATGGTAAGTTCAACTTCCAATCAATTTTCATTGAAGATAAATTACGTTTTATAATTTTTAATCATGCCTCTTTACTTTATGTAAGATACACAACAAACGAAATGAATTTGAAAATTTGAAAAAATGTTTTTAGAATGTGATTTTGAAAATTTGTTTGAGGATAATGTCATAATGTGTATTTCTAGATTTTTACTATAAAGACATAATCAAAGGGTCAATAGGTCATGTTCAAAAAATCATCCTAAGTTTAAATACATTTCATAGTTGTTTTTAGACTTATGGCTATTAAGAAGGTGTTTTATTCATTATATGATCATGCCTATGGTATTTCAGTTTTCATTGGTTCACTGTGTTCTACCTTTTGTCACACAAAACACAGTTGAAGTAGATATTGTCCGAGATAATAAGGTCATTTTTTATATCTATAAAGTGCTATTCTTACTCTTGACATTTATCTGAAGGCATTTTTAAGTGTCATCATTCTTGTTTAAAAGTAGGTATTGTTCTAATAAGGGGTTAAAAAAACAGGTAATGTTAACCATGCAATGTCCATAGCACAATCAATATAACTTCTCATGATGCAATATGGTGACGAGTTTCTAAGCATTTCGCATTGGTCAATTGTGATGATGCATATCCCTCTTCTCTTCCTAAAAAGTGAAACCCTATAAATGAAAGCATTGCCTTTTAGGAGTTTGATTTGTAATATATACATATGTAATGTACAGTACATGTATATGTATATTTTTCAGCGAATGGGGAATGGGCACATGAGAACAGGGAGGTGACAGTTAATGTTGGTGATACAATATTCTACTGGTATCTAGTTATCAAAAATGGAGAGGGAGTCCAAAAAACTGAGCAAGCATACACCTTTCCAGGTATGTACTGTTTTCTTCTTGAAGAGAAGTACTGCACATGTACACAAATTAAGTGTCAGCAGTCTAAGGGCGAGATATCTCCATCTCCTCTATTTCCCCGTTGTAAAATAGTTCTTGTGGACAAGATTGCCATTGTGAGAACAGTCAGGGAATTTCACTGTAATGGAAGGACTCTAACTAGGGTGTTGCCATGGAATTTGAAGTGAATGAAATTGAGAAAAAGACATATTAAAGGAACATTCCTGGCCAGACCATTTCTCTCCTAATATGGTAGCTATAACCATATATATACTTTCCATATTTAGCAAAACAGGGAAAAATGTTTTAATATAGTCAATATTGATCACTTGAAAAGGTAGTGCTGAATTCCAGTAGGCTGCCATCTTTTAGTATTTCACTCAGGAAGTGATGTCATCGACTCTCAACTTTGGATATAACATTATAAGGAGCTATTAAGAATTACAAAAACCAGCTGTGCATTCTTTTTCAATTTTGTCTATGATTTAATCCTTCTATAAGTCTCTTCTATTATTCTAAGCTGACAAACTCTGAAAATATTTTTGCACATTAAGTAAGAACCACTTGTCTAGAAGTGATTTTGTGCTACTTCCCTATACTGTTATATGCAAGGTCATGGGAGTTGAGAGTCGATGACATCACTTCCTGAGTAAAATCTTAAAAGATGGCAGCTTACTGGAAATGAGCACTACATTTTTAAATTACCAATATTGACTATACAAAAACATTTCCTGGTGTTTTGCTAAATATGGAAAGTATATATATGATTATAGCTATCACATCAGGAGAGTAAAGGTTTGGCCAGGAATGTTCCTTTAAGCCTGTCAATAAGTGACAACAGGTGCAAAAATGCTCCATGCTGCTGAGAGAAATGACAGATTGGTATTCATGTGTATATCTGTGAGATGAATAATAACAAGTATTTGTCTAATGATAAAAAACACAATGGGCAACAATGGGATAACAAAACAACACCTGATAAACAATATCAAGTCATGAAAGCAATCCACTGACACAGATCTGTTATTTCAATATTAAGATATTTTGGAATGAGATTTTTTAAAAGTTGGACTGTAAAGTAGGTGTTTACATCGACTGGTTTCACGATGTGAATTGCTATTGTAGCACCCACAACAACGACCACGACAACTACTACAACAACTGTTGCACCTACCACTCCACCATCGTTACTCTGTGATGTACATCCTGATCTACGGGCTGATTGTGGTACCCCTGGTGTCACTGCCCAACAGTGCTTGGATGCTGGGTGTTGCTATGACAACACAATCGCCAACACAAAATGGTGTTTCGAAGCAGAGCGTAAGATAGCATTGTATCAATGCAAGAAAAATGTTTTCAAAACGATTCATTTAGAATGGCAAAAGTGGCCATAAAGATTATTTGATGTATGTTATATGGCTTGGTCACTAGAGTTTTAAATGTAGGAATGGTCTTGTGATATGATTTTATGTTAAAAGCTTACTTTTTATTATGACCTCAACTAACAATGCATGTAGTTATAGTTGTCAGTCAATTTCAATAACATATGATATTTGAGCCTATATAGAATTTTGTTGGCTTTTTATAAAAAACTTCCTACCTCATACCCACCTACCCACGTACGTGGGACATGATACAGTCTTTGAAGGGTTCAATTTTAAAGATCTTAGTTTATTAAATCTTAGTTTATGATGAATTTGTAACGACCCTTGATAGCAAGTTGCTACTACATCCCAGCTGGGTTCGATTCCCACTCGGGGCATCAAATTTAGCACACTTCAATTTCTTTATCAGGCTTGTTGGATCTGTGCTCGCAGTCGTTAGTTATTTATTCCCCTGGGGCGCCCTTGGGTCATTACACATTAAAATGCATCCATATGCCTTTATTTATGGATCTGTCATCTGTCTAATCATAAAATAAAGCTGGAATTGTAGAAATGTTAATAATTTGAGCTATTTTGATATTTAATAACCTTTAAAGTTGAACCCTTCAATGACTGTATCATGTCCCACATAGGTGGGTAGGTGGGTATGAGGTAGGAGGTTTTTTATTCAAAGCCATTTTTGTTTATGTATTTGAGTGTCATTTTAAGTTCATCGTCTCTACGTCTACTGATTTAATCTATGCCAAGTATTGTGGGGAGGAAAACACTTTATTTTTCAGGATGAAAAGTACAATTTTACTCAATTTCAGGTAACAACCCTATTATTTGACATTCTAGCTGGTAATCTTTTGTGTTACTTGCTAGCTAATTTAACCATGAGGATGCCATTTGTTTGATTTCAGTTCCAACTGAACCCCCTACTACTACTACAACAACTACAACAACAACAGCGCCCCCTCCCACTGACCCACCGACACCAGGCCCCACCCTACCACCAGGAGAGACAAACCCCCCAGGCACTGAGGGGCCTGAAGTCACCCCAGGTTTGTGTTTGTTTCTTTTTAATAATTACTTCATTATTTTATCTATGCAATATGTTAAAACCTGATGGAATGAACATCTCCAGAAGAAATTTGCTCATGTTCAATCAGTGCACTTATTTTATTTGACAGAGATTTCTGAACCCTCAAGAGTCACATTAACTTTATAATTCGATCATGTCCATGGGTGGTATCTTTGTCAAAATCATTTAATGACTATGAATCATGAAAGATAAGTTGTGTAACAGTTTTGCAATTATAACAATTCTACCAGCAGTTACACATTGATAATCATTGAATTGTGATCTACAAAATTGTAAATGAGAAAAAGTTCCTTGAAGAACATATTCCATCTAAGATTGTTAGTTACATAGTATATCAACTTTATTTTCTAGACCCAGGAGTGGAGTGTGGAGAGTGTGTAGGAGGAATAGGAAGTGGTATCGGCGGAGGGTATGGGGGCACCTACTTCCCCTGTGAGTCCTACCCCTGTTTGATCTTTGAGGACAATTTTGACAATCTGGATTTCAACAAGTGGGAGCATGAGATCACTGCTGGTGGTGGAGGGGTATGTTGAACGTTTGTAGACTTTTGAAGTACTTGGATTTGAAATTCAAAAAAAAGGTTAAATAACAGCTCATTAGGCTACATTAGCTCCATTTACTGCATCTCATTTTATAAGGTATCACTTATTAATCCACCTCATAGAATGTATAAGAAAATCAGGGATTACCAGTGACCCCCACCCCATGTTTGTCATGCAAGAAAGCCAATTGCATCCTATTAACAATGAATTGATGAGTGTACAAAATGTCAAAATATTTCTCCCATCATTGATTTGCAACAATAATTGATTCTTATTATAATTCTTACAATTATACTTGTGCAAATATTTCAGAATTGGGAGTTCCAGTATTACCTAAACAACAGATCCAACAGTTATGTAAGGGACGGCAACCTTTACCTCAAACCTGTGAGTAATTGATACAGATGGTACATTTAATTAGGCTATTGTTCAATGTGGTGCAATTGCTGCTCTGTCAAGAACCATGTCACAAAATCAAAATGTGTATGAATAATGAAAATGAAATATTTTAGTTCTGAGACATAAAAAGTTTTGTCCAGTAAACCAGTCTTGAGAGCCCTGTGTACATGGGATATGGCAACTGTAATCAAGGGATATGAACAATACCACTGTCTTGAAACTATAGAAATTAAAATGGTTCAAATTCAATGTGTAATTACTTTATGTTCACATTCCTTAATTTCCTCAAAACTGCACTTGCCAATGGTTAGCAACTTTTTCATGGGTGTTGTTCAGCAGTTGATGTTTGGAATTCGGTACTTGATGTTCAGTGTTCAGCAGTTGGTGTTTGGTGGTTGTCTTGTTTTAATATTGTATTACCTTGGAAATCTGATGTAACAAAGTTTTGTTGATTTTTTTGCAGACTCTGACGAGTGATCGCTATGGAGAGGCATTTCTCACAAGTGGCAGTCTTGATATATGGGGTAAGGTCAGAGTTCATTATATGTCTTAAAGGAGCATACTTTTTGTCACACTCGCTTTGAACTAAATCAGTTAATTGAAACTCAAACAGAAAACATTGAAAGTTCTGTATTAGCATGCAGGGAATAATACTATTGTATTTCTGTAAAACTCTGATTTTTACTGATTTTTAGAATGACCAGATTCAGCATCATGTGTTAAATATCACCACACATTTTCTGAAAATAAAATGGACTTGATTTTACAGATCTCTTCATATCTATAAATGAGATATAAAAAGTTGAAAAAAACATTAATCGAATGCTTCCTGTAGAGTTTATACTAACATACTCTATATATATCATTTACTTTTCATTATTTCATTTAATGGCTTTATATGTTCCTCACTCAGGTACTCATCCTGCTAGTCAGTGCACTGGTGAGGCATTCTGGGGGTGCAGACGCCAGGGATCAGGTAGCAACCCAATTAACCCCTGTCAATCTGCGAGAATCAGAACTGTGCGTAGCTTCATCTTGAAGTATGGCAGGATTGAGATTGAAGCAAAGATGCCGAAAGGAGACTGGATCTGGCCAGGTAAGTAATGGGCACATCTCATACTTAAGTGCTGTGTACTCTTCTACATCCCATCTTATACTAGAGTACATTACACCAAAAGCCAATGATATCAGTAGAATTACTGACAAAAGAATGAAGAAGAAAAGCAAAATTATTAGAAATTTTTGATTTTTACCTCCAAAAAGTCTGCAAAGTTTGATTCTCAAAAACAGTAGAAAATTGCCAATTGCCTTCTGCTTTATCATGAAACCTTTATAATCGCAAGAAGCTTGAAATTGACATCCCTTCCTTGGATATACAATACTTTGGTGTTATAGTTTTTGGGATATTGCATTTCTGTATACACATTTATCACAAGTACAAGTTCACTAGAAACAAGTAGAGACAATTCAAAGCATTTGTTCATCCAGGAGCCTGTATAATTGAGTTTAAACTTGTTATTTGACGATCTGTTCCAGCAATCTGGCTGCTTCCTGCTAGAGAGGAGTATGGAATATGGCCTGCATCAGGGGAGGTTGATATGGTAGAGGCAAGAGGTTTGTTTGATTGATTGTTTGCTTGATTGTTTGTTTGATTGTTGCCAATATAGAGCTGCATTAACAGAATAAACTGAAGTAAAAACAAATGAAATGCATCAAATTAACCTTTTTGATTCAATACATTAAAATTAAGACTTAAGATACCTTTAGTCAAGATATTGAAATGTGCAAGGCAAATTCATGCCAGATTACACCCCTGGTGAATTATGGATTTTTCTTGATCTGCTTAAAGTTAAAAATAAAAATTAAACATTGAAATGGGGTTTGACAAAAACACCTAACTGAAAAATTTATTTCAGGTAATGAGAATTTGAACCATAATGGTGAACAAATAGGAGTGAATCAAATGGGATCTACCATGCATTGGGGACCATACTGGCCTGTCAATGGATATGAAAAAACCCATGCCAGGAGGTATAAACAGCTACATAATCTGAGATTCCCTGCATATTGAAATATTTTCAATTATTTATCCATTACATTTCTGCAGTGGAAGTTGATGCTAGCTAACCCAAAGTTATGCTAATAAACAAAATGTAATTATTATTCAAATGTATGAATTATATTGCAGGAATCTGCCAACTGGTGACTTCAACTCTGACTTCCACAAATATGCGATTGAGTGGGATGAGAATGAAATCAAGTAAGTTAATTAAGTGGGATGAGAATGAAATCAAGTAAGTTCATTGAGTGGGATGAGAATGAAATCAAGTAAGTTAATTAAGTGGGATGAGAATGAAATCAAGTAAGTTCATTAAGTGGGATGAGAATGAAATCAAGTAAGTTCATTGAGTGGGATGAGAATAAAATCAAGTAATTTCATTGAGTGGAATGAGAATGAAATCAAGTAATTTCTTTGAGTGGGATGAGAATGAAATCAAGTAAGTTCATTGAGTGGGATGAGAATGAAATCAAGTAAGTTCATTGAGTGGGATAAGAATGAAATCAAGTAATTTCATTGAGTGGGATGAGAATGAAATCAAGTAAGTTCATTGAGTGGGATGAGAATAAAATCAAGTAATTTCATTGAGTGGGATGAGAATGAAATCAAGTAATTTCATTGAGTGGGATGAGAATGAAATCAAGTCAGTTCATTAAGTGGGATGAGAATGAAATCAAGTAAGTTCATTGAGTGCGATGAGAATGAAATCGAGTAATTTCATTGAGTGGGATGAGAATGAAATCAAGTAAGTTCATTGATTGGGATGAGAATGAAATCAAGTAAGTTAATTGAGTGGGATGAGAATGAAATCAAGTAAGTTCATTGAGTGGGATGAGAATGAAATCAAGTAAGTTCATTGAGTGGGATGAGAATGAAATCAAGTAAGTTCATTGAGTGGGATGAGAATGAAATCAAGTAAGTTCATTGAGTGGGATGAGAATGAAATCAAGTAAGTTCATTGAGTGAGATGAGAATAAAATCAAGTAATTTCATTGAGTGGGATGAGAATGAAATCAAGTAAGTTCATTGAGTGGGATGAGAATGAAATTAAGTAAGTTCATTGAGTGGGATGAGAATGAAATCAAGTTAGTTCATTGAGTGGGATGTGCATGAAATCAAGTAAGTTCATTAAGTGGGATGAGAATGAAATCAAGTAAGTTCATTGAGTGAGATGAGAATAAAATCAAGTAATTTCATTGAGTGGGATGAGAATGAAATCAAGTAAGTTCATTGAGTGGGATGAGAATGAAATCAAGTAAGTTCATAGAGTGGGATGAGAATGAAATCAAGTAAGTTCATTGAGTGGGATGAGAATGGAATTAAGTAAATTCATTGAGTGGGATGAGAATGAAATCAAGTTAGTTCATTGAGTGGGATGAGAATGAAATCAAGTAAGTTCATTGAGTGGGATGAGAATGAAATTAAGTAAGTTCATTGAGTGGGATGAGAATGATATCAAGTTAGTTCATTGAGTGGGATGTGAATGAAATCAAGTAAGTTCATTGAGTGGGATGAGAATGAAATCAAGTAAGTTCATTGAGTGGGATGAGAATGAAATCAAGTAAGTTCATTGAGTGGGATGAGAATGAAATCGAGTAAGTTCATTGATTGGGATGTGAATGAAATCAAGTAAGTTCATTGAGTGGGATGAGAATGAAATCAAGTAAGTTCATTGAGTGGGATGAGAATGAAATCAAGTAAGTTCATTGATTGGGATGTGAATGAAATCAAGTAAGTTCATTGAGTGGGATGAGAATGAAATCGAGTAAGTTCATTGATTGGGATGTGAATGAAATCAAGTAAGTTCATTGAGTGGGATGAGAATGAAATCAAGTAAGTTCATTGATTGGGATGTGAATGAAATCAAGTAAGTTCATTGAGTGGGATGAGAATGAAATCAAGTAAGTTCATTGATTGGGATGTGAATGAAATCAAGTAAGTTCATTGAGTGGGATGAGAATGAAATCAAGTAAGTTCATTGATTGGGATGTGAATGAAATCAAGTAAGTTCATTGAGTGGGATGAGAATGAAATCAAGTAAGTTCATTGATTGGGATGTGAATGAAATCAAGTAAGTTCATTGAGTGGGATGAGAATGAAATCAAGTAAGTTCATTGATTGGGATGTGAATGAAATCAAGTAAGTTCATTGAGTGGGATGAGAATGAAATCAAGTAAGTTCATTGATTGGGATGTGAATGAAATCAAGTGAGTTCATGGAGCATTTTTAGAAGTTTATTACATATTTTGCTCTATTTGACTTGAGAGTGTAATAGAATATTTCTCTGATTAGATATGAAATATGCATGATCTCATTAATAATCTATTTACTTGAATAACAATCTGTTCAAAGTTTCCACACTTAACAGCTAATTAAATTGATATTCACTCAGATTCTTTCTAGGCTAGTTGATTTTCAGATGGTAATCAGTTTATACTTTTCCATGCATGTTCTTCCTGGATGATTTTCAAACATATTTTTCCACACAGATTTTTCCTGGATGATGAAGAAATACTACATGTCGATCCTGGACCAGATGGATTCTGGAAATATGGAGAATTTGATGAAAGGGTACCAGGATCTGAGAGCCCCTGGAAGAATGCTGCCAGTAAAATGGCACCTTTTGACAAAGAGGTATTCACTAAATGAAATTGAGAACTTAAATTCCAGTAGAATTTAAAAAGTACCAAGAGGGAAGCCTTTTCAGAAAAAGTTGTTGACACTCTAGTCTTCTGATTAAAAACTCTTTTAATATAACATGACTAATGCACTATTCATATACAGTGTAACAGTAAAACCTGTCTAATCCAAACACCATTTGAACTGGCTAAAAGCATTCGGATTAGGTGTTCACATTTCGAGGTTCTTGCATTCGGTAGATTATGGATTTTGAAGAAATGTGAACACATTCTCAATGAATATTTATAGTTCATTTGACCATTTAATTTATGGCATTCTAAAAATATGAAAATATGATTTACATGAATTTATTAGTCATGTTAGAATGACACATCATAATTGAGACCATTCAATGTTCACTGTTCAAATTGAGGGGCGTTCACATTTTTAGATTTTTTGAACATGGAAGTCAATGGCAGGAAAAGACGGAACGAAAAAGTGTTCAGATAAGCCGGGTGCGTGGATATACAGGTTTTACTGTGGATGATTTTCACTTTAAAATAATTTACCACCAATCTACATGTAATTACATTCCAGTTCTACTTGATCATGAATGTGGCTGTGGGTGGGACCAATGGGTTCTTCCCCGATGATGCCTCGCCAGCTAAACCATGGAATAACGAGTCTCCAACTGCATTCTTAGATTTCTGGAATGCCAGAGGTCAGTGGTATCCTACATGGAAGCCTGATGAGAACAATGGGGAGAGTGCAGCTATGGTGGTGAACTATGTGAGAGCATGGAAGATGAAACCATCAGAAAATGCAATGGATTAAACAGTGGAATCATACATATTTATCTAAGACACTTTGATATAGTGACTGTGTTCTTAAAAGTTTCAAATCCTATTTTTGGTCTCCCATTAATGTTCAACAAAGTGGAGTTGGGAGTTTGTATGGAATAGCAGGACAAGTTGCAAGATAGAGAACTTAGTAATATTTGGATTATAATATGGACATTATAACACAAATGTCATCTCACGTCAGAAAATAATCAAAGATTTCACTATAGTTTTTGCACTTTATATATTTTTACAATCTTATATCTATTTTAACAGTCGAATGTACAATCCTTCTTTTTTATTGCAATACAATGTACAGTAGCTCTATTTACAAGATTCAAAGGTTTTTTACTAATATCCTGGATACATTTTCTGGATTCCAATTTCTTAATTACTGACATCAAATTTGTCCATAAGTACTTCCTAGAAATTCCTTATAACATAAAAATAATTTCTTGTTAGGTCTAACTCAGATTTCTTCTCATATGAAACTTAAATGAGTAGATGAAAGTTTATTGAAAATAATATGACATTGTATACAAATGTAATATGAATATTTTATATTCAGTATTATAAAATAGAGCCTATTTGTCAACAAATATAGACATTTTATGTTCATTTTGAATATATACAAATAAATGTACACTTTAATATGATAGTAAATACCACCTCTCAATTATAAATGACTTAGGTATAATATATGCCTATTACATGTATTACAACAAACTTATTTATACAGGGTGGCCCAAAAGAAATGCCACCCACTAATTTTGGAATAACTCTTTCAATAATTAAGGAATCTTCATGATTTTTTATGTGAAGATAGAGTGTTCAATGGAGAAATGATTGTTATCCTTGCATAGCATCAACAACTTGCAAATTAAGAGATATCCCATTTTCCGTGGAGGCATGCTCCGATGCAAAATCAATCCAAATTGTAAATTAAAAAATCCGTCTTTCTTAAAATTAACCTAATAAGCTAGTCAGTTCATCAGACAACATTATGTAACCCTTTCATGACGAAAGGCCTTTTTATGTAATGCCTTTCAGGACAATAGGCTCCTTTTGGCACCATTATTTTTACTTATATACTTCAATGAAATGACAATATCTCCACTCTCCAGTTCAATTCAGTATTTTTACACCTTTTGACAAGTTGTTCTAATCTGATAACTCTTACTAGAAATTGTATTTCAGTGATAAAATTCAACGTATAAGCCCCTAAAAACAATTTTACTTATCCGTCAACAGGCCAACATTTTCCTCTTATATTCACTTCGGGAAAAAAATGGATAAACATGACATATTATTGATAATATGTGTGACAGCAATCAAAAAATAACTCAAATAATGGCTAAGACAGAAATATTAATTTAAAAAAATTGTATTATTGAACAGTTCTTGATGATTTCACTGAGAGCACACCTGGACGGAAAATGTGATATCTCTAAATCTGAAAGTTGTTGATGCTATGCAAGTACAACAATCTTTGCTCCATTGAACACTCTATTTACACACAAAAAGCATGTAGATTCCTTCATTGAGTTATTCAAAAATTAGTGGATGGCATTTTTTGGGGTCACCCTGTGTATGGAAATTTTGAAATGTCAAATTTTAATGTACATGTACAATCACCAGAAAAACCAGAGGTTGCCAAATATTTAAGGAACACAATTAAGAGGTGGGTTTATGTTTATATGTCAATTGATATATTGACCTAGTCTTTAACTAATCTCAAAGATGCGACCTAAATGCAAGTACATGTATTTTAGGAAGTCCAGAAAGCAGGAAAATGCAAGAAAACAGACTTATTTTGGAGTTTTAGATAGCTCTCATTGACCTATGAAGAAACCTATAAAACAAAGATTACTTTTCTAATCTTCAATTGCTTACACCATTGTAAGTCACACATTTACTTTGGATGATTATATTCAGAACTTTACAAAAGGGGGAACATATAGCAAATAATAAAATAAATAATAACTGCACTTCAGTTTTTTTACAAGCTGTGATAAATACACATTGATAACCTCTGTTTGGTCTGACTGAACAATATTACACAAATATTTCATTCTATTAATATGTCCCCTTTGTTCAATGATTCTAAGGTCCATTTCCCAAGCCTGAGAGGCCTTCATTCGTTAACAAAAATAGAATGAAATATTTATTTCATAACTCACTGTTATTGTATAATCTCCACTTTTAAATCTAACCATTCTCCTGGTGAACTCAATAGTCTTTATTAAATTCTAGTAAAATGACATTTACATGATTCACAGATAATATCTAAGAGTCATATTTAGAGAATTTGCTTCTCTAAGACAAACAATCTTGTATAGACACAATTAAACAATATGACATGAAGGGATATAATCTCTCTTTTGCACTAAATTACTTTTATATTTTGTTGGCAATAAGCATCAATCATCATGCAACATCCTCCTAAGCAGGTATCCAGAATTCGTACCTCCTTCTTCCCCCTGCTATAACCAATTTGGAAGCGCCCGATTAAACTGAATCACGTGATCTTAAGATGCGTAATGACTTATATATGATTTCTGTCGCAGTGTTATGACAGCCAATCAGATTGCAAGTTCTTAATTGGGGAAAGGCTAACTGCTTATCGCAGGGGGTAAAAAGGATGAATATATTCTGCATTTTGAAGCCGTCTGTGATCGGAGGATGTCATGCAAGGAATAAATTGCTTATTTTTGTTCCATAAAAAATATAATAATATCGAGTGAATAACTGGACGGACTTTGACATAGTGAGATGAGATCATTTAAACAAGTAGTACAGGGCATACCAGAAACAGTTGATTTGGACAGACAATGAGGATACAATTAATGGTTTCAAAAATTGTGTCAACTCCAACCAGAATTGTGACAATTCCTTGATAACATGTTTCAATTATTTGGCAGTCTGAACCATTTCACTGCTCCTTTGGCCTGGTATTTTCAACAGGTTGCAAGTTGGATGAGTGTAGTAATCAGCAGAAAGTCAGCAGGCCCTTGTGAAAGATAAACTCCGTCATTATACTAGAAGGCAGATTGGTAAAAGTAAAATTGAAACAGTGATGAAATCATGGTTTTTCGAGAGCTCTATTCCCAGTTGTTCATCTTCACGTTGACTCCAACTATTCTCACAACTTGCACCAAGTGTGTGATATTTGACTTGTAAAATTGTTCAAGTAGAAATGAATTGAGAAAACTCAGTTTCTACTTTCTATGAGATAAACAGGATGTACCAGAAGTATTGATAATAAGAAACTTTCTATATCCACTGTACAGGTCTCAGGATGAACCAGTTTTGATGATTTTAAAGAGTCCTGCGATATTGTTGGCTTTGAAGGCTGTTCTACATTCAGCTATGGCTTGTGTTTTTGGTTTACCCACTAAAAATATAAATCAACATTTATTTCATTTCAAAAAATGAATCTGAGATTATTTTACAAAATCAGTGGTATCAGATATTTTGAGTCTGTATCACTTCAATTTTCAGGTTCAGAATTGTTTTTGAGAGCTAATGTTATAAAATTTCATAATTTTTTTTTCTGAGCAAATTTTATTGATTACACCAATTACACAAGCATATGATTAAAACGATTTTTGGACCAAATAGTCAACACAATTCCTTTTAAAACAACAGAGAGAAGTATGTAGATGTGTATTTACCTCTTAGATTACCAGACTTTTGTATTGTTTGATTGACCATTTTAAGACATGCTAGTAGCTCTGTGTGGTTGTTAGATCTAATCTTGTAGCCATTGATCAAGTCTCTGTTCAAGTCATACAGTTCCATGTAACCTTTCCTCATATTTTTCCTAAAAAGAAATTTTTTAAGCATTTTGCATTTGTTTTTAAGTACATGCTTCATTAAGTCAAAGTTCATTCCGGAATGTAAATCTATCCAGCATTCAACCTTAGTGTCATGGAAACTTCTGAATACTGAAATGTTGTAATGAAAAAAATTTTTTTTGACTGATTCTGTAAAAACATTTTAACCCAAGAGTCTCCAAAGAGAACAAAACGAAAGCTGAACAAACTTCTAACTTCCTGAATCTCTAAATGAACACCTTTCAATGTGAACACATAAAAGTATTGAGTGTGTTCATTTAACATAGGTTCTGCCACACTTACATATCTGACATGATTCTTGCGTCTTCAGCCCGCACCACCAGACTACGAATCAAGTTAGAATGGTCAGCCATCTCAGCTGTCAACTTCTGTCGTACAGTGTGAATCTCATCCACCTATATGAAAATATTTTACATGATACTGATATTAAATAAATAAATGAGTATATAATGAATATAATTTTGTAACCATAAAATTTGAGGAAGTCCTATTTGTTTAAATCATCAAAATACAACAAGAGTTCACACTCATAGGTGAAATCATGCCTAAACTATAAAAAAACAACTGATTATAAGTTTCATCCCATTAAGAAAATATGCATGTTCTGAGCCATTTCTCATACCTTGAGCAATGTGATCTTCAGAGCCTCCATAATAGCAGGGAAGTCTGCCTGGACCTGCAGGTCTTCAATATTGAGGAACACACACAGTGCTTGGATCACATCACCAGCTATGTCCATATCATCAGTCAGGATATTCACCTAGAATGTACAAGTGTGCATGACTTCATATTAATAAGGGACATTTTTAATTGTTGTCATTTTAAATATATTATTAACTAATTAAGAATAATAAGGACAATATATAATAATAAGTATGCAATAATTGGATTTATGAAATTATAAACAGTTTGTTGAGGGGAGTAGTACATGTACATATGAAAGTATAGAAAAATGAAGTAAGAATGATCCATCCCCTGGACAAAGATCACATGGCTGATGTCAAGGTCACGAGGTAACTGGGACTTCATTATTTCACTGAACTACAAAGAAGTATGACTACTGAAAACAACCCACCCTTGAACCAAGAAATTTAGGGTAAAATAGATAACAAATGAACATATTAAGGTAAGCCAAACAATAAAATATCTTTAGAACGTATGTCCCACCTTAATTTAATAAGAATCAATAGATGATTAGCCTAATTAAGCTAATTAAGGGATGTTTCTAAGTAAGTTATGAAACATATCCCTTTAATTGGGCTAATGAAATTATCATTTAATTGTACTAATTGTACTTTCTAAATAATGTTTAACTATTTGAAATAATTATGATGACCCTAAAAGTAAATTTCTAAAAGTGCTTTCTTAAATATTACCTGTCCATTTTGGTTCATTTGAAGTATGAGAGATCCAGCCCCTCTAAGAGACATGAATGTGATGTTTAGATCACCATCAGCTGTGTAGTCTTCTTGAAGAAGGAAATTCTGATTTATCCACATTAGCACCTACAAGACAAGAAATATCTATTAAAGAACATTTTCTAAGTTTTATATTTCAATTTCTTACATAGGCGTCAAGCAGGATCACAAATAATTCAACTTTTCAGACATTTTGGGAGACATTTATTATTTTAATAGCACTTGATTTGTTGAATATGTATTTCAGACTCAAGAAATATTCAATTTAAAGGTTCCAGTTACAAATAATATGATTTAATAATAAATCACTACTAGCCAAAATGCCTTACTCGATTTATTCTGTCGTTGATGTGGAAGGACACCATGCTGATTGGTTTAGGGGCCTCAACATGGTAAAGCGCGTACATGGAGAATCTTGGCAGTTGTCTAGTCAACTCAAACACATGATATTGCGAACTGAAAATAGAAAATGTATTTTGTAAAAGTCATTGATTATTTCATTGAAAGTTCTAATATAACATCTTAATTTAATATTTTAATACTGTTTTTCGTGTAATGGTTGATTAGATGATTTCATAACTTTTTGATAATCAATAAAACTTAGTATTATGAATCCCTCAAGAAACACATATAAACATACCTATTTTTATAACCTACAAAAGCTTTTATATGTAAGTCCACAGGGACATCTTTAGGTGGAATGATTGGAACTTTTATTTCACTAGATAAGCTACTCTGTGGTGGATGAACTACATGACTTTCCCCCTCAAATATTCCTTCAGCAAATATAAGGACAGATCGTATCTGACAATCGTTTGTTGTTGATATGGTTAGTTCTACATGTGGTGGTTTCTTCTCTGTTCCGGGATTCACACATAGTGTGGTCTGTAGCTGAGTGTTGGCCTGGAATATACAGTTTTTATCTGCGCAGTCAATTTTTATATCATACTGCATTGTTTTAAGTAGCTTATTAACTTACTAGGGAATTAATTGAGAAATTATAGGAGCAATGGTCTTGCAATATTCAAATTAGGAATTTTTTTTATTAAAACTAACATCGAAACATTGAAATGGTGCTTTAAGTTCCATTACCACATGTTGGCTTTTCATGGTTTCATGTTTTTATGCTTCTACACTCAAAAACAAACATATACTTACAGGGATTATACCCATCTGTTGTGAGTCTAGATCTCCAAGACCTGATGGACGGTTTGAGTGGGCAGCTTTCACATTCTCTTCATAATTCTTTAACTCTAGTAATAGATTCTAAAAATGAAAAATGAACAAAATTACATTTGAGTGTCCACATCATTCTTTATAATTAAGCTTCCTGGACATTTTTTTGTAATGTGGGTATCATATCTAACTGGGTTTGAAATTCCCTAAATTCAATTATGTTTCACAATTTATTAGTTGCATCATAAGACATTTCCTGAGAAAGAGGGTACATCATTTCAAGATATTGTTCCAATGAACATAAGGGTTTTTCAGAATGTATTTCATAATTTGAAAACCTTGAATTGCATGCTAAGGCCTGATGTCAGTCATTTTATTCCAATTTAAAAAATTTAGTTTTGGTGCATGCTGAAACAGTATACTAGTTAATGAGAAAATGAATGATTCATATTACCATTGTTGATAATCTCACCTGTTTTCGTTGACTTAGTTCTCTAATTGTATCTTGTTCTATGTTGTTGTCCATGAGGTTTCCCTTCATTTCAGGACGTGCAGCTTGGTAGCCCCTTATTTCCCCCTCTATTGAGCAACAAATCAGATGTTGGTTTCCATCCATTCTATAGTCACCCTGTAATGAGAATAAACGGGAACCATGAGTGACACGGTCAGTTAGCTAATTATGAGCAAATCTGTTTGGTTTGAGGGAACTGTAGGTGCCCGCATGAAGCCCAGGTTTCATTTGAGAATCACAGTGCAGAATTGATGATGGTGAGTGTGGCCATTCACTAGCACAGAGAAATTATTTCTATCACTTTATTTTTCAGATCTTTGAATGCTCTTTATAAGCATCTAGACCTAAATAGGTCTGGGCATTAATTGATTACTTGTAACTATGTTGTTTGCAAAATCTCTTGCATATTTCATCTTACCTCTACTATGCCAGCAACAGCAGTTGAGAAGTTATCCTTAAAGACAACTTCACCTGTCCTATCACTCCTCGCATCAATCTGGAATAAAAAAAGATGTGTTTTTAGCATTTTTGATTTATACTGTTAACATGCAATTTATCACATAAATTTGACAGTTTTGAATTGTCTTAACTACATTGGGAGACTAGATACATTTAGATAGGTATCTGACTGCCATTACTCCAAGAACAAAAGTACCAGAGGTATTAATTTTGTACCAAGTTGAAATTATTAAATTGTGCTGCAGAATAGATTCAAATTGATTTGCGTAAAAATAACATGTTATAAAGTTATATACATATAATTTATTTTGCAAATAAAAACAATAAACCTAGAAAAAGATAGAAATAGCAAATCCCACCAACAAGACATATTTTATCAGAATTTAACATGATATATATAGAGGAATATATAGGGACAGACGAATGAAAGGAATTAATGATCAAAAGAATGAATAAATGGATGGACGGATGGATAAACAAACAGCTTCTCGATATTCCTACTTCATTCAGTGTAATAAAATTCCCACAAGTATGAATTCTGTCCCAAGATGAGAAACATTGAGTGTCATCACTAAATTAACATAAAATGATGGTCTCATACCTTGCCATTACTCCAGCCTGTGATCAGTTCGGGAACACCATCAGAGTCAAGGTCAAAACTGTGGATTGTCACTGCATGATTCTTAGACTACAATGAACAATGACTACAACTGAACACATATGTTGGACTTAGCTCATGCATGGTTATATTGTTTACTAAACTGTCAAAACTGACAATGCTTTAATCCAAGCTTAGTGTGAAATATAAAATGAATTGATTTTGTCATAAACAATTTTTTAATGTTTTAATTCTTTTTTAATGTATTTTTTAGTTGATTTCTGTTATATGATCATATTCAAAATCATGATATATAAGGTGATCATTAAATGTTAAATCTGACAATTTCAGTGTACACAAAATGATGTCTATATTTATTTATATCAAGTCCCTTTAACTAACCTTTATTCGCCAATATCTTGCTGTTTTATCGTAAACGCCAACTGTTCCATTTGCAAGTGCATAGCCAAATCTTGACCCCTGCATTGGGCAGAGTGATGTTATAGCCTCCGTCTCTGTCATCTCAGACATTATGATATCCTCTTCAAAGACACGGATGTCAAAATCCTCAGATCCAACTATCAACTAAAGAAAACAAAATATTGTTCAACAAAGATGTTACTATGGAATAATATAACAAAGATGTCAATTGTCCACCCAATCATCCTCAAATCTTCATCAGCTAGACTTACAGTTTGTGTTATAAATAAATATGTTGGGGATATGCTGAAGTGAGGATTTCTTATGTTAAAAATTAGAGAATTTTCAAGAGGCCATACATAAGTAGATGAGATTATACGAAATGTAAAATATACTTATTTTAGGGGATATGTATCTTGACATTATTGGAAACTTTGGACTTTCAAACCTCCATGGTTTGGAAATGGTGATAGAAAATCGACTACTCATTCATCTAGGGTCCACTGTACTTCCTTTTGATAATTTCAGATAATTTAGACAGTTTTGATGCTGATGCTGATGATGCTTATTACCTTAATAAATTACAGGGCCATAGCCCTGGACAAAATTCTTTCAAAATCTTGCAATTTTTCACAATCCTGAGCACTTTAAAGTGACATTGGGCCAAAGTTATCAAATGTGAACCCCCCTTGAATTTTCTGAAAAAGCTTCTTGGGAAAAGCTGGCTATTGGCATGACTTAACAGTAGAATTTGTAGCTTTCATTTGCTTTTATGGGAGTTACCATGTGAAATAAATGTTAGCTAATTTTATGACTAGAAATTTTATAAGGCATAGGATACATCAAAGAATGATTCCTAATTTACAGAGTATTTACAGGGTTGATGTCTTGCAAAGGGTTACCTCATCCTTTCCATCTCCATTGAAGTCAACGAGTGCTAGGGAGCATACATTGTCCCCAGTGACAGTCCAGAACTTGTCTTCTCCCTCTATGTCATAGCCCATGATTGAACAGTTACCACCCACTATGGCTAAAGGGGAATCTATGGAGCCAAGGGTACCTAAGACTATAGAGTTTGCCCCATCTGGAGTCTGAAATATACAGAGGTATATAGCTTAGGGTATTTTAATAAGGGAATTATTTCCCCTTAATATACATCAGCGAGCAATTACAAAACATATATTTTTTATTTAGTTAAATTTCCCTAATTAATGTGTTTTATTGAATATGACTCATCACATTCTTTTGAAGTCACTTATTAAATAGGCATCATCCTTTTCAAAAAAGCAAAGCAATGATAATGAATCACAGAATTTATAGATATTATAAAACCTTATGTTACAGAACATACAGTAATTGAAACCCAAAAATACAATAAACACAAAATGAGAAAAATCTTACATCTTTGTAAAATACATCTGAATTTTTATTGACATCATATGCCAGAACATTAGTTTGAGTTCCAACTGCGAGGAGATCATTTTCTGAATTTACATCTAATTTTCCAGAGCTAACCGCGCTCACTGATTGGTTAATATTGAGTAGTGTGATGTCATTGTCTGTTGTACCCGCAAGTCTACCTCCCGTCTGAGCTCTAGTGTGAGGGTTATGAATAAATACCTGTAAATAAAACATGCAACGGGTTATGCTAGAATAAATAATTAGTTGTGAACTTTTAAGAGCACAATTTATACCGGAAAACAACCAAGGGCTACATGTATAATCCAAAGGGCAACAATTGCACAGTAAAAATTATTTTTTCACCTCGTTGAAATTTTGGTAAATCCTGAACATTTTCCGGCTAGTTATCAGGATGTGTAAATTAACTATTCTAGGAAACCCAAATTTTCAAACAATTCTCAGTAAAAGCCCATTCCCTACCTTAATGACTTATTACTGACAATAAAATCCTACTCACTTTGCCTGCAGTTGTAGCACAAGTTAAACATGGATGGCTTCCATCATATTTCCCTACTGTGACCTGACGTGGGTTGATCTTGTGATTCAGCCTCAATGTGAATATCGGCACCAGCATATTGAGGCAAGTTCTACTGAGTGGCACTAACCAACTGGACCTGGCTGAATAGTGTGACTCCTGGCTTGATCTATTTCCTGTAATAAAATTGAAAATTGAAAACAGAATCTGATCCAGGAAACAGCCAAATACAGTAATTAGAGGACATGCCATTGCTCCAAAACCATATATTCCCAAAACCCATTACTCTAAAATCTGAATCCCCTTATTTAAAAGCCAGTTGGTACTATAGCTCAGTGGTAGAGCAATTGCCTTGTAAGCGATCACATCAGCCCTTAGCACAGGATTTTATTCTGTGTTTTCATTAACCTAATACTATTTCTCTTTTAGGGAATGGCCCGTGGGAAAGTCCATGTGACATCATGAATAGAATGATTGACAACCTGGACACTAGTGTTGTCGCGATTAATCGATACATCGCGATATACATCGCCAAAGCTGATTCTGGTGATGCATCGATGTCTGAAACAAAACATCTATGTTTTTAAAAAAATTAATTTGCTAAAAATCACCCTTTCTTTAATATCTTTATCTTATTTTGACGCAAATCGCTTACCTTTCTCATGTCTTATTTCATTTTCCAATGTTTTCTGATATTCTTTCGCTTTTAAACTGTTTTAGCTTGTCGAAATGAACTATTAATCTAAAAAAATTACTTTCACTTCACCGTTACTAGAAGTTCCCGGATGTACCAGCGTACTCTTATTAATTTGTTCTGTTCGGTATTTTAGTGCATTAGCGTTGGGTATTTCAGTGCACTTTTCTCGGACATTTTCTCGATGTACATCGCGATGTGCATCGATGTTTACTACTGAAAATTGCCGATGCATCGATGTACGATTATGGCACATCGCGACAACACTACTGGACACAGGTAACTTATATGGGGCCCAGTAAACTGGGCATTTAAAGACATGGCTGCAATGCTATATATGCAATGTTGATGTGGAAAAGCCAGTCGGTCCTGTAGCTCAGTGGTAGAGCAATCGCCTTGTAAGCGAGGGGTCATGGTTCCCCACTGGGGTGGATTGACTTTTTCATATCAGCCCTTAGCACAGGATTTCATTCTGTGTTTTCATTATCCTAGCATTGTGGATATTTTCAATGATGTTTACCATCAATAAAATTGTCAAATCTGACAGAATTGAGTATCTGATGATGATCATTACAAATATCTTATATAATCCCATGGGCTATCAAGAGAGGACCCGTCATCTGGGCTCGCATCGTGTATGCTCTACAGTCCGTATTGCATTGGCAATGTTGTGATATACCCTCATGTTAGTGGCCCTAAAATATTCAGTGGGCAGTGGCTTTAAAAAAAATAAAAAATTTAAAATAAATTATTTATTTCAAAATTACTTACTAATAGGCCATTTGTGAAGTCTTTGTATGGGTTGCTGTTAAAATGATGCGTTCGTCATATAAATCGTATACTCCGATTTGATTCAAATTACTTATAATTGATATTGAGTGAGAAAATACTGAAATATGACCTGAAAAGTAAAATATATTTCTCAGGGAGAAAATATTCAATATGGCGGAATCAACAAAACAGGCTCACACTGAATATTTTGCATCAAATTTAAATATATAATAATTTTCTTCAGGCTTATCGGAATTTCAACTTAGCTCTGATTTAAAATACATATCATTCAATATCAAAAATGTTTTTTAATACTTAAAATCACACTAATATCGACTAAATAATTATTCATTTTACAGCCAAGGTCAAGGTCACTTTGTGATGCTGAAGAGATTCTTAAATGTAATCGCTGTTATTATTCGTTTTGTGTTGTTTCGATTGTTACTTCTGGCCCAAATATGTCGTAGAACACCAGAACAAATGTTTCTGCAACCAGCTGTACAGAGCTCTTGGACTTTTGTTACCAGGTTTGTAACAATAACATACCGATTTGAAATTGAAATATTTTTGAAAACTTTTTGCAAAGCCATGTCCACATCATCAAATCCAGACGGAGGTGTTACCAATATATTGTGGGCTTTAAGCCTAGTAGTACTCGTGTGAAGACTGACTAAATGATAGCAGACCAAGGCAAAATAAGAACTATGAAAATTTATAGAATATCAGACTACATGTTACATGGTTGTACATGCCTTGTGCAAGGCGTTCGACTAGCATTTCATCATTAGGATACACACCGGGGATATACAACTTGATCAATTTTACTGATCATTATAATGCGGTCATTTGTCTATTTTTACAATTTGTGTATTGTGTCCAACACAATATCCAAATTTTAAAAATAGACATTTGGAAACAATATTCAAATTTTAAAAAAGACAAATGCTAATGCCTTGTACGAGGCTAGTACATGTATAGCCCTTCTTATAGGTCCTACTTTTATTTGGTACTCAGTTTTAAGGTAATATATCAATAGATCCCCATTCTTCACCTCTGTTAAACCTACCCTAAACATTCATTTATACAGTGTAGTGACTGCTTTCTGTTCAGTTTTACTGTTTTACATATTTTGTTTCAAATAGGATATCGTAAAATGATTTTTGTTATGCAGCCATTTAGGATGAGCAAGGATACCAGGTGTTTTAATTGTCGGGTAACAGAGGAGGGGGGACATTCTTTCTTGTATTCTTTATGGAGAATAGAAAACAGGTATACTGGTACAGCATCTTGTTGTGTTTTCTAGATTTTTAGTTAGCCTGAGCTTTATATGTGGCACTCTCACGGACTCAGGACACAATTTGTTTTCTGTCTTTCTAAAAATATTCAACTTTTGGGATGGGGTTTACCTTAGAACTTACCATGCTGACAAGCTACATTCATAAATTATTTCAAAACTTTGTCTTCTACTTTAGCTCTTTATAGTGTAGATGTTGCAAAAGCTTTAATGGAATTTTTGACCAATTTTTTTTACCTTTGAGAATGTTATAACTGACTAAATAATTTGATTAAGTTTGGGGAGAGACGATGTTGACAGGATTGAAGATCATAATGATATTGTGAATTAATAAATATCATAATACTATTGGAAATGACTTCCTAGTAAACACCTCCCTAATGGTTCAGAGGACACATCATAAATATACATTCCTGTGATAGAATGTTAAACAGCTTGGCCCCAAATCTGAATTTGTAGCTAATACTGACATATGATATGTGAGGTTTAAAGAATGGACAAAAATATATTTCTTTGATGGGCTGTTATTCAGCTTTCACCCAAACCAGATATTACTAATTCTTTATCGTATTTAAACCATATATTTAGTCACCAGGTCAAACAATAAATATATCATGTTTATTTAATAAGTAATGATAAAAAGTTCTCCAATAACATGTAGAGATCATATTTGTACTACGTGTATTTGCATTTACATGTATATGCTTGACATGCTAATTTCAAGCTGTGTTTAGTTTGGGAAGAATCTTGCCTTAATTGCAGTCATCATATATTTCAAATCCTGTGAAATTTAACATGACAATGATGTGGAGCATGGTTGTCTTTACTTATCTAGCATGGGTTTATTTAAAGTATTTATATTATCTTTTATAGTTTATTAGATTGATTTTTTTTATTTAAAGGGTCATTCATCGGTATAAAGGATTGATAGCGATATGATAAACTAAATTGAACAACTTTTTCTTACCAGTCATTAAGAAATTCTGAAAAAATTACACACCATCAATATCATGGTCATCTTTTGAATGGTAATAATTTAAAAATGTGTATCTATCTTTATAAATTGTTTTATTAAATACACCTTTTGCACCGTAATGCCTTTTGATCTTATTAACATATGTTTGGAATAAAATGAATTTGATGAAACATCTATCTGAACCTTGTTGGAACAAAATGACATATACACAACATAATTAGGTCTCTCAATATTGTAATTACCATAAAAAAGGAAAGTTTGTTTCATTTAAAATAACTATCTTAAGAATAAGATAGAAGGTTAACTTTAATTTTCTCTATTTTTGGGGTATTTATTTTATTTTTTTTAGATACTTTTTAATGAACCAAACTTTCCTTTCTATAACTACTGTATTGAGAGATGTAAGTACACTGCATCTTCGTTCACTTGGCTCCTGTTGCTCGATGAACGCAGTGAAGACCGAGCGTGCGAAGATGAGTACACTGTGTATATGCCATTTTCTTCCAACAAGGTTTGGATAGATATTTTATTTCATTCTCAAGAATTGTGATAGGTTTATGATTTGTTTAGTTTTTATGTCCCCACCACAAAGTGTGGGGCCATATTGTCGGCCTAGGCGCGTCCGTCTGTCTGTCCGTCTGTCCGTACGTTCGGCAGTTTTCTCCAAAACCGCTACAGATATCACCTTCAAATTTTCAGGGATAACTTATGAGTGCATACAGATGTGGATGAAAAAAAATTAACTCGATACCTACTTCCTGTCGGCCATTTTGAAGTCGAATGCTAAGATCCTTGTCTGCAAACTTTAAGAAAAACTGCTTCACAGTTGCTTTTAAAACTTTAACATCTTGTTCAGCTCACTTCATTCTAGATCTGATTAGGTTTTGGACCTGCTAGCTCAGTCATGTAAGCCATTTTGAATGTCTTAAGAAAAGTTAGCGCGCGATAATACTTTGTATCATATTGAATGGTGTTTTTGAGTTTTCATACTTTAACTATTTAGTAGCTTTATAAATAATTTCAGATGTACTTTGCTGTAAAAGCCTACTTTATTGTTAACAGTAGTTATATGTGATAATTTTGTAAAAAGAAATCAGCAAAAACTCATAAGGACTTTTTTATTGTCGGCCATTTTGGATTTTTCGGTCCTAAAATCTTGTCTGTGAAGTCTTGTCTGCGCGTTTTCAGGTGAACCGTTTGGTGGATCAATTTCAAATTTTCAGGGATGATTCTTAGTATAAAAATCTAGATCTCATTAGTTTTTTGGCATTCTGGGTAAATGTCAAGGCAGCCATTTTGGATTTTCCGTCCTAAAATCTTGTCTGTAAAGTCTTGTCTACTCGTTTTCAGGTGAACTGTTTCGTAGATCAATTTCAAATTTTCAGGAATGATTCTTAGTATGAAAATCTAGAACTGATTAGTTTTTTTGCATTCTGGGTAAATGTCAAGGCAGCCATTTTGGATTTTCCGTCTTAAAATCTTGCCTGTAAAGTCTTGTCTACGCGTTTTTAGGAGAACGGTTTGATAGATCAATTTCAAATTTTCAGGGATGATTCTTTGTATTAAAATCTACATCAGATTACTTTTTTTGCATTCTGCGTAAATGTTAAGGCAGCCATTTTGGATTTTCTGTCCTAAAATCTTGTCTGTAAAGTCTTGTCTACCCGTTTTCAGGTGAACCGTTTGGTAGATCAATTTCATATTTTCAGGGATGATTCTTAGTATGAAAATCTACAAACAGATTAGTTTTTTGACATTCTTGGTAAATGTCAAGGCAGCCATTTTGGATTTTCCATCCTGAAATCTTGTCTGTAAAGTCTTGTTTACATGTTTTCTGGTTTACTGTGTGACGGATCAATTTCAAATTTTCAGGGGTGGTTCTTAGTATGAAAATCTAGAACTGACTAAATTTTTGGCATTCTGGGTAAATTTTAAGGTGGCCACTTTGGATTTTCCGTCCTCAAATTGTGTTGGTAAAGTCTTGTCTACTCATTTTCAGGATAACCATTTCACGGCATCACCACTTGGTGGGGACATTTTGTACACATTTGTGTTCTTGTTTTTATTGTAGGAACTGTAGAGTTGTTATAGACATATTGATTGTCTTGGCCTATTTTTTATAATTGTAGAGATCATAGAGTGGTGATAGGAATATTAATTATGCTGGCCTACTTATGATTGTCAACTGTACAATGGTTATAGCAATATATAAATTGTCTCGGCCTAATTTTTATGATTGTAGTAACCAAAGAGTGGTAATATTTATATTAATTATCTTTGCCCAATTATGATTGTAGGAACCGTAGAGTGGTATATTAATTGTCTTTGCCTAATTATGATTGTAGGAACCGTAGAGTGGTATATTAATTGTCTTTGCCTAATTATGATTGTAGGAACCGTAGAGTGGTATATTAATTGTCTTTGCCTAATTATGATTGTAGGAACCGTAGAGTGGTATATTAATTGTCTTTGCCTAATTATGATTGTAGGAACCTTAGAGTGGTATATTAATTATCTTTGCCCAATTATGATTGTAGGAACCGTAGAGTGGTATATTAATTGTCTTTGCCTAATTATGATTGTAGGAACCGTAGAGTGGTATATTAATTGTCTTTGCCTAATTATGATTGTAGGAACCGTAGAGTGCTATATTAATTGTCTTTGCCTGATTATGATTGTAGGAACCGTAGAGTGGTATATTAATTGTCTTTGCCTAATTATGATTGTAGGAACCGTAGAGTGCTATATTAATTGTCTTTGCCTAATTATGATTGTAGGAACCGTAGAGTGGTATATTAATTGTCTTTGCCTAATTATGATTGTAGGAACCGTAGAGTGGTGATAGGTATACTTGTAGTGCTGGCTCTGCTGCTGTACCTCTGGCCCTCTCTACCAGGTTTTAGCCGCAAAAGTACTTATGGTAAGTAATATACCATTGTAAGATAGGATTGAACATATCAGCCATACCTAATACATGTACACTGTATATTTCTATGTTCAGATTGTATTGATGAAACATGTATGTATGGTACATACCCTTAAAAAACGCTTGTTTTCTCCTCATGTGGTTAAAAGATGACCTTTTTTAACCACATTTTTACCACTCAAGATATGTTTAAGTGTGGTTGTGGTCACCTGTTTTGACATTCATAAAAGTGTGGCCCCTGCTGGTATTTCTTCCACAATTCCAAGAAATATCTCCCCATAGTTTCTCCTCATAATGAGAAAGTGTGGTTAAGGTGTTCCTGAAACTATGGGTGAGCAGGACATTAACTTAAATATGATTTAAGGTTACCATATTGTTAATAGGGGTTAAAAGGGTTAATGCTTGTTAAAAATATTTTTTATTTACTGTACATGATAAGTCTGTTATACCTGTTATTCTGGCATCTAAATTGTTTTATGCATCTTCTATGAAATATTCCATTAAGCATGTGACAACTATGAGAATGTTGTATGATTGAAGCATAGGGAGATGGGTTAATTTGATCACATATACATTTTATACTCTGACTGAGGTTAATTGGTTTAATCTTTGCAAAATATTTCAGTAAAATGATATAAGGGTTAGAGTCAAATGAATGATCAGTGGTTTCAGTAACTTTGTGTACAAGGGGCAGATGAAAAATACAAGAGGCGGCATTCAAAATAACCAATTTTACGCTCCCGACAATGCAAATTCTTGTTATTTTAGAGTCCATGGACTGAAAGAAAGATGTCCAAGGTTTGTCAAAGTCATTTCAGCGTGTGATTTGGCAAGACATGGGCTCCACAAAATAACACCTGGAACTGTGGAATGACTAGGGCAACTTATATAGAATGTCATTTACCTTTTATAAGATAACTTACCCTTACACAGGTTGCATTTCACAAATCCAAATGCACCTGTTGAAATGAACACTTTTGATATAAATCAAAATCTAGAATTATCATTATTAAAATGAGAGTGATGTATTAATAGATGATTCACTTGTGATTATGTGTATATCAGATTCATTTTAGTTTTTACCACCTCCAGACATTGCCAGAAGTGGTGACATACAGAGTGTTCCAAAAGTAACAGGACTGGTGCTGGTACTGGAGAGGTTAAGCTTTGCATATATAATCGAAACTGAACCTGTACGTATCACTCGACCATATACAAATTCATGTAGCCTTCTCATATAAATAGCCGTTCAAATCCAGTGTTTGTTTAGACTACACCATAGCGTGTAATGATTCTATAGTATGTCATTGATGCGGTTTTATAGCTGGTTTTCTAATACATATTTTAAACGAGCTTGTTTCGTAAGATTTTTGGCGCTGAATCATGCATGACATACATCATCGTGTTCAGCAAGAATTCAACTGTGCATCAAAATCAAAATTGACAGCATAGTATTCAATAGACACGAGTAAAATGGTTCCCGTTGACCCAACGTCAAATATTCAAATCTCCCGTTCTAAACCCGAAACTCTGAAGCTGAAAGAGTATCTGAAGTAGACTAAGCGCGCATAAAACTATGAGCGCTCGATACATTCCTTTGTTAATTTTTGTACTTTGCGTTCACGGTTACGTTGTGAAAAACATCGTTAGCTTAACCTCTCCAATTTGTTAAATATGCACCAATTGTCTTCAAAATTTTACATAATGTAACATCATGTTTTTTAACTAAAATTGCCGAAATTACATAATTTTTGTCAAAACTGATTTAGAAATCGGCCGATGACTACTCATCGGTCGGCGCCCGGCGCATATGTGGCCTAGGTATTAGAGAGAGACCGAGGTGGGAGATATCCCCCTCCCCTCTACACCAAACTTGTTCTCACTACGTTTTCGAAAATTGGCTGAAAGACCTCCTCACACATTATTAAGGAAAACATATCTACACATTTTGCGCATTTAACCATTTGATAACATATTGTGGATCTTATCTTAATTTGTTAATGTGAATTCGCACCTTCATTTGCATGGAAGACTTTGATAAAATCCTTTTTTGATGATTTTTGAACAGTCTACTAAGAATACCATGTTGTAAATATTGTTTTCTTTATAATATGTCGAGCTAGGACTGCTCAAACAAATTCACTTTTTGTAGCTACAAGTATTTAATTTCAATAGATGATAAACTTCTCAATATAAGAAATTACCCTCATAAGACATTGTTGCAAGGTGTGTTGCAATGAATGTGGCACCCCGTATTCCCGGGCCCGCATTATGTATTCTCAAAGAAAGCCATCATGATAAACCATGACATCTCATTTCTTCTTAGCCCTGTGTTGCAGGTGAAACAGAAAGATGCCATGAGTATCAGAATGGAAGAAAGCATATATTTGCATTGATGGTGTATAGATAGTTATTTTATATAGTGTTTTAGTCGTACATGGAAACCGATTCTAACCAGGAAGGATATTGCAACTTTTTTCAAGATCCTAAAGTTGCAATTCTCGTTATTGTGTTTCATTGTAAAGACGCACCTATGAAAGTGTGTCTCTGGTACAAAGGCGTAGTTCTACATTAATTTAAGATACACGTTTTTTAAACTTGTACGTGAACATGTAGAATTATGGACCTGGTGGATTTTTTCTCCATTTTGTACTGTTAATACTTCGCCGGTTGAGTATATAAAGGTATGCATGTCCCAGCTTTTGGTAAGTGGGGGTTCAAACCTCCCCCCCCCCATTCACACATACACTTTTTATCATGCTTAAGTAACTTCGCATTGTAATTACAAGGGTGTTATAAACGAGACACCAGGATGATAAAGTAGGTGTACAATATATTTCCGCGTTTGCGCGCAAGAAAATTAGGGCCCAAATCTTGAGAAAGAGTCGGGGGAATGCGAGGCGAATCCTGGAAACTCGGGTTCGGGAAAGCGGGGTTCACTGTTTGGTTCCGTTGACACCTGTGCGAAACTACATTCATAATTTATCCGACAGTCGCTTTGATGTTTCTTTATCTCGTCTGCTACTCGATAAAGAACAATTAACAAAGCTCATCAAGAATGGACGATCTTGCACAGGTACTCATATAAGAACCTCTATATCTTTTTAACACCAATATATAACGGACACACCATGTTAAAAATAAAATGTTATATCTAATGTGCCAATTCAATGATTTAGCATATCGAAAATATTTTCAACCTAAGTGACCTCATCGTGACATCACTTAGGCGGTGGCAACATTTTTCAATGTCAATCTTTTCTTAATATGCTAAACTTAAAAAATAAAACAATTTTGACTGTCTGACCAGGTTAAAAGGATGAATATGTTTTTAATATTATTTTACCATTGGTTTCTATGAGAATTAAAATTTGGAAATGCATCTTTCTCTGAACCACTTTCATGCATGGATGAGTTCATTGCTCGCCCATCTACCAACCAATTTTCTTGATTTTGTCGGCAAAAAACAAGTGAGGATGATTGCTATGCATCGGTGTGAATTATCGCTTTAAAAGATATAAGTGTAAACAAAAAGTCCTTCAAAAACATTTTTGAAATTTATAAAAAGTTTCACATTTCACGCTTTAATAATATTGGATAAGACAAAAATATAAGCCAAAGTGGTTTAAACTTTATATGGGGCCTTTAACTGATTAATAGTACAATTACGTCATTTCTAAGGGCAATATAGTGAAATATTGGACCGAGGTCCAATATTTCACTATATTGCTCGCAGAAATGACGTTATAAGTATTATTATACCAAAGGTTATTTTGATTATCATGCACATGATACTGGTTAGATAGTGATCTAAAATGCACAGCCCAAACGGGAACAAAATTGGACGGTGTTTACTACTATAATGAGATCAAGTGATCTTTACGATTATAGTGAGTTCCATTGCAGTTCGAAACTGAGGTACAAATCATAGACAAGGAAGTGCAAAACAAGATCGCTGAATAAAATAAAGGATAGTCTATAGAAGACTTTTATTTTCCCCCAAAACTATATTTGACTTCTAACAAACGGCGGATTATCGAAAACAAATGGCGATTTCGGACACTCGCCCCGTGCTATTGAAAGCCCAGATGATGCTTGACTTTTCTATTTAGGGAGATCAGAAGTTTGCATGAATATAAAACAAAGTATTAGTTATTCTAAAGGGACGCTTATTTTGACTGAACTGACTAATCTTATTATAAGACTAATTAAAGAATAACAGGATGTGTCTGCTGTACAAATACATGTAATCAATGTTAAAATATAGTCCAGACATGATTTTATTATTTCTTAGACATCAAAGACTTTTATTTAACTTTAATTTCAGTATATTTTCCATGACATATTTTGTACTTAATCACCCTTAAAGCTACAGTTATATGGACAGATTATTAAAAGCAGTTTTAGTGAAAACTGTGAGATTCTGAAAAACACATCTTAAGTTGATACCAAAGGTTGATAGTAGGTTGTTCTATAGCAACAACCCAAGTTGATGCATTTTGTGGGAGATATTTATATTCATAATCATGTGATCTTTTTTCGTGAACTGGTCAAAGTTTATTTTTCATCTACATTATTATTATCATTTTCAGTGAAGGTCTTACATATCTTTCCTTTATAGTAAACATTTGTAATGTACATTATTGTGCTTGGGGACCATATTCCTGATTTGTAAGGAGGTTAACTGATAATTCAATTCATCTACAGAGCTTTAAATGATACTTTTCTGTATCTATCTAGATGGCATGTTCTGATTGCCTCTGTATGTTCAGTTAAGGCTCCTAACTTCAATGTGTCCATTTTAATTAATACTTATTTGATAATAATTAATCATTTGCTTAATAATTATAAGTTTAATTGTGGATCTTGGATGCTTATTTTCATTAAATCTATATCTGAGCTAGATCTGAGTAAACTCATTTTGTCCTAGCTGTGGAACTGAATATTGTTGCTATAACTTATGTAAACAATTTTGGGTTTGTTGACTTAAATACCACACTTTTCCCACATTTTACACTACACTTTTTATTCATATTATATATCACCCATACCTGTACTGCTCTTATACCATCTCCAAACCACACTCATACCACATCCGACCCACACCTTTGAATCTCATGGTCAGTGGTTTTTATATATAATGGAATTCTTTTAATTCAATTTAGTTTTTACACTGCTTAAAATTGTTAGATTTCTCATAATAGAACAACCCACCCTACTTCAGCAATAGACTCAATCTTAACCTTGGTATGAATAGCAAATACTCATTTTATTTACTGTTATTAATCTTCAGAGCTTACACTTTTTATATATTTTACAAAGTTTATTGCAGAATTGTCATTGGTCACAGTCAGGCGAAAGGTGCCAAGCAGCCTTCAATGAACGTTGAATAGTCATATTCAAATATCATCCTCTTTGATAGCTGAGACTAACATAAAATTTTTTATGATGGTGGCATGGTCTCAGTTGATAGTGAATAAAAATTGAGGTAGATTTTAATTGTTTCCCAGATATTTGGTCTTATATTTAGACAATTAGTTTGATATTGGGTCCCTATTTGACATTTGATATGGCTTTGTGGTGTAATACTATTGTACAAATTAATTGGTATGGGAGCATATTGAAATTTAATTGATTGGTATTGTCAACAGTTCACTTTCATAGGTCACCAGTTTCCACAAATTGAGGCGTTTCACTGAAATATCCTGTAAAGATTAAACTCTGGGATAATCAAAGATTAAAATATACACCAATAAATCAATAATAATTGAGACAAATAATTCATGCTTCAATCATACAACATTCTCATTTGTGTCACATATGTTTAATAAAATATTTGTTTGATGATGAAAAAGATGCATGAAACAATTTAGATACCAGAATAACAGGTATAACCGACTTATCATGTACAGTAAATCCAAAAATATATTTAACAAGCATTAACCCTTTTAACCCCTATTAACAATATGGTAACCTTAAATCATATTTAAGTTAATGTCCTGCTCACCCATAGTTTCAGGACCACCTTAACCATACTTTCTCATTATGAAGTGAAACTATGGGGAGATAGTTCTTGGAATTGTGGAAGAAATACCAGCAGGGGCCACACTTTTATGAATGTCAAAACAGGTGACCACAACCACACTTAAACATATCTTGAGTGGTAAAAATGTGGTTAAAAAAGGTCATCTTTTAACCACATGAGGAGAAAACAAGCGTTTTTTCTTAAGGGCGAGTTTGAAAAAGATGTGCTTTTTATCATTTTTTGTTCAAATTGGACGCAATTAAATTGCCCCGGGTACCCCCGACTCCGGTTGCCATAGTAACTATAATATTAACCAATCAGATGGCAGAAGTTATATATTTATATGTTTTAATTTAGAAATGTACAAGGTATATTCTGACCAGATTTCAGGATGTTTGGACCAATATTTACAAAATGCCAGATACTTTTACCTTATTTATTGATCACCCTGTACATAGATAATACATTGTTTGAAAAAGAGATTAAATACCTTATAGAGTTGAGTCTGAATGAATTTATTCTACTAGATTTATTTATTTCTAGACAAATCCAACCAGCTGGTGACCTGTGTTGAGGAGAAACTAGAAGCATTCCAGGATCAGGTGGGGCAGTTTGATGCCTCCATACAACACATTCCAGCCTCAGAACAGGAGGCGGCGTACATTCCATTTGTAGGTTAGTAAATTGACCTCTGTTGTCATAGCAACTGTATCTTTCTTTTAGTATTATTGTTAATAGTCTCCAACTTTTTTGTGGCGGCGGTTGGTGATAGGTATTTGGCATCCGTAACAAATGACAGGTGGTGACATTTTGCCTGGTTATTCCTTGTTATTTTCTGTACTTGCCTATGGTGTATTAAGAATTCAAGATATATTTGTCTACTGTTCTTATCTTAATTTGGCATCAGGTTTCATTTCAATTTTACGGATTTAGACTTGGAGGATCAACTTTTTTGCTTCATACTTTGAGAATGATGGAATGATAATTAAAATCATACATATTTTAGGTAATGGTTACATAGGTGTAACATACAAGGGTGAACATGGGTTAACACTGAAGTATGGTAGGGCCCTATCTGTTTTTCTTCCCTACTACCCAATGGTGCTCAGTCAGATGGAGGGACATGACTCTAGGGCAGCTACAATCTCAGAATACAAGAATGGGGTCATTTACACCATAGACTGCTTCCAAAAAGTAAGATATAAGACATGTTTATAATATAACAATTCTCAAGAAGTGTTGACATATTTTTTAGCCAACATTTTTGAGATACTGTTGTTAGCAATTGCTATTTGGCATGAGTAACAATTGTCACATTTTTCCAGGTTGTGACATTTTGTCATGTAATGCTTTGTACAACATGTGAAGGCCCTGTAATTATTTTAAGATTGTCTTTGAATGAGAGATTTTGTTAAATAGGAAACCACAAAACATACGAGTACAATATTGAAATTACAATATTGGTTATAGTTTATGAAGCATAGTATCTTGCTGAGCATTAAGATTGAATATTGAAGTGAATAGAACTTACTTCATTCATTTACATTTCTTTAGATATATTATTAAAGCCTGTATAAACAGATTCAAAAATTGTCTTTTGATTGGCATTTTGAATAAATGACCATTTGCTATGTAAAATGTATACAAATACATAAAATAAGAAGATGAAAGCAAATAATTCATGAATTTGGTTATAATTTATTGTGATGTTATTGTAGACTACATTATGTATGACAAGTGGTAGTCAGATATATGCCCACAGGTCACGTCCCTCCATCCTAGTTCAGGACATCAGAATATACAACCCATCGGTAGGTATTTTGAACTAAATAAGAACCTTTTATTAAATACAGTGGTTCCTCAACTGATTATTCCTGTAATAATAGAGCATGCAACATTCAAAGTGTTTCTAATGTTTTATTCAGTAAAGTAGTGAAAAGTTACCTTTTGAGAATTTGGATGCACACAGTATTCTCAACGTTGTAATAATTTATTTAGTATCCTTTTATATTATCAGACAAGTATATTACAATTGAATTGATGAATAGCTTTCTTTGCTAGGACAATGCAATGACATTAGATCTACTGCAAGTCGGAACTTCAGACTGGAAGGATTCTTCAACACAGACATTTAAGTAAATTAAGATATTTTACTTCACACATTTATTTTATCAACCTTGCAAATACATGTATATCCAAAACCTGCATTCTCATTTCTCAGTCCATAGTGCCATACCAGCATTTTTAGATATAAATATATCCCTCTATATCCTCTTGGGACCGGATACTAATACGTTGTACTTGCTCAACACATTTTCATCACTTTTAGTCCTATTTGTTCACTTGCATCAAATGTACACACATTTTGAAAAAATAACAGGAGAACTTTTTTTCAATTTTTCTCACAAGATATATCTCCAATGCAATACAAAATTCCATTCAGAGAAAGATATATGCAGTTGAATTTATCTGGCTCACTCCTCAGACTTATCTGCAAGTATTGCAGGTCTATTTCCCATTGTTTATTTCAGGACATCATCTAAGTTGGAGCAAGATGTAGACTGTCTTTTAACAACAGGCACATATCCTGTGCCCAAGTCAGATAGTCTTGTTTTTGTGGTTGCTATAGCAACAGTCAAAGTTCCTGATACAGTAGAAGTCAAGTCTGGTGGGTAAGTAAGGCCATTCACCAAATAGGCTAGATATGTTAGAATTTAATGATACAATGTACTAAAATTGATATTACATCTTAATTGAATTTGATACTTCCTCCAAGAGGAAGGATGGCAAGGGATTTGTAATATTAATTTATTGCATTTTTTTCCTCATACTGAAATCTAAATACTAGTACTGTGCACTGTTATATTATTTATCTATAACAATTACAAAATCCAAAGTTTGAGATTTATTTTCTTTTAAATCTAACTGTTAACAGTGTGCTGTTGAGGATACTTGCCTTTCTCTGATTTGAACTGACAAGTATATAGCCCTACTTGTCCAAAATGCATGTTTGACAAATAGCTGATCATTTGTGCAAATCTGGTGAAATTGTTCAAACTGTGCCCAAGTTTTGAGTGTAATTATGTTATTATTATAGGACAGTAAAGTATCACGTCGTGACATCAGTGCAATATTCAACTCCAATCTCACATGGAGAAGTTGAAGAGAAAAAGAAAGAATTGGAAGAAAGTGCCAAAAATGTAAGTACCTAATTGTACAGGAAAAATGTTTTCATTTTTGTAAAGATCACATTACACTTTAGATGTAAATAAGTGAGATCAATAATATACAGCCAAAGTAACATTGTGAAAGAAACTTCAATTAATCATAGTTTATATAATGGGCCTATACATTAATTAGAATATCCCCTTTGTGTAAATAACTGGGTTTTGACATTAAGTACAAACAGGGAATCAAAAGTCATCCAGCCTCACATACGCGTATATGACTTAAATATTCAGAGTTATGATCTCACATTGTAATCCCTCTTGTACAGTAAATGTACTTCCAATCAATTCATAACACCTAAGTTTGTATCCAATACTTCAGTGCATCTCCTATAAAGTTTCAAAATCTTAATAATGTACAGCTGTATGTTGAAATAAAAACTTCTAAAATGCTATTAAACATAATCCCCTGCACTAAATATCTTGGGCAGCTCACTGGATATGTAGGCTAAAGCTATATCATTATATATAATATTACTTTAGGATCTGAGCAGTACATTGAAGATTGATGTAGTAATGCTGCGGAATGAACATACCAAAGTGTGGAACCAGGTAAACTCAGGAATATTATGCTCAAAATGTACCAGAATATCAGTTTCATAATCTTCAGGACATGAAAAAAAGGTTTTCATATATAAAGTCGGCATTTGGCATCTGTAACAAATGGCAGGTGGTGACATTTTGCATGTTAGTGCCCTGTTAGTATTTATTTAATTGTAGCAAAGTAATTAAAAAATATAAAAAATATAAGGTGAACCATTAAAATCAAATAACCGCAACCCGTGGGTTTCGATGGGATCCTCTATTCAAATGTTTATTGAGCTAGCTAGATCTATGAACAAATGTTTCTGTTTCAGCTCTGGGAATCTGGCTTCAGTATTAGCTACTCACTAGCCCCCGGGGCTATAAATGGGAACCGTATCAACGCAACCATGTACTATGTGATGAGCAACCTACGATCTCTCATACATGAAGTTAATGTTAGTCCAGTGAAGAAACTTGAACTACAGAAACTACTTTTCTTTCCTGATAGATGCTATAGTGGACATCATACTCTGTAAGCATCTGTACTTACTTGTTGAGAGTTTTCTGCTAGTTATAAAGGTGAAAAGATAATGCCTCTGTCATATTTGCCTTGGTGGATTGGCGTATTAAATATCTCAGCCAATAGCAATTATAATTTATAGGGCAACTGCAACATTCCAACAGTCACTTACTGTAACAGTCACATATGCTAGGGTAAAATCTGTAACTGCCATAAGGCCTTTGAAGTATTGAAATACTGTCGCTTTAGGACCAATGTAGATAATCTGCAGCTGGCAACACCCATTGTCAACTCAAATTAATAATTGTCTTACTAAGATTTATCTCTATGAGCTAAATTACAGTACTTATTAAGATTTTTTGAAAGAAAGTCTAAGATACATTTTAATTTTTAAAGTCATTGTGATTACTCCTTAACGAAACAATTAAAATATGACAGCCATCATGATGAACATTCATACATTTACATTTTTTTTTCTTTTCAAGACAAGCACCAGGCCTATGGATAGATACGCCAACTCAGGAAGATACTCTAGAGGTGGTCAATAGGTGGATAATCACACTAGAAAAGCAGGGGTGTATTAGTATGCTGCAAGCAGGTTTGTATATGTCATGTTACATTCAACTAAAGGCAAACTATCCATTATGTCAAAATATTTGAGGAGCCTAGTATATTTTTATCTTGAGCTTTTGTAGAATTTAATTTCAATTCTTTTAGTTTGTTTAAGTGTATTCCTCCACTTTTGTGAGAGACTTTCAACAAATACAACTACATTATCTTTATTTGCAGGAGCTGATGGTGCCTTACAAGCAATGATCTTAAGTTTTGGTGCATTTCAATTCACACACCACCATTTAGAGTTCAAAACTGATCCTAAAGACCTCCATAGGGACTATTTGTTCAGGCGTATAAACTATGGTAATAACACACATGTTAATGTTACTGTGGAGGTTGGAGAGGATAATAGGGCTATGTTATATGCTGCTCTAGATAAGAATGACAAAGAATATTATGCATGTGATGCTGGATGCCTTGACCCACCTGTTAAATTAAGGTATGTTGTATTTTAAATAAGAAATATATGTATTATATCGACGAAAAAATACCACAGGACAAGGCACAAATGTTTTCTTCGAAACCTTTGTATTTATTACTCGACATAGTATCTGATCTGAAAACTCACCAAAATTTTGCAAAATAACCCAGATGCGAGTAGAAATAATCTTGATTTACGTCATTAAAAATTCAAAATTCAGTCAAAGTAATATCATATTTGAAATCTACTTGTAAAATTACATCTAGAAATGTGGTTTTAAAAAGTGTTTATCAACTTTGAAAAATTACTTTTCTTCGAAAATGTGACTTCTAACTCGGGGAGATTCCCCATAGACCCTATGCTATAAAATCACAAAAAATGAAATATCTTTTCTTTTAGTGGACAGATAATATTTTGCTTTACTGGACATATTTTCATTAGTATAAGTATTAGACACATAAGGGTTATATGAAAATTGAGCCACTTAAATTGATAATATTCAAGTTTAAGGGAACTTTCTTATATACCTGCCATGTTAATTGACCCGAATCAGCCACCTGGTGGTGAAACTGGTAACTACCTACTCGCATTTGGGTAATTGTCACTTTATTTCCTACTTCTAGTTTAGCATTTAGCACTGAATGAAACACTTAGTACAGAACAGGTATTGTGTCAACGAATAATAACTGGGTGAAATATTGACTTAAAGAAGGCTTGAATACAGTCATGTTCGAATTAAATATAATGTTTAGAATTTCTCATTGAATCATTTTTTATTTGGACTGCTTCATAAGTGGCCGAATCCATTACCCCCAAATGAGTTGCAATATCACACTAGGTTCAATTTAGTTACCTAGATGTAATGACAGTGGAGGCCTTCACAATTATATGGAGTAGAAAACATCATTCATTTAGCCCATACTATGATATTGTAATTCTTCATCTTATATTCTAATTGTAGTAAGCAGCAGACATATTTCCCTGTGAAGCTCACTCAGCCCATGACAGCTGTACTGTACATAACTGCAGACCATGAGCACATGCAAGAACTGAAGGTTGCCATAAATGTAAAGGAGGTCAATTATGGTAATTTAGGCTATTGTTATTACTATTCTCTATCTGAAATATTGTATAAATTAAAATGAATATGGCCATTGATTTTGACTTGATTTTAATTTCTTATTTTCTGTCATATAAAAAGCCATCTGCGAGTGAGGAAGAAAAAACACACAAAATCATCCATAGGCTTGCACGGGTATTAACCAATGTCCCTTGAATTCCTGTACACAACAGCGTATTTAATTTCATTGGCCTGTCATTGTTTTAAGGAACTGTAATCTCATTCAAAATTTCTAAAACTAAAGTTTCTTCTTGGGATTCCTACAAACATGGAATGTCAAGTGAATGTATTCATTTTCAGCACCTGGGAATGGCAGAGAATTTTGAACCAAATGAATAAAATTTGTGTGGGAAATGGCAGGGAGTTTCGTGTCAGAGTTGAAAACCTAAACTTTGATAAAATAGCGTAACTGATTATAAAGTTGTGGATAAGATACATTGACATTATGAAGTGTGTGTGAAGCAAATGATTCAAGAAGTAATAGTTTTGCCCGGAAATGTCAGGGAATTTCAGTCTTAAGGATGTACAATTGTAAGAATCCTACTCATAGTGATATACCTATATGTAACCATATATTGCCTTCATTGTGTAAGTTAAATGTGACGTTTTTGTTTTTCAGCTCCAGCTCATGAGCACCATGTCATTGCTGTGCATAAACATGGCCACTCATATGGTGGCTTACCAGCTATCTTTTGGGTTTCAATCATCGTTCTCATCATCATATTTCATCTTTTCCTCTTCAAACTCATCTTCAATGAGTATTGCCAGGGACAAGCACGATTTACAAGTGGGCGTTATAACCTCTGAGTACTCACTCTGGTTATTTCAATTACTGTCAAGGAGAGCGTTGCGTTATGAGTAAAACCTGACTAACCAGAAGTCACTGTGTACCCATCAGGGACAGGCAAGATTCTCAAAATTAACGATGCTATCACTGATGGTCGATAGAAGTATGTCAAGGAATAAGGATAGAAGTGGTAGAATCATATCGTTTTTTTCGGTATGTGTACAAAGTACATGATTCGTTCCATAAGATATGACATCAGCCAATACAGTAGAACCCGCTTCTGACTTGATTGCGAAGAATCAAGTGCCTGGGACTAGGTTTGTAGGATAATAAGCAGTATCAAATAGGCCTACTCTGAATTAAAAACACATGGATTATTAGCAGTCAAGAAATCAACTGATTTGCAAGATTTAATTGACTGGAACTAAAATGGCAGAATGAGAAGGCAAGATTCAAATTATCAGTATCCTTTTGAGTAAAAAGAACTGGATTATTAATGCAGTAATTGTGTAAAATTAGGCCTAGTTGTCAGTGGAACAATTTTGGAAGAACCAAAGGTATTCCACTTACACAATTTTTACTGAATTTCTATTTGTATGCTCTGCCTTAGGTGGCAAAGCTCTACGTCTAGCTCATGGTTTTAAGTCGATTATTGTTGTGATGATTATGATGCAAATACATGTAACTGAATATGCTGTTATAATCATATGTAATAGGTTGTGTCCTGTGTGTCAGAACAATGAAAAGAAGACTGTACGGAAGATGTGAATAACTATGCAATTTTTTAGTTCAGATAAATAAGGGTTATGTACTGGGAGGTTTTGGATATGGGGTTTATCCAGAGGGAGATATGCATATCTACCTGAGGGACCGTAGGGACCGAAGGTAGATGTACATATCTCACGAGGGATGAACCCAATATCCAAACCGACGGTACATAACTGCTTTATCCTATACCAAGTAGAGTCTTCAGGGGCATATGGCCATTTCAATAGTACACGGTGTAAAAATAAACAAATCATTCATATGCAAAGTCATTTTATTGCATTACCGGAAGCGGGAAGATATGCACCGGAAGTGGGAAGATATGCACCGAAGCGGGATATATGGCGGGAGATATGGAGGTTCTGGATATGGAAACCTCAAAATCAGGATACGGGATATATCTTACCAACTTATCTCCCTAAAACTCTACTTGGCATAGGATATATAGGCCTTATGATGAAGTTCCAAGATACGAGGAAAGAATTCATGCATTATAACTAGAACAAGGAAGATGAGTGTATATTTCAGAAGTAGGTAAATTCTGTAGATCAATTTCTAAACCAAAGTTCGAACTTCCCTGTGTGTGTCAGACCAACATATTCCACTGGCCTGAGTTATGGTCAGATCAGTGAATCTGATCATAGTGGAAGCAATTCTGTCTCATACATGTCATAACTTATTGAACCAAACTCATGATCTGACTGAGGGAATCCCCTTTTTTATTTGGTTTCAGAGTTTTTGCTCATTGTTACTAGGCCTAATGTTAGATGTACAGTGAGGTCTGGTCACAAGGATCAGTTGGTTGTAATAAAAGTCTTATATTATCTTGATACCAGGTCTTCCGGGACTGCATATCAAGAGAATCAAAGAAAATTGTGTCAATTTAACATGTTTAATATGTGACCAATGTAGGGTGTCCAGGAAGTTCCCTGATTTTGGTTTTAACAAAATGGGAATTAAATCAATTAGATTGAAGGTTGATGTTATTTGATTACTCACTTTTTAGCACATAATCTTAACATATTCATATAACATCAAGCCTCAACCCGTGTTTTATTCCCATTTGATTGAACACTTCAATGAGAGCACTTCTTTCTTTCCTTTCTTGACACTCTGTTATATCATACCAGAAATTCAATTATTGAATTACTGATTAAAATTATTTTTATTTTTATATAACATGTTTTAAATGTACTGCTAGGTAAACCATAGAGAAGAATTGAATGGATAAACTTTGAAATGATGTGTCCAATTTGTACATATTTTAGTTTGTGATATAAAGATGAAATGATTATGTTATGAAGATTGAAGGTTGATTGTATATTTATAATTGTAAAAAATATTAAATGTATAATTATACATTGCAGTTTGTATATATTAGGCTATGGGGAAATGTATATAAAACAAATGGTTTATGTGCTACACTTAGATGTAGCACTACGGAGTACAGGATACAGGATATGTAGAATAATGTCATACAGTTCACATCCAGCATCATTGCTGTGTGTAATGTAATAACATATAGAGACACCAACATCAATTATTGTGTTCTACCTTTAGGAAAATAAGACAAGGCAAAATAAGCCAATACAGCTGAGAACCATGGGTAGGCAGGTGACGGTTCAATGCATGTTTCGGGCCGACTGCTGTCTATATGGCTGTCTATCATTTCATATTTAGATCGGAGAAAAAACTCATTTAGTGGTCAATTATTGGAATAAATGTTTCATTTGATGAATTGAAAATAAAAGTTGAGAATAATCAAACAAACAAAAAAGTTTATTTTCTATAATGATATACTGGCTTTATATACAATTCAATATACAATAAGTAAATATTACTGGTAACATACATAAAGTGTAGCTTAAATCTTATTGTGATTATATACAAGAAACCAATGTTAAAGTGATTTTTCATGTTCTTTTTTACAGAATATTTGTATATAAAAATATATAAATAGTTTTTAAATGGGAGTATAACAGCAGTGACTGATTGAATCATTTTAACTCATACGGGGTGAATTGGGCTGTAAAAATTACATTTCAAACAATAGATGCACCTAAATCTAATTAATCACATGACTGATTCTATCATAATCATGCAAGTCTGCAATATTTCTGTGCAGCTACTACATTTTGTAATTTTTTTTAATAACACAATCATTAATATATGGAGTTTTTTTTATTAAAACTTATCTTAAAACACAGCAAATATAAAGTTGAAATTCTAAGCATGTTTGACAAAATGTTAAGAAATCTCTTTGGAAATATAACATCTCCCTGACAGTAAATCTTGAGAAGGCGATAGGTTTAATCTTAAACAAGAATTCCAAGTCAAAATAATAAAGACATTAAACACAAGTCAAATCAATTCCATATACTCAATCAAGCCACATGTTATGATCCAACCCAAGCCACAAAGATTACATTTTAAGTACAATATCAAAGATTCCACGTAATAATCAACCTGCTAAAACAATACATATATGTTAAACTATCAAACTGCTAAAACTATTCAATATCAAAACAATTAGTCCACTAAAACATCAATTCCATGTCAGAACAATCAATCAACGACAGCAATTCAATGTTACAACAATCAATCAAAATCATGAATTTCATATTAAAGCAATCAATCAAGTAAATGAAGAATCATTTCAAAGTAACAATGATCAACTTAAACATCAATTCTATGTTTAAACAATCAATTCACCTGAACAATAATACCATGTCAAAACAATCAATCAACAACATTAGTTCCATATTAAAACAATCAATTGACATAAACAATAATACCATGTCAATACAATCAACTTAAACATTAATTCCATGTTAAACAATCCATTAACCTGAACAAAGATACCATGTCAAAACAATCAATCAACTCAAACATCTGTTCCATGTTAAAACAATCAATTGACATGAACAATAATATCATGTCAAAATAATCAACAACTTAAACATCAATTCCATATTAAAACAATCAATTGAACTAAACAATAATACAATGTCAAAACAATCAATCAACTTAAACATTAATTCCATGTTAAACAGTCAATTAACTTAAACAACAATATCATGTCAAAACAATCAATCAACTTAAACATTAATTCCATGTTAAACAGTCAATTAACTTAAAAAACAATATCATGTCAAAACAATCAGTCAACTTAAACATTAACTCCAAATTAAAACAGTCAATTAACCTAAACAACTATATCATGTCAAAACAATCAATCAACTTAAACATCAGTTCCATATTGAAACAATTAATTGACCTAAACAATAATACTATGTCAAAACAATCAATCAACTTAAGCATCATTTCCATATTGAACAATACCATGCCAAAACAATCAATCAATTTAAAAATTCCATGTTAAAACAATGAGTTGTCCTAATCAATAAAACCATCTCAAAACAATCAATCAACTTCACCATTAATTCCATGTTAAAACAATCAATTGGCCTAAACAATAAAACCATCTCAAAACAATCAATCAACTTCACCATTAATTCCATGTTAAAACAATCAATTGGCCTAAACAATAAAACCATCTCAAAACAATCAATCAACTTCACCATTAATTCCATGTTAAAACAATCAATTGGCCTAAACAATAAAACCATCTCAAAACAATCAATCAACTTAAACATTAATTCCATGTTAAATCAGTCAATTAACCTAAACAAAAATACCATGTCAAAACAATCAATCAACTAAAACATCAGTTCCATGTTAAAACAATCAACTGACCTAAACAATAATAAAATGTCAAAACAATCAATCAACTTAAAGATCATTTCCATATTGAAACAATTAATTGACCTAGACAACAATACCATGTCAAAACAAACAATCAACTTAAACATTAATTCCATGTTAAAACAGTCAATTAACCTAAACAACAATATCATGTCAAAACAATCAATCAACTTAAACATCAGTGCCATATTGAAACAATTAATTGACCTAAACAATAATACAATGTCAAAACAATCAATCAACTTAAACATTAATTCCATGTTAAAACAGTCAATTAACCTAAACAACAATATCATGTCAAAACAATCAATCAACTTAAACATCAGTTCCATATTGAAACAATTAATTGACCTAAACAATAATACAATGTCAAAACAATCAGTCAACTTAAACATTAACTCCAAATTAAAACAGTCAATTAACCTAAACAACTATATCATGTCAAAACAATCAACTTAAACATCATTTCCATATTGAAACAATTAATTGACCTAGACAACAATACCATGTCAAAACAAACAATCAACGAAAACATTAATTCCATGTTAAAACAGTCAATTAACAACAATATCATGTCAGAACAATCAATCAACTTAAACATCAGTTCCATGATAAAACAATCAATTGGCCTAAACAATAAAACCATCTCAAAACAATCAATTACCTTAAACATCAATTCCATGATAAAAACAATCAATTGACCTAAATAATAACAATAAAACCATGTCAGGTCAGGTCAGCACAAGCTCTCCAACAAAAAAAACATGAAGACAATATTTTCACTAAAGTATTCAAAGCAATAAAATGAACAGCACAAGATGTCAAACAAAAAAAAGGCACTGATACAATGTTTCCACAATAGTATCAAAAGCAATTAACTAAGAACAGCACAAGATCTCAAACAAAACAGAAACTGAGACAATATTTCCAAGAAGGTTTTAAAAGCAATCGAATTAGAACAGCGCAAGATCTCCGACAAAAAGCCATTGATGTAATATATCCAAGAAAGTATTAAAAACAATGAATTAGACTACAACAAAATAGGCCTTGGAAATAACCATGAAGATAGTAATTAAAACAAAAAATAGAACAGCACTAAATCTTGAACAAAAATAAGCCACCAAGACAATATTTTCGCGAACGTATTCAAAACAATAGAATTAGAACAGCACAAGATCTCCAACAAAACAAAACCATGATAATAGCCATGAATGAAGTATTTAAAGCAATGAAATTAGAACAGCACAAGATATCCAACAAAAAGCCACAGAGACCATATGTTTACGAAAGTATTCAAAGCAATAAATTAGAACAGCACAAGATATCCAACAATAAGCCACAGAGACCATATGTTCACGAAAGTATTCAAAGCAATAAATTAGAACAGCACTAGATCTCCAGCCAAAAGCCATGAAGACAATATTTTCAAGAAAGTATTTAAGCATTAAAATTAGAACACCACAAGATCTCCAACAAAAAGCCACTGAGAAAATATTTTCAAGAGAGTAGCAAAAGCAAAAAATATAACAGCACAAGATCTCCAACAAAAAAGCCAGATAATATTTTCATGGAATATATTCAAAGAAATAGAATTAGAACACCACAAGATCTCCAACAAAAAAGCCATTTAGACAATATTTTCATGAACTTTTTCAAAGAAATAAAATTAGAACAGCACAAGATCTCCAACAAAAAAGCCACTGAGACAACATTTTCATGAACATATTCAAGGAAATAAAATTAGAACAGCACAAGATCTCCAACAAAAAAGCCATTGAGACAATATTTTCATGAACGTATTCAAAGAAATAGAATTAGAACACCACAAGATCTCCAACAAAAAAGCCATTGAGACAATATTTTCATGAACGTATTCAAAGAAATAAAATTAGAACAGCACAAGATCTCCAACAAAAAAGCCATTGAGACAATATTTTCATGAATGTATTGAAATAAATAAAATTAGAACAGCACAAGATCTCCAACAAAAAAGCCATTGAGACAATATTTTCAAGAAAGCATCAAAAGCAATAAAATTTGAACAGCACAAGATCTTCAACAAAAAAGCCACTGAGACAATATTTTCATAAATGTATTCAAATCAAATCCATAAATGAAAAAAAATATCATTGATTATTAATAGGCAAAAATCAATGACTTTTTATCATGTTGGCTAATTGGTATTCTGTAGTTCCCATTTACAAATATGCCAATAGGCTAGTTTGAGGTAACGTTTTCCAACAAACAGTGTGGAAAAATATTCAACCAACAAACCACTGATAAACACAATTATAAGAAATATAATAAAAAAAATCAACAACCAAACAACCCCAATACTATTAAAGGACAACTGAAATAGCTTTTCTCAACTTGCAGCTACAAAAATGCGGTTTTCTCTATTGTAAGCCCACTGTAGAGTTCTTGCGGTAGCCATTATAAAATAAATGTTAGATAACTGCTAACGGTCATAGATAACGAAATAAAACTAACTGATAAATCAAATTGGCCCCCACGTGATTAGTAACGTCATATACAAATTATAGCTTTGGTTTATTGGTTCCATAGTAATCACAACGTCACGGCAACCATAGGATTGTTGTGTAAACAAATAACAAAACATTTTGGCATTATGACGTCATGATCTAATGGACCAAAACGGTCCACGTGGGGGCCAGTGAGAGATCAGGTCGGGGCCAATAACGTCACAACCAATTCGAATATTGCTTATTAAGCAGCTATAACGATCGTTAGAGTGAAATAGTTTTCACACTACTGATTAGAAAACATGTCCAAATACATCTATCAAAAAATTATATTGATTCCTTTAGGTTAAAAATACCATTTCATATCTGCTTTAATAGTGGAAATAAATGTACTACTAGAAAACGAAATAAAATGAGACAAAATATCCATCCAAGAAAACAATGGGCAAATCATAGCTTGTTTGGGCAAACCCAAAACTAATCATTAAACGAGATTGCAAGAGGATGATGTGTAATTGTACAAATGTATCATACCAAATCATAACAATGAAAACAAACAAAACAACAACAAGTCCACAAACATTTGAGGCACATTTTGTATGAACCTATCAACAATTTGGAACAAACCACCACTACCAAACCACAAGCATCTCACACGTAGCAGAGGACATTCAATACCTTGAATTATACCTTCCAGATACAACAGTAGTGCCTGCATGCCTAAACAACAATTCCAATCAATCAGAATAAAGTTCCAACAATTACCCCCTCTAGTCTACTCTTCCTGTAACAATTTCAAGCGCACTCAAACACATAACAATGGACACAATATAAACCTATCACAAATTATGCCAATACTTGCTTAGAGAAGATCTACTATTTGTAACCCTCCATGAATACTACTAAAAGTTTTGTTTCACAATGATACAGAGTTTGATTAAATTAAACTTTTTACTATGATATTTTGAGTTTGTTCGATGTTTGTATGTTCTTAGTTTATCTTCACATTTATACTGTGAGGGTATTCCCATGTCTGCTAACTTTCTTTTGTTTGGCTTTTCCTTGGCTCAAATGACTCATTGTACTGGCTCGTCTCTCCATTATTTTACCGAATCTTGATTCAACACTGAATCGAATCTTGTCTTCCATGATTGGGTAACTGTGCATCACCTCATCTAAGTCTTTCTTAGCAAGCACGAACATGTCTACATGACTGATAGCCTGGACAGACTCCTGTCTGGGGATATCATAAATGATGTTGATTTCACCAAAGAAGGCTCCTTCAGCCATATATTCACTCTCACTGCAGCTATTCCCTGTAACTTTCACCTAAAATGGGCCAAATCAAAACATTTAGAGATCTACTCTGCCATGTTTTTTCTCTTTGTCTATTGAATGCTGGTCGAATATCATGAGAGGAATGTGAACTTATATAGTGACTATAAAGATACTGTCTTACCTCTCCTTTGTAAATGTAGTACAGTTCTGAGCCCACATCACCCTCCCTGACAATGCAATCACCAGGGACAAACAGCATTGTGTTGATTTTCATAGAAAGAAGACGTGAGAAACTTGCCTCAGCATCTTCAAACATTGGAATCTGTATAAGACAATTATGGAACATATACAAGCTATTTATTGTATTAGGCATGCATTTACTTTCATTTATATTGACAAACTTTGTTTCTCCTTTTATGTTGATATTATACGTAGTTTGTTTTATCCTACATCAAATTCTCTATCATGAATATACATGTATTAAAAATGTCATCGTTGAAGTGGTTTCCTTGAAACATAGAATCAATGGACATTTCAAGAGATTATGGTTTGAAACCATTCTGATTTATCAGAGTCTCTTTTTATCTAAAGCTTGTGAGAGATCTCTATTCCAAGAGATAGTAGAGACTATGGATCGCACTATGATTTGAAACAAAATATGGAATTCATGTATAATGTAAAGTCGTACATACTGTATCAATCATACACTTGGTGAGGCTCAGATAGATCTCAGCTAGGAATGGCTCTGGACAGTCCATCAGATTAGTCTTTACATCAACACCCTTATTCCTTGTCCACAGGTAGTCATAGTAGGAAATAACACGATTTTGCAGGCTTGATGTCACTCCTTGGTCTACTAAGTAGTCCTATAATTTTAATATGACTGTATGTAGAGCTTAAATTCATATGATAATACATAAAATGAATTATGAAAGTTGAGTTGCAACAAATAACTACATTTTGTTTACAATGGTGCAAATGCAACATCAATCTGTTAATAATATAAGTCAAAGAACATCAGTTTAGATGATACATTCTGGTTTTAGTACTTGAGGTCATGTACATATCCTGTATTTACACTTTCTTACAAGATAAATCAAAAGAATTTAATTTTTTGTGGTTGATTTTCTTCTTGTTGTTCTAATGTTCCATTCACTGACCTTTATTGCCTCTAGTTTGTTGTCATAGTTGACTCTCTGTGTTTCTGCATTGGCCAATGTAGAAGCAACGTTTCCAAGGATGAAACCAAACAACAGTTTACCAAGCACCATTACAAAACTTGCAAATACTGGAATGGAAGAATGTAAGAGAGTGAATATTTACAAGTCAATCTCAGGTCCTGTTGTAAATGGAACAGAGCAGTCAACAGATGTGACAGGGACAATTAAAGAAAACAACCAATTTAGCCAAGGCGACATTATAACTTCAAATATATTATCATTAATTCTAAGAATCATAAACTAAAACCATAAGATACTCCAAATGAAAAATTGCTACTAAATCTATTATGCTTGAGAACAATAAACTTGATGAATATTGATGAAGTTATTTCATATTTAAAATTAAAGATGAATAATGTAGGTAAATATAATTTACTGTAAATAAAATATTTTACTCATTTCTAAAAGGCTGTAGGCATGTATATCCCCATATCCAGTAGAAGTCATGGTTGCCACTGTCCAATATACACAGTCACAATATTTCTGCATTGGTGGGATGGATGGAGAAGTAAGATCTATAAAATGAATGAACACACATTGGATACAAAGAATTATTGTCATTGTATTGAGAAAAATGTGAGAAAGATGCATTGAGAGTGAGACAGATAATGCAAATGAGATAAGTCCAATGCAAGTGAAAAGATCTAACGAATACAAGTGAACAAAGGTGTGATGCCAATTATTTAAATGAGAAAATTGTGATGCCAATTATTTAAATGAGAAAGATGAGATGTAAGTAAGAAAGATACAATGCAAGTGAGAAAGATGTGGAGTAAGTGAGAAAGATGTAATGCAAGTGAGAAAGATATTGAGTAAGTGAGAAAGATGTATTGCATGTGAAAAGGATGTGGAGTAAGTGAGAAGGATGTAATGCAAGTGAGAAAGATATTGAGTAAGTGAGAAAGATGTAATGCAAGTGAGAAAGATGTGGAGTAAGTGAGAAAAATGTAATGCAAGTGAGAAAGATGTAATGCAAGTGAGAAAGATGTGGTGTAATTTAGAAAGATGTAATTCAAGTGAGAAAGATGTGGAGTAAGTGAGAAAGATGTAATGCAAGTGAGAAAGATATTGAGTAAGTGAGAAAGATGTAATGCAAGTGAGAACAATATTGAGTAAGTGAGAAAGATGTAATGCAAGTGAGAAAGATATTGAGTAAGTGAGAAAGATGTAATGCAAGTGAGAAAGATATGGTGTACGTGAGAAAGATGCAATGCAAGTGAGAAAGATATGGTGTGAGAAAGATGTAATGCAAGTGAGAAAGATGTGGTGTAATTGAGAAAGATGTAATGCGAGAAAGATATGGTGTATGTGAGAAAGATGCAATGCAAGTGAGAAAGATATGGTGTGAGAAAGATACAATGCAAGTGAGAGAGATATTGTGTGAGAGATATGTAATGCAAGTGAGAAAGATTTGGTGTGAGAAAGATACAATACAAATGAGAGAGATGCAATGCAAATGACCAAATTACAATGAAAGTGCAATGCAAGTTAGAAAGATTTATGAGTCTCAGAATGGTTAAAGTTGTAAGTTGTACCTGAATGTTGGGCCCATGATCCTGCAGTACATACACCTCCTGGGCATGCAATGAAGTACCAGACACAGCCACCCACATGAATGATTAATAGGAGCTGCATGACAAACTTCAGCAAACGCACCATCAGCATGCTACAATAATGAAGTAACATAAAAACATAGCAAGGGTGTACTTGGAGGCTGACAAGTGGGGAATGATTTATCATTTTTCAAAAATGTCATATAGGTCTACAAAATAAAAGCCAGGGAGCTCAAAATAGCATCTTTTGCCCCCTTTTTTAATTGAACATAATCATAATTCTAATTAAGTTACAAGTCTTACTTGATGTTAAGCTCCTTTTCCCAACTTGCAAAGAACTGGGACACTCTGTAGAATCTTATTATGTGTAGAAGTCGCAGATAGGAGAGTATCCTGAATCTTTCGTCCCCATTGAATGCCAGACAGATGATGTCAATGGGGAATATGGCAATGAGATCAAAGGCAAACCCATTGAATCTACGCATATAATGCTTGAAGCTGATCTTAAAATCTGTTACCATATCGCCATAGGTATCAATATAGCTCATGTGGCAATTGATGAAAATCTGAAAATGCATTTGGCTACATCTGTAAAAGACAGTGGGTACATCTGTAGATGGCGATATATTTGCATGCTGGCAGTTATTTTCTTTGATCTTTTTCCTTGTTCATGTGCAGTACATGTCTTATCTCCTAATATATTATGCAGATCATGGTAAAATATATACAACTATTTTTACACTGAACAAGCATTATGAACAACACAATTCGGTTCATAATTTACAATCTAATTAGGCAATGGTAACTTACATCATAAAGGAAGATGGCTTCACAGGTATAGTTGATCACATAGAAAACAATGCTGTGATGCTGATATGCAGCCTAGAAAACAACAAGTTACATCTAAATAGGTTATCTACATCATTTCAAGGGCATTTTTAGAACTCCCTTTCCCTGTTTGAAATAAGCTAAATGACAATGTACATATAATATTTCAATGTTTTATTCATATAATTAGGCATAGACTGAGACATTATGCGTTTAATTAACATGGACGCATTGAATGCATTCACTGCACATTCATTGCATAAGTTTTCCATATAAGTAGCATAGAAGTACAGTAAAGTACCTTAGTTTGTTCAACCTTACCTCATAAGTGATGGTCCAAGCAGTAATAAGAATCAACAATGATATCAGTCTCACATGGACCCTTGCATATGTCTTGTTTGGATTAATAGTAAAACTATTCAGTTTTGAGATTCTGGTCACAATGTTGTTGAGTCCTCTTGCAAAACTACCCTGTCTGATCTCTACTTCACTATCATCTGGCTTTTTGTCATCACCCTCATTGTTATTGATGTTATCTTCATCATCGTTGGCACTAAGATAGTTGTACATGTCCCCATCACTGTCCTCAGTGAAATTACTGTCATCATTGTTGTTGTTTAAGTCATCATCATTGTCTGTATTACAATAATGACAGTTCATGTTGTCATGCCAACAATTGCTGTTGTTATTCTTGTTGCTGCTGCTGTTGTTATTAGAGTTATTTGTTTCATCAGGAAGGTTTGTTGTTATATTAACAACAGCCTCCACAACCTCATCTTGTTCTTCTGAAACCAGTTCATTATGAATTTCAATTTCCATGTCTAAATTAGTGTATTTTTGCCAGTGACATTATCAAAAGGGCAGTGTAGGGTTTTGGCAATATTTAGTTACACAAAACAAATATTTTTTAGAAGCACTAATTTTGCATCCTCGGTTGCAGTGTTTAATGTAAATGCAAAGTGTATGACAACATTTTCTTTGGGTGCTTTGGAAATGAACAATGTGGAGCTGACAAGTGAGAAGAATGCAAAGGGTTACTCTCCAATTAAGTGACTAACAGTACCTCAACAAAACGAAAAATTGATCGAGAATAGTATTTGTTTTAGATTGTACCTTGGGTTATTGTAGAATCAGTGTGTGGCTTAATCAAGTGGACTGATGGTGGAGGCTCAGGCTTTGGTTGTGGGGGTGGTGGCTGCATATCAAATAAATATTTTTACATTTTTATTTCATATCATACCTAAAATACACATGACAAGGTCTAAAGCATTGTTCACTCTTTTGTTAAAAATACAACGCAGAGTTTAGAAAATAAAAAATAAAGGTAACTTTCCACTTACATCAACAAAAACAAATAGTTAATATACATACTGGTAAATGTTTCCAGGCCTTTTATGTTGTGGTGGATCATTTATAATGCATTGCTTACTATATTTATTTTAGCTGCACTCCTCTTCTTAGCCTGCTCTCTTCTCTCCTCTGCTGTCTGCAGCACCTGTTCACGTATGGCAGGATAGAATGCCAATACCTCATCAAGATCTTTCTTGGAAAGCACAAACACATCAGCATTGGTGCCTGCTCTGGAATCAAATAAACTCAAATGTGCTTCAGCGATGACATTATTTTTTTCATCACTCAATTTGATTGTGTTTTGTTAAACGACTAGTGTTAGATATTGCATTGTAATTTGTACCTTATGGATGCAGTTCTAGGGCAACTAAACAACAAAGCAACTTCACCAAAGAATCTTCCAGGCTTCATAGTGTCAAATATCATTGTTCCATCCTCTGACACCACATCTACTGAGCCACGATGTATGAAGTACATCTAGAAAAGGAAAGGCATAATGTAGCCAGGCGAGAGACAAATTTTACCCAAAACCATTTTCAAATTTTTTTCAATTGAAACTGTGAAAATAAGGTCCAATAGTAGTATTATATCCCCTGTAGATTGCCTCACTAATTCAAATTAACATCTCCTACTTTTTAATTTTGACTATGGCATTAATTTTTAAAGGATTTAAGTCCAGGGCTCGATGAATTGTGGATGATTTTAATCATGAATGTCTTGTTTTAAGTCTTTGAATGAGAGTGGTAGCACAAATCATCCCTATTCATTCTACTCCCTTTATTGAATAAATACTACCATTACTTTTTTAATTTTGACTATGGCATTAATTTTTAAAGGATTTAAGTCCAGGGCTCGATGAATTGTGGATGATTTTAATCATGAATGTCTTGTTTTAAGTCTTTGAATGAGAGTGGTAGCACAAATCATCCCTATACATTCTACTCCCTTTATTGAATAAATACTACCATTACTTTTTTAATTTTGACTATGGCATTAATTTTTAAAGGATTTAAGTCCAGGGCTCGATGAATTGTGGATGATTTTAATCATGAATGTTTTGTTTTAAGCCTTTGAATGAGAGTGGTAGCACAAATCATCCCTATACATTCTACTCCCTTTATTTAATAAATACTACCATTACTGAAACAATTGCTGTAAAGGAAACTAGACTTACAGTGCTTCCAATGTCAAACTTTCTCACAACATATTCTCCCTTCAAGAACAGCATTGGCTTGATGCATCGGGACAACATTTTTGTGAAGCCTACTTCTGTGTTTTGAAAGAGTGACACCTAAACGATTCTAGCATAAATAACTTCATATATTGATCGAGTAATACTGTATCAATTAGGGTGGCTCAAAATAATTTTTTTTTGGAAATGTTATGCTCCCTACGTGAATCGAGTTGTATTTTGGGGTTAATATCACCTGTGATTTTTTTCAAATTTTTTAGTCAACTTTTAGGGGTCCCCCACAGCCTTTGAAGTTTGCCCATAGGCTTAACATTAGTGGGCGTCGCCCGAAATTGTACTTTGTAGAAGTTTTCTTCTAGAGTGATTTATATATGTTGTTTGAAGAAAAACAACATTGTATATGATATGATTAGATGTTTAAATCATCATATTACTCAGTTTCATCATGTGAACTTATATAAAAGGTTATACTTACAATATCCTATTAACAAAATATTAGGTACATTCGACCAGTATAATTATTTGAACAAGTAAAGTTTTAGGGAATCATATCTCATATATGATTTGGTAAACTGTAAAAGGTATATTCATTCTTGACATTTGATGTTTTAAACATGGTTCAGATCAGCTTTTCTTATATGTGACACTCTTCCTCTAAGATCTGAGAGTACAACACATACACTGTCACGATGCGCCACGTCACAGGTTATTTGAGATATTCCTGCAGATGATACCAGAACTTGAGACTGTGAAGAGGTGCTGTGGTTGTCAAGGGGGCACTTAGGAAATACGATCCGTAGAGACAGACCACATATCCCACAAGTTGTGTTATCCTCTGCAGTTGCTGTGGAGTAAGTTGGACAAATAAGTGACTGAGCATGAATATCTTCAAGAGGTAGAGACTCTTCCCCATGAACCTGGTACAGTGGTAGGCTCCAGGTTGGTTGCAGCTCTTCGCAGTGTAAGACAGAGCAAGAGAGGAGAAGCAGGAGCTTGCTACAGCACTGCTCAACATCCCACGGCCTGTACAATTTGCATCTGGCAAACCAGGACAGCCTGAATTCAACCCAGTTGCTGCTCACTTAGGCAATGTTAAACCATCACGAGCAATGTTTGTAACTGAGAGATCTTGGCTCTTATCGTGACGATGTATGTGTTGAACGCTCAGAGCAACTTATGTTCAAACCCAGAATTTCTGTCAAGACCTGCATTCTGTTAATGATCCAGCTGAACAAGCAGTGAAGCTGGTACAGGAATGCTCTCAAATGACCCGTGACGTGGCGCATCGTGACAATGTATGTGTTGTATGCTCAGATCATAGAGGAAGAGTGTCACATATAAGAAAATCTGATCCGAACCATGTTTAAAACATTAAATGTCAAGAATGAATACACCTTTTACAGTTTAAACCATTAAATGTCAAGAATGAATACACCTTTTACAGTTTAAACCATTATAATGACAATACCAAATCATATATGAGACATGATTCTCTAAAACTGTACTTGTTCAAATAATTATACTGGTCGAATGTACCTGATATTTTGTAAATAGGATATTGTAAGTATAACCTTTTATATAAGTTCACATAATGAAACAGAGTAATATGATGATTTAAACATCTAATCATATCATATACAATGTTGTTTTTCTTCAAACAACATAAATAAATCCTTCTAGAAGAAAACTTCTACAAAGTACGATTTTGGGCGACGCCCACTAATGTTAAGCCTATGGGCAAACTTCAAAGGCTGTGGGGGACCCCTAAAAGTTGACTAAAAAATTTGAAAAAAATCACAGGTGATATTTACCCCAAAATGCAACTCGATTCATGTAGGGAGCATAACATTTCCAAAAAAAAATTATTTTGAGCCACCCTAGTATCAATTCAGTCCTTTTATACGCCTTTTTTTATATTTTTGATTCCTGTGAATGAAGCTTATTTATATCGTGTGTGGTTGTTACTCAGGGTTGTATATATCTATGAATTGATTTGATTTTACAATTTGATTTATATACTAGCCTAGTACATTTCATTGTTCATTGTTGACTAAAACAAAATGTGATGCAATATATTAAACTTTCCAAGCCACCATGAATAGGTGTTATGAGCGAACTCAATTTCACTTTTAATGGTATAAATGCAACATACTTTTAATTTGACAGACTAATCTGTATGAGTTTTATGCTTTCAAAGATTATAATTATGAATTGTCATCATCAACCTACCTTGCTGATAAGATCCTCATAAAGACTAAGTGTGACATCTCCCCAAAGTGAGATTGGCAAGCCATCAAAGATTTTCTCTGGATCCACTCCTTTAGTTCTTACCCACACATACTCGTAGTACTTTATAAGTCGATCTTTTATTTCAGAATCCATCTTCGTATCCTATTTGGGAAAATAGAATGACAGGGAAATAGTTTTGTTTTCTAGAATTTATTTAACCTCATATGCTTATTTTGCTCTAACAAAATTTGGTAGGTACATAGCAAAGGCCTCCAATAATCAGTTCATCCCGATGTGATAGATCAAAGGCCTATATACCTATGGACTGATTTTGATGGCTGTTGCATTATCATTATACGTATAGTTGATCCTAGTGATATGTTTCACAATTACCTGTGCAAAATTATTAATAGAATCTAGCTTTTCTTGAAATCTGGCTCTCTGGGCATCAGCGTTGGCCAAACTGGCAGCAATACTAGCGATAATATAGCCAAAGAACAGGACGCCAAGGATCATGATGATGAGAGACACGATCATCTCTATCTCCGTGTGAGCATTGATTTCACCATAACCCACAGATACTGATGTGGCCGAGGCCCAATAGAAACACATGACATACAGCACGCTAGTATCTACTGTACCTAGAATAAGAGAGCACAATACTAAAGTTAGATTCTGAATACTTTACACACAATTCTTGACCATTTCATCATACTCAATTGTGTTGAATCATAGACTTTATAAAAAACTCTATAAAAGACTATACATAAAAAGTAACTTACTGATATCAATATTGAAGTCGGATTTGACAATCCATGAGTCTGCTTTGCACTTATGTCCACCACTAGTAGTTATGTAGTTCCCTACAACTGCACTTAGCTCTGGGATACAAGCCATCATAAACATGGCACATGTCAGCCAGTTTAAGAAGATCAAAATATACACCAAGAATTTACCAGATCTGAAAGGTATGAGAAATAACATTCAACTTGTCTCTGTATAGTCTTTGTTGCCCCTTTATGGCTTTAATGTACATTGGTATACTGTATATCATCATGCTTTGAATGCTAGCCTGAATATTTCTCTCCATTTTCTACAAGTTCATGGATTTATATAATTATTGAATATCATATCATTGTATTGAAAATTATAATGTCTTTTTTACTTTCCAATGGTATATAGTAAGTGAATGAATAAATGATTTCGTAAATAATTATATTAATGCTTAGAATTTATAGAAAATACTTAAATACTTTAAAGGGTATTTTTATTGTCCCACCCTGCAGGGCTGTACATCTATTGAAAAAGAAAAACCTGTGTGTTTTGAACATTTTTTTGCCAGATTATCTCCAAAGCAATCAATTCTTGACAAATATCCTGTCCTTCAAAAAAAGCTTATTAAGAATTATAATAAGTCACAACTGTTTCAATAGAGGAGGTGATCAGTATCTCAAATTGACCATTTAAATATTTTTTGCAGGTAATATAAACATAAGCTGCTTACTCTTATGAGGCAGTTGCAGAAAATCTGCAAGAAATCTCCTATCTAGTTCAACGTTCACTAGAGACAGGATAATTCAATTGATTTTGCCAAGATTTAGTGTTCACTGCCCACAGTTAAAGTAGGTGTTTGCTACAGAATTGTACTTTAACATGGGAGTCAATGGGAGAGGTTTTGCCCAAAAATTTCACTGTTGATAGGTCTGTAGCTGTTCCCTAGAGAGATGCGTTTGTTCACTAACTCAGCTTTTACTGTATTGACATAGTATTTACATATAGATTACCTTATATTACCAGTGTCTTTCTCAACAGAAGACTCTATATAGTTGAAGGCAAGTGGAATACGGTAGACCTGGATCAACCTGTTCAGTCTGCATAGTGCAAGTAGATGTAAGCATTCAGCTAGTGAAAGAAAAAAAGAATGTTCAAAAATGTGTTCTTGGCAATGGGCAGAATAAAATCTAAGGCATTTGCCATTAATCATAGAATCAGGGTCTTCATTCCAATTACAATATGAAAAACAAAGCAGAAAAACAACAATTTGCATTTATGAAATTTAGAGGTCATACATACCCATTTATAGGCCAGTAAGTTTTATTTATCATAACCTCACCTATAATCTGGAATAACAAATCAATTTTTTCAAGGAGAGTGGTGATATGTTAGTTGCTATACTCACATGAGAAGTTAGGACATGCAGCTAAAGCAAACACCTCTATTGGGAAACAAGCAATCAGGTCCAGTGTAAATAAGGACTTGAAATAATGTTTAGACGTTGAGAGTGGATGTGCCACTAGAACATGCTCCTCATTGTAGTAAGATGTATGGAAGCCAATGTACCTGCAGAATAACATTTAAAATAAGTAAATACGCATATATTAATATATAATGTTCTTATTTTAGAACAACTCTATTCTGGAATCATCTAATACAATGCACTTCTACAATTATAGAATAAAACAACTACAAAATGCAGATACCAGAAAAATGCTGTTTATTTTAGAATGATTCTATAATAAACCAAAACAAACAATAAGAGCAGCCCAGGAAAAACACTCTCTTGGGTGATCCAATATAAAAAATAGATACGAGACTGCAAACATTAGGCTGCCAGTTAAAGAAATCACAATTTAACTAAACCATTTCAAACTACAGATATGCAGTCCATTTTGGAATTATTCAACGCAAGAGATCACTATTGTGCATAATACTTACAGGTCTATATATGCAATGATATCAAAGATGTAGTTGATGATCCACAGTGTTGTACTTGTGTGTTTGAAGGCTGCTTGAATGGGAATGGTGAATGCTAAAATGATCACAATCAGGGTCCGCATAATTTCCCAGCGCTTCAGGAACTTCCCAGTTGGCAACAATATGTGTCTGGAAGGATATGCATGGAATTTCTCAAAACATTGTAACTACAAAATGGTTTTACCGCTACTTTGATTCATTGGTTTTTTATTAATTATATAATATAATATCAGACATCGCATAATATTATATTACAATTATAGTATATCATTATTTCATATGTTTTATTACTATCATAATATTATGGTAATGGCTTACCTCATAAGCATGCATGATAATGTCCTACTGAGAATGTTTAACTGTTGAAATGGTGTTATGTAGTCTTCTTTATGTTTGTTGAATGTGACCTTGGATGCTTGTTTCTTGTGTTCTCTCTCTTCTTTTCTTACGACTATAATATTCAAATATATATATATATTTTTTTTTACATTTTACTTATTAAATACAGAGACTTTCTTTTGATCGGTAATCAATTATTAGTTTAATGATAATTCAAATGAGTGACTACATTTCAAAAATGAAATGCATGTGTTTTGATTACTTTGTACTTCATTGGTTATGTATGGTCATGGGTGACACAAAAGTTGTTCAGATTCTTGGAAGTTGGAACATGAACTTACTATCTATCATAGATGTGATTTTTTGATTACTATGAATCATTTCCAAGTTCAACCTCTTCTGGACATTCAGCAATCTCTCTTTGTTCTTTTCAGCTTTTGTAAATTGGCTGCAACAAAGATCATGTAGGCTTCAACGTTTCTGTAATTGGCAATTAGTAAAAGACAAAAATTCAATAAGGTGAAAGCTGATTTGACATTTTCTTGTAATATTTTGATGAAGTAGTTGGTTCATGGTTGGCTACATCCATGTAAGTAGATCAATAATTACTTACTCAGCAATCAGTGGAAAGTCTTCCAATACTTCATCCAAGTTTTTCCGATTCAAAACCAGTATCTCACAGTATGTTTTAGCTCTTACTGTGGCCATTCTGGGATCGCCAAAGATCATTCCAATCTCTCCAAAGTATTGCCCTGTCGATATGACTGCAAGACACGTCTCTAGGTCATCTGACATAATCTGCAGTAAGGTACAAATTCGTATAACATCAATGACTCACTATTTGGCCATTATTTCAGCTAATAACCAGTACTCATGGTTTATCCCTTACATAATGAATTCATGACCCATTAATCTTTGTTTCATATTTAGTATACTGTTCATTGTGTTATCATATTTATTGGACAAACCTCTAGTGTTCCCCTCCTCACACAATATATCTCTCTGCCCATATCTCCAGCATACACAACTATATCATCTGGGGAAAATGTGTAGACATGGGCCTTTAATGACAGCCTCCTCATAAATGTCTCATCTGTATCCAGAAACAGGGGAATCTATCAAAAAAAGAATATAACTCCATCCTTATATGCATCACTGGATTGTGATTGTGATTAGTCAAGTGGTCAGTATTTATAAACCAAAAGCAGTTGGTAACACATTGTGTCAAATGAGACCATTGCTAATCTGATTCTGGTTGATAAGTTCTTCTTTATTAATATCATAGGGTTACAGCATTAGCGTTGAGCTAGTATGGTACTGCATAATAAAATATTAATTTATTTAACAATTGTTGCCTCGTTATTGCTTTTACCTTTCCAAGTGTGGACATTGCATCTTCAACAGCAATATCCTGTTGTAGCGAGACTGGCATGTCATGCATGATCGATTCGTGGCCTGGAATGTATTCACCCCTAGAAAAAGCAAACCCTTAATTTTAAATGAATGTTGCTTAAATCTGAATTTCAGGATTATTTTCACGTTGGCTCATGTTTACAAAGCATTGCTAAGACATGTAAGAGGCAATGGGAATTAATCTACATATTGCACTGGTTTCGTAAATTCAATTTGACAATTTTACTCATGTTTTATGTTTACCTATTTTTCTGCCACAAAATACTTAGATATTTTGTCACACGTTTCTGGATGGATTTATTGAGGTTGTTCTCCTTCATGAAGGCTTTCACACCAAAAATATGACTTTGATAATTAACTCTGAAAAATACAAACAAGGTGCGTGTAAGTGGCACATCCTCTTGTTACCACATTATATTGGCCATTTATGTATTTATTTATCAGACTGCACAACAGAGAAAAATAATTCAATATAGGCTAAAATTCAAAAACGTTCAAAAGTTCAAAAACATATAACAGAGACTACACAAATTATATTTTAATGTTCTACTGTAATTATACTTGTAGTACGTAATTACATACCTGTTTGCATCCAAATTAGCTAAAGTTGCAGCAATGGCTGCCAAACAGTAGCCATACAGCAGAAGTCCACATAGCATTGCACACAGAGCAATAACTCGTCCCAGTGTGGTACTAGCACTGATATCGCCATATCCAGTACTGCTCATTGTTGCAGCAGCCCAGTAAAGTGAGAGAACATACTCAGTCAGTGGATGAGTCGCACTGTCGATTCCTGCCCCCGTAGCCCAACTATCTACCACACATCTGTAGGCGTAATGGAAAACTGTTTCACATGGCCTATAATTAGCTTATATCGGTTTCGTTTAGTATATCTTATGTAGAGATCTATGGTTTCAGTATGATATCATTTTTATCAATCAAGCTTTTGTGTTAAGGTATGGACAAAGTCATTAAAATTCAAGATTCGAGAACAATTTTTTCCACTGGAACTGAATTTTTATTAAACATTGTTATAAGTAATTTGGAACTATATTTTGGCAGTCCATCACTGAAGGCTGTGATGTGTCAAATTGACACTTTTAGCAGCCAAAAACGGAAATAATATGCAACAGAATGAGATGCGAATGGAAAACATATTTTTAGACAGAATTATTTGGATACGACTTTACAGACCATACTAGAAAAGTTACAACTAAATATAACCACTTTTCAGACAGCTCCACCATGTGCAAAGCATCGAAGATTACAAATAAATGTAACTTGTAACCCCTTTCTTGACAATTCCATCGGATACCAAGTATTGAATATTACAAATAAATGTCACCCTTTACCGGCAGCTCCACCATATACAAAGCAATGAATATTACAACTAAATGTAACCCATTTACAGTCAGTTCCATCCGATACAAAGTATTGAAACATACAACTAAATGTAACCAACCCCTCTACCAACAGCTCCACCATAAACAACGTATTGAAGATTACATCAATAGTACCCCTTGACTGGATACAATGCAATGAAGATTACAACTTAACCTTTACCGACAGCTCCACCAAAATACAAAAAGCATTGAAAAATATCACCACTTCATAACAGTTTCTCAAGTATGTATAAAGCATATTAAGAATTAGTGATAAACCAGAGTCCATGAATCTAAAACGTCTCTTGCGACTTCCCCATTTAAAATCTTCCGATATTATACATACAGGGTGGACAAAAACGAAGATATTTTTATTTGGACATAACTTTTCTAATAATGCATATATTTTTGATAATGTAGGAATTTACTTTTGCGATTGTTCCTGAAACCATGTGCTGAAACGGAATAAATAAAACACCAGCGATTTTTGAGTAAGAAAGGATAACATACACTAGTAGGCGGGCGGAATTGGAGGTCCAAAAAAAAGTTTAATGTACAGTTGCAACATATTCTCGTATTTGGTACCGTTGGAAAGCTTGTGGTGCCTAGATTTGAGATCCACTTGTTAGATATTACGAAATGTGGGCCGAATGTGTCTAAAACGCCCGTTTCCATGGTAACCACAAAAATATGGTGTTAATAAGCAGAAAATTGTTTTTATGCATAACTTCACTTATATTGCTCTGATTTTAATGAAATTGGTATCAAATTAAAGAGAATTAAAAGTTCGATTTTTGAAAATAACATTTATGCAAATTAGCTCATTTGCATATTGATTGTGACGTCATCACTGCATTATTTTGCGTATTTTTTGATAAATGAGTATATTTATTTCAGTACAGTAATTTACAGTTGCAACATATTCATGAATCTGGTACCATTGGAAAGCTTGTGGTGCCTAGATTTGAGATCCACTTGTTAGCAATTACGAAATGTGGGCCGAATGTGTCTAAAACGCCTGTTTCCATGGTAACCACAAAATATGGTGTTAATAAGCAGAAAATTGTTTTATGCATAACTTTACTGAAATTGCTCCGATTTTGATGATATTGGTATCAAATTAAAGAGAATGGAAACTTCCATTTTTGAAAATAACATTTATGCAAATTAGCTCATTTGCATATTGATTGTGACGTCATAACTGCATTATTTTGCATATTTTTAGATAAATGAGTATATTTATTTCAGTACGGTAATTTGAAGTAACAACATATGAATGAATTTGGTACAGTCAGAAAGCTCATGACTCCTAGTTTTAAGATCTGCTTAATAGCAATTCTGAAAAGTGGACCGAACGCGTCTAAAATGCCAATTTCCATAGTAACCACAAAATATGGTGTTAATAAGCAGAAAATGTTTTCTCATGCATAACTTTACTAATATTGCTCCGATTTTGATGAAATTGGTATTAAATTAAAGAGAATGAAAAGTTCTTATTTTGGAACTTACTTTTATGCAAATTGGCTAATTTGCATATTGATTGTGACGCCATCACTCCATTATTTTGTATATATTTTCGAATACATGAGTATATTTGATTCAGAATTTCTGATTGCAAATCCAAAAAAACTACACTACATGTACAAAAAAACTACACTACATGTACGTTCATTTTGGCATCGCTAAAAATGGGCATAACTTTGATGTTCTTTGCTGCAGTCAACTTACAAATGATAAAAAGGGACTCATTTGGAAAAACCCAACCATCTGTCTCAAGGTGGTGGGAGAGGTGTCCACTACTATGTCAAGGTCACTGTTCCACAGCTGGATGACTCTAACTGCCGTTAGCTTCATTCAAGATGGTTGCCGAAATTCTTTCGTTTTCGATAAACCCCCGTTTCAGCTAAACTAAGTTGAACCTGGATTCCAAATGTTTCGCCATCCAAAGTAATAAAGCTACGACAGTTAATAACCACAAATAAATGCTCAAACAACCGCGATATTAGAGAATTTTAAAGAAATGGCTTCACTTAGAATGACTCTAACTGAGAGAAAACGGCTTCACTTAGAATGACTCTAACTGAAGTTGATGATCTACGTCTTCATTACGTCATCATCAACTTCAGTTAAAGTCATTCTAAGTGAAGCCGTTTTCTCTAAAATTCTCTAATATTGCAGGTATTTGGGCATTCATTTGTGGATGAATACAATCATAGTTTTATTGATTTGCATTGCGAAACTTTTGGAATCAAGATTCAACGTAGTTTAGCTGAAATCGGGGGTTTATCGAAAACGAAAGAATCTTGGCAACCATCTTGAATGAAGCTAACTGCAGTTAGAGTCATCCAGCTGTGGAACGGTGACCTTGACATAATAGTGGACACCTCTCCCACCACCTCGAGACAGATGGTTGGGTTTTTCCAAATGAGTCCCTTTAGGTATAATACATGCTATGTAACATTGAGGTATAGTATATTGTAATTTTCGATAGGCACTGACCTCAGTGAATCAATTATTTTCTATTTCAAGGCATTATTCGAGTTTGCTTTTCTTGCTGGGTTCTTAGGTTTTAGTCTCTTCCCTTTGGTGCTTGTGCTTAGATTTTCACTAAATATTGCACTGATTTTGATGAAATTGGTATCAATTAAAGAGAATTAGGGAGTTCATTAGGAGAAGTTACATTTATTCATGTTAGCTTATTTGAATATTGTTTGTGACACCATAAGCTCATAATTGCTACATAGTGAAATCTTTTTTTGTAAAAAGTGTTCCACTTGCGAGGTGTTTCACATCAGGGATTTATAGTACAGATTAAAAGATAAAAGACAAATGTCAAGACTTTTATACGTTTATTTGTCAGAAAATTTCGAGCAGGACATTGACAAAATGTATCTATGTGTGCAATTAATTTATGCATATCTTGAAAATAATAGGTTGTTCATTAAATCAACTTCAAAATGACAGTTTAATTTATGAAAATGAATAGGCTAATCCTGTGGCCGACAGCCGATAGTTGCACAAGTGAACACAAGCTAAGATTGCAATTTTAAAGTTTCCTTTGTCATTTCAAATCTATTAAGTACAAATGTATAGTGTAAATGGGGATTTTTTGTTTATTTTCTGAAAACGACAGTGACATTGTCTATTGGTATGTTTATATCTTAATCAAATATAACGATTTGAATGGCCTAAGTATGTTAACCCTCGTGTGTACATTGGGGGTCGGATTTTCCCCGGTACTTCTCTGCCAAGAAAATTTGAGGTGATTGGGGGTAATTTGGCTGAGTTAGGATGGTGGGAACTTTTTCAGATATTGCTAGAAAATCACACCATCTCTATGGTTTCATAGAATAAAAATATAAGCTGGCTCTTTTTACTTTCTTTTGGATAAAGACCATATAGTATACTAAATACCTTTACAAATAAGGCATATTACAAGGTAATCTGACTTTTATTGACTGAGATATGAAGTTTTCAATATTATATTGTCTGGGTTAGGAGGATGTAGAAGAGAGATGTTGGGAGTCCCCCATTCGAAAATTTTGATATGATCATGTTACATAGCATGTATTATATTGCACAGTATATAGCATGGTAGCATAGCATGTACCAAGGTAGCATATCATGTAGCATAGTAGCATAACATATAGTAGCATAACATGTAACATAGCATGAAGCATGGAAGCATAACATGTAGCATAGCTGGTAGCATAGTAGCTTAACATGAAGCATAGCATGTAGCATAGTAGCATAACGTGTTGCATAGCATGTAGCATTGTAGCATTACTTATTGCATAACATGTAGCTTGGTAGCATTACTTGTTGCATAATATGCAGCATAACTGGTAGCATAGTAGCACAACATGTAGCATAGAATGTAGCATCGAAGCATAACTTGTAGTATAGCATGTAGCATAGCTAATACCATAGCAGCATAACATGCAGGATAGCGTGTAGCATAGTAGCATAACATGTAGCATAGCAGCATACTTTGTAGCATAGTTAGTAGCATGGTAGCATAACATGCAGCATAGCATGTAGAATAGTAGCAAAACATTTAGCATAGCATGTGGCATATCAAGTAGCATAGCATGTAGCATAACATGTAGCATAGTAACATAGCATGTTGCATGGTAGCATAACGTGTAGCATAGCGTGTAGTATAGTAGCCTAACATGTAGCATCGCATGTATCATAGTAGCAAAACATTTAGCATAGCACGTGGCATGATAGCATTACTTGTAGCATTGTATGTAGCATAGTAGCATTGTACGTAGCATAGTAGCATAACATGTAGCCGGTAGCATTACTTGTAGCATAGCATGTAGCATGGTAGCATAACATGTTACATAGCTAGTAGCATTGTACCATAACATGTAGCATAGCATGTAGCATAGTAGAATAACATATAGCATAGCATGTAGCATAACTTGTAGCTTAGCATGTATGCATGGTGGCATAACAGGTAGCATAGCTAGTAGCATAACTTGTAGCATAGCATGTAGCATGGCACCATAACATGCGGCATAGTAGCATAACATGTAGCACGATAGCATTACATGTAGCATAGCATGTAGCATGGTAGCATAATATGTAGCATATTTAGTAGCACAGTAGTATAACATGCAGCATAGCATGTAGCATAGTACACGTGAGTAGAATAACATATAGCATAGCATGTAGCATCAGGCCTGTCAACTGTCCCGCAATTTGCGTATTTGTCACGCATTTGCTGAAGAATTTGAAGTCACGCCAGTTATTTTTGCATGACAAAAAATGTCACGCAAATACGCATTTTACCTGGTAATTGTCAAGCAAAAATATTTCTGTAGAAAAATTTCTAAAAAAGATCGTCTACACAGCAAAAATACGAACGCCGGAAAAAAACGTACGCATTTCGTTCGGACTTTTCACGCGAATTACGTATATGTCACGCATTCCGTTCGAAATTTTTCGTAGCTACCCCCCCCCCCCCCCCCCCCCCCCCCCGTTTATGGATGTTTGAAACGCGAGCGTAGTGAGCGCGAAAAATTTGAGGTGTTCAAAATCTGGCAAGATGTAATAAAATTTAAACCAAGGTGTTCAAAATTTGGATCAAGATGTTCAGATTTGGACCAAGGTGTCCACATTTTGAGGGGAGGTGTTCAACATTTCCAAGTCACTCAGGTTAGGTGTTCCCAAGTTGACAGGCCTGTAGCATGGTAGCATAACTTGTAGCATAGCATGTAGCATGGTGGCATAACAGGTAGCATAGCTAGTAGCATAACAAGTAGCATAGCATGTAGCATGGTAGCTTAACATGTAGCCTAGTGAACATGGTAGTGAACAATAGTAAACATGCTAGTGAACATTAGTGAACACGCTAGTGTGCAATAGTGAACATGCTAGTGAACATAGTGAACATGCTAGTGAACAATGGTGAAGATAAGTGAACACGCTTGTGAACATGCTTGTGAACATAAGTGAACATGCTAGTGAACATAAGTGAACATGCTAGTGAACATAAGTGAACATGCTAGTGAACATATGTGAACATGCTAGTGGACATAATTTAACATGCTAGTGAACAATAGTAAACACCTAGTTAACAATAGTGAACATGCTAATAAACAACAGTGAACGTGCTACTCAACAATAGGTGGCATGCTAATGAACAATAGTATACATTACATAATCGTAAACAATAGTGAACAGGCTTCCCAAAATATTAAGAATTTAGGATAAAATATTTGCAAGGGACTTAACTTTTTTGCGAGGTCTTGGGTCGACAAGTATTTACAAATGGTTATTCTTTACACTATGACCCTTTGTTTGATATACTATATGTCTTTATTTCTAAATATTCAATTTCAAATTTCAAACCCGATTTGATTTGCGAGGGCTAACATTTTATGCTAGGGTCGTGGATTGACAAGTAATAATAAATATCTAATCTATGAACGATGCGCTTTCGTTTGATATACAACACGACTATATTTATTTATCTTCAATTTTTAACCTATTCCAAACCCGACCCACGGGCCGTCATTAGACTCGATATGGAAATAAGCTCATCCGGGTACTTTTCCTACATCTTCTATTCACAATTCCAATTCATTTGAAATGCTACACAGCCATACTCTAGCTAGGCAACTTAACTTTTCAAGATTTTTAAATGTGCCCCTTCCCCGGGCGCTGTCGAGTGACATTACCATCGTCATACATATCACTCGTGTTTGAATAGGTCGGGGGATTCCGGAAGTCGTCAACACAGTCAGAATGAGACAATAATGACCTCAAAATACAGATAGACAACCGATAAACGTGTAGACGTGAACACCTTTTCACAATGTATGGGGAGGGGGGCACGATCGAGGGTGTTCCATAGATGGCGCACTCTCAGCCATCTCGTAACGTTAGTACACCTTCGGTACAGTCAAACCTACATTTAGGCACTGGTTACCTCTCGGTATTTTCCGTAATTCTACAAGAAAAGCCCTATACTACTCTAGCCTACTTTGTACATTTCTTTCCAAACCGCCATTCTGATTTCTCGCTAGAAAATGTCAACTTAAGGATAACAACAAGTTCTGGTTGATACAAAATGAGCTGATAACTTAGACTTTTGAAAATTGACTTATAATATTACTGTGACCCAAATGCAGAACCCTCCAAAAATATCCTTTATTATAACATATGTAATCAGCTCAATTTTTATTTCAAAATAACCTCATGAACGTTTATTACGAGGGAAAGAATCCATTCAAACTGACCTTGTCCAAGTATGCCATTAAGTGAAACTCCTATATGTTATATACATAAGAGTATTTGTTACTTATTACAGATCTCTACAATACTTGCAATGCCTTGAAATAGAAATACCTTGATTCACTGAAGTCAGTGCCTATCAAAAATTACAATATACTATACCTTCACAGTTCCACAGCTGGATGACTCTAACTGCAGTTAGCTTCATTCAAGATGGTTGCCAAGATTCATTTTTCGATAAATCCTCGATTTTAGCTAAACTACATTGAATCTTGATTCCCTATGCGAATTAATAAAATACGATTGTATTCATCCACAAATCAATGCCCAAACACCTGCAATATTAGAGAATTTTAGAGAAAACAGCTTCACTTTATAGAATGACTCTAAACATGGGCTTTCAACCAGCTGTAGAACAGTGACCTTGACATAATAGTGGGGTTATTCCAAACGAGTCCCTATTTGTCATTCGTAAGTTGACTGGGGCAAAGAACATCAAAGTTATGTCCATTTTTAGCGATGCCAAAATGAACATACACGTAGTATTTCGTTTTCTTGGATTTGCAATCAGATTGATTGAAGCACTTTCGAAAAATATAAACTAACTTTTTATTACACGTCACCTTAAGAAAAGAACATACTTACGCAATCAATAAAGAAACTCTTAGATTGACACATTTGAAATAGATAACAATTGTCTTAAAGATGAGTGATATTTGCGATTGATTTGCGGCAGGGTAAGGGCTATCGCAACTATTTTGCCAGTTGCGATTGGAACATCTTTCAAATTTGCGATTGTGTTGCGCATAGCATACAGGCTTAGAGGATGATACAAATCCTGATTGTGATTCTCAAAAATTGCTTTGCGTTATGTTGCACTTGCGAATCAGCATTGCGATGAGCGGGTGATGAGGCATTATAAGTTTTCTAAAGGTACAAAATTAATTCATATATCGTAACTGTACAGTACCATACTCAATCAATATACTCATTTATTTGAATATATGCAAAATAATGGAGTGATGACGTCTCAATCAATATGCAAATAAGCTAATTTGCATAAAAGTTAGTTCCAAAACTAGAACTTTTAATTCTCTTTAATTTAATACTAATTTCATCAAAATCGGAGCAATATTAGTAAATTTATGCATGATAAAACATTTTCTGCTTATGAACACCATATTTTTGTGGTTACTATGGAAATGGGCATTTTAGACACATTCGGTCCAATTTTCATAATTGCTAACAAGTGGATCTCACATCTAGGCACCACAAGCTTTCCAACGGTACCAAATTCATGAATATGTTGCAACTGTACATTACTGTAATGAAATAAATATACTCGTTTATCAAAAAATATGTAAAATAATGCATTGATGACGTCACAATCAATATGCAAATGAGCTAATTTGCATAAATGCTATTTTCAAAAATGGGACTTTTAATTCTCTTTAATTTGATACCAATTTTATTAAAATAAGAGCAGTATTAGTAAAGTTATGCATAAAACAATTTTCTGCTTATTAACACCATATTTTGTGGATACCATGGAAACAGGCGTTTTAGACACATTCGGCCCACATTTCGTAATTACTAACAAGTGGATCTCGAATTTAGGCACCACAAGCTTTCCAATGGTACCAGATTCATGAATATGTTGCAACTGCAAATTACTGTACTGAAATAAATATACTCGTTTATCAATAAATGCGCAAAATAATGCAGTGATGACGTCACAATCAATATGCAAATGAGCTAATTTGCATAAATGTTATATACAAAAATCGAACTTTTAATTCTCTTTAATTTGATACCAATTTCATTAAAATCAGAGCAATATCAGTAAAGTTATGCATAAAAACAATTTTCTGCTTATTAACACCATATTTTTGTGGTTACCATGGAAACGGGCGTTTTAGACACATTCGGCCCACATTTCATAATTGCTAACAAGTGGATCTCAAATCTAGGCACCACAAGCTTTCCAACGGTACCAAATTCGAGAATATGTTGCAACTGTACATTAAAAAGTACTTTCCTGGCACTTTTGAGCCATCATTCCGACTACCTATAGGGGTATATACAGGATAATAGTGTAAGCAACAATTTTACGTCCTCCAAATGCTTCAATTTTAAAACAAATGTGAATATAAAAGGCGCAAGAACCCTACACAATTTGTCTCTCTGATAGACTGCGAAAGACATCCGTCTGTTCAAATATATATAGTAGTATAGTGTATTGGGTAACTATAATCACTGAAAAGTCGTAATTGTCAATTATTACCTTGAAATCAGGAGTTTTGATTCACATCCTTGTTGACTGTTAAACCTAACTCATTCAAATTCCACTAAATGTATAATTATGCCATTTTAGGGTTCGATTTTATAAATGCAACCCTTGCGAAAATATTATTGAAATCCATACATTATAAAAAAATTATGGACGTTTTTAAGTGCCACCCTGTGTATTCATCTATCTATACTTACTGAAGGGAATTGCATGCCTGAATGTACCAAGCACAAGCATACATATGAGACAAGATAGTGATGTAGAAGGCGAATTTGAAAATACGAATGTTTCCAATAGACACGTTGATAGATTTTTCCATTTTACTTGTCAAGTGCACAACCTATAAAGAGTACTAAAAGTTAAATACTGATATATTTCTAATGTTTTATTAACAGACTCGAAAATCGAGGAAAGAAATTAAAAATATCAATATGATTTGATAAGGTAGGCCAATGCCTGCTAATATAAGACATTCAGTAACAAGTGTTACCCCTAAACCTGTAAACGACCCTTTTGGATATCGAATATGTCACAATTTAGCATTTCATATTTGCATGTTATGCAATACAACAGGAAGAGTGAAAAAAGGCATTAACATGCAAAATGACACCACCACCGAACACCAACCGCCGAACAACGTCAACAGAATGCAACTTGTCATCTAAAAAGAGTCCATAAGACCGTCGCATTTGTTTTTGTTTTTTTATTGAAATATAGTTTGTATTTCTGCTCAGTCCACGCTACATTACCTTGTATATTTTCAGAAGTCGGTTGAGCCTTAAGAATGCGAACAACACCCATTTCCAATTTTCATCGGTAGCTGTGAGGCAAAAGATTTCAAGAGGAAAAGCTGCAGCTACGTCAAACCAAAACCTGTAGGAGCTGATGTATCTCTTCACGATTAATTTGAAATCTGTTTCAATGCCTGAAGTATTGTAAATGATTCATTTTATAGGGATGATCCTTCTCTAACCGAAAATGGAAAGTACGAATGAGTGTGAGGCATTACCCTGAACGTCTTTATCAATGGAATTGTCCTTACGTGTTGAATATGAGTAAAAGGGAGGGAATAGAACTGAAAATAATGTTTCGTGCATTTTAATAATGAAGGGCAAACATAGCAAAATGAATTGAATTTTATTCATCATTCACCTATAGCAATATAGTACCTAGAGTAGAGTAAATATAATATCAAACCCATTTACCAGTGTCCACCACAATTCCAGTTTTGAAGTGTATCACAATGTCCATGACCAAGATGATATCAAACAAATAGGAAACCACCAGGAATATGATACCAAGCGTGCTGTCAACGTAACCTAGAATTAATTATATTAATTATTTGTTATTACATGTATTATCAGCGTGTGTTTAGTACAAAGGTAAAACGATGAACCCATTTCGCTCTAATCTGATTTTATATTATATCAATGTGAGATAAACAATAAAGCTAAAGTACTATTTAGCGTGTTCCTCATAAATATAAGAAAAATTGTATATTCTCAAAAGCAAGAAAATATGGTATTGATGAAATAAATGCTGATGTTTTAAATGAACTAAAAGAATCATGTCACTTATACTCTACAATCTTTACGAAAAACACCCAAATTATGATGATTATAGCACTACAATGGATGAGACCTTTGCCATTAACTCGAAATACAAAGGTATGGATTTTTGTGATATCATTATAATCCACTCATTTATATCAATATCTGCACTCATTCGCTACGCTCATGATCACTTGTCCATATACTGATATCAACTCGTGGATAAAAACGATATCAAACCATGGAATACTTATTCCATGGTTGCAAGGATATAGATCACGTAAAGATGTATTTGATATGTGGATAAAGATATCATATTTTAGGAAAAAACTCCCCAAACCATCGAATATCTTTTCTTAAAAAAGTGTTATTCGATGGTTTCAAAAGTTATATTCGATGATGGTTTCGATTTTTTCTGCGCACTCACACTTCACAGTGAAGATATCAATATCCAGTCTTGGATATAAATTATATTTTTCCAAAACCATAGGCTATTCCGATATTTCTCATTAACACTTACCGTGTCTCGGAGAGTATGCAGTAAATGCTGCCATATAAGTGTAAAGAAAGGCAATCAATATTGCAACAACTGAGACTGTTTTCTCCCAATTCCTGTAGAACTTTCCCACTGGGTCAATGTACGTGTTACGTATGTACTCCATGTAACCCTCTTCATTAGTATCTTTCTGAAATTAGTGAAATGTTTACAATTCAATAACAGCCATATGGTAACCAACACAATTGATGTACCCAATGGACGTGCTTTTATATTCGTAGATGATAAAATGTCAAAACATGCACTGAACTTCATTTTTCTTTTTCTCTTAATCTGATGCTATTCTGCAATAATATCATCTTAGTTGATTTTACCTGATCTGTAAAATCCCCTTGTTCTTCAGAAATGGGCATCAGTTCCAGTTCATCATTAACAGATAATGAGGTCCTGCGATGTGTGTGAATTGCACTTTTGTGTTGGGAGTTGGCGACAGGGCGATCAGCGGTCATCTCTGCGAAGGCCTTATGCGATTCCCTATGGTCAGAAGTGAGATCACTTTTTGGTGCTTGCACAGCCTAGAAATTATGATTATGTCTAATAAAGTATATTTATTGAAGTTCAACATTCTTTATCGTATTTGTCCCAAATCATTATACTTTACAGTGACCAACACATATTGAATACAGCCAGACACCATACTACAAATATTAATATGTAGATCTATATATTACACGTACAAGCTAGTTTGCAGATTGAACAGGATCAAGGCTTACTTTGAAATGGACATCATCGGCAGCTTTTGGGATGTCAAAATCGTGAATGTCATCTGCACCACTGCATCTAGTTTCTGCTGCCACCTGAAGCTTGGGTAATACTGCAAATAAAATTTAGCTAGTGGTACAAAAAATCAGCTTCGTGTGACTATATATCGTTTTTATACATTTTATGTTTTGTTGTAGTGGTTAATAATCCGTTTCATCATATAGGTTTGAGACCAACTCGATATTTTTTCCAAAAATAATTTACAACTGGAAAATATTTACATTGGTTCACTCCATTGACGTTTTGGCTCTTTGGTTTCAGTCAATGTTCATTCAAAGTTGATTGGAGGTATTTTTACATCTGGCTGCCTGTTGTCTTATTCTATTACTTGTTTTGAAGTAAAATGAAGAAAGAATTTGTAAAAATATGTATGCTATGGATTTCTCCTTAAAAATATATGATTTTGGAATTTAGGTATAGACTTATGCTGGTGGTTGCGGTCGTGTTGGGGTAAAAGGAAGTTCATACACGTACTCACAAATCATGCTAACGGTTGATTTGATATGCAAGAGGTTTAAGAACTACTCTTGTTAACGTTTTTTCAATTACTTCTGTTATATAACATCAGGTCTTGTTTTCATGATTCGATCAACGTGTGTAATGTCTCTTTTAGGCTTTTTAATTTTATTTATTCGGTTTCTTTTATGTATGCTTTTAAGTTTAGGTTCCATCAGCCATCACAGTATGTCTCCTGTTAGTCATTCTTTCAATCTGATAACTACTTACTTTCGGGATAGTGCGACAATACCAAGTTCAGATCAGACTTATCCAATACCATGATGTCACAATGTGTTGCAGCTCGAATGGTTGCGGTTCGGGGCAAACTGTATATCAAACTAACTTCCCCAAACAGTTTACCAGATTTGAGAACAGCGATGGGAGTGTCATCGTCATCTTCAGACAGTACCTGATAACGTTTGAAATTCAATTTGAATAATATGCGTGTGCCTATGCATACTGTGTAAGTGTCAAAATTAAGAGTCGTTGTATTTGTAATGATCATTAAAATGTATATTGCGAAGTATAAATCTCATAAACCATTTTAAAAAGATAGCTCACCTCAACTTCCCCTCTATGAATAAAAAACATCTGATGTGCAACATCTCCTCGACTCACGATGATTTGGTTTGGTAGGAACATCTCCGGCTTGATACTCATTGCCAGCATTCTCAAGAAGCCTGGGTTCAAATCTTTGAATATGGGAGCCTGGAAAGAAAAATATATCATGGTAAACACAATTCGTCGTTTCATAAGTAATCATATGGATCGATTCCATTGGTATACTATGGTTGTCAATGGAACGAAAATAAGGTTTAATATTATCATTATCCCTTTATTTGACTTTTTAAGTGAAAACATAAATATATCATTTGAATAATCAATTTCTACGATTTTATATCAAACGAACACGAATGATGGAACAATCCAAAGAAACATTCATACTTGCATACCTTTTGAATAATAATACCATTTATAGTGTATGAAAGTTCTGCCAAGAACGTCATTGGCAGGTCACTGAACAAGTTTTCAGTTGATACACCTTTCTTTCGTAGCCACAAATATTCGTAGTAGCCAACAACTTCTTTTTGTAGGTCCTGACTGACACCCCAATCTTGCTGAAATCAAATCAAATGAGATATTACAGAAATCATCATGACTAATTAAATATTCACACATAGCTAGGCATGATATATCGAATTCTAGTATTTGAATAAGCTGCATCTTAAGATTCCAACATACTACATGATGGATATTTTCAGATTCAGTGAAATTTCATCAATATCATAGTTTTAAGTTGGCAGTTGAGTGAGAACCTATAAAAAACTTTAAAAATTCAAACCTTACCATATGATCTTTAATGGCGCCTAGCCTGTGTAGATATCTTGCTCTGTTTGTGTCAAAATTTGTCAACATTGACGTCATACCACCCAGCAACATCCCAAAGAAGACTGATATTCCCGCTAACATTCCTATAACTGAATACCACTTTTCGTTTAAATTAACTGGGTAGATGTCACCATATCTGAAAAATAAGAGCAGTACCTTTCAGATAACGTTGGCAGCTCCACCCGTCTTATGTACTAATGGTATGACTGATAATAAAACTGGCATAAATCTTTTACATCAAAGCTTACCCAGTAGAAGTGGCAGTTGCCATAGCCCAATATAAAGACACTACATAAGTTGTCATTGCGTCAGCTTGTTCTAGGTTTAGTCCGAATGAAGGATGCTTTGCCCAACTGCCATCGGTGCATGTTCTTGTCATCCCCGCATGCATCCCTTCGCATGCAATAGCGAACCAACCACAGGTCAAGGCATGGGTTGTAAAGAGACATAAAACTAGGTATTTGAGGGCTCGAATGATGATAGTATTCGAACCAAGTTCAGCTTCCCTGTTATCTGAAAAGTATTCACATTGGTTAATTCTACTTTAGCTGTTAGTATTATTCAGCTCTATGATTTTTTGTTTGACTGTTTGACTATTTTAGACTGAGGTAGAATGTTAATTGCTCTACGTTAAGCAGTCGTGTGTATTGCTTCGCCTAAAAGCAATACACAAGAAAGAGGTGATACAAACCCTATAAATAATTAAAGCACTCCTACTTACCAAAAAAAGATGGGATCTTATAGAAGCGAATATATCTGTTTGTTCTCAACTGGGTTAATGTTTTCCAAATAGGTTGTCCAACCACAACAAATGCAAACAAATCAAGTGGCAAGATTGATATGGCATCTAAAACAAACGTTGTCCTCAAATATCGTATTCCAATTTGCCTCTTTTCATCAACAAGAATTCCCTTGTCGAGATAGCCAGTGAAAAATGTAAGAATGATGTTGATTATGAAGACAGCATCACAAAAGTAGACGAGTATCCAAAGGGTGAGAACTTGTGATGTAAAAGCCGCCATAAACATGTCTATGATGACTGAGAGAACGATGGTCCATACAACAAAGGCTTGCCATGTTCGCATAACAGGATGCAATGGTGAAATGACTCCGTTTTTCAAACATTTTGGTGCGGATGTTGAAACGTCGACTTGATTGTTCAAGCTTTCAACTACGACTGGAACTTCTGTCGACATAGCCGATATGTCGGTAAACTTCATACAGACAACATATGCTCACTTTCAAGTAAATCTACAATAAATTGATTTAATCTATTCACTTTTTTATACCATCCTCCTGAAATAAAGATGCCTCCATTTTCGAAATTCTATCTAATGCGTATATTACGTCACATATAAATATCAGTTCTTGGAACATAACGTCATTGCCATAATGTTTTGTCAAAACAATTATAATGACGTCATTCCTTTTTCATTAGTTGCCAATGACAATAAAACGACGTTGTTGTGGAGATGAAGTATTTGCAAGGTGTCCAAACATCTTTAAAATGTCATACGAAATAGTCATTTACACCTAGTAAGGAATCAATTTTATTAAACAATGAATAGGATAGTTTCTAAATAGCAGAAAAATCAATGAAATCTCGTGCTGCCATCTTTTATTCAGCTTTTAACTTGGGCTAGAGCTCCATTCATTTACATGCTAAAATCTTGGAAAAGTTGCTTAATTTCATGATTTATCAAAGTGTGTTTGTTGAATCTGTATAAAACTTGAATGATATACCATATGATGACCCTGTTTATGTACATGTTGTGATTAAACATGCAAATGTTGATTGACATACAAATAATCCACGGATTTAAGGAATTTTAGCATTGCATATATGGACATTTGGCCCAAGTTTTTTTTAAATTGTTATAGAAAATTATTCAAATTACATAACTGTGTAAATCAAAGCAATTGTAGGAGAAAACATTTCACTGGATTCAAATATGCCATTTAAAAAAAGGTAATGTAAGTCATTAGAGGTCTAATATGCAAGTCTCTTGAAATCTCACGAAAAACGAGATTTAGCGAGATTTCAAAAGCTATATGGAAACTATACTATTCTGCCCGCCCCTTGGCAAAGAACGCTGTGCAGCCATTCGGTCTTTCAACAATGGTCAGAAAAAATCATCGGTCTTATTTATAATATAATATATTATTATAAATCATTAAAGAATATACGATTCAAGCATTCTTTTGTCCCACCAAGCTGCAAATTTAATGTTTTTATCAAGCGTAACATGTCCTCGTCCTAGAATATTTGTTTAAAAGAGATGTACTGGTCTCACTTTTTAATTTCCGTGGCCTGGCTAGATTTGAAATTAAAAATTTAAAGAAGTTACATAGTTAAAACATGTAATGGGTCAGTGGTGCATACTCGTTTACCAGTTTTGATGTTCAATATTTTTTTTTATTTTTTTATTTTTTTATAATTTTTTTTATTTCAAAGAATAAGCATGTTAAAGCAATTGCAAAAAACAATTACAGTACAGTTACATGGTAAACCTACATTTAACAATTTTACAATACAGTACAGTGGTTAAATATTTCGTCTTAAGAGACGTTATACCATTGGCATTTTTTTTTATTTATTTAAAGGAAAAAAATCATCAGTTTCATTTGTTTAATTTTGTTTCCATGATTTTCCACTTATCGCCTCTGCCAACCCGTTTGTCCATTATAAAATATTCCTTCACATTACTTATAATATATTCATACTTCATACTTTGGTAATCCAAGATGCCAGACGATGATTAAATCAGCTTGTGGATTCTACTAGATAATCACATGTAGCCTACAGCCTTTAATTGAAAAATCAGGAAATAACATTCGTATTAATTCATTAACGCCAAATTTGTCAACACGCGATGCAATTTCCATTTATTTAACACATTAGATATACCACAATAGAGGTATCATCACAAGAATGGAAATAATAGGTGGTTTGCGGTATAAGTAACCGTGAGTTCGAGTTCTACATTCTTTTGCACATGACCAGTCAATGGAGTTAGGCCACAAGATCAGGTATGTAAATCAAGTTAAAAGTTTTACGAAAACAGTTGAATCTTAATTTACTAATTTTGATTTACTAAGTTGTACATAGTGTAACTTAAATAATTTTTGACTAGATTTTAAATGTAGTTCAACAATATTTTTTAAAATAATTTATTTCATATGTTAAGTTTACCGTTTACAATTTCAAAAGGTCATACGTCACGCCTAACCGTCGACAAGGTACAGTGACAAAATATTCCGTAGTACACTTTAGTACAATCGCCTCGTCTGAACGTGCCGGCGCTCAAGCCCTCTCGGCCTACTCGAGCATGTTCAACTATTTTTGCTTTTTCCTTTTATGAAAGTATTGTTGTGGTGGTGGGTAATTTGTGCCCATTTAGTTCGCTTACAGCCCAAACTCCCATCCAGTGTCTCAGAATAGAATATGTTGAAGACTAGTACTGCCACGGAGTCTCCTTCCAGCCTGTTTGATTATTTGGCGTCTGTACCTTACGTTTTGTTAGTTACATTGATAGATAGATCTAGTGATTTATACTAGCTTATTGGATATGACTTTTTAAAATCTCGTTTATGATATATCTGGAAAGTTTCAATAGTTCAATCAAATTTAAGTAATTCTGTAATTGTTCTGTTTCAATTTTAAATGCATCTGACCCCCCCCCCTGTCTGTTAGTGTTATGAAAAATACATTGTCTGCATTTAATAGGGTTAACTGTGAATTGAGTAAGTTCAATGGGACAACGTACATTCGAGTTGACAACATATACTTATGATTTTTTTAATCATAGCCAAAATGTTAATACTTATTAAATCTTCAACAGACCTTAATTGTGCTGTTTAAAGAAACATATTCTCATAAATATTGTCGACACTCTTAGACGACAGGGGAGGAAATGATCAAAGGACATGTGTAAAAACACAACATTTTCCAACCGACCAATTACATGTGTAGATTGACTACGAAAAAAATCGAGCACTGTTCGAAAATCTTTTAACGTTATTAGAAAGTTAAATGTCTACTTAAACGAATACACAAAAAATCAAACATGAAATAGAAAGTTAAATGTCTACCTAAACGAATACTAGTACACAAAAAATCAAACATGAAATCCTTAATGCATTCCCAAGATTAAATAGTTACATCGTACATCCAAAGTGTACTACGTTATATTTTGTCACTGTATCTTGTCGATGGTTAGGCGTTTACGTATCACAGACAGAGGCAGGCATGTTAGACATACTTTTCATAAATTTCTTTTTGAATTGTGACATCATAATCAAAAACTGTCACAATTTCTACAACATTGAGGATATGTCACATAATATCTTATCTTAATGAATTCCCCATATTTTGGTACATATAACACACAGTTTATTTCATAAATACAAACATACAATGGATAGACAGGGTTGGGGCAATTCTCCTTCCAGCATTCCATGTTCCCCGTGTAAAATTTTACAATAGAAAGCAATGAATATCAGATAATAAAATATAATACATTTCAAAGCATGGAACCTATTATGCAACCCACGGGATGACTCTTTCATAAATAATAAACATAAATCTAGACAAAATCTTGATGAAATAAATACAATACAACACAATACAATATGATACACTACAAAATAATACAATACATGCAATCCGTTACGCATAAAGGGGAGGGGGGGGGGGTGTTTTCTTGAAAGCTCACTTGGCGGCATGGGGGGATCTGTAATTTAGGGATTGTAGTGGTACTTAAGGTTGTGAAGATATCTGGCAATTTCAGCCTTCAAATGGTTTACATTGACAACATCTATTGCAGACTGTGGAAGATTGTTCTGATATTTTACAATCCTGTTTCCAAATACGTTCTTCCTAACGTCATTCAGTCTCCCATATCTTGCCATTCATGCGCTGGACTTTTCAGAGTTCCCTATAGTTCTGTGAACTTCAGAGTTTTTTGACAATGTCTGTGATTTTTATCCTGTTCAAAACCTTTCATAATTTTATAGGTTTTAATGAGGATTGTCTCCTTCTATACAGAGAAGATGGTAGCTCAAGGCTTTCGAGATTGATAAGTTGACATGTTGATGGAATTTTAAATCATTGTCAATGTTTACTCCGGGGTCCTTTCTTATTTTGGTTATTTCCAAAGCTTGGTCATTCATAGTATATTCTTGTTGATTATATCCGAGCCCTAGATGCATAACTTTGCATTTTGCAGTATTGAAAGGTAACTGCCATGCCATTCATTTACACTATCTTGAACTATATTCTACAATTCATTCTACATCTTACTACATGTTAATGTAATATGTATTATATTAAAATGATATTAGATCATATTGCTAGTAGAATAGAATTAGTGTCAGAATAGTGTTCAATAATGTTACTCTCCTCATTTTAGTTGACCATGGGCTCTCCTTTCATATCAAAACTTGGACTGATGGTAGCGATACTTTGGTTGAAGCAGACAGGGTGTGAAGCAAGCACTGTAACGATGGTGAATCTGTCACTGCCATTAATAAATTCTACAGTAAGTTAGAAGACTTAAAGGGAGTAGTAGTATTGCATCGATATATCGCCTTTCGCCTTGATTTACCTCGCATGATCCAATATTCAGGTTACAGCCTGCTCAAGCCATGTTATTCATTTTTGATGAGCTCTCTTAAAATCGGTTGCGATGAGTTTAGAATTAGTTACCTTATGATATTCATAATTGAAACTTTATTAACTTAAATTAACAGCATTCTGCATCAAACCTTTCGACAAATGTATCGTTGGCAACTATTCATGGTGACAATAGAAGCACTTCTGAAGATGTTAGTCCCGTAACAACAAATGGCATGATCGTCGATACTGACTTAATCGACCATGGTCACATCTGCCCATATGATAAGTAAGTTTACGTTGTACGTAATTGTTTTTTCACATTCACCTGCATATGTTATATTTGATTTTGTAATGTGTTTTTACCGCATGATTAAGGTAAGGATACCTCTTTTGGTATTGGCTTGACCCTAAAGACAGACTTAGAACAGAGACCCTTCTTTAGGGGCATGTTTGTTAATTGTGCACTGATGCATCCTGGGCCTCTTGTACTCGAGGTATATAATAGCTTATAACCACTTCAGCTGAGAATGAAATAAATCTTTACAATTCGAAATTAGATCATCTTTAGTTCAAGGGTATTTCACTTCATTGAAAAATAAAAGAAGCCCTTTGAATGAAGGATGGAATCGGACAATTTTTGCTGTTTCCTAATGTGTCAATCTATTAAATATAAATCAATGGTACTGTGCAATAATTATTTTCAGACCGTTCAAGGGACCTGATAACTGCAGCATTGGTTATGACATGGTAGACTCTCTGAAAGATAAGCTGATTACACCATCGATAGAAGTTGAGTGGCCGTGTGAACTCTTGCACTTTTGGAGTGACTTCAAGCCATTTGTGAACTTTGTTAAAGGACTTCTTTCATATGGCACCTCCATCATTGTTGCAGTTGGATTGGTTTTCAATGCACTATCATTTCGAGTGTTTATACATCCTGATATGAGTTCAACATCTTCTCATATCTATTTAGCAGCACTAGCAGTCTTTGATTCACTGGTCTTGATTTTCAATTTCATGATCGGGGTTTTAAGGGGACAAAATCCAAATACGGTGAATAAGTCGTTTCAAAGTAGTGAAGGCCTTTGCCGCGTTCATTCCGTTGTTATTGAGCTGTTTAATTTACTCAGTGTTTGGATGATCGTTTGTTTCACGGTAGAACGTTTTATAAGCGTCACATTCCCCTTCAAAGTGGTCACATTGTGCACCGTAAAACGCGCGCGAAGGGTTATTATCGGGGTTTCAATATTGGTGTTCATTATTTCATGCCACAAGATTTTCATATCTGGTTTTGAAGGTGACAGTGTATTTGGTTACCAGGCGTGTAGGAAGAACACGTTCAAATTTGGAGAGGCGATATACTTCTATGTCGGCTTTAATACGTGGCTCCCTGCCATTACTATCCTTGTAATCAATGTCGCTATTATTGTAAGACTCCGTAAACAATCCACCAAACGTCGCCAGCTTACACAAGTTGGAAAATCTAAGACCGATGAAAAAGCAGTAGAAAATCGTGAAGCTAGAGTCACTCGACTTTTGCTTATTGTCTCTTTTACGTATTTCTTCTTGATCCTACCTCTTGGACTCGTACAAAGTGTTGAGCTGGTTTATAATAAGGTCTATAAAGTTCCACAGAGTAACATTGAACCTCAGAAATCAGAATATGTGCATTATCAGACTAACAAATTTCGTTTGAAATGGACAAGGGCATTTTTCTTTTTCTTCTATCAAATCAACTTCTGCGTGAATTTCGTACTTTATGTTGGAACTAATCTCAAATTCCGTGCAACTCTCTCAAAGATTCTGCCCTTTTGCAACAATGACTCAAGTCATGAGAACAAAGAGAAGAGCTCTACAATCACGCGAAACACGGAATTCGGGAATTCTGCCATTCGGAAAAGGTCAAATGAGAACGTTCACGTGCTTAATGCCAGTAATTTAGGGAAAATTAACGACGGGTATGTAGAAAATGAGCGTAAAGGAACAATTTCTGATATTTCTTTATTGGGGGAGTGACGGTATGGAGGAAACGGATTTTCACTGGAGAGGTTAAGCTTTGCATATATAATCGAAACTGAACCTGTACGTATCACTCGACCATATACAAAGCATGTAGCCTTCTCATATAAATAGCCGTTCAAATCCAGTGTTTGTTTACCCCCCTATCACACCAAACTAGTTCTTACCCGTTCTTGCCAGTCCTACGAAAACATCGTAAAACGGGCTCAATCTGGCTGTGGTCGGGAAATATGTCTGAAATAATTAGCTGCTTCGTTCTTAAACAGTCCTCAATACGTCCATCTCGTTCGCAGTTCGTTCAGGTCGCACCACGTCGGTGTGCAACGTCGTAGAACGCGTCCCTTAGTCTAGAAGGTCAACATGACCTGATTACAGAACGGTATGGTCGCCATCGAATTTTGAATCGATTCAAAATTCTAAAATCACATTCCCGTCTGAGAACGTTCATAAAGTTCGTAAATAGACCTTAGAAAGTTGCAGCTACGTCCATTCCGTTCGCACACAGTTTAAAACCAGTTTTGAAGAACGCAGTGGCAACTTATTTGGTGTGATAGCTATATTTTTGCTAACTCGTTCATAAGCAGTGTTAAATACGTTCTTAATCAGTTTAAACCCGTTTGCAATTAGTTCTACCTCGTTCTCAACACGCCCTCAGACAGTTCAACTCGTTGTTAAAACGTCCTTAGTAGGATTGAAGTACGACGGTTCCGTTCGTAGTACGTCCAGCTCGTCGTTAGTACGTTGTCACTCGTTCTAATTGTAGAACGTGACGACCACGAGAACATTTTGAGCATATTCTAAGTTCAAGAGGACCTACCCGTTCGAGTACGTTCGATGAAGTTTGTAAATAGATCCCAAACAGTTCTTAGTAGGTCCAGTCCGTTCGTACACAGTTGAAGCCCGTTTTCGAGAACGTAGTGAGAACTAGTTTGGTGTGATAGTAGGGTTAGACTACACCATAGCGTGTAATGAATCTATAGTATGTCATTGATGCGGTTTTATAGCTGGTTTTCTAATACATATTTTAAACGAGCTCGTTTCGTAAGATTTTTGGCGCTAAATCATGCATGATATTACATCATCGTGTTCAGCAAGAATTCAACTGTGCATCGAAATCAAAATTGACAGCATAGTGTTCAATAGACACGAGTAAAATGGTTCCCGTTGACCCAACGTCAAATTTCAAATCTCCCGTTCTAAACCCGAAACTCTGAAGCTGAAAGAGTATCTGAAGTAGACTAAGCGCGCATAAAACTATGAGCGCTCGATACATTCCTTTGTTAATTTTTGTACTTTGCGTTCACGGTTACGTTGTGAAAAACATCGTTAGCTTAACCTCTCCATTGTTTCACTTTGTTAACCCATGCATGCAATTATCCTGTCGACTGAAATTAAACACCACTTAGGTAGCAACACAATAGAATGAACTGTATTTTATTTTGTTAGATTCAGTGCACTGAAGCTGAGTTAATTACATAGACAAAAAATTACGGGACAGTCAGTTTGAACTGACTTGAGCCGGGGGACTGTCCCCCGGCTCAAGTGCTAAAAAGTGCTCATACGGGATTAAGATGTTTGTCACTCGACTATCCCGCGAGCCCTATAAAATTACGTGACAGTGTATATGAGGTGCTTACTATCCCGCTCTGTGAAAAACATTTGTCGGGGTCGGGACTAAAAATCAGATCTTAATTACACACACTCACTTCTCAATACACTTACTTCATAGTCAATACAAAAGAAATCGATTATTCTTAAAATTGGATCATGGACCACTTACCTTTAATAAGACCCTGTATCTAGTGTGTGGTTTAAGTTAGATAAAACATTCGTCTTGGGTCTTAGGGGAAAATAATGCCCTCGGGGCTATCGCACCTTGGTCATTATTTTTCCCCTTTACCCAAGACTCATCGTTTATCCCTAACATAATGTAGTTCAATTATTAAGTGTGTTTAATGATAAGTGTCGGAGATATATCTTTGATATCATAAAGATCCGTGTGATATCTTTCTAAAATCGTTTATCAGATATTCTTGACAAAATATCTTTGGAAAGTAGATCAGGATATGTTATGACCACGGACCTCTGCCAGATTACCTCCTCTGTGTCTAGGCTCAATAAATATCCTTTGACCCTATTACCAATAGGGAGTGGATCTGGCTCCGGATCTGGACTTGGAATAAAATCACCCGTGGTTTAGTATCCCAGGTTATGATGATGGCATCCACTGTTCTCAAACAAACACAATCACTTATTTTTCATTACAAAAACTTAAATATCATATCAGCTCGACGCTCCAAAAGCAATGGACTAAATGTTTATATACTTAAAAACCTTACATTATTACTAAATTAAAAAAGTTTAGGGGGAGTACTCAGCCAGTATCTCAGTAACGGTCAACGGTGCATAAGTAGCGGTGAACAGTACATGAGTGACCAGTGGTCAACATTACATTGTTCACCAATAAACCAATCACTTTTGTCTGTCCCACATGATTTGAGACCGAACGCTCTTTCTTGTATGAATACTATCTAGTAACTACAACTGCTTTTTGCCAATACTGATAATATTTGCTATCAATTCTACGTATATGTTGTTATGACTTCAGTACAGTATGTATCAAATGTCCCTTGGTGTTATGGTCTCATATTATGATATTGGAACTCAAATGGTAGGGTTTATGATTTGGGATAGTTGGGATTTGTTCACCTTATGAATGGTGTACTATTAGATGTTTTCTTTTTCTTGTTGTGTTCTGTAACCATTATTGGTTCTCTCAGTCAAAAATGTTTGAACCAAAACTCCCCACGAAAATCAAAAGATCTCACCTGTTGAATACGCCATCTATAGAAAATTAGAGACGTCCTCTTCACATTCGTGGTACCCTCGGCCAGCTTCGTTTGCAAAGAAAATCTTCGGCAATCTCCGGCTTTTCTTGAGGTATCTTCGGTTGCAAGCCAAAAGTCGACACCCATTGAGAAAAACACAGACAATCGCGATCTGTTTGATGCTTTAAAGAAAGGAAGGGGCATCCGGTTAATCAAAATTAGAGAAAATAAATGCGGGGATATCTGAAAGAACAGGAAAATCCGGCCACGGCCAAGGAATCAAAACTGGACATGCATATTCTAAAATATTTCCATGGTTGAACTGTGGCCAATCGAACAATGTGAACCAGATGACCAATATTGGTATGGATAAACATATCATGCTATAGTCGGTTCAGGATTAAGGGATTATCCCTTGGCCAATATAACATATCTACCCTCGGGACCAACGGCCCTCGGATAGATATATTATATTGGCCTCGGGATAATCCCAATATCCTGAACCTCATATAGGATAATCTATACGAGTATACACTTGTTATATATCTTATTTATAAACATTTGTTTACTTTGTCAGGTTCCCCTTTTTATAATACTTCATTACGTAATGTAGTTGCTAACTAGGTTAATCGTCTTATTTATATTATTGTACATATATTGTATTATGACCTTTTACTCGTATAAATGTTATAATAATCTATATTTATTTGTATACGTGTTGTGTTATTTATAAATAAATAAGAAACATATTGATGGAAATGCTGTTATGACTGTTCCAGTATTATGTATCTTTTTGTTCATTAATAGTGTTCACAATTGCAATGATTTTAAAGGAATTATTTCCATCTATTTGTCGAAAATAACGTTTTGAAAAATAAAAACTATTTTTGATCTCCATAGTACTACTAATAGTATAATACCAATACAGTCTACAATCTACAATCATTATTATTTGAAAGAAAGATACCATAAAACACATAATAATGTGTTGTAAAATACTAATCATTGTCAGACGACACACGGTCAGTCAAATGCCCAGCGACGTTTTCACTTTGTACTGAGCTATGTCTCAGTATAAAGTGAAAACGTCGCTGTTCCTATTTAGAAAAGTAAACTATATCCACAGAACAGAAAAGTCACTGCCCGGGAAACACTGTCGACCTGTTTGCAAAGCTGAACACCGGGTGCAAAGCTTCCCCACCCTGCGTCCATCCCTTGAGCACTTTATGCGGTGACATCTGTCCCGCGTTTGGGGGTCATCCCTTGTCAATCTATTGAAAGAGGCGCATCTTTCACTTTTAAAGGTTCTTGATACAATCAATCACATAATTCTATTGATGCTCACTGCTGTCAAAACAAAGTAACAGAAAAGTGAAATCGATACCCCGAAATGTAGGGATTATTTTAAAAGGAAATGACGTAGACTGGTATAATGTGATAACATGCATAGCCATTCAAAAGTTACTTTTTAGTTTCACAATTTAACGGATGGACAAAATACAACTTCAAAGCTTGACTGGTATATTTACAAGAGGATTCTCAACTCAAATAAAGCAGTAGATGAAATACTCTATTTCTAGAAACGTTTTGAGATGGCCTAAGTTCTTAAAAGTGAAGGTAACATACAAAAGTAATATGCCTCGGACAGTTCTGCTCAGTTTTACGGTTGAAATTATAGATTATTATTACATACTGAATTTTTAAATTGTGGCTATTCCTTTTAAATCCACTTTGGAAAACTCGATTGATTGCGTAAATGTTCGCGGACTCTTAATGGTTTCTTTGGATTTCAATTGTTTGTTAGGAGAATGGCTCAGATACAGCGGTTGCTATGGACGGATGAATACACCGATTTTGATGACAACATACTCATAGAGAGTCCATTTGTTCAGGTGAGACACATAAGTTAAATGCGAGACACAACTTGTGTAACCAAGACACATTTAGTCGACAGGTCACATTGGTTGAAAAAGTGAAATTTATTTCTTCAGATATCATAAAGCATTGACAAATTATTTTAAGATTAAACAAGATATGACATGTCAGAAGAACAAGTGATATTGCGATTGAATACAGAACACTAACCTTGTATTCGCAAATGCAACTAACGCCTATCGGCTACCGGATTAAACTACTATTCTATGACCAACTCATTTAAATATGAATGGAATAGTGGCAGGCACTATTCGTTTTTAAATGAGTTACCCATAAAATAATAGGTTGATCCGGTGGCCGACAAGCGTTAGTTGCATTCGCGAATACAAGCTAAGTCTTATAAGCTTTCTCTGCAATTCTTTTAAAACACCTTGACAAAGATGGGAAGATGTCGGCTAAAGATCTATGATAATCGAAGGTGTAACCGTATGTTTGGAATATTGATAAAACTCAATATTGCTAACTAAAATAAGTCCAACTGCGATGTAGTTTTGTTGAAAATAGACACATTTCAAATGGGGACAAATTGATTTTAATAAATTCGTAAAAAGACTTGCAAAATACGTCAATAAAGTTTTGAATAAAAAGCGAGCATAGTTAATTTTTAATTCTATTCTGCACATTCGATCTTGATTAGTATTTGTACCAAAAAAGCTTGGCTTAAAATGTGTCAAATAAAGAAAAGCAAACACCGCCTATTTGTAAACAGCATACGTATCTCTAAAGATCTTTATATTTATTCATGTATTAATATGTTCATTAACATCTACTGAATAAAGAGTTTTACAGTTTTTGTAGATCAATGGATAAGTTAGTGATCAATCTTCTTCATGTCACAACTTTTACTTCAAAAGTACAATGATTTTTAAAGTATTTTTTATGTTCGAATTTCATAATCAAAATGGGATTGAAATCCGTCAACATGAAAATCATAGTTTTCAAATATATTCATGATTCAAGGCACTACAGTCCATCTCACTGTTTTATTGCGTCAGTTAGTAGAACACCAAAAATAAGAAATCGGGAGACCATTGTGCAATAATATATGGAAAGTCATTTTATGAATGACATTTGTATATTTCAGATTATTTAGTTTTTTGTGCAATAAAGTCTCAATGCCCTCTAACCTTTTTGAAAATACTATGGCAGAGAAGACGTTTAGCTGCCCTTCATCTATCTAATTCAGTATGTCACCCTCACGACCCTACTTTTAAACTTAGCTGTGTTTCAGGTGACTCCAAGTGGGAAAGGCTTGAAACAGCTGTATGTCGGTCTCACCCAAGACGCAATCATCATGGCTGTCCATAATCTCAGTCGAGGTCAGGATACACACGAGCAGGTGACATGAATTCATTTATCGAGTCTAAAATAAAGATTACTGACATGATCAATGAATCTTAGATGCTAGATATATCAACAAAAACATAATTGAAATACATCATGGATGTATTTGAATGATTGATCCTTAGTCTTTAGTCCGATTCATTTGCCCAATTAAATTAGCCATTCAGTGATGTTTCAATTTCTAGATGTTCATCGATGGTAACACGACCGACCCTGAACTGGACTTTATAGAACTGAACAAAATCATCCCTCTTGCGTGTGTGCGTATAAATATTGATAATGACCCGGGGAAGAGGATTGTCGTTGAGTTGTGCTCAGGGGAGCCTGTGTACCTTGAGCTCAGCGAGAAACACAACAGGGAACAAATCTGGGATGAATGGTATGACCAGATCGCAGCCCTTAATTCCCCGTACAGGTTTTGTTCCATTGATCTTGGTGAAGAACCACTTCGATTGTATAGACATACTGAGGCCCCTGATGGGTTTATCAGAGTGCGTTTCGGAAATGGAGACCATAGTAGCGGAGATGAGTCCTCGGCACCCGGAAGTAGAAGGAACTCACTTCCTGGCCTCAATGTGGGACTAGCCAGACGAAGTAGTTCTCATAACGGGTTGGGCACTCCAGATTCTCCCTTGCATTATAGCGGAGTCATATCGCCTCTCGCAACAGCATACTTGCAGGGTAGAAACTTCTTATCACCACACCGAAAGGATTCTAAAGAAAGCCAAAACTCCAATGTAAGTAGAGAAAGGAAAGTCAGTGTGATTCCAGAGGAAACTCAAAAATCTGAAAAGTCTGATGATACGCACTCATCATGTACAGTATCAATCAGTGATATTGTACCAGCTAAAGATATTGACTCAATGTCTGTGTGTTCTGATATGATTAACGTCAATAATGTCGATAAGGCACGCATTGTTGAATCAGACGACGCAAGTGACAATAAAGAGAAGACACGCTACCTTAATTCTGATACTGCCATTGCTGACAGTAAACGCAGTAGCCGACGAAGTGGAATCAGTCATTTTATGATGATGTTTGGAAGATTAAACAGCTCAGATAAAAAGTTATCGGAACCACATAGCCATGTAAAAGATAAAAACAAAGAGAACGAAACAGCAGAAAAGAACAACGAAGAAGGGTCTGAAAAACAAGAATATCAATCTCCTAAACCAAAACGTAAGTTGTCCTTTTTGCGACGAATATCTTTTACAAATGGAAAGAGATCGAAGAAGGACAAACCAAAAGGTCCAGATTCACCAACAAATGTGAATTCTGAGTCGGCATCACCAGCCATCATAGAGCCGGTTATAAACAATGCCGCAGACAACCTCAGTTGTAACTCGGACAAAGACAGTGGTTACCAACAGAGTGAGTACCTTGGGGCAGAAGGGAGACCATCTCCTGTTGATCCATTTGGATTTGGCCACGTGCTAGAAGCCGGACGACTAGACATAACAAATATGCAGTACAATCCTCCGATATCAACTCATGAACATAACCGATCTGAAGGTCCAGGAGTTCTTGAGGGCGCGAATGGGGTTCCACACCGGAGAATTATCCACGTTGACAGTTTGGATGATTTTGAATCTATACCTGAACCAGATTCTAATTTTATTGATATTCCAATTGAAGTTGCAGAGGATCTAATTAATGAACGCCAGCAAATCTTAATGTCTAGATCACCTTCTCCTCATCGAGATAGGAAATCATCAATGGAATCCACTGAGCATGTTTCATTTGAAAATATGAATACAACACCACGTTTAGAGTGGATGAACCGCCAGCGTTCTTCAAGCATTGATATGTTACCTGAGCGCCCAAGGTCTCGACCAACGAGTCCTTTGGTAGGCCGACGAATCTCTCACGAAATGAACCAGAATGCCAATCCTAGATTTAAAGTACTTCAAAGAATGAATAAGATGTATAGCTCAATGGAAGACATTGCACGCATGAATAACTTGAGGTAATGCTTCAGTCACATTTGATCTACAACAACCATACGGCGGTCGTAGCTTCCCAAAATTGAGAGAAATATGCATAAAATATAGGTACACTGTATAAGCAGTACGATGAAGATTTTCTATGTCGATTTTGTGAAGCTAATGCCGCCATACGGCTGCTACAGAGCAAATGTGTCTGAAACTTAATTTATAAATTAGGGCCCAAGCCTTTCTGGCTTGGAGACAGGCAGTCACCATTAGATGTTTTACGTATTAAGTAGGTATTTAGTCCTATTTTTCCTGATGTCACAGCAGTATGCTAACACATTAAAAGGTCAACTATTATTTTTGAAATAGGGTATGTTATGTTTTAACGTCATTGTCATTCATGAATTCATTGTCATATTTGCTGCCCTGTTCTACAGACAAGTGGTACACGATGCACAAGTCACCAAAGGGAGTTTGGATGCGATAGATAGGAACGAATGGTCACTCGTGAAGTCAGACGTGGACAGATGGGTAGCAATACATGCCAAATCTCCTAAGATCGTCAGAAAGAGATCGAAGGTAAACATTTTCATTTTCGCGATTTCAATAACTACAGTATTGAAGGCGTTTATAATTATGAAATTGAGAAAATAGCATAAATGATGCATGCATTTCTTGTAGAGTATGGCACGTAAACTCGGTATGGTCGGGTCATCATTAGTTGACGAGCAGTCCTCGCAGTGTTCTTCAACAGCAAGTCTGACAGTGAGTAACATTGTGAAAACAACATCAACATTTTAACTGAAATACAATTCACAAAATCGTTCCGAAATGCGATATTTATGTTGATGATAACTTTGTAATAAGTAATAAGTACATCTAACACTTGATTCGCAACAATATGATTACAGGATGTATCTGCCATGGAAGAAGACAATACTAAGGATGAGATATTCGTCGCATATGAAACTATTGCTCCTGATACATCTTATGCTGGCGTTGTTGACCAAGTACAAATGAACGCAGGCAATGTGACGCAAACGCAACAAACTATTGGGACTGAGGAAAAGCATCATTTGTCTGCTAACTCAGTTGATATCATAGTTACTGGATGTGATACTCATGAACTTGATATGCTTGTTAAACAGAACGAAGATCCCAATTCTAATACCAATGCTGCAAAGTGCAGTGCAATTCACAAAAGTGGACCAAAACTCTCTTTAATTGAGAAAATAAAACGGAAAAGGAAGCAAAAGAAATTGAAGTCATTGTCGACTAATGACTTATCAGTGACCGCACCCAAATCGCCTCAACATACGAATGCGTCTATAGAAAGTGCACAGTATCATAATAATTCTTTTGAACATAAAGGTGGAATCAGCCTACAAAAGAATTGGTCAATAAATGTAACCAACACCAAAGTAAATGACTCAGCAGATCACGATAAAGAAGGACCAGTCAAGAAAAGGTTGAGCCAAATTATCAATAGGCCTAGATCGAAATCTAAAAGTAAGAAAGAAGCCAACGAATCGAAAGTCCATAAAAAATCCATAACAAAGTCAAACAATTCTGTTGAAGATCAGATGAAAAATGGGAACAACAATGAATCCGATGATGACATTGATAAAGAGGTCCGTAAATATAAAACGTCACTGACTGGTTCGATACCAAGTACGTAGTTGATATTCAATTCGTATTTGTTATTCTTTAGTTCGATTTGAGCAGTGAAATCTCTTAGTTAGGCATTTGTTGTCGTTCTTCTTACTTTCTTTGTAAATCTTACAAGACAGATTTGAACTGTTTTAGTCGTCGAACATCGGCCCCATATCTCCGATCATATTTCTTCACAGACCTAAATGCTGATTAGTATATGGTCGTTTTCCTTCTTAGTCAACTGTTAACAATATTTTGAATTTTTAGCTCTATTTATTTTTTCCTTAAAGTATGAGAAAACAAAGACAAGTTTTAAATTTTGAACACCAAGAGCCAACAACTATTTATTATATTCTTCTTGATAAGCTAAGCATATAACATTGATATTTGTTATTTCAAGATATAACTACAGGGTCTCACTCCCCTAAAACACAAAGATCACCTCGGCTGTTAAAGCATAAACTTTCAAAAGCAACAAGGAAGATAAGCGTAATGGACGCCTTGATGAAAGGAGTTCACCGTACATCTGGACATGATGATGCATCACCGTTCTATGATGCCAATTATGCTATCCCATATGCCTACGATCCGGTTGTGTTTGAAAAGTGTAAGGCATTGCAGAACAATTCCAGGTAGATAAGATTCTAGCGCCATGTCTATATTTTATTTCGATTTTTGAATTGATGCTATCTGTATCAAAGTAAATTCCCTGGCGACAGACTAGATTCCAAGTAAAGCTTCTCCTTCAATTAATGTACTCCTCTTTTCAATCTTAGTTGGGCCCAAGTTCAAACAAACGGGGAACCGCACGTTTCATATCCATTCATAAATTAGCACCCTTATATTCTTACTTAATCATATATTATTCACTCAGTCAACTACATATACCTTTCATTAATTTTGAAAATTGATACAGGAGGAAATCAACCATGCATCATATCCCTGCTGGCAACGATGGTGGTACAACACAACCAGTGGGAATATATGAAGAATACATCGCCATTGACACTCCAGTTGGAGATAAAGCAAGTGCTGTGGCCCCTGATAGACCACCACATTTCCTTGGTCTCCAACCAGAGAACACAACCAGAAATTACGTCATTAAGAAAGTCCTAGCCAGGGGTATAGAGACGGATAGTAGTGATTCTGAATAAAACACTCCATGTGCAATTCCAGTAGTAATCCAAGATAGGAAGAAACAGAACACTAGGGAATGAAAGTACACCTACTTTGCTCGGTGACAATTGCGGTGGTGAAGTCCTGAACATTGTATTTTGTCATCAAATAATACTCTTTTGACAAATAATTTCTTGAATTAAGAATTCTTATTAGTTTGATGCCGATATTTGTTGCCTTTTTTATTCTAGACTTATTAAACTATTTTCTTAAAATAAAATGTTTATATATACTTTTAGTTTTAAGAAATCATTTATTTTTTGGATGTGATAAAAAAGGTTTAGAATACAGTATATGATCAATAGTAATGTACAATTATTTGCAGATGATTTAAGGGTAGCCAATGTAGCGAGAGAACATGTCATTGTGTTTTACATTCCAGATTTGTTAATGTTGTTTCTCTTGCAGTCGATGGCCTATTTGTTATTGAGGACCATGATCTGTTTGTCTGTTGTATTTCTGGGGCTTTTGCTTTTAAATAAGAGACGATATATTTTGGCATATCCACGGCAGTGTCAAATATCCTACCACGGGAGTTACTTGGGATTGATGGTCTACTACGGCAGACAATCGGGCTCACTCTTGGTTTTCTTTGTTGTTTCGTAATTGTTTGTTTACTTTGGTCAGCCTTAATAGTATTGTGATCACCTTGTTTGCAAGGAGCCTCGTAGATGGCACTTTGCCCTTTGCAGTCTACAGAGAGCGATCTGGGAGAATCACGAATGAGAACACTTTGTCCTTTGCTAAGGAAGATTGTTTGATTCTGCTGCTCCCTATGGCGTTGTCGTGGATACTGGTTCTTGATGCGTCGAAAGGGTATTTAAAGAAAAATCATTGATTAGACTTCAAAACAAATTCATTCAAGGGTTGCTTTGTTCGATGTTATCATTCCATGACTTTAATCATATATTAGCAAAAGAATAGAAATTAACTGATTCAGAGATCGATTCTTACCTGTTTCTTCTCGTTAAACTTCTCAGGTATAACAGTCACCTTGGCAACTTTGGTGCTTGGTTCAATACACGCCCCAGAGCGAACATCAACGCACTTTACGCGTGCCTTGGTGACGCACGGTGTCAGATGCGGAGCGGGTATATGGGCAAGATCTTGTTTTATCTTGGTTTTTGTAACAGTGTTCCTGTAACATAGGTCATTGTTGATAATATATCTTCATATATGGTTTAAAAAATAATGATTAGAAACTGATATGGATATGAAATATCGGGAGATTAAGGTACCGCGTTGTATGAATTAATCTAGGTTAACGGATTATTCTTATTCTTGTATCAAGATAATCGTGGTGAGAGAACAATGTCTAAAAGAAAGTCTAAATGATGAGGTAACTATTAAACGTTTCATACACCCTGAAGTTATTTTGCATTTACATACATGTAGCCTTATATACGACTTGAGGAAATATATCAAACCCTATTCCCACCTTAAAAGAAACGCACCTATATTGATCGATGTGCATATCGCTGCGGCGATGGTGTGTGAACTTGAACGGGGTACCTCTTGAGTGACCTTGTTTTGTGATGGAAGGTCTGTCATTTTTATATTGTGTGGAGTTTTTAGATTGCTCTGAAGAAGGCCTACCAGGCATCTGCCTTGGTGGATGTGCATGTTTTGTTCTCGTTTCTGACGACTTTGGTCTATTGGTCTCAGCGCCCCCTTTATGTTGATCCGTGATTTCTTAACGAACGAGCAATATTTTAAAAAGCATTGTTTGTATACGAAAGTTCAAATACGAATCATATACACGAATCATCAAAATTGATTAAAAACCTTATTTTATGACATGCAATCTTACTGTTAAAATATTTCCAAGTGTCGGATGAGCGCCTGTGTCTCCGGTGGCGAAGGACTTTCGCTTGATGCTCAGATTTAACCATGTTAATGACATCTGAGCTGACCTCTTGATGAGGTATATCACACGTTGTCCAGCATTGTAGCTCCTATAAGGGACCATGTTAATATCTTGATGTAAATGTAATAAGTCATTTTTCATTTTTTTCAAATTAAGTATCTTTGCCTTTCAAAAATCATTGTAATATAGCTATATGTATAGTGGGCTTACCACTCGATGATGATGCTATCTTAAAAACGTCGTCCATTCAGGTGGTTCCGGAATAACATGTATTTGTTATTCCGTATTTGTTATCTTTTGATATGAATTTTGAAATATATAATTTGTACGATTTTTTCTTTGAATTATTTTTAGAACTCATCTACTATGATCGAGGTGATAATATGCATATTCAAAGGCTAATAGTTGTATTTCTCATCTTTGACAACCCTAAATTTCTTTTATTTCAAAATGTTATGTAATATATAACAGACTGACATAAACCTTCATATACAGCAGAGACATTAGCATGCTTCTGTTTACAATTCATTGAAGTTTGGAAAGTGAATAAGATAGTAGTTAATTTGGACTTTGACGTATTGCTTACTTGAAGAGGATCTTTTCAACCTTTGATATTTTCAGAAAAGAAGGTCTAGGTCTTTCGGTTGTGTATGTTACACGTCGTCATTATGAATTTCATATTTTATGGTTTAGGGTGAGAATTACAACTATTGGTCCTACGCACATGTAAAGTAAATCGATACCATGGTACCTGGCTTGACTAAGCACTCTGAAAGTTAGGCTGGTACTTACAGAATCCGATTCCTTGTTTGAAGGCATTTTCAGTAATTTATAAAGGTCTACCACCAGCTTCAAAGCTTTACTTGAACGTGGCTTTTTGTCAGTTGCATCGACCATTTCATTTTTTGGAATCTCACAGCCTTTTTCACCTGCGTGTTCCGAATCAATTGTAGCACCAACATAATCGTTAGGAGGATCTCCAGTCTTTTGACCACAGTTGGTGTTAGTTAAAAAATGGTCATCGTGGTAAATCAAGTAATCATCTTCATCTGTACATTCAACAAGAGTTTTAACAGCTTTTTCCTCGAAAGGTGTCTTGTATAAACACGTAAGACTATATGGGTTTATCTTGTAGAACAAATCTCTCAAATTATCACTATATTGACATGATGCCTTGATCATTTTTGCAGGCTTTACCGGTGGAGCTGGAGTCGTTTGATGCTTCTGTTCTTCATGTTTGTCTGACTTATCACTGCTCTGATCTCCATTCCTATAAATGTTAAGTATACAGTACCTTACCGTCAATTGCATAAAACTTGACCAAACAAAACCAACCTATCATTATAACTCTTCCTCGATGATTTTTTTTATCTTCCTACTCTTTTTTAATTATTTTCAATTTTAAAGGCTTCAACGTTTCAATCACAACTTACGATCTGCTCACGATATTTTGATTTTGAAATTGATGTCCGTGTAATGTTTGCCGTTTTACAGTCAAGCAAGCCATTGTCTTTACAATAAAACCTCTTTCCACAAATGTTTCGTCACTCAATCCTCGTTTGTTGAAAATGAGGTTACCATGTGAGATCCTATTATATTAGAAATTCCAAGAAACTTACTGTTTGATTTCAACTGAAACACCATGTTTATGTGGATTTTTGCTGGTAACTTAGGATTCATAGATCCCATTGTGACGTTTGTCTATTTGTTACTTCTTACTGATCCATATCATTTGGGCATCTAGTAAAATATCTTTGACATATCATGTTACCAAGCGTATTACTTGGTTTCAATCATCAAATTAAAGTAGATGTATGATATAATATAAAACAAATACTTCATTCTACTTTCGGCGAACACCTGGGGCACCTTCACAAGATGATATTCCACTAGCCCTTCAGGAATACCATTGTGAAAGATGCACAAGTAGCCCATCTGTCTCATTAGAATGTATAGAATTGTTTCGATGGAAAATTGATATTCTCTCTTCCTGATTGATAATGTTGCCATCGTCTCAACTAATAGTTAAAGGATATATATAAAGTAGTGATAAAATCAATTGCACCTCCAAAAAGACCCTTGATACCCAAGGTCAAACCTAACTATTTCCCATACCGTCCTGAAATACGATGCTAGTTCTTTCATAAACTGACCAGTAGAGATGGCCACTCAAAAATGTAATTAGCAGATATCATACTTAAGAAACTTAGGGTAAAGTGTACATGGAGCTTATTGATGCGTTATATTTTCAAGATATTGCAGAGATTGAATCTTTTCAATAAAATAATGTTATCGTAGATTCTATATCCTATATTGGCAATGTTAGAGTGGGTGTTACATCCATTTTGAAATCTTGAATTCAAAATGGCAGCCCATTTTGTTTCTTCATATCACTTTTAAAGTTATCAAATGTGAGTGACAATAAGGGACATCATGAGCCAAGCGGCTGTTTAAGCAATAAGAATTGAGAAAATTATTAGGGTCGTTCAAAAAGTTCTTGACAAATATCTCCTAGAACCAACTATATTAGTAGGTAGATCGCACAACCTTATATCCTTACACTGTCAAGGTTTCATAATATATAAGAGATCTTATATAAGTACTATTTTACAAATAATGTATCTCATGAAGTAAAGGTCCTGACTCAAATAAGCATGGAGGAAGTATAAAACTGTATCTGTATCTTTGTAGAATAAAAAAAACATACCTTCTCTTGAGGAGATTCGGTGCAAAACCTTTTGAAAGACCCTTATATTCGGATATATCACCCATCACTCATTGAAACATAAAAATCGTTTGGAAAATATTTTTGATTTTAATGAGTATAAAGAACATATTATAAGCATAAATTATGACATGACCTAGCTAGAAAGGCTACAAACCTAGCCCTTAAAACAACATTGTCCAAGTTCACGTTATCTAATATAGTTCACGTTATCATAGTAGGTTTAGATTTGATGAAATATTATAATATATAATTGTAAATGCCATGCCATAACTTCAACAATTAACAACTACTTCGATTCGTTTTCACAAGTCGTTAACATTGGTAAATATTTATAACTGATAAGTTGTTATTTGGGAATCTTTCCAACATATTCGCAGCTACTATTTGCATATTTTGTATCCATGTGTGTTCGCTGGTGTGTTGAATCCCAAATTGAAATTTCAAATGACCAATGTCTTTATATGCCTTTTTGAATGTGAAACACACACCTTCTCAAATTATGTCTGATTGATCTCTAATTAATTATTTAAAAACTGAAGTGATATACAATTTGATTTTTGACACCATTGATCCACTGCGTCTTATGGGGACAAGGGAAACTTCCTCACAGAGATGTTGATTTTCTGGGTGGGGGTAGTGGGCGAAGGAGAAGGAGTAGCGTATGTCGTCAGCGGAGCCTCAACTGTTAGCTTGCCGTCATCATCCAAGAACGCATTAATTGTGAATGGATCGACGCTCTCTGGCATATCATACTCCTTGTTAAATGTCCTTTGCATGGTTCTATTAGCGGATTTCTCCTCTTTGGATGCGCTGACGAGAAGCTTCGTGTCAACAGTTTTAACAGTGACGTCTTCTGGATTAAAATCTTTACCAACGTCCACAACGATACGCAGTTTCCTTATGCCATCTGCGTCAACGTAGACCGGGCCCCCAGTTGGAAGACGCTTAGTTGGAGTCGAGATTTGGAGTTTAGCGTAACCAGGAGCAGGGAGTGGTGCTTGGATGATTAGGACCCCATCATTAGTCAATACTGAACTTAAATCGGTTGCCTCTACGTTAGATGGGATATCAACCTGTCTGGAAAATTGTTTGATCGTTTGGCTGCCTTCAACGGTCTCTTCATGCTTGGCCGTAACCATTAGTTTCTTATCTTGTGTACGGACGTTTATTTCTTCAGGTTTAAAACCAGCCACATCAAATCTGACCTTGAATTGTGGATTCCCTTCTTTATCATCAACAAAGACGGATTGCTGATTTTTCTTTTCAGTTAGATCAATAAGGTTCTCCTTACTGCCTCGCATAGCCTCGTATGGTTTCAATTTGAAGAAACTTTGACGCATACGATCGATTTCCCCCTCCCACTCCTGTCGTCTGCGCTCCATTTCTGCTTCCATATCGCCCCAAAGGTTCTTTTGGCGTTCGGCAAACGTGAGGTCTGTCTTGTGTATGGGGATCGTCAACTCCGTCCTGTACCTCGCCATTATGATGTATTATTGCTTAGTTACTACCTGAAAATAGAAGTTGAGCGTATTTTAATAAGCTGGTACGCAAGAGATCTGATAATCCTCTTAAATTATGGATTTGGTTACTGATTACTGAAGTACTTTTCATACTTTTTTACAATATGAGCTGATGGCGGAGATCGCATTCTATATATCTACCTCGAAAGGTATTTAGTTACTGCTATATTTAACTAAGTAGATTCATCAAAGGAAGTATGATTTAAAAATCCAAAAAAAGAATTTTCCAGAATCATCGATGGAAATATGCTCATCTTGAAAGTATTTTTTGTTTACCTGTAAGTGGTACCAGTGGGCGGTGATAATGACCTATAGCATGAACCTCTACATTTGATTCATTTCGTGTAAATCAAATGTCATTTGGTGTATAAAAAGCGAGATAAACCCAGAGTTTATGTCATTATATAATTATGCCATTATGTAATGTTAATTTGAAAACAATTGCTTTGGGATGGTATATTGGGCATTTGCCAGGTAATATCGCCGGTATATGTAAATGTTTAATTTATATGTTATGTCTGTTAACTTATGGAATTACAACCCTAGCATAATAACCAACATTACTATTATGACAATAATAAATCCCCTCTATTTCTTATAGTTCAATTTTCATTCTTTTCAAAATGCTAATATAAAGCGTTAAATGCTTTGTTTCAATGTATTTTAAAAGAAGTCACGTTTTACAACTTATATATATTCACATTTTCCAAAAAAAATTACGAGTTATTTTTGTAAGGAGTGATGGCCTAAAGTTACCGATTGCAATGCAACGTATGGTGTGCTATATTTGGTAGTGTCTGCCCTTGTGGAAAACAATAATTTATTGACGGAACTAGATCTAGCTTGTTTTTTGGTTCATAAGCATTAGTAAATACCATGCAATGATACTACAAATTAATATCAGATGTGATACTTATCTTATTTACAAAGGGTTGTCAAAAAGCCCTAGTTGCACAAAGTATGCTTCATATATAAATGATTAAAATATGAGGCTGAAGGGGCATACCGGTATCTTAGATAACAACAGATAGCAGCCGGCTTCTAGTTCCAGCTTTCGGGTAGATAAACTACAGCTGAGGTACAAATGTACGATGTAACATCCACATAGAACGTTCAACTTATAGAGATGTTTACAAAGAGCGTTATGGGGAAATGAGTGCTGATCAAAATATAAGATCTTTTCGCTTTCAAATCATTTTCACAGCATTAATGACCTAGCAGACTGCAAAAATTGATGTTCAGCAGACGATCTCTTTTAAAGAGGCGACGCGAAATCAGGCAAACTAATTAAAACGCACTAATTCTTATGGCTGTATAGAAATTAAATAGATTTATTCCAAAATCAATGTCTATACAGATTTTTTGTCTAAATGATATTTACAAGACAACAGTAATACTTTTTTATTTTCTTGAAACCTGTAACATCGTAATAATTCAGAAATTATATTAGTAGCTTCTATTGAATAAAATCATGACAGCTTCAGTGCACCCCATTCTACATAAATTGTCCTTAAAAGGCTAAAGTAGCATTGGCTATGCAGCTATTGTACCAGTGTATGCATTCCCCTTCATATGTTTTGCACTGAAAGTCCCCTTTTTGATCACCAATCAATGCTCTCCATAGGAGGAAATAGAACACATAACATGACATTCTCCGAGCTTTAGTAATTCAGGAAAGCTTTTTTATTTCATCCGATGAAAAATCCCGATTACAAAACTTTTGGAAGGGAGTGTACAACTGAACTTTTTGGGGGAAGATGTTTTTATTAATAGCCTTTATCAAATGATTCTCTTTTTGTCAATGGCACGTTTTTTGCAAAAATAACAAAATGTGTAGAATGAATGTGGTTCACATATTTACACTGTGAAAGGTACAGTAGATGTAAACATTCTATATTGAGCTAACATGTGCATCAGCTTGGGGTGACTGAACTAAAATGTGTTTTTGTTGCTAAGCACGCATGGGTCAAACGTATAGGAAATGACGATGATAAAAACAATTTGTAATGTACCCGAGATTAAGCCTTTAGATGATGAATACTCCATTTATCATTTATTTCATATGGATTTATAGGCGCGTAAAAACTCCCATTTGCGCCATTTGTATTCATATCTCCCGTAGCATTCACTTATAGGCTGATGCACTCCTCACATTTATCGACATTTGATTCATTTAATGACCAAACCGTCACTATTAAAGCGATTGTTGAAATTAATTTTGAAGTCATGCCCTGTAGATTATTTTTCAAGGGAAAACATTAACAATCCAATAAACATTATGCTAAGTAGACCTCTTCTTTTACCCCTATCAATTTAGTACCACAGTCCATTCCCCATTCGTTTAGTAAAGACTAAACATCGATTTTCATTCAAGATATTTTTAATATTTTAAGATAGACCCTCCAATTGATGACTTACGTTACTTGAGTGTACGGAATTTCGAATGATACATTAAGTTGATGTAAGGTTATTCCACGTATATTATCAGATCTCCAAATCACTGTCTGTAAACTGAGTATGTTTTACTTACCTTAGAATCCACCTCAACCTCGCAATATCACTGATCTCCCGAATGTACAAAATTATCTCAGGTAATGGCCCGAGAGAACACTGTGTTCCTCTAATAGGATACACGATAAAATGACCTTAACAAGAACCTTTGAAATGTATCATGATCAGTGTCTATATAATAATTGCTTTGACATGCAGGCGACCGAATTTCCCACAGCAGCTACGTAAATGATACATAAATCAGGCACTAATGTAATTAACATCATACATTGATATTAAACAGCCTGACGAACTTTACATTCAGTCAATCTGCCCATTTTTACTATATTAAGCTCTGCAACATTTCTTATCAGGCAGACTCCGTTAATCCCAAGTTTATGTTGAATTATTGATTATGAATAGCACATCCAGATATTCTCAGTTATTATAACACAAACATAGTCGATAATCCGGATTCTTGGAATGTACATATATGTATGTGTATTGGCATGCTATATACTTATATGTAATTATTGAACACTTACCTTATGTCATATAAGTTTCCAGTATATTTGAGTATACGTCTTAATGTTCTTCGTTCTCCAATCTAGCTATGCTTCACACAGCCTCGATGGTGCAGTTCCGGGTCGATTTATTTACGTTCATCCTATGATAGGCTGCCCTTCCCCTTACATGGTTAATTCAGGTACAACATTTTATACCTTCAACTGTCATCATTATTTTGAATTGATTTATGCATTCAAGCACCCGTGCACTGATTATTCAGAAACATATCCTGAAAACAGTGTTCCTGTTTCTGAAGATATAGCCAATCAATACTAATGAGAAAATGTTGATCTGAAAGGGCTGGCAGATAAAAATACAGACCGCTGTTGGAAATCAATACTTGACTGAGATACGAGATGCTGTAGCAAGTATTGAAAGAAGTCATGCAAGAAACTTGTATACTTGTATTAGAATGTCTAAATGCAGATAAGCTGGCTCCAAACGTTGTATTCTTGTGGCATTTTGTTCCACAAGTATGGCGTTTTTTCAATTGTCACAAGTTGTTTGTTTATTTGTTTATTTGTTTGTTTGTTTGTTGTTTAGTGTCTATGTACCTACTTGATTGTTGAACTGCATGTTTTGCTTTGAACATCTAAAATCATCTATTACTAAATAACATATAAATGAATCACTCGACAACTTTAAATCCAATCAATTTTATTGTAATGATTTAAAACACTTGACATCTATTAATCACATATACTTAAAAATACATAGCTACACGTTTATGTATGGTGGAGCTGCCGGGAAGTTTTGCTAGCGGAACAGATCAGCTTCCCCTACAATTTTGCTCCTGAACACTAAATTCCCTCAATACAAAATTGGAATTGTGATACTCATCATATACACAAATAGAAAAATATAACAACTCACAACAACTATAGAATAGTTTTGAGCATGATATGGATAAATATGATAGTAGGGGGGACAACATAACGGTTAACTTGAGTTTATGAAATAGATGAAGATAATCAATGTCACTGAATTAATATATAACCATTAATCTAAAAATATAGAATGGCTTAGTATATGATTCTGTGTAGCTGGAATTTGACACTAGATATAGTATATCATTCCTAAAAGTGTGAATTCTGAACTATGCGTCGTCATCTATATTCAAGATTTCACCATCTAATACCTTGGATTAATTCATTGTACATTGTAACTAAAAAGTATCAATGTCAAGGTTGGTAAAAATAGATTTCCTGGGATTGTTTATCTCATTTTTAAATAAACATTTACGTTCCATAACGAGCGTAATCCGACAGATATCCACGCAATTTATCCATATATTTATTTACAAAAGTGTTGCATCGCCATCAAATCCACGGTTGGTGTATGCCAATCCATTGATTGTTTTATTTGGTTCAAATCCAGTTGCTTTTATATCCAATTTTGTATCATCACCTATAGCGACTTTCTTTTCTCTGCTGGCATTAGCTTCTTCAACTTCGATCGTGTCTTGGCTGGAAATTTAAAGAAATGCAATTCGATTTTTGAAATTTTGAAATTGTACAAGAATCAAATCAAATCTTGCTGCTGAACTGACATTTCTATTCACTTACTTCCTATAGTTTTCAGCATCTTGGATGGTTTCTGGTAGGCGTTTCCCCAGTGTCTCTGGTAATAAGAAAGTCAAGAACCCAGCCAGTACTGACATTGCCCCGAACACAATCACAGGGGTGTGGATGTAGTAATCTCTCTAAAAAACAGCATTATACTCTGGATTATTGATAAATACGAATGGCAAGAGTAGGTTTTATTCAATTTTTGAATGCCTTAAAGAGCTTGATCTGTAGTCCTAAAATAACATACATGTAGAGAATGATCTATGTGTACCTGAAATTTTCGACACACTATTAAAAATCATAGACAGACCAGATATCGGTCCGTGACTAAAATTCACTGGTAGATGAACAAGGAGGCTTTAGAGATGGAAGAAATTGTCACGATCAATTACATTCTCTCTACTCAATTGTCAATAATAGAAAAATATCTAAATTATCAACATTCGTTTGCTATATTGATATGAAAAAAGCGTTCTCAAATGTAAATAGAGACTGTTTGTGGTATAAAATTCACCAGTTTGGAATAACAGGAAGAATGCTCACAGCTATTCAATCACTGTATGAAGATGTAAACTGCTCAGTTAGGATTAATGGTTTTTTAACACCTTGGTTCAAGGTAAAAGGGGGCTGTAAGGAAGGCTGTATGATGTCTCCGTCCCTCTTTTCAATTTACATCAATGACCTAGCAGTAGCAATTAATGAACTTCAAAAAGGAATTCAAATTGATGACATCAATATTGGAATTTTCTTATATACAGATGATATAGCACTATTAGCTCCATCTAGTGACAATTTACAAGATATGCTCAATGTACTTAGCCAGTGGTGTCTGAAATGGAGAATGATAATTAATGCTGATAAATCAAAAATTGTGCAATACAGGCCAAAATCCACCCCTAGGTGTAATTTTAATTTTACATGTGGTAACATAGAGCTTACATATGCTAACACTTACAAATATCTTGGATTGTGGATTAATGAACATGTAGAATCCCAACACACAGCACAAGAAATAGCAAAATCAGCAAACAGAGCCTTGGGTGTTATTATAGCAAAAGCAAAACACTTTGGAGATATGGACTTTGATGTTTTTGATAAGCTCTATGATACACTAGTGCAACCAATCATTAACTATGGGACATCTATCATAGGGCTTACTGAGCATAAGTGTCTCAACAAGATCCAGGCTAGAGCAGGGAAGTTTTATTTAGGAGTAGGCTCAAGGACAAACAATGAAGCAGTCCGAGGAGACCTGGGCTGGGAGCTACCTATAAATAAACAAAAACTCCAATGTGTTAGGCTATTCCTCAGATTGAAAAATACAGACCATAATAGAATTAACTTTAAGGTACATAGCTGGTCAATAAGGAGAAAATCAAGCTGGGACAATAAAGTGCTCAATATTATTCAAAAAGCAAACCAGGGCCATGTTTTAGAAAATGGAACAACCAATCAATATCAAACAAACAGTCCAAAATGTTCAACTACACTTCCAAAGTCAAGACCCATTCTTATATAACATATGGAATGACAAGGGAAACCTTATAAATGGAAATAAGTTAAGAACATATAGGGAATTTAAATTCGGTGTGTGCACTGAACAGTTTATAAAGGAAAACTTGCCAAGACACCATAGAAAAATACTGGCAGAATTTAGATCTGGTACTTTGAAGTTAGCCATAGAGACAGGTCGCTTTAATAACATTCCATTACACAACAGAAAATGTCTTTTATGTGATAGTGACCAAGTAGAAGATGAAAAACATTTTCTGTTAGACTGTACACATTATATAGATATCAGAAATGACCTATTTTCATATTTAAGAGATTCATTTGATAATTTTAGTGTTGATAATATTACACTCCACTCTATAATGACATGTAAATCTAGTCAAAGGAAAATTGCTTCCTCTATATATAAAATGTTTCAAAAGAGGGCATTTAATCTGGAACGTTTGCAATAACATTGTAATATTGATGCTATTTATGTATTAATATAAGTGTCTCATAAGCCGGCATCGGCTAGAGGTTTTTTATTAATGTATTTTAGTATTGTATTTTATTGTATATGTATGAACCTGTGACACTATAATAAACTATAATAAACTAAAAAACTAAACTAAAACGAACGAAAAACTCGCAACATGCCGGAAATACCTACCAGAAGAGACAAAAGAGGTGCACATATCCCACCGGCCCTAGCAAACATGGACGAAGATCCTAAAGCAACATTTCTGACCACAGTGGGGTTTAGTTCACACGTTAGAATGTAAATAATGCCAAAAGACATAGTCAGCATACACTTGCCAAATAGGGATAGACCAATCACCACAGAACCCATTCCTGAAAATTAAAAGGAACTGTATTATTGGAAGGATAGGTATCAATATGGTGAACTGAATTCAACAATGTTTCTCTCTTTAACCAATTATTGAAAACATTCTGTAAAAAACACGGTCCTTTATTGAGATGTATGTATGAGATGTAGTAAAATGATGTGTTGATGTAGGTCAATATCCCAGTCAGTGTTAGAGGCATTTTGATTGATTGGCAACAATTTAATGCAAAAATTATTTACATATATTGTATATAATTGTTTTTGTTTTTAGTGCAATTGTTTTTTGTTCCTTTCTACCAATTCTTGAGAATGAAATAAAATGACTTTCCGAACCTTGTTGGAACAAAATAGCATATACAACATTTTCTGATCTTAGACCTCTCAATAGTATAGTTATACAAAGGAAATTTTGTTGATTTAACAAAAAGCATTCAAAATTTAAAACAAAGCCCCCCAAAATAGATACAAATTAAGATAACCCTTTTATTTCATTAACAAGACATATACTATATCTACAAGGGGTGATCAACAAATAACGCAAATAGAGCCCTATCTCAGAAGTAAATAGAGTTAGAACATCAAATTTGATACATCGTATCACCAAACATTCATTATAATTTCTGAAAAATTTTAGGCACAAATATAACTTTATGTCGGAGTTACGGTTGCCATATCAACGCGTGGTATGGGCACCTGAAGCAGGTCGTGAATCATAACAATGAGGGATTGAACGCCTCTCCAAAATGAGTTTGAAAGACACCATTAAGTCATACAGATGTGATGTTATTTGGGTGTAAATCAATTCTGAAAAGTTTCTGTCAATTGATGTGATCTACTTTTAATCATGATGTCATTATACCTACACAACAATAAGTTGTCATCATACATGTGCCTTGTCGATACCCAACGATAGGATGACAGAACACACAGGCATTGAAGAAATCAAAGTCAAGTCAGCCATACTGAAAATGGTTGAATTAAGAACTTCAGATCTCCATAGAAGACAGAAAGAACTGATATAGTGTTGTTATTTGAATGAAATGTCACTGCAAAAAACTTAAAAGATACTAAAGAAGTCATTTGGTGATGAAAATGGTCAAAGCAATGTCTACAGATGGTAAATTACCGAACGATTTCTGAAAAGCCAAGAAGATCCGCTGAGGTTGCTTCGCGTATAGGTGCTCCAAAAACAACACGCACAGCAGAAATCATTAAAGAAGTAAAGCAGCTGATTATGGATGAGGAAACTGTCATTATTTAACATGAACTGGGCAGTAGTTATGAGCATGAAAAATGATTATTAAAAAAATTGTGACATCTTATATTTGAGGTACTTCAGATGCACATGACTTAGGTTGCCGTATGCTAAATCAATATTGTTACTTACTATTTAAGACCTGCTTCAGGTATCCTTACCACGGGTTACTATGGTAACTGTAACTTTGGCATATATCAAGGTTTTTGCCTGAATTTTTGGGGAAATATTAATGAATGTTTGGTGATACTATGTATAAAGGTTAGTGCTCTAACTCCAATTAGTTTCTGAGATAGGGCTCTATTTGGGTTATTTGTTGATCACCCCTTGTAGTATAGGTATCGGTGTGTGCGGTTTCGTTTTGAGAAAATTCAACAATTTACGACTAATTGGCATATGGTCACAATTTTAATTTCCACAATGTCGTTGAAATATGATGTGGTTTTTTACAACACCTTCGGGTACTGCCATCACACAAAGTAGAGCCACTCCCCCAATTATCATTGTCAGTCCTAATGGCCATATTCTGCCAAACTTCCACATTAATGGAATCTTCAATATAACTGCAGGTATCTCAACTGCAGCGTTCAGGAGATAATTGAGGTATGGACTGCCCGATAAACTACCTGCCCCCAAAGAGAGCCCGTAGTAAACCATACTTGTAACAAACCTAATGTCGTAAAATACCATGTGATGATTTACATGTGTATGAGATGTAGTAATAAATGATGAGTTGTTGTAGGTCAGTAAGTATCCCAGTCAGATTTAAGATCTTTGGGGAAGCATGGCATTTCTTGAAAGCCCATTGGGGAACGAAGGGCGATTACGTACGCACTTCTTTTAATAAACATCGCTGCCCCATCGTGTCCCAAGAAGGACCTTGTTGACTTTGCCCCATGGAGTGTTCCTCATGAGTCTCATGGAAATGATATTATTTAGTTTAGAGTTTACTGCGGTCGTTTTGATCCACAAGTCACCTGACCTGTCACATGATCAATAGTCCCACAATGCCCCATGGAAAGAGTCCTATGGGGTAATTAAACCCCATGAAGTCCCACACGAGCCCACACTACACATGTTAAGACTATAGAGTTCTCCCATTGGTGTATGTTCTTTTCAAAAGTCACCATTTGTTGGCGTTACTAAGGCGCTAAAATAAACTGTTTTATGAAGAATATACACACCAAATATAAAATTGTATGAGAGAATTTTTCCTGATGTTTGGAGTTCGTAGCAGATCAAGAAAAAACGCTTTCTTTCCCGGATCCTCTGCATCTGAATTCTCCTACAATCAGATTTAGCAGTTTAGTACTTCTTAACAATCAAAAAATGGTCTTGATTCAAAGACCCCTACCATATCATCCATAAAAGGTGACATTAATAGGAAGATGAGAGGGGAGGAGGTCAAGCGGCACAATTCGTTTGGTTATGGAATAAAGATCATGAAATCTTTTTAAAGCTTCATACCCGATCGTTTAACTTTTTGATATTATTCATGAGCATAAAATGTTAATATTGTACAAAAGAACGGAAAACTTGTGACGTTAAGCGCAATGTTTTAAAGTAACCTACTTTCATGTTGATATCAATGACGTCTGGAAGTTTTGCATTATTCCACTTGGCAATCTTATTCATTATTGCATCCCCATCTTTATTTTTCCCTTGACTGTACTTCCAACGAGGTGAATCTGGCATAATGCTATAAATAAGTATTAAGATAATTACGTTTAATAACAGATACATCCGGCTACTCCATCGTGTATTTGCAATTGATGATGAATAAACGTATGAGATAAACAACGTTATAGATTAACATAAATTAAAACTTACAAATGTATTACTTTAAAAACATTACAACCGAGAGGTTTTGCACAATAGGTTACCGCTAAAACGTATCCGCAGCCATCTCGTTGCAATCACTCTGTACCTGTCCGTCAGTCCACAATAGTGTCACGTTTTAAAAGCTCTCATATTTTATAAAATGGCCGTCATTTTTGTCTCGCAAAATTCACTTTTGGACCATTTGGTAGCTTTATAAATGATTTCAGGTGTAAAGCGTTGTAAAAATTCATGTCAATATAAAGAGTCGTTGTATGAAATAATTTTGTTACAAAAATTCGCCAAAAAATTATTTTTTTAAAACCTCTGTTGATAGGATTCTAAGTTATGTTTGTTCAACATCAATATAGAAAACCCCCCTATGATTCCTGTCTCGCGAAATTCACTTTTGGACCATTTGCTTTAAAACCTCTGTCGATAGGATTCTCATCTAATCTATTGTCTGCCATTTTAGTCATCATTCAGTTTTCTCTTTTTGAGCAACACCATGTGAGCCCAGTACCCACGGTACACAATTTTTTATTTTAGTTGAACTGCAACGCATAAACCTAGTCAATACGTTCAACGGAGCTAAAAACGTTGTGCGTAACCTCTCTATTGAGTTTGAACTCACAGAACTAAGTATATCACGTATGGTACATTAATAGACGCCACTGCTATAGTGAGATATCTCCAGTCCCTGATCAAGTACGCTATTCCAGCTAATGTCATGTAGCCAAATGGCCAATAGAGGCCGCTAACTACAGCAGCAAATAGCCGCCATTTCTGGTTAACTATCTCGAGTACTGGAAGATAAAACGAAACTTTATTTGGCTTTTTGTGAGATTGTGTTGAGCAGTTTCTTCCATATTTTAGGGCGATGGTGTTTTACTTTTTAGATCACGCATCCAACAACACTTACCAAGTACGTAGCCGATGGTACCAGTTGAGATTTCTGCAGCTGCCACGATAAATCTGAGTATGTTATAGACAATGTAGTTAGGGGAAAAAGAGGATGCGTACGTGAAGCTTATAGAAACCACGACAGTAGCTATCATAGCAAGCTTTCTACCAAACCTGAAAATGAATATTTGCAGCTTTGTAGATTCTACACAGGGAGATATTCCGATTACTTAATTAGTACAAAATTAGTACTAAATTAGCACTCTGGCAAAAGTGCACTCATGAGCACTCATGCCACTAGTGCTCATTTAGTACTAATTCATGATATTAGTACTCATTTAGTGCTGAAAATCAATATTACTAGTACTGTTTTATCACTCATGATATGATTAAGCGCTAAAAAATCAATGAAATTACTGCTATTTTATCACTCATCATATGAGTACTAATTTAGTACTAAAACATGCAATAAATCAATACTCATGTCATAAGTACTCATTTAGTACTAATATTTACTGAAATGAGTACTCAGTTAGCGCTAAAATGCCATGAGTACTATTTAGTACTCGGCATATCTCCCTGTGTACAACAGCATAAAAGACACACTTAATTAGTTTTAGGCTAAAACATCATATTACACAATTTGGCTACTTCGACGCAGATATTCAGTCCCTACTGCGTCCTTGCACAATTGTCAGAGTTTACGATCGTAAAAATGAACCATGCAAAGCATCGCAATAACAAGTTTGCAGGAATTCCCAGAGGAGCCTCCAAAGGAAGCAATTGTTTTTCCCTATTATCTTCATAGTTTCCACTTAGAGACTGTTATGGATATCGATCTCGAGTTTGTAATAATATAATGATAAATCATCATTTTAGTGTAAAAGTGAGTATCAGAAGGAATGTTAGAAAACTAGAATGTTCGCGACCTTGACGTGCACAAAGCATTAACATGCAAAATGTCACCACCACAGACGTCAACCGCCGATCGCCAACCGCCGGCACAAAAATCAGAGACCATATGTCACCACTTTTAGATGGTGACATAAAAAGCTGCACACAATTTTTCTGATGTTTTCGCTAATACTTTTTGAACTATGGGAAGTGGGGTGGGTGCTTATTGAGGAGTGATCACTAATGCAGCAATAACTTTATACACTGTAAATTGAGCCATCAGATTCTTAACCGCCAGTATATGGTAATTATTAAAATTTTAGCACTGTAAAGCTTTGACCCAACTTTATTTTTGTTGACTAACTTTTTGAAACTACTCAAGTCATGATGACAAGCAAAATTATAGGTCTACCGCTACCGCTGTCAGCGATCGCGAGAAGAAAATTCTGTTTGTTATTTAACTACTCATTGCCGATGGAATCTTTGGAGTTATACGATCGTTCATGTCAAAACATTGATCAAATCCATCCTGATTTAATCTCGTAATGTAAGAATGAACAAATTGATAGAATACCAAAGTTTGAGACGGGTATGCTCACTTGTCACTGGCTTGTCCAAATGTGAAGACTCCTACGAGCAAGCCAGCCATGTATATCGATTGCGAGGTGGCTACCATCCATTTCTTATCACAGACAAGGTCCCACTAAAACATAATTGCATGACATTAAGAAGAATATATGTCTCTATAAGGTCGATTCCGTTGAAAGTAGTCTATGCATGTATGATAGAATATTAATTAGTGTACCTAGTATACCGAAAGTATATGCAACTAACAGCAATAATGATGAAAATTTTATGTCCGAAATAAATATAAATAAAAGAAATGAGGAAACAGAAACTGAGTACAATAAACCTTCCTGGTAGTTTCTAAACTCTTGATGAAGCGATGGAAACTAGGGTAAAACGGCTGGATTTGTGCAAAAATATGTTTTTCATAACTGTCAGCTTTGTACTCTTTCTGCTCCGAAACTTTTAAAATGACATAATAAAATATAGGGGACATTATTTACCTCATTGGTCTCTTAATATAGAACCAGAATAGAATAATGAAAGAATTGAAATTATTGAAATAAGTTTGAGATGTAAAAGGCGAGGTCTAACGATGTATCTGAAATGACGGATGGGGGAAACAGAAGCGACTTATTTGAAAAAGGATTAAGAAATAAATACAGATATTGATGGGGAAATAGATATACTATCATCGGATTGGGTTGAATCGGACACACCTTGCCTAGCTATGTGTGAATATGATATTATTGATGAGCCAGACTAAATAAGCAAAATAATGATGAATGAAAGAGTGATCAAGAAGTAAATAAATTCGGTGAAGAAAGGATGAATAATGTGAATTGAATAATGATGATAATGTATTGTAACATTATAATTGAATCGGAAATAATTACAAGCTTAGGGCATGAATACTGATCAATGCAAGGTGTATGTCCATACCTCTGTGACGATTGTATTTTTGTAAGTATCTCCAGAATACACCCAACGATCACAGTTTATAACAGGTGTAGTATTTCTAAATGGAAAAGACAACAGTTCTTCTCTGGTTAAACCAGTATAGTTCCTATCATATATCTTACATTCGCTGTACGAACGGTCCTCTCCGAGAGGAATGGAAACATTAAGGCGCTCGGCGAGGGTAAAATTGTGAACGTCTAGTTGCGATGTGGCGCAGTAATGTTTTGGTGTTCCTGTATAGAAGACCATACTCATCCGGAACAGTGCACTGAGGAACCAAGTAACGTGAATCATGTTCACGTGAAACCATTGGAACTTCCCGCATCCGCCCGCGAAGTTGATAACCTCCTCGAAAAGCATGTCTCCTTGTTCTCATGGATTATTGACGAAAATGGTAAAAAATTCTAGTAGATCTAAGATATAGGTAGCTTATGCTCAGATTCGGCCTTCACGAAGATACTAACATTTAACAGTACACACGTTCTGTGACAGTACATGCATACATACAATAGATATTATCTCACTTTCATATGTTAGCATTTTGTCGATAGTTCTTGAGTCTTGACAGAAACAATGACAAGCAACGACAAATGAGTTTAAAGATAAATATCTGACCTATGACAATATTTGGTACCACTTAAGAGTATGTTTTTGTGAAAAGAAATTGAGATCAAAAATATACTGTTCATTTTTGTCATAGTTGATTAATGCGTTGCCATATATTGCATGTCCAATGGATTGTCCCAATTTAACCAGTAGTATCGCCATATTCAAAAAACGATCGTGGTTAAGAAAAAGTGTTTTTCTTTCTTTTCTGTATTTTAACACGTTGTTGCGTTATCACAAGGACATTTATGGCGTTTTATTTTAAACACTTTCATTTTGAACTACGTAAACGTTGACGCCAAAATGTTTGGACCCAATTTTGGAATATAATGACCCATTTTTCCAAATTTGAGGCCCAGATCTTCAAAAGGTCCGTTGTACCAAATCTAGGAAACGGCAACTCCACGGAGTAGCAAATACCAACGAACACATGAATCTGTACAGTCACAATGTAATATTTATCATCTACTCTTCCCTTCAATAAATATTTGAGATCATTGTGATATCATGTAATCATACCTTCAAGATAACTTTAAGTAATGGCGAATTCCTGCTTCTTGGCAGCCATTTTGAATTTTCAGAGGCACAAATCAGAAAAACAAGGTCATAATTGTGATCTACTCTGTACATGTAATTCCTTCAATTAGAGTATAATGTAGCCATACTTCTAAGAGATCAGAACATAATTGCGAATTCCCACATTAGGCGGCCATTTTGAATTTTTTGAGGCCCCAATCAGAAAAAAACGATACAATATTTGCAATCTACTCTAAATTGCCTTTCCTTGGAGTATAATAAAGCTATACTTCAAAAACATCTCAAAATTAACGCAAATTCCTGTTTTCCCAACGCATGGCGCATGGGGGTCAGGGTAAAAACACCATTTTTTAACCAACGGCCAACTGAAATATTTTTTTCGTAAAACTATCCACCACTATACATATTTCCACCAAATACTAAGAAAATCTATCAACTAGTATTTGAGTTATCTTCCGGACAGAATGACGGACGGACGGCTGCACTATATCCCTACTGAACTTCGTTCTTCGTTGGGAAAACTAAACATATTCCTGAAGATTTTGAACTTTTCTGTAAAAGGTTAGCCAAAATGGCCACATTGACAAAATTTTAAAAAAATCTATAAAAGTTGTTTTAAGAGTATTCTTTTATTAATTATAAGGATCACAGTTTTACAGTTATGTCACAATCGTAGACAAGACCACCTAGTTATATGCCAATGGAGTTTTACATCAATCCATTCAGATATCATCATTATATCAAGAAATGAATCATTTTCGACTTCGAAGTGAGGACAAGAGATGCAATACAAATGTAAACTCAACAAATAGATAAATTATAAGTTAGTACATATCCATTTTATTTATACTATATTATACTCCTCAAAAAAAGTTAAAGGCCCCATATAAAGTTAAAACCACTTTGGCTTATATTGTAGTCTTACCCAATGTTATCAAAGTGTAATATGTGAAACTTTTTTTTTAAATTTCAAAAAGTGTTTTTTGATAGACTTTTTGTACCAAAATTTGTGAATTTATTTAAAACCGACTTTTAGAGGTCACTCATATCTTCTCATAAGCCACAATTCATATCAATGCATAGCATTCATCCTCCCATGTTTTTTGCCGAAAAAATTAAGAAAATCGGTTCATAAATAAGCGAGAAATGAACTTATCAGTGCATGAAAATGGTTCTGAGAAAAATGCATTTCAAAATTTTAGTTCTCATAGAAACCAATGGTACAATGATATCTAAAACATAATTTATTCTTCCTTTTAACCTGGTTAGACAATCATGGTTTTTTTATGAAAGTCTAACATATTTAGAAAAAATTGACATCGAAAAAAAAATTTCAATTTTTTTTCAAAAAGTTTTTGGTACCTTAGTGACATCACTAATGTTTCAAAATATTTTTGATATGTTAAAACATTGAAGTGGCCCATTAAATATGGCATTTTATTATTGAAATAGTGTGTCCTTTGTTCAACCTTTGCATTGATGTTAAAAAGATAATCTTTTTTGAAATGCATTAAGAAATATTTGATGATTAAGAAATTTCAATTTCAATTTTTTTGAAAAATGGCGGGAAATTTGAATATTTGAGAAATGAAATGCCCACAACTTTTTTGTTCAAAATTTTTTTTTGTTCAAAAATCTCCTGACAAATAGTAAATGAATGATAAAAAAATATTTTCAAACTTCAGACGGGGGCTTTAAGGACCAGTGGTTTTCCTCATAGGTTTACATGTTAACCCCCATATTTGTTTGAGCGACTATTTTCTAAGCGTGGAACAAAAGAAATCCCAATAAAGAAAATAAATCTGTATCTTGATTCTATTCCCTATAAAGTCTGCAACATTTCAATGTTATATCTCCATTACATTGGGTCAAAATTTGATGTCAAAATTGATGAATTTCATGAAATTTAACAAAAATGGCAGCTCCCATGTTAAACAAATGGGGAATGGTTGGGTTGCAAGTCATATGAGGAACGATCCATCCATCCGATTGCTCTCAAAATTGTAATTGTAAGAGATAATTAAATTTGCTAAATTGTCCACTGGACAAAAATATGATTCAATTGTCCAGGCTTTACAAAAGTTAATGGTTTCAAATTCAATAATTTTTTAATGATCCTCTTATTGAAATAACACAGGTGGTTCAGTGAGGTGGTCAAAATTACTTTAACGCTCCGTATCGCTAATTTTAACAACATAAGCGAGACATTTAGCATGTAAAATCATTCAATTATACTACTTAGAAAGTATTTTTAATTAATGTTTTACTGAATAGATATTCCAAAATCTGAGTTGCCCCTAAGCCACCATTCCCCATTTGTTTAACATGGGATCTGCCATTTTTGTTAAATTTCATGAAATTCATCAATTTTGACATCAAATTTTGGCCCAATGTCATGAAGGTATAACATTGAAACGTTGCGGACTTTATAGGGAATAGAATCAAGATAAAGATTGATTTACTTTATTTGGATTTCTTTTGTTCCCTGCTTAGAAAATAGTCGTTCAAACAAATATGGGGGTTAACATGTAAACCTATGAGGAAAACCACTGGTTGAGGAGTATATATTAATACAAAGTTTTACAAGGGCTGTATCATTTCAATTCAATTGATATTTTATCCAAGGCATATTTGTTGTTTAGTCTGTTTTTTTTGTCTAGGCATAATGACTGTGTAAGTTGAATATCATTTGAAATAAAAATACTTCAAGGTTATTCAAGATTGCTATTGGACTTAAAATATCATCTGGAGTATAATGTACATCACCGAAGTTTTATCTGATTTTATTTAGTTATTTGTTTCATTTCTCACTTTCCTAATATAATTTAGAATTCAGATTTTTCGACAGATTTTGGGGTTCAGATTTCAAAATATTACTTTTTGTAACTATTTTCTTGATTTACGTTTCCCTTTCAAAGTTATCTGGTTATTTTGTAGCATTCTCAATTTTACAACAGTTTTTTCTCGTACGTTCTGTACATCATAACCTTTCAGTGATACAATACTCCTCAAAAAATTATTCGCTTCAGAATTCTTTGAAAGCGTTTGTTCCATTTTCTTTATTTCAAATTGTTTTTCTGCACTCACTTTTTTGCCACCTTGATTTTTTAAATTTGTCTTTTTGCTAATATTAGCCATCCTGTTACAAGTTCTGGGTATCTTTTTCCCAGATGAAGTGGCATTTCTACTAACTTTGGAAGACTCAATATTTTGTGACAATTTTTCCTTTCTTAATCTTTTTGCTTGTACTCTCTTACCACCACGTGGTGTAGGCCTTCTCTTTGTACTACCATCTGCCACCTTTACACTAGCTTGCAGTGACTTTTTACCAAATTTCGTGTTCCTTTTTCTGGAATTAGTGACCTTCAAACTTGCTTTAGCTGACGGATTTCTATTAGATTTAGATATTTTATCAGCTATAGACTCCCCACCCTTTTCTAAAATTGTTTTCTTGTCTAATATTTCTGAAGGTTGTTTGTCACCAGACAGCTGATTGGTTGGCGTTTCACCAAGGCCCTCTGCAAGTGAACATAAGGCGTTTTAAATATCATGAAGCATTATGAAATTTGTGGAGACTTTACTTACAAACAATCAGATTACATGTATGTCTTTTTATTAAGAAATATATGAAATACAGAGGAGTAAATTTAATGCATTAGCTCAGATGCTTTAAATTATTTATGGTCAAAGCTAATATCAAGAAATTGTCATTTTTTACCTTTCTTTTTCTTACTTTTCTTTTTTGGTTTACCTGCAACTTCATTACTTGCAGTTCTTTCATTCTCTAGTGCATTTTCTGACTTCACTTTGTTTTTACTTTTCTTCAGCTTCTTTTTCACTGGTTCAATTTGTTCCGAATCACTTGAAGCTTTTTCAATAATTTCTAACTTGGGTTCAGTAGCAGACTTTCTCTTCCTTTCTTTCTTAGAACTAGACACATCCTCAAGATTCTTCCCTGAATTTTCAGTTTCATCAAGTTCATCATATTTCCTTTTTTTCTTTTTCTTCTTTTCAGGTTTACTTTCACTACTGTTTCCATTAACAGAGGAAGTCTCCTGTTCTGTAGGATTATCCTCACAATTTTGTTTTTTACTCTTTTTCTTCTTAGACTTTTTAGTTTCATTTTCATCCGCGGATATTTTATTTTCTACTTCAGATACACTTTCTTTCCTTTTTTTCTTTTTCTTGATTTTTTCTTGTTTTACATTATTTTCACTGTCACTATTTTTATCGGTCATATCATTATCAATTTTAGGCTCTAGAACTGAGTTCTGATTGGTCGCATTGTCCCCACCTGCTCTAATTTTCTTCAGAGCTGCCATCTTTTGGGCAAAATATTCCTGGACACTTTGAGAACTGATGATTGTATTCACACCATGCTCATTGTCGTCACTTGGTTTAGCATTGCTACTGGCAGTATCGGAGCTGGAACTTTCAGCATCTGAGTTTGCCTAAAATTAAAAATTGGGAGCATTCAAACAGATGGTTTTGACCCCAAATGTTGGTTCAAAACTAGAAACAGTAACGCCATAGAGTAGCAAATCCCAATGAATAAAATATTCAAGAACCTGTATATGTCATTATATAATGTCTACCATCTACTCTAGCTTCGATTTGCAGATAATAAAATACAGATATTGGAGTTATATCAGAATTTCCACCAATTCCAGGCACAAATCATAAAGACATTTACAATATTTGTGATCTAATGTAGTATAATGTAAACATACTTTGATCTTTAGATTATAGCAAATTCCCACTTTGACAGATTTGCCTATTTGATTTAATGAAACAAAATATCTTAAATGTTTCTGTCAAAATATGTTAAAAACAACTGTAAGAGTCAAACATGCTGATCAAATTCAGGTATCCAAGAAGGATTGAAAAAAGTGTCTGTTGTATCCTTCTGAAACTTTGAAAATAGACTTTCATCTACTTCAATCACTCAGGAATCACGCCCATTGGAAAAAATGATAAAAATCATGAGAAATCTGAATACTTTGGTCAAAATTTTGTTAATGCAGCGATTAAGGGGAAAATCCTTGTGAGTTCATTGAGTGCAAATGTATGTACAGTGGTAAAAATTTGATTTTATTGGACAAACCTCTGACTGGGTAATAGGAGTAGAAGTTTCAGATTTGTTCTTCCTCTTGCCAAATATGCAGTCTAAATCATTGCTCTTGTAGCCAGACAAGTCCTTCCCTCGAGTGAACTTATGGTAGCTGGAATGACAGAGAAAAACAGGGTAAGAGTATTTCATAAGTGTTGTAGACTATGATGTACATGTACCTACATTTTGAGTTTTCGATTAACATAGAGAACATGTTTGTTATATTGACCTGAGGTGAAAGTACTACAGAGCTGATAGAGATATATGAATAAATGCTCATTTTTCTTTAAAAGGTTGCCATTTATACAACTATTGTTTTGAGGAGGATCTGCAACTCTGCACATAATGTCCATTTATTTGTATGAACCATGCAGGTAAGTGTATGTACAAATACTTTCTACCTCAAATATATGCAATGAATCTCAAAAGCCGGATCACCATTTTGATTGACCTCTCAAACCAAAACATCATTGCTTTGAGATTAATGGGTCAGTAGCAAAAAACCTTTAGCACTGTCCTGCCAACTTTCAAAGGATACTATTATTAACATACACATAAACTTGAAAACAAACTGTTTAATCAGTACAATTGAACTTCTTGGCATTATCTTACATCATAGTGAGGAAGCACAAAGGGCAACATTTGAAAACAAATAAAATATTACAAGTCAAAAATTGTTTCGTTCAGTGCAATTTGAGAATTTGCTACCTGATAATATTTTCTTGGAGCATTTTTGTTGCTTCCTGAATATGGGAATTTGCTCCTTGTTTTGGTAGAAGGTATCAAATCCTTGCTACTGGTAAAACAGTTAAGGTCAGACCCTGTATGTGTCATATATCATTTTAAAGCTTATCCAAAGTTACATTGATTTGCCAAGTATCATGGTTCAAATCACAAATGGGAAAAAGTTACAGGCATTTCAAAACTTAGCATTAAGCCAAAAATATAGCTCAATTCAGTATCCTGGAAACAGCCCTGACCTGAATGTGACCTAAAATATGGGTGCTATTGTCGAAGATAGGATGAATATTGTGTTCAAAAAGAGGACGTTGGGGGTATATACTCCAAAGAAACTCTTCTAAAATGCCTTAAAACGGTTTTATAAGGAATACAAAATGCCACATCCCTGTTTGAAGTGCATTTAAGGTCATGTATGGAAAGCATTGCTGCTGTTAACATAGCCTAGGGAGACAAATCGACTATTATTTTGGTGTAAAACTGACTTAAATTTTGGCTCAACCCTAAATTTTGAAATACCTGTAACTTTTTCCTATTTGTGAGTTGAACCATGTAAATTTGGCAAATCAACGTAACTTTGAATGAGCTTTAAAATGATATGACAAATACTATGGAGACATTGGTATATGTCTGCCTAGGGGGGCCCCCATACTTTAGGGACACTCTGTATACTTTTTATAAATCTTGGTGAAAATCCAAATATCGAAAAATTGTGTCCAGCTGAAATTTGGCTAGTTCAGCAGATTTTCAAAGTTACTGGACAAACTGTCCAGTGGCAATTTGTACCTTAAGGAAACCCAGGTGCACACTAGAGATCCCACGATACATTTTTTTTCGATTCGATACGTATCTCGATATTATGAAAACGATTCGATACAAACGATATGATACATATTGATGTAAGGGGGTTCGAGTCCCCCCCGCTAAAAAAAATTTCAAAGTTACCCTTCTGAGCATAGAAAGTTGTGTTGTTATTGAATGTTGGGTTTTTAAAAGACCCCCGCACGTCAGACTTACCTTTTGGGTTGTGTTTATTGCGATGGTGTTCTCCATATTAAGAATATAAGCAAATTTACGGGATTTAAATCTCGCCGATGTTTTGCTATTCATTAAATATCCGAACGTCATGTTTGATTGTCGTTCGCTAAATATAACGCAAATTGGAAAGCTACTATAACATCTTAAGGCCCTATCGCATTTACTACATATTTAGATAATTAATGGTACAATGTTTGGTGTGGAAATGCACATAGGGCATCTAAAATCACAAATGTTCGCAAAATTATTGAAAATCCGTTTATTGCTAAAAAAGTTCACGTTCTGTTTGAATCACGAAAATTTGTGGCGCGTCATGTGAGCTCTTCAAAATATTTTTGATTTTTAATTTTTCCCGGAGTTTTCTGTGTCAATTTTGGTTTAATAGAGCTCTTTTACTTACTTAACGGGTAAGTTGATTTGAAAAACGATTATCGATTATATCGAAAATAGAGGATCCATATCGATTAATCGAATCGGAGGTGATTTCTAGCGATTATATCGGTGCATCGAGCAATCGTGGGATCCCTAGTGCATACATAATTTATCTTCACATATCAACTTACTGGACTCGTTTCTTTGTTGTTTTGGACCTCTCTTCCAGACTGGTGACCTTAGCCTCCTTTACAGCCTCTTTATCAGCTGCAGGCTCTGTGGAGTGGTCTGCATTCAGGTTAGCAAGGATGGAATTGAAATCATCTTGGTGGGCAATCCAGTTGTCAGCATGCTTTACAGAACAACCAACTCCTAAATGGCAAATAGGGAAGGCACAACTTGTGAATGGTATACAGGCCTTTGGTACAGTACATTCTCAGAATGGAGCATAATTAATTCAGATAGTAGAACAATAATTAAATGTTCACATTAGAAGTTCTTTACTTATATAAATTTGTTTACTATTAGAAGTACATAATAACTTTCAAATTATATATATTCAATAATTATGTTGAATTAATTTGATTTTTTTAATTGAAGAAAGTAATGAAATTGCCAAGTCTTGTTCTATTTCAAAAGTGCTCCATTATGTTCCCAGTTCCGATCCTGGAGCAAGTATACTGGGCAATTGTTTCATCAACTGCCCCATCCATTACCATATACAACATGTACTGGTACAACATGTTCTTCATCTCTTTTACCATAAAACTGTAAAATGGTACCTTCTGTATTAGGAGCCTCAAACTTCCCCTCAATAGACCTGTAGCTTATTTCTCATATTCTCACCTCTACTATCAGCCTTGTGCTTGATGCTGATGTGATCAACATCGCCATCTTCTTTTGCTCCAAGGCCCTTGCCTTCATTCCAGCCCATCTTTTCCATAAGCTTCTTACCAAACTTGCTTTCATCTGAAACAATATGCAATCAGTAAAAACCCAGAAAATTTTGTACTTCACTTCTGTAAGCTAAGTCGGTGAATGAACCTCTCTCAACAAAATTATTGTCTGCATTATGTTGGTTGTCTGAATCCTTCGAAAACTGTGTAAACTTGAAATCCACATGTATGAATAAGACAACAAAGCACAGGGGTTTCATTAGCAGCAGGTAACAGGTAACAACAGTCCCTGTTGTTTTTAGGGACTTTTCAACGTTTCTACGTTAAAGGTACAGTCTTAAGTTTCGATACAAAAATCACCAACAGATGAGAAATTTGATTCTCATTTTGTTGATTTTAGATTTTCTCGTTTGGCAAAACAGAAAGCAAGTTATCAACATTAGTGAATGATCCAGCTCATCATACGTAGTATGTATGAAGGTGCACAAATTCAGGTAAAAACATTTACATTGTAAATTCAGAAGAAGTGAGTAGCTCCCATAATTCTTTCACATTCTATCGTATTCGGAGATTCCCCATTATACGATTTCCAATCAAATTGCAGGATGTGATCCCGTGAACAATCATGAGCATGTGCTTTCTCAGTGCCGCGCATGTGCAAAGTAAAATTTGAAATCGTTGAAATGGCGTTCATTTCAGTTTAAGGTAACGATAAAGTTAATCAAAAGTACAAACAAATGACAGCCATATTTTTTCTGAAGATATTTTCGTTTTTGATAGCAATATTTGCGTGTAATATTTAACTTATTTCAACCGTCAAATTCCTCCATTCAGTTCCTGGCATGCACCAGTCATAAGGGAAATCCCTGGGGAATTCCCCTTCCGACATTTTGAAAATTGCTGATATATTTCCGATGTAAAAACTAAAATCTCTTCGTTCTGCCGATAAACCCATACAATAGGCGATCTAACAACATCAAAAGAATTCTAAAATACTCTGGAATGTATCGAGGTAGGTCATTTAATAGTGCAATGCGTAGTTCATTCTCCGACATTGTAGAAAGACAGGCTTACTAATAATACGGGCGTACGACCACAATCTAAAGTGGTCGGTAGGCATATGATAATCAAAACAGTAATGTTTGTGAGTACTTTGAATTTAAAAAATAAGCAATCAAATGACCAAATTGAAACAGTTTATGTAAAAATAGAAACATTTATATTTATCTTAACTTTTGTATATTTTAGTTTGTTTTCTAGTTTAGCTATCATATCTGTGTCCTCTTATATTTTGATACTTCTCTGCCATGTTATTTTCGGAAAAATTAACATGGCGGAAACTCCCTAAATTACAAAAGGCCACAGCTTTGCTGCACATTATACATTACTATCTGAAAACAACGAACAAATATTCGGTTTTCACATATGTTCGGTAATTTTTCGTATTGATACTTCCGGAACAAGGAAATCATTCATTTTCACAGTCCATGATTTACCTCTTGGATGTTGTGGCAAATGCTCAATGGTTGACGGAACAAAGGTGATATGGTTTCATTAAGATTCGGGTTCTAACCTTTAGAAGGTAAGTCAGACTCCCAAACGTCAGCTAACTCTATATTTAGCATGTTAGCGACGAAGTCAGGCCATGAAAACAATTCTAGAAGCAATCCAAGATATACAAATGTCATTCATGTACAATAGGAATATATTTTTCCATATATTATTGCAAAATGATATACTGTTTAACTGCGTCAGTAAAAGCTAAAAAATAAGAAATCAAAATGAGAAACTGGAAGGTTGAAAAATGGCCGAATATCCTGTGTTCTATACGCAAAAAAGAAAGTTCTTCATTCCCACGATTCAGAATGATTCGAATTACTTTTCGGCGGTTGGATCGGTACCAAATGAAAGATTATTGCCAAGGAACGGAAAACATGTTTCGAAGATGAGAGTTATTTGTTTTATCACTAAAGGAAAATATTCCTGCAATATTAGGTGCATCATGGGAAGGGACTGGTGTGAAATAATGAACGCAAGTGACATCTATCTAGAAAAATATGTGGTCATTGCGCATGCGTTCATATAATATGAACTAATCAAATTGCTGGATTGAACGCAACTGCACATGGAACACATTTTCAGTTTCGAAACATAATTTAATGCATCTATTTTGCGTATAGCAGTCATAATAGGCTGTCCTTCGTTAAAAATAATATACGGAAATGAACCTAAGGAAACAAAGAACTCTAGGAACTACCGATTTTTAACAGTGGACGTGTCTTGAGGAAGAAATCTAGTCTGGAGCTAATAATCGTGAGGTGAAAATTGCCATTATTTTCATTTTAAACACTTCTTTACATATTCTTCAGATTTCTCAGCAACTAGTGGATGGATTGCTACCATTTTGGGTAACTTTACTGTGTGTGTTGTTTGAATCAGCATGTTGATTGTTGAAAGGATTCCATATATTTTTACTGGATATATCTAGAATTGTTTTCATGGCCTGAGTTCGTCGCTAACATGCTAAACATAAGAGTTAGCTGACGTTTGGGAGTCTGACTTACCTTCTAAAGGTTAGAACCCAAATCTTAATGAAACCATATCACCTTTGTTCCGTCAACCATGGAGCATTTGCCACAACATCCAAGAGGTAAATCATGGACCGTGAAAATGAATGATTTGCTTGTAAGTTCCGGAAGTTTCAATACGAAAAATTACCGAACATATGTGAAAACCGAATATTTGTTCGTTGTTTTCACGATTTACAGGTTCGTTTGTTCTTCAATGTTTTGGTCTAAATTATAAAGCATCACCAACAGGTCTTACTCTATTAATCGACTAATACAGCAGATGGCTCATATTTCTACGTAGCATTTCATTCAGACCAATAGTGGGAGTGTAGATCACGCAGTTTCGTTCGTTGCGTACTTCACTTGAAATTGGTAATTTAAAATATTGGCTACTTCACTTAGCTTGGCGGATGTAGAACATTGCTTAATATTCTTTTAATTTTCACACCAGACATGCTTGGTTGACACGTCAACAAAGTAAAGTTCAAGGGTCAATGCGTTATTTCGTGATAACTACAACGCCTTCCCGGAAGTCAACATTGATGAAAAATGAAAAAGTTGGAAAAGCATTTACACTAATTTCTATCAAATGCTGTGTTTATGCATCATCATCGACGCAACAAAGGTGATATGGTTCCATTAAGATTTGGGTTCTAACCTTTAGAAGGTAAGTCAGACTCCCAAACGTCAGCTACAGTTGGGGACAAAAATAAATGACAGGTCGATTTTCGATCACCATTTCCTAATTATGGTGGTCTGAAAGCCCATAATTTCCAATATTGTCTAGATATATATCCCTTAAAATTTGTATATTTTACATTTTGTATAATCTCATCCACTGATGTATGGCCTCTTGTAAATTCTCTTATTTTTAACATGGGAAATCCTCACTTCAGCAAATCCACCTGTCATTTATTTATGTCCCCAACTGTAACTCTTATATTTAGCATGTTAGCGACGAAGTCAGGCCATGAAAACAATTCTAACAATCATTTTCTACAAATATCAGGTAGCATCAAAATCGACCACCCTTTTTCTCTTAATAATCAGTACACACTCATCGGAGGGCTTGCCCGACGCCTCGAGACAAGCCCCTGTGAGAATTCCCCCCTGTTGCAAGGAGGATTGGCTCCCAGAGTGCAACATCGATATTCTGTCCCATATATGAGCATGTCGTGATACAAAATTCGAATTCAAGCATCCGCCATTTTGTTCACTTCAACATTTGAATCGTGAATTTTGATCTTATTTCCTCACGAAAAATTCCAAAACGCACAAGAAATGATCGAGATATTAGTTCGAATCTTTTGGACCGTTTATTTTGAATTTATAGTCGGTTATAATTTCCGAAAATAACGACATTTCGACGTTTTCATTGTTGGAAAATATCGAGTGTCGATCCTGGGATCCAATCCTCCTTGCCCCTGTTGTTACAAATTGTAGCATTGGACAACCATTTTTTTAAATTAACCCAACCCCATTAAACTATATATTTTCTGAAAGCTTGGAGTTTCAATAAAAAGAAAATCTATAACCTAAATTTTTAGAAAATGCATACTGGCCGTGGCACCCATTTAAAGTAGGTCACCCTCAGGGGGTCCAAAAATCGTTTTTGCTAAAAACTGACCCCAACTTTGAAATTTAATTAAAAATTAACAATAAGGTTTATCTTATCATACCTTATATTTTCTTGTAACTCTAACTTTTATTTAACCAAACAAAAAAAAATGAAGGTCTAATATAAGTTCATATTTTCGTAAATTAGAGTCACAGAGTATCACCCATGGGCGTTTTTTGTATTTTTTAAAATAAACATTTGCAATGTACAATTTCCTATGTCTCTTTCACTTGGATCAATGGAGAACATTAGTACAAATATTTTTTTATTACTTGAGTAATATTCTTTCCATGTATACAAATAGTGTATCTATAAGCTGACACTACATGTATATCACTAAATTGTTTACCATAATATATAATATACATATGTCCATATGTACATGTATTATAGTTTTCAAAAGTCTTGAGAGAGACCAAAATAAAACTTTCCAAGTCGTTAAAACAAGCATGCTGCATTTAGAAATCAATGGTATGAGACATCAAGTGATTAGTGGTATGGGACATCAACTAACCAATAGTATGGGGCATCAAGTGATCAATGGTATGGGACATCAAGTGATCAACAGTATGGAACATCAAGTGATCAACAGTACTGGATATCAAGTAATCAACAGTCTTGGACAATCAATAATCAATAGTAATTAATAAGTATTAGGGAATAAAATAATTAACAGTGTGGGAAATCAAGTGATCAATGGTATGGGGTAGTAAGTGTTAAATAGTATGGGACATCAAATGATCAATAGTATGGGACATCAAGTGATCAACAGTATGGGACGTCAAGTCGTCAAGTGATCAATAGTATATCAAAGGAATCAACAGTGTGGGACATCAAGTGATCAATAGTGTGGGACATCAAGTGGTCAATAGTATGGTATACATGTATCAAATGATCAATAGTATGGGACATCAAGTGATCATTAGTATGGGTCATCAATGATAAACTTTTACAGTATGGGGCATCAAGGGAGGTGAGACTGCAAGTAGTCAAAGTGATTATCCGATGATAATAGATTGGGGCACCTGTAATTACTGAATTATGCATTGGTAACCAGAACAACGGCAACGCCAAAGCGTAGCGAATCCCATCGAACAGAAATGGCTGGCATTTTTATAAACGAAGCACAAATATCATAAAAGAACACACCAGAAAGGCCACCATTTTCAAAATGGTTGCTCACTAGCCAAGTTGTCATCAGAAGAAATAATATGCTTTTAAGTAGCCACCTCTAAAATTTTTGAAAAATCGCACACATGCTTGTAAAATAACACACATAAAAATGTTGGCCATTTTTCAAAATGACCGACTACTCCATAAAGTTGTATTAGACAATGTGTTATGCTTAAAGTATTCACATATCAATTATGAACAAAATCGCTCCACTACTTTACGAGTTATAGTAAAATACGTTAAAATGGCGGCCATTTTTCAAAATTGTTTTTAAAATGGCCACCTTCTACCAAAAGTGTCATAGGACAGTGTGCCATGCTTATAGTATTCACATACCAAATATGAACAAAATCGCTCCACAACTTTTCAAGTTATAGTGAAATATGTTAAAATGGCGGCCATTTTTCAAATTTTTTTTCAAAATGGCCGCCTTCTACCAAAAGTGTCATAGGACAGTGTGCCATGCTTATAGTATTCACATACCAAATATGAACAAAATCGCTCAACTACTTTTTGAGTTACAGCAAAAATCGTAAAATGACAAGTAAAGGCCGCCATTTTTCAAGATGGCTGCCATGTGCTTCTTTAATATCTACATTTGTAGCATTATTAACGTCTTTTATAATTTTTTTACATTTAAAACATATTGCTAATACAGTTTTACATATTGCACCTAAATTACTGTAAAATCGTCACTAAAATGGCCGCCATTTTGAAATGAGCGGCCATTTTGAAAATCGGCTTTCGAGCAGAACTTCTAACCCCATAGGGTATATGTGTACAAAATATGAACAAAATCTGGCCAACCGTATTTGAGTTATTGCCCGGACGGACGGACGGACAGACGGACGGACGGACGGACGTACGTACAGACGTATGTACGGACGGACGGACGGACGGACGGACGGACGGACGGAGGCGTTCCCTATATCCCTCCGAACTTCGTTCGATGGGATAATTATCAAATAATCATACCAACCTATCCACATCGATCCACGTGCTTGATCGCGAGAACAACAACAAACTAATCACGTGACAATAACAATCTTTTAATCTGTGTCTCATAAGTCCAAATTCAACGGACATCGTATGAAGAAGTTTTCAATAGCATATTTGATTTCATAAATATACATTTATTTGAAGTAACAACCATAATTGAACACAGATTAACCAAAATTAATGATTTTATTTTTGCGCAAGACACGCGACCCCGGAAGATAAATATGGCCGCCATCTTGCATGAGAATCGGAAGATTACACCAGCCACTTTAAAAGTTGAATTTCTACATTTGCGCATATATATATCAGTGTAAGTTTTAATTTTTTACGATCTCAAGACTTTAAACTTTACAAATAACTGCTTAATCAAAGCGACCAAAAATTATTGAGGGTATAATTAAATGATTTAAACTTTACCTCGTGAAGTTCGTCCTCGCCAAAAACGATTTTCTTCTATTCTTCAGAATGCGCGAAGACTTCATTCAATTATTAAACAGATTTTATAAAGAAATAACAGCAATTCGACTTTTAATAGCAATGGACAACGAATAGATGGCGCGTTTTCGCGGGAAATTTTATTCACTAAAAAATTGACCCCGCTTTTATATGCAATTTTGGTCGCTCATTTTAACTATGTTAAAAGTCGAATTGCTGTTATTTCTTTATAAAATCTGTTTAATAATTGAATGAAGTCTTCGCGCATTCTGAAGAATAGAAGAAAATCGTTTTTGGCGAGGACGAACTTCACGAGGTAAAGTTTAAATCATTTAATTATACCCTTAATAATTTTTGGTCGCTTTGATTAAGCAGTTATTTGTAAAGTTTAAAGTCTTGAGATCGTAAAAAATTAAAACTTACACTGATATATATATGCGCAAATGTAGAAATTCAACTTTTAAAGTGGCTGGTGTAATCTTCCGATTCTCATGCAAGATGGCGGCCATATTTATCTTCCGGGGTCGCGTGTCTTGCGCAAAAATAAAATCGTTAATTTTGGTTAATCTGTGTTCAATTATGGTTGTTACTTCAAATAAATGTATATTTATGAAATCAAATATGCTATTGAAAACTTCTTCATACGATGTCCGTTGAATTTGGACTTATTAGACACAGATTAAAAGATTGTTATTGTCACGTGATTAGTTTGTTGTTGTTCTCGCGATCAAGCACGTGGATCGATGTGGATAGGTTGGTATGATTATTTGACAATTACCAATGCATAATTCAGTAATTACAGGTGCCCCAATCTATTATCATCGGATAATCACTTTGACTACTTGCAGTCTCACCTCCCTTGATGCCCAATAATGTAAAAGTTTATCATTGATGACCCATACTAATGATCACTTGATGTCCCATACTATTGATCATTTGATACATGTATACCATACTATTGACCACTTGATGTCCCACACTATTGATCACTTGATGTCCCACACTGTTGATTCCTTTGATATACTATTGATCACTTGATGTCCCATACTGTTGATCACTTGATGTCCCATACTATTGATCATTTGATGTCCCATACTATTTAACACTTACTACCCCATACCATTGATCACTTGATTTCCCACACTGTTAATTATTTTATTCCCTAATACTTATTAATTACTATTGATTGTCCAAGACTGTTGATTACTTGATATCCAGTACTGTTGATCACTTGATGTTCCATACTGTTGATCACTTGATGTCCCATACCATTGATCACTTGATGCCCCATACTATTGGTTAGTTGATGTCCCATACCACTAATCACTTGATGTCTCATACCATTGATCTCTAAATGCAGCATGCTTGTTTTAACGACTTGGAAAGTTTTATTTTGGTCTCTCAAGACTTTTGAAAACTATAATACATGTACATATGGACATATGTATATTATATATTATGGTAAACAATTTAGTGATATACATGTAGTGTCAGCTTATAGATACACTATTTGTATACATGGAAAGAATATTACTCAAGTAATAAAAAAATATTTGTACTAATGTTCTCCATTGATCCAAATGAAAGAGACATAGGAAATTGTACATTGCAAATGTTTATTAAAAAAAAAATACAAAAAACGCCCATGGGTGATACTCTGTGACTCTAATTTACGGAAATATGAACTTATATTAGACCTTCATTTTTTTTGTTTGGTTAAATAAAAGTTAGAGTTACAAGAAAATATAAGGTATGATAAGATAAACCTTATTGTTAATTTTTAATTAAATTTCAAAGTTGGGGTCAGTTTTTAGCAAAAACGATTTTTGGACCCCCTGAGGGTGACCTACTTTAAATGGGTGCCACGGCCAGTATGCATTTTCTAAAAATTTAGGTTATAGATTTTCTTTTTATTGAAACTCCAAGCTTTCAGAAAATATATAGTTTAATGGGGTTGGGTTAATTTAAAAAAATGGTTGTCCAATGCTACTTTTAATATAGTTAAAATGAGCGACCAAAATTGCATATAAAAGCGGGGTCAATTTTTTAGTGAATAAAATTTCCCGCGAAAACGCGCCATCTATTCGTTGTCCATTGCTAATACAAATGTAACAAAAAAAAAGAACTCCATTTTCAGATTTTTCAATTTGGGTTCAAATATCTCATAGATTGTGGCATAATACGCCAGTAAATTTGTTTTGTCATTAAGATCTCTATCAAAACAATAAACATACTTACCATTTTTCCAATTTAGATTTCTGGGATCGGTTGAATATCTTATTTTACGACGTGGTTCTGCTAAAAGTGCCATGCTCGAAATCGACCTGCGACCTTGACCCTTTTACTGAGTAGTCCAAGTCTACACTAAACGAAATAAGCACTCTCCCCGGGATGGATTTGGGAGCATAATTTATGAAGCACAATATATGCTTCTCGTACTTAAACTCAGCATGTGAAAATAAACAGAAAGAGCAGTGGTTAATTAAGATCATAAATAAGTCAGCTCAAAACACACATAGTCTCAGTATTATACACAAGCACTACCCGGGGTTACGCCCCGGGGCCATGCATATCGCGGCTTCCACTACATCTGCATCATTAACCATCTCAATGTTAATTTGAACTGAAATTTATTTGAGTTAGTACTCAGGCTTGTTTTAATAGTTATTAGTTTCTGATTTGAATTTTGCCTGGGGATAAAAATAGGCCTAGGCCTCCATGTAAATACCGGGCTATAGGCTTAAAGCTTGAAAGTAGGCTATGTCTTAATAAAAGTTCTCTACATACACTCTACATACTGTCTCTGACTATATCTCAGACCTCAGACTCAGTCCAACTCAGTAAAGGAATGGGTCAATTGAAAGTAAAGCTTTTTCAAAATGCATGCGAATATTGGCACTGATTGGACCCCGGGGATTGGACATATTCATTTAATTCTGCATCGTAAAGCTAAAAACGTTGCTATCATTGCATAATTATTCTTTTAGCCTATGAGATCCTACTACAAAGAGATCTGGCCAACATCTATGACTTAAATGGGCAAATACATGGTTTCTCAATCGAATGCCTTTCTGAAGCTCATGGCCAATCAGGTGACGGGAGCTCGACAGTCCGTCGCACCCGCTTCCCAAAATCATGAAAATCAGTTTTCTTCTATCCTAAACATTTTCTTTGTCTTCATCTATTTCAATTTAATATATTAAATTGGCTGTGTGATGGATCAGAGCCCATGGATGGATTAATGTCAGAAAAGGCGTTTTGACTCGCAAGCTACATGTACATGTAAGGTTTCAGTTTCTAAAGTCAGTCTGCAATGTATTTGGTTTATCCTAAAAAATCCTGAATACGAGAAATTAATAAAGTTAATACCCAATCCTATCCGCATGTTTATATTACGATATACTATCATTTTATTGATTAGTGCCTCAATTTTAGCTGATATCAGTACTCAGTATTGAGTCATGAAGTTTTGATTAGTATTCGATCGTCTTCAACTGTCTGTCCCTCCAAAAGCAACACTGTTTAAACTGTTTATGTTCCATTTTTATTGTTCTCAATTACAAAGGCGCGACCTAAATGATGACTTATGACTGACAGACCAACATAAACAGAGTTCACGTCAGTGCCTGCGTCAGTGCATCAGTGCATCAGTGCGTCAGTTGAAGTTGCCAATCTTTTGGATGGTAGCCTAGTGTATGCTAAATATAATATTATACCATTGAAATAGATAAGGTTAACAGTTTCTGAATCCCATTCAAAAATTAACGGTTTAGTATAATTTAATGAAGTAGTGAAGGGATTCTCCCTAATTATTAACTTTTGGGTAATTTACTTAGATACAAAAATATTTGACAAATAGAAGTGTATACGGTACATCCTGACTTAGTCAACATTCACAGAGAAAGGTTTAACCATACTGAATAATTCTATATTCAGGAGTGAAATACGACCCGTATACATATTTGTACCATGGACATACATGTAGCAATATTTGGAAGTAAACAAAAACATAAAACATGTAAAAGCATGAAAAGAGATTGCTGGCTGTTAGTGTGAATGGCATATCATTTTGACTTGATTAAACTAGTGAAACAGTTCATCATAACAATACTAAATTTCGGATACGTTCGACCATGGGGAATAGACAATGTTCTGGATACCCCCAGAATGCCGCTTGCTGGCCACCATTTGTAAACATTGGGGTGCCTATTTTGGTTGTGATCATATTTGTAGCTGTCCTTGGATTCATATTCAAGATTCCAGACCCTAAGTCCAAGGTTATTGATGAGATGCTAAATAAGGTTGGTAAAACAGCCTTGTACTGTTTTTTGGGAGCCTCAAAGGCTAATTAATAAAAGGATATTAGGATCCGATGAAAAGACAAGGTTTTATGATATTCCAGGAAGCTTCGTTTTATTTCACGAATTATACAAATCTAATCATGCTGTAAACTATATATAATTTTGTTTCATAATATTTCTGATCCATTTTTCAATTGGATACTGAGAAATATGCAACATTGGTTTGAAAGTGTCACACTTACAATAATTACTGGCAAAATCATTTATAAACCGTAGGAAAAGCAATAAGTCATCCTTTAACGATATTTGACCCCTGGGGATGACAGTCCATATCTCAAAGCATATTCGAACTGAAGTTTTTTGAAAAACTAACATAATATAAGTAAATGTCATTCTAACATAATAAGTGAATCATTTTTCCAAACAACACAGATTTTTTAAAATAATATCCCAATTTCTTTTACTTGACATGCATACTTGGTCGGCCATAATGTATTGTTGTATTGTTAAAATACACGTCATACATCACTGAGATTTTATATGCTTGTTCCTGTTTGAATGTTGCCGCTGTTTGTCTGTGTGTACCCTTTGCATTCGTTTGACTTCACTTCTTAAAAGAGAGCTTCGTCTTCACTCTTTCAAACTAAAATAAACCTGTGAAGTCACCGCGCCAATCAGTGTTCGTCGGCCAAATTTGACCGACGTTCTATATATGGTCATTCCTTCTGACGTCATCGTTGAGCCCGGAATTGACCAATGACACGCGCATCAAGGAGGATTGGCTCCCAGAATGCAACACCGATATTCTGCAAAACAATCACCTAGCGATAGCTTTAGTTTGTTGGAGAGTATCGGGTCATTCTCCATGCAGTCGTACAAATTATACAGACACGAATAGCAAATGACGCATGCGTGGAGATTAAAGAATATCGAGTTGGAACCCTGGCTTCCAATCCTCCTTGACGCGCATATTTAATTAGAACGCATTTGGCGTAAATTTCTTCAAGCTCGCTGATTGGTGGAAGAAAGGTCAGCGCGGAAGTCAGAAGTGATTTATTACCCAAACTGTCACCGGTACCCGTCGTGGGGGCGGGGCTACTAAACTGTAATATGGTCTCTACTAGGCAGAGTGTAGTTTAACTAGACTCTGCACGCAGGGTAGTCTGTGTCACTGGCGGATTAGGGGGGGGGCCCAGGGGCCCGGGCCCCCCCCCTTGGGTGGGCCCAGAAAAAAAAAATTGGGCCCAAAAAAATTTTTGGGCCAAACAAGGCCTTCAGACCCCAAAAAGTGGGCCTTTTTGGTCATTACTGGGCCTTTTAAGGCCTTATTTGTTAATTTCAGGCCAAATTTTGAAGAAAATGGGCCTCAAAATTTCAAAATTTGGGCCCACTTTTGGATTTTAGGGGCCCAAAATTTTTTTCCCCGCAAGCGCGGACGTTTTTTCTTTGACCTGAAATTTGGGCCCCCCCCCCTTGTTGGTTCCTGGATCCGCCCCTGTGTGTGGTACTCTATTTAAAAGCTATGGCATTCTATTTGTTGTTTCAGAAAAGACTAAAAGACAGAAAAGCTAAAGCAGCAAAAATGAGAAAGGAGCGGATAGCTACAATATCACATGAACAAAATATGGGATACTCATACTCCAGTGATGATACACGAGGACCAAAGAGTACTAACTATGGGTCACACTCACTGGATTGTTCTTTATCCATGACAAGCACTGTTAACTTTGAGACATGTGTATGATTATCGTATAAGTTATCATATAAAGGCAACTAGGAGTTCCATTTTGGATTACGTAACAAAGCCTGATAACAAACAATTTCAAACGATTCTAACTTGAATTATGAATATTTTCTTGTCATAAACATGGGTTTATCTTTTAGATCCATTCATTATCCTCAAGAAAAGTATATATAATGATAATTTAGTTAATCAGACCTGTGATACTGAGGGGGCAATGGATCAATCAACACACTTTTTCAAAAATGTTGACCTAATTTTCACCAAAAATGCAACCTTTTATTATATTGTTGAATGCATAATTAGAATGTGCTTTGAGACGTTGATCAATATCCTTAAGAGGAAAAGTGAATTTCTCCAGGGACTTTTAAGATACTGAATTTGGATGAACAAAATAAAGTGAAAGCAATGGATAGCATGCGATTTTTCAATGGAGAAATAACATGGGGAACACTTATCTTATATATCTTATCTTATATAATTTTCTTTCAGATAATGAATGTATCTAAAACATATATATATGTCTCTTAATTGTCAGAAAATAGTCGTAATCCAAGATATAACCGTCAGAAATTGTTTGCGATAACCTACACGTGCTCCTTTTCGAACTAATTCTAATTAACGAAGAAAATCAAGCTTCAAACATCGACACTCTAAGATATGCCACTCAATGAAAACTTGCAGTTGCCGAACTTATGGAAAGGAGTGTATATTGAGACTAACGAGACGTTCAATTCAATTTTTTCAATTTATTCATACATCTAATCATTATGTGTACATATATTATTAATAACAGGTGGCACCACAGGTGATGCTTATACCCGTACATATAGTAGTTAAATCATATAGCATATCATTATGTTGTCAAGGAATCAAACCAGAATGTAATCACAAAAGTTAGGTAAATAAATAAAGGTTGTGGGGGGATCCATGATGCTCATTTCTTTTGAAGCCAAGAAGGTGCCATTATGCCATGGAAAAAAATTTATGAATGTGTAGCTTCATTAATTATTATTTAAAGACGCCAGGCTATCGCGTTGATGCCAATTAAATCTTCTAAAAGTGTGATTCTTATAAAAATTAGTTAATATTGTACCTTCCCCAAGGTTGGTACGATCAGAATCATTCTGATAAATCGTCAGTAGTTCGGAGCAGCTCCCAGGTCGGCCCATGTACCTCCCTTGAGAGCCTACCCTAACTTCTTACCGATGAAACAAGAAGTGACACAGTCAACCAATGATTAATAAGCTGAGAGAATATGTTTCTTCAGTTTTGATTTAAGAAAAGAACTTGAATTTGACTTTTTTATTTCTTCTGGGAGACTGTTCCATATGGATGAACCACTAAAGAATATTGTTTTTTTGCCATAGTTTTCAGTTTTTGCTTTAGGAAGGGTAAAGTTTGATTTGCCTCTAGTGTTATATCTATGGGAATCCCCATGGGTTTTGAAATAATCTGGAAAAATAGTTTTATAATTGTTTATATTATTTTTCCATTTAAAGACAAATTCAGCAATATTGATTTTATATATATCATGTATTTGTATGATTCTAAGCTCTTTAAAAAGTGGTTGACTGTGGTCTCTATAGCCACTTTACTATAGCCACGTTAATATCATTGTTGTGAGATTTCATTCTCTCTCTATTGCATCGCATCCAAAAGGATAGAGATGTTGAGGGCGTGGCTTTGGTGAAATTTGTGGATACTGGCTCTTGGACTTGGACTTGCGTATTCGACTTTTGCAATAATCAAAATGAGACGCGTAAATAATTATCACAAATTGTACACAGGTATTTTGTAATCATTAGAATTGTATAAGATTTTGGCACTTTATACAGATGTTTGTATATTCGTATAATCACGAGGATTGTGTGATTGTATATTTCATGATTAATGAAAAAATAAAAACATAGATTTCACAAAAATAAGCCTACTAATTTTTGAAGTAAGTTACTTTGAATTTTCGTTTAAAAATTGCATTTCTCAGAATTTAACAAATCTGCATCAAAAAATAATTAAAACCTTGCTTAAAATGCCATAATTTATCATGACACTGATGATATTTCAATGCTGGTAATATATGCCCTGAACTTCTATACGCCCATCACGTCGTGTACTTTCCAACTGAAATAAATTTCTCTGAGTTCTTTCATTTAATTTTGAAACTTGAGTGTTTTGAAACTTGAGTGTCTGGATGATGTATAATGATTTTATAAGTACTTTAGTCACTTTTACACGATGATATAACTCAAGCTGTCAGAAATGTGAATTTCCCAACGAATTGTCGTGCTTTCTAGAAGATGATCCCTTGAAGAAGAAAGGCTCACACTTTCTAAAAACGCCAAAATAAATGAGTACTTTATACTAACTTGGCGCAAAAATCACGTCGCATACATCTGTTGGTAGAGGTACATGTTAAGAATGGGGTGTGATACGTTCAACCTCTCCTAGATACATGCAGATGGCAAATGTCCTCACTAAGTAGAAACATTACAATACCGTCCGTATGTCACAAAATAATTTTGTTTCTATTACATGTGCACCGGCCAGGTGCTCAACGTGCATCTGTTTATTGTAATAAATGAAATGCGTTTTTTATATATACGTATTTGTGACATATATTTAGGGTAGGTTATTCATAGTTTTTACTAGTAAAACAAGAATTTGTCGAAATTCCGTCAAAAACTAGAAGCAGGGGACTGACCGGGTGCGTTAATGTATATTGATAAGATAATATAGTTGATGTAGATCCTTTGAAGTAGATCTGCATATTTTCAACTAGTAGTCTAATAGGCACAGCGACCCGGAAGTGTTCGGCAGAGGTCAAATATAAGCGCTCTGATTGGTCAATTTTAATCACGTGACCTCGCTGTGATTGGTCAATTTATAAGCCACGTGACTCGGTACGTATTAGCCTCTATGGGTTTAATAACATGGGTTAATGGGCAATAAATGTCTCATTAACATTGATGGATGGTTTATCATGAATTTATAATCTAGCTTCAGCCAGCACTTACGGTACAATCCTAGCAATTTGATGAGAAGGTTGACAGCTGTAAGTCGTAAAAAAGGAATAATCAAACTCATAAACCCAACTTCGATTACCAAGTTCGAAACGGCCGTTAAGCAGTCCCAGTATATATAAAGACAGATTAACTTATCTGTTACAACATTAAATGCAAAATTACTAACGATGCCAATCGGAAAATTTCGAGTTCCAGCTAACATTAAAACCATAAAAATGGAGACTTCATAGAGACAATTTCCACACCAAAATTAGTTTTAATGAAAATATGCGATGGGATGTTCTCAGCCGTCAATAAAGATGGGGTCGACATCCGAAATTACCAAATATGGCCAATCACAGGCATATCAAATGTATGCAATGCCTATGGGACGAGTGCGGGAATATTTCTAACTCATAATCGTATGGCTAGACTCATCGACAATTTGCCTCACGTAACGGCAAAATTTGAGGAGATTGAAGCCAAGAAAAAAACGACTGATGTAACAGAGTGGGACATTTTACTTGGGGGAAACTTTCGTCTCAATGTCCATCCTAAATTTCGAAGAGTCAACATACGAGGTAAGGTTTTTAAATGATTTGTAACTGATCATGCAATGTTAAAATAAAAAAAAATAAAATGAAAAATTAAAAGAATCAAAAAGAAAAATTGAAGTTGTCAATATTATTGTATCCATTTATCATATTTTAAAGGTTATCACATCAATAATTACTCTGACGATCCGCGAAAAACATTTGCCTGATCGGTACGGTATCGTGATGACGCGTCAAGTCTTTGAGATGTTTGTGGACAACCTCATAAAATATGGCCTCGTTCAACCTACCGAACCTCATTGTATAATAACGGGTCATGCAGAAAAAAGTGATGCTGATAGTTGTAGTGAATGTAGTTATTTCGAGCCTGGGGATTTCAGAAGCCATAGTTAAATCTCGCAGTAGAAATAAAGATATATATACGTCAATGTAAGTAATATAGCCATTCATACCTAGGTTATTGAACATGATAGGTCAATTATTAGTTTCGAGCGTTATTGCAACATGTTGCATTTGTCGAAACATCAATGTTACTCGACACTTTAATGAAACTGAAAACGTAACACCTTATTACGTACTGAAACCATATATTAGTAGTAGTTACGATGTAAATCTAGAGACTCCAATGGCCTTAAGCTTTACCGGAGGTGTTTTAACTTTTGTTATCATAGGTGAGTTACGTGAATTTTGAGAAACTATAATATACCATAATGTTTGGCTTATATTTAATGGTGGTAACTAGTGCTATATCATTTTTAGGTAATGTGTTATGGCTTAGAATGATAACGAGATCCAAATTACCGATTGTTAAGGATGAAAGACAAAGGGAGCCTATGATAGCCGTATAAAATTCATACAATGTGTACAAAAGATATACGACAAATAAATAAGAATGTATTAAACTAGATAAGAAAATCCCTTAATTTGTTTGTTTATTGTTCTTTAATTGTTTAAAACTTAGTGAAACATAATAAATCCTTAGGATTATTCGATGTAAGTTTATTAATTCCAAAGTTTCAACATTTGTACAAAATCATTAATTACAGACCTACACACAAAGTTGCAATGTTATCTACTTAGAAACACGTGTATATTCGATTAGGGTGACATCTTCAAATATTAAAATACTCTGTACGATGCTGACATCTAGTGGTAGTTGGATATCACTACATTGATACAAATATATAACATTTATCGAGCATACATATTCAACATTAAACATCGTTGGAATGTAATCATATGATATTGTTTACACGTGTATTGCGATTTAGCATTGAAATTGCAAACCTCGATTGAGTAAATTAGCATTTGAGGCTTTTTGAACACCGCATTAATGAGGATTTAAACCGACCTCTTTAAGAAAACTTTAAGACAACTATGTTGTTTTATTTGAAAATTACATTCAGAATTTAAACAATACCGCCAAATAGAATAAATTCTGGTCTTGAATAAATATGCAGATTTCCTAAAATCTTTTTTAAATACCTTTCCTAGATTTCAATACTGTTTAGCGATTCCTTAATTAAAACAAAAATACGAAGTGAACCGAGTAACTTGGGAAGATTACATGCATTGCTTGAGTTTAATTGATTTATATCGGTCCAATTAAATACAATGGTAAATGAGATGGCTATAATTAAGTAGGCAAAGTCTGACTTTAGTCCAACAAACAAGTTTACGGCTACAGGGGTGATATTCATATCATTGTATTCAAATATGTCCTAATAGAGTGTTTAAAATGGCAGCCATTTTGCTTTGTTTTTACGAGGTCTCTTAAGAGCTTTGGCCGGAATACCTGGTACTTTGTGCGATGTGGCGCTTCTTTTGTAAATGAACCTAGGTGTATTATCGGTATACCTAGGCATCCCTATTGCATCATCATCATCACTGGCTGATAGTCCTGCGTCATAATTTTGTTTACTCGTGGTATCTTCCTTAAAGTCGCTATCGGATGGGGCATCCAATTTATTTTCCGAGGAAAACGTAGATGCATCATTACTTCCGGAATCAACCTGCTTCGTATGACTAGGTTTACGTGAACCTATTCCACCATCCATTTTATCAGTATTAGGTAGCGACTGATCTATGGTTTTGTTATTACCCTCCTCAGTTTTACGCGTAGAATTTTCGAGTCTATTATATTTATCATAAGGTATCAAAACAGATTTGATCATGACTTCAATTTTTGGATAAAATTATGAATGGATTTAATCAATATACCCAAAACTGATGTATTACGTTTGATCAAGTCCTTTCTGAACTTCCTACTTTTGGATTTGGTCGCAATGTGTTGCAAAACTTGTTTATGACGTTTCAATTTTTGTTTATAAAAATTCGTTATAGGGAGACTACCGTGAAGTACGTTAAGAACAATTTCACCCAGAACTTGAAGTTGCGTTTCTGTAATTGAACTCAATAAAACTTTCATTTGCTGTAAAGTACTAGTCAAAAGAAAATTTAGGAAGTTTTTATTCCTTTTAATAAGTGCTGACATCGTGACATGTCTTTTATATGTTGTCAGGTAACCGTCTGGATCTATACTGACGCGTTCAATTAACTTTTGGGTTTATAAATGATAGGGTCTTCATCCAGAAATATACGCGTGCGTAATCTATATTCATCAACGCCATCTGGCGACATATCCACGACTATATAACCGTATCTTTCCGAAGTGGCGTCCAAATAAGTGTCCATAAAATATTTCGTTTTATCCGGATATATCTGACCAGCCAAACACTTTAGTTGTCTTTTATCACGATTTGCTTTGAAAATGATGAAATACTGCGTATTTAATGAAATATTTCTAGCGCTAGGACCCTGACACAAGGCGTTTTGTGTTAGAAAAAGGACATTCATATTTCTATGATGACATAATTGCGTGAATATTTTGGCGGCCTCTCTACTTTGACATACGCTAGCCATTAAATCATCTAGAACTAGAAATGTTGGTAACGCTATATCTTTTGTAAAATTTAAGATGTCTTCCTCGTCGACTAGTCCTTCGTGAAATATGATTTCATCTTTAAATTGTAGCTCCATATCGCTGTACAGGGATTGCCAAGTTGCGTAACAAAACAATATTTTGGTAGGTGAATTCGAACTATTTTGAAACAAGGCGTCTCTATGTTTTAGAATTTTGAAACACATGTTAGTTTTCCCCGATTGAGACGCTCCTATCATGGCGATAGAGGTAGGCGAATTAAAGGGCACCAGGCTATGTGTCATGACTTTGACGGTTGAACTTACAATGATAAATATTTGTTTTGCAAAGTCTTTTATTTAAACAATCGGGCCATTGATGATTTTTAATAAGTTAGTACCAAAGAACAAATATAATTTTTTACCTAATCCATTTTATTTCGATACACAATTGTATAACATACATAGAATATAAACAATTATATCTAATTAACTTTCTAAAGCCTGAATATTCGGTTTAACGCAGGTTTGGCATTCTACATAAGTCACTGCGGATTTGGTAGAAAAGTGAGTCTTGAAATAATCTATGGTGGTTAGATCGTTGTAATAAGTATCCTCGATATTATAGTCATTCAATATACCCAGTAAGCTTTCATTTCTACGAATATAACGATCCATTACAACTAATGTATATTGGCCACAGATTGTACTTTCATCATCTTGAAGTCTCAAGTTATTGTATATAAATGTATCCGAATTATTTTGTATGAATTCAAATAGACCATATTTTCGAGGATGACCACCCAAACTGTCAAAATACATACAAGTTTTCTGCCCCAACGTGTCAATCTTGAATACGAGTAAGACCCAATGTAATCCGGGGTGATCATGCTTGGCCGTATTAACGATATAAACGGCTAATTTACTCGGAGAAAACCGCGGTAATTCATCTTTGGCGCAGACCCTACGGTAGGCGGTTTTTAAATATGGCGTAGATTCTAATATATGCCTTAATTGGAGAGAGTTCATTATGTTATGATGTTCCTAGCCTCGTCTATCTGAATAACTTTGGGAAACTCCGCTAATATCAGGATGTTGATCGGTTCTAGTAAAGGTTTTTGAAAATGACCATTGATGGATAAATTACCCCTTCTCTCGATCGAATTAACTTGCGTACTACCGATGTTATTGACGTCAAATCTTAAAATTGTAGTTCCGTTGGCGAAATCGTCTCTGGATATGTACGCGTTTCGTTTTTGGTCGTTAAACTGGGGAAATAAGTTGTTGTAACACGTTATATACTTGTTCATTAGATCACCTGTTCTGTAATCTAATGTTACGGGATTGGTCACGCTTAGTCCATCGACTAACACATCTAGATAATCTAAGTTGAAATGTTGAAAGTTGAAAGGATTCAAATTGTACACGCCCATTTGAGATCGAGCCGTGACCATGACAAGGTATATCGTTTGAGGCACCCTACCTAGAAATAAATTATCGATTTGAAAATTGCGGTTTCCGGTGGCCACACTTAAACTTTTCATTTCTCTGCCGATGTACGGATATTGAGCCAGATTCGTCTTTAACGTTTGGGCGTGACCTTCCAATACACCGGGTGTCGGCTCAATTTTGGCAATTCTTAGAAATGCGTCGGTAATCTTAACCTTATAAGCTACGTCGTTATCATTAGCCGTTAGGTTAAAGGCAGCCGGGGATGGTGTTAGTTTGACTTGAATATCTATGTTATTCAACAAATATTTTTCAATCTTAAAGATGTCAGCGTGCAATGGACCCGCCATTTCAACCTCCAAACTCTCGATCGTGTGTGCCATTCTCCTCAGGAATCCATTATTTTTGGAGTCAAACCCGTTATGGTCGTTACCTAGACTGGCTTCATCCTTAAAATACATTTGGGATGATAAGTAACCTTGCATATCTGCCGCTGATGTGTTTAGTACTGTTTGAATATAACTTGTGTACGGGTAATAAGGTCCCGATGTTGAAATTGATTTTTGCTGCATTTGAACATCCACTTGCGAGAATAATGAATGTAACCAAAGATTAGCGCAAGTAACTTTGGGTGCAGATGCCGCCGGGTTGTTGGATCTAAAGGCAATGGACTCCCATCCGGCATGGTTATTTTTGCCTTGACGAATAACACTGTTTTACTCAAATCTAAGTAGTGATCTCCGTTATTTGTTATATCGAAGGTTAATGGATTACCATCTGATAGATTGATCGGTCTAAAATTGACATATTTCAACTGCTTCGTGCTGACATCCGTGTCGCGAGAATCGAAAATCATAAACTGCTCGTTCACAACCTCGCTAGAACTGTCCATAATGTTATCCATTTTTATTTGTTTGTTTTTGTTTTATCTGTTTTTCCCTTTTAATCAAATATGGTACTTATACCGAGCGTGTTATTTTCACGTTTTCCACGTTTTTTCTTTAATATGGTGTTACTCACTTCGATACCTTTGGTACGTGTGGTCTTATTTTTAAATACGGTAGGTTTTATAGATTTAATCCGGGGGCCTGTATCTATGATGTTATCACGACGCATGTGCGCTCTAGCTCTTTGAACACTAGCTTCAGACGGCGATATCATAGTTACACGCGCCCCACTTCCGATTTGGTCGGTTGTACCACTTTTCAAAGGAACGTAATGAGCCTTGTTTACTTTAATTTTAACCATTTTTTTCTCTGGTTTTGAGAACAGATCTGTCCAGATATCCATAGCCTTTGTATTAGATTGGCGAAAAGTTTACTCAAATATGTAATCTCTTTTTAAAATGTAAAACGCACGTTGTGGGGCTATTATTCGTAAATTCCACGGGTGAACCGTCCTTATAAGTCAAGGTAATACTGATCTCGTTAAAGTTGTTTAGTCCTAAATCCAAGTAATATATATTTTTGAATTGGCAGTATGTCTTAGATGTCGATATAGTACGTAGGATCGTCCTCGAAGTTGGTCCTACTAATGATTCACCTATTATATTACAATATACGTATATTAAGCCTTTATTTATATGTTTACCTAGACAAATTTCGGTTAAACCGCAAGTCCAGTTTTCTAATTTTTTAAATGTTTGGTAATTGGGTAACTTGCTGGTAAATTTACTTTGAGTGTTATCCGCGTAATAAATTAAGGAATCATCGCTCGAAAGATGTACGTACGTCTGTTTCAAACTCATAACTAAATTAACCCGTATAGGTATCTTCTTAAATACCCAGGTGCGAGGCGAGTCTATCGAATATCTTTGGGCTCATTGATCTAGAAGTGCGATTCTCAATTTGGATGTGAGAGGTCTCGGGGGTCGAATCCCGGACGGGCCTATTTTTTTTTTGTATAAATGATTTCATTTTAATTACCATGTCTTTAAATTTCAGAGATATCCTTAATATTCACCCAGGAATTGAATTTTTTCGGCCAGAACTTCCATTTTACTAACGCCAATCTGTTGTTTGGTAATCGCCCCTTATATTTAAGAATATGATCTATTTGAAATAACTGATCCGGTTTAGTGGTCACCCTATTCAATTCTTCGTTATAGAATGTGCCTTTTATGTCATCGTCGTTATAATCCATCAATTTATAAACGGGTACACCGTCCCTCTTATATTTACTTTTAATTTTGAATATTTCACCTGTCCATCGCGCGTGATATTCCTTCTGAAATGGTTGTCGTAACGTAGATATACGTACTAAATCGTGGACTTTGAATTTAAAAACAACCTTTGATTTTCGTTTCTTTGCCACATTTTCTTTCTTGACATTTACGTTTTTAACACGTTCCCGTTGTTCACGTTGCTCTTGCCTCGTCAACTGTTCATGCATAACTTCGTATTGGGTGGCTTCATTCACGCTAGATGGCGCCCTACCGATAGTTCTATGAAATGTTTCGTTGTAACCATTTACTATGTCCATTAGAACATCGACGTAACGATTAGATTGACGAGCAATCATGTATCTGTGTACTCGGCCAGAGATTGTTTTAATAGCTCTCTCGATAAAGTTGCTTTTTGTTTCGTTCAGACTGAAGATTTGTTTAATTCCTAATTTATCTAAATATACCTTCAAGAGATTGTTGGCAAATTCTTTTCCCAGGTCAAACCTAAAGATGGCGGGGTGTTTAGCTTCGCCTAAATCATCCAAAATGCTTTTGATGGCTTGAAATGTCTCCTTTGCCGTTTTAGTTTTTAATAGTTTCGCATGTACAAATTTACTGAAAACGTCAATGATCAAGAGAACGTAAGAAAAATTATCGTTGTCTGATTTTAATTTGCTATAATCTATCAAATCGGCTTCCAGCATATAATGAATTCCCAATGTATCAACTGGACTTCTTTTAAATTTTCTCTTGACAGGTTTATACATTGTGTAAGATTCAACACCATTCAAAAAATCCTTTACCATTTTTAATGTTATGTCGTTTCTAAGTTCTTTGATACTTTTGTACAATTTAGATGGTGATGTAAAGCTACCCTTAAATGTAGGGTCGAAATACAACCGACTAAGATAACGTCTAACCTCCTCATCCATGTCAAAAACTGAAGTGTTGTTAGAATCGTGACTTGGTGCTTTATAAGTGAATGCGACTTTAAAACCATTGTTCATTGGTAGACAAAATGAAAAAAAATATCGAAATTTTTTGCGAGGGTAAAACATTTGTTTGACAAAAATGAATCGTAATTACATAGTTTGATGTATATGATCTTAAAATGTTTAATTAAGTAAGAATGAAAAAATAAAATTTAAAATTTTTGTAAGGGTAAAAATTGTCAGACAAAAATGAAGCGTTTAGAGATCATATAGCGAGTATATGGGCTTAGGATGTTGAAGGAAGTTAAAAATAAAAAAAAATAAAACTGAAAATTTTTGTAAGGGTAAACATTTTTTGGACAAAAAATGAAGCGTGCTAACATCTTTTAGTCTTTATACAGACTCGGACTGCTGAAATAGGTGAAAATGAATAAAGTATCGAAAAATTTTGCGAGGGTAAAACATTTGCCTGACGAAAATTAAGTGTTTTGACATGTTATAATATGTATACGATCTTAGGATATTGAAATAAGTTAAAATGAAAAAAATGAATTGAAAATTTTTTGTGAGGGTAAAACGTTTGCTGGTCAAAAATGAAGTGTTTTGACATGTTGTAGTATGTATACGGTCTTAGGATGTCGAAATAAATAAAAATGAAAAAATGAAAATTTTTGTAAGGGTAAAATGACAAAAATGAAGCGCGCTTACATCTTTTATTCTTTAAGTGGACTTAAGACAATAAGTGAAAAAATGAAAAATAAAATTGAAAATTTACGCGAGGGTTAAAAGATTGTTGGATAAATATGTAATGTTCTGACATTATATAGTCGTATATGGACTCGGGATGTTGAAATAAGTGAACAATGTAAAATAAGATTTTTGCGAGGCTATACTTGTAAATAAAAATAAATAAATTTCAAAATTCCCCCAAAAATTCTCAAGATGTAATTGATCTCATTGTGAAAGCGAGGGGAACAATACAGGGAGTCTACTTTTTTGCCCTAAGTAAACTTTTATTTATCAATATATCCGTTTAAAGACTGTCTCGATTATTAATTAACCTATTCACAATACTGATGCTAGATTATCAATTGACGGCCGTTTCGAACTTGGTAATCGAAGTTGGGTTTATGAGTTTGATTATTCCTTTTTTACGACTTACAGCTGTCAACCTTCTCATCAAAATTGCTAGGATTGTACCGTAAGTGCTGGCTGAAGCTAGATTATAAATTCATGATAAACCATCCATCAATGTTAATGAGACATTTATTGCCCATTAACCCATGTTATTAAACCCATAGAGGCTAATACGTACCGAGTCACGTGGCTTATAAATTGACCAATCACAGCGAGGTCACGTGATTAAAATTGACCAATCAGAGCGCTTATATTTGACCTCTGCCGAACACTTCCGGGTCGCTGTGCCTATTAGACTACTTCAACTCATAACGGAAATTTTGCAACAACTACTTGATGGTGTGCTGAGTCAATATTGGTAAAATCAAAAAAAATTCACTTTGCTTCCTTCTAGAATTAATTTAAATCATATACAATAACATATATTCAACACAGTCACTTGTCAACATATGGGTTCTTGTCAATGTGTTTCACTTAGTTCTATGTCACCCTGATGGGTCAAATGAGATTAAGGTCAATTCAAGGTCAAGTTTCAAGGGCCAATGTCAATATTTTTTGTCCATTTTAAGGATCTCATACTCTATGTCATTGTAATGATGGTAAAGGACCCCAGTGTCACAATTTTAGGCCAGGGCCATTTGCAAAGTCGTGAAAGTCAAACGTGAAATATGGGCTCTATATTTTCATGCTTTTGTATTGCAGATGTGCGTTGTTACTATGTTGGGGTACAATGGCTATGAGGTCACACAAGGTCAAGGTCATTCTTTTGTTCCTATTTTTACATGTAGGTCTAATACACAATTGAAATAATGAATACCGTAGCTGTATAATTTTATTGAAAAAGTTCCTAGTATACAAACATATAAATGTAAAAATACATTTTGTAAAATATTATTACAAAAACAAACATGTATAAAAGCTTGTGGCATCTCAAATGCCAAACTCTGTCTATAAGCATTAAAAAGCGAGATAAAAATATATGATTTTAGAATCTTATAAGATCAATGACAGTTTCAGACCTTGGACTATATATATCAGACTCTAGTAGCAATCTAAAGTCTAAGTCAATGCATGAGGAAATCAACTGAAGAAAAAATTATTGAATCCCATATCACAAATTCAATTCGGACAGAGGCATTCCTTTTGCAACATATTGCTGTTTGGTGGCAGAGAAAACAGTTTTATGTCTCTGTTTGTGTGTATAAAGTTTTATATTTTTGAAATTTTTTATTGCAAATTATAGCAAAACTGCTCATTCCTAATGCATCGACTTAAACTTTATATTATCTTTGTGATTGAGTAGTTGAGTGTTAATTCCATGGGTGTGCTGCTGAATTTGAGTAAAACCCATGTTACTACATTGTACTATGTTATTACTTGAGAACACTCCCTAAGTGTTAACTGGCATTGATGCTGTGGTGTATTAAAGCTTGTATTGTCTTCATGATCATATATTTTGTAAATATCATAGTATGTTCATGAATTCTTTTTCCACCCAAACTTTTAATCATTGACACTGAAAGCCTTGAGATTAATTTTGTTCACATTGGACAGCATGGCTTTCCTGTATATGTATTGGAATTCCATTGGTCCCTTGTAGTTATCCACACTTATCTAGTTTAGCAATAGTGCTATTGAAGGCAGTCCATACATCTTTGTGACTCAGACATACAGTGCCTCCAGACCTGTGGAATTGGCTTATCTGAAACAACAGAGAAATATATGGCTTGGTCATGGAACTTTTATCTTATATAATACAACAAGTGTGTAAAAATGTTTCTGATTTTTAGTACACTATAGACCAGTCAATAACACGATTGGAAACCAATTTTTTAATCCGTTGCCAAATGTAATGTAATTGCCACAGGAAATGAGACAACCATGAGTATTAAATACTGCACGGAGAGTGGATGGAATTTTTATGAACATCATTAAAAAGTGAAAGATTCCTTATTTATGGACTAAGATTATATAATGCAAAATAACAATGTATCAATAATTCACTAAATGTCTGAACGGCAAACATTAATCGTGGAATGAATAATGGTCAGATTGAATTGAAACAATTATCAAGAATTTTCAAAAAAAAGCTTCAAATAAAACTCCTTCTGTAGATCCAACTGACCATCAAATCTAGATGCTGGTATAGGTTTCCTCCTTTAAGGTGTTGGCACTCAGCAGTCTACCTGTCTATTTACATATAAAACCTGTCTAATCTGAATGCCTCTGGGACTGACCTTAAGTGTTCAGATTAGCAGGTGTTCAAATTTCGAGGTTTTATTAATGTGTAAGTCAATGGGAGATTACAAATTTGAGACCGAAGAAAAGTGGTAACATTGAGAGTTGCTTGGATTAGACAGGGGTTCAGATATACAGGTTTCACAGTATGTATATCACCTATATTGGATTAGACAGGGGTTCAGATATACAGGTTTCACAGTATGTATATCACCTATATCGGATTAGACAGGGGTTCAGATAAACAGGTTTCACAGTATGTATATCACCTATATCGGATTAGACAGGGGTTCAGATATACAGGTTTCACAGTATGTATATCACCTATATCGGATTAGACAGGGGTTCAGATATACAGGTTTCACAGTATGTATATCACCTATATCGGATTAGACAGGGGTTCAGATATACAGGTTTCACAGTATGTATATCACCTATATCGGATTAGACAGGGGTTCAGATATACAGGTTTCACAGTATGTATATCGCCTATATCGGATTAGACAGGGGTTCAGATATACAGGTTTCACAGTATGTATATCACCTATATCGGATTAGACAGGGGTTCAGATATACAGGTTTCACAGTATGTATATCACCTATATCGGATTAGACAGGGGTTCAGATATACAGGTTTCACAGTATGTATATCGCCTATATCGGATTAGACAGGGGTTCAGATATACAGGTTTCACAGTATGTTTATCACCTATATCGGATTAGACAGGGGTTCAGATATACAGGTTTCACAGTATGTATATCACCTATATCGGATTAGACAGGGGTTCAGATATACAGGTTTCACAGTATGTATATCACCTATATCGGATTAGACAGGGGTTCAGATATACAGGTTTCACAGTATGTATATCGCCTATATCGGATTAGACAGGGGTTCAGATATACAGGTTTCACAGTATGTATATCACCTATATCGGATTAGACAGGGGTTCAGATATACAGGTTTCACAGTATGTATATCGCCTATATCGGATTAGACAGGGGTTCAGATATACAGGTTTCACAGTATGTATATCACCTATATCGGATTAGACAGGGGTTCAGATATACAGGTTTCACAGTATGTATATCGCCTATATCGGATTAGACAGGGGTTCAGATATACAGGTTTCACAGTATGTATATCGCCTATATCGGATTAGACAGGGGTTCAGATATACAGGTTTCACAGTATGTATATCACCTATATCGGATTAGACAGGGGTTCAGATATACAGGTTTCACAGTATGTATATCGCCAAGAGAGGTATATGGTGCCTTTAAGGTGTTAGCAGCTTACCTGTCTATTTATATCACCTATACAGGTATAGGGTGCCTTTAAGGTGTTAGCAGCTTACCTGTCTATTTATATCACCTATACAGGTACAGGGTGCCTTTAAGGTGTTAGCAGCTTACCTGTCTATTTATATCACCTATACAGGTATAGGGTGCCTTTAAGGTGTTAGCAGCTTACCTGTCTATTTATATCACCTATACAGGTACAGGGTGCCTTTAAGGTGTTAGCAGCTTACCTGTCTATTTATATCACCTATACAGGTATAGGGTGCCTTTAAGGTGTTAGCAGCTTACCTGTCTATTTATATCACCTATACAGGTATAGGGTGCCTTTAAGGTGTTAGCAGCTTACCTGTCTATTTATATCACCTATACAGGTATAGGGTGCCTTTAAGGTGTTAGAAGCAGCCCATTTGGAATGATCCCCATGATTTGAGAATGTTATATTATGTGGCATACTGATGTCATCAATGGTTTGAATCTGAAAACAATCAATATTTCAATTAAAAATATAAATGTAAGTCACTATGTCATCTTGACAAGAATTACACCTGAACAATAAGAAGGCCGTAATAAGAAAACAACTCGGTTTCAGAAAAAGTAACAAAATTAATGGTTGATCATAATATGTTGATAATAAATGTGACATAGTGGTTGCCATAAAAACTGAGAATGCATGTAAGTTTAGGTTAGATTTTGTAACATCACAAATATGTGAACTGTAAGATAGTTACATTCAGGTAGATGCTGTGATAAAGAGCTCACCTTGGTAGTGATGTTACAGTAGATCGGGAGATCTCCAGCACCATTCTGCCATGTTTCAACATTAAGAGATGTATTCAAATAATATGCCACAAGATCTCCATATAACTCTGAAATCAATTAAAACTTATTTCAATTTAGATGCCATCCTACTTATGCAACGTTGCTTTCAAGACCTCATCCAACTGTGAGTTTTCTTGCAACAACATCAGCTCAATGAAGGGACTCACTCTCTAATATGAGTTCAACATTCAATGAATGGTACAAAAAACAAGCATACTCACTGAATGATGAAGTTTAGATAATAAGTACCCTTGCATTGGTTAAACTATAGCATTTCTCGAATAACTGAAATAATAGCTGATAAAACAGAAGTACGACAGGGCAATTTCTACATGCGTATAGACCTATGCACTTCCCTTTTGATCTACATGTATGCATTGGCTTTCAACTCTGATTGAAAGCCCATGATGTATGATATTGATTTCAGTTCAAATAAAACAAAGTTCTTCTTTAAATTATCATTAATGTTTGACCAACTAATAAGTAAATGCAGTATTCCATTATATACACAATGAGTGGATAAGTCAGATCACAAAAATATGCAACCCTGGGAATGAAACAGATGTACGTATTTCTTGGCCCACTTTGTAGATGCCATAAAATGTACTTTTACCTTTATCCCATTTCTTGTGTTTGGCAAAGCTTATAAATTGTGTATTTTTAAGAGATATCAATTTCTCAACAGAGAAATATGGTGCTGGGGGTGTGCTCTTCTTCATGTGTATAATATCATACAAATGTGGGTTCTTTTCGGCCCATGACATTGGTATCTTGCCATCATATACATATGGCTGGTTATGCCACAGTTGCTTGCCTGAAATCAGCAAATGCTTGAATAAAAATATAGGCAAACTGAAGTATTGGGGGAGCATTTTGCACATTAGAGACTTCTATGAGGGGGGTATCACTATAACTATTTGTGTATAATGTAAAGCATGGGTTACACTGAACTTGTACATACTTTTCAATTATCTAAGAGAAATATTACTTCTAAACAGGTATTCTTATGTTTATAAAATGCAAATGCACAATTGTTATCAAAGGAAAACTTTTATAACCTGAAAAAGTAGAGATTATATGGAAGAACATACTGTGTCAATATAAACTCACCAACTACTGTACTCTGAGAGTATGCCAATGATATGCAGAGCATTGATTGTCCATATCTCAAAGCATTGTCCGGCCATGTGTATGAGTCACTTGAAGCTGGTGGAAATTTTGGCACACTATGAATTAACCAGAAGCCAGTTTCTTTATCAAACATTACATCACCTGAAAATAGAATTATAGATTTAATCATTTAAACCAGTCAGAAATGGCAAAGGAAAGGATAGTGTTAAACTTTGGTATCGATATACAGTGACATAACCAGGAAGAAAAAGGCGACAAGGCAAAAAATATTTCCAAACCTTACCCCGCTTGCCTGGCAATAGAAGAACGCAATGATAACCCTCACTTAATGAGAAATTGTTCACAATTGATGATTTAAGATTAAAATTATACAATTAATTTACAACTCATCATTCCTAGAGGAGTAATTTGTGAAAGAATGTGAAAAAAGCGATAAGGCAAATGTCTCGTCTGCCTCAGCCTGGCTACGCTAGAGCTATATATACTACATAAAAGTGTTTCATTTGCTTACACAGTGACTGAAAATACACAGCCAGCTGACATGCCAACTGCTCCTCTAAAATTTTACAGAGAAGTATTTTTTATTTTTGACTTGACTGAAACAGTTAACATATGTCATGTAGTAGTTTAATATCCTTTATATTATGTTTATTCTAATTTTGCCTCACCTACATGTACATAGCAGAATTGTATGTTCTATATTTCTGTTATTGCTCTATGCATTTTCATTAAATATTATGTTCACCTTTTGTGTGGCCGTAGCTACCAGTTTTCTTTCCATCCGGATGTTCATCATTGTACATTACATAGAGGACATTCTGAAAGATAAAGTAATGCATTGCTTCCTAGACAGATATATCACACAACAGATATCACTTGAGGTCAAGGTAACATTAATAGGTCAAGGTCACTTGTATTTCAAATTTTGGATAATTGTTGTGCCTTCTTAACTTCATTGTTGACATGGTTGAGGGACAAAGGCATATACATAATAAATTTAATAAACATGAATTAAATAAACATGAATTTCTCAGCTTAATAAGCTCATCATCTACATTAAGTCAAGAACAATGGTCAAAACTTTGGCTTTGTATAAAAAAACTCCTACCTCATACCCACCTACCCACGTATGTGGGACATGATACAGTCTTTGAAGGGTTCAATTTTAAAGATCTTAGTTTATTAAATCTTAGTTTATGATGAATTATAGATGCATTTGTAAGGACCCTTGATAGCAAGTTGCTTCTACATGTACATCCCAGCTAGAGCCCACTCGGGGCATCAAATTTAGCACACTTTCTTTCAATTTCTTTATCTGGCTTGTTAGACCTATGCTCGCGGTCATTAGTTATTTATTCCCCTGGGGCGCCCTCGGGTCATTTCTCATTAAAATACATCCATATATGCCTTTATTTATGGATCTGTCATCTGTCTAGTCATAATTTGAGTTATTTTGAGATTTAATAATCTTTAAAATTGAACCCTTCGATGACTGTATCATGTTCGGCATAGGTGGGTAGGTGGGTATGAGGTTTTTTATACAAAGCCCAAGACTTTTGACTCAAAAGCTAAGAAAGGAAATTCTCCATGAAGATTTAGATCATTTAATAGGTCAAGGTCATGTAAAAAATTTAATCATCATGTATAGTTGATGAATTGTTCTGATTCTAGAACTCTATCTAGTCTATCAAGTCTACATGCATGTTACCATATCAGTATCACAGAATGTCAAGATCACCTGACAAAAAAAGCAAAGGGAATCCTATGAGAAAAATTTGAACACTTTGTAAATACATGTATATTCAACTGACTGTGAAAGTAAGAGGGCCTACAATACCCTCTGAATTGACTTCTGACCTTGAAACAGATATACAGTACATGTATGTCCTGGTATAATGTAGAGAACATAGGTTTTAGGCCGATATAAAGATGGCAGCACCAGAATCTAATGTTATAGTAAACACAGATTGATTATACCATGCCATCTTTATCTAAAAACGATTTCTATCGACCTTAGCCTATGGTAGAGAATGATGTGATGAGACTGCTGGGCAGATATAATATGACAAAACTATTTCCTTCTTCTCACAACCTTTATTTTAACTTCACAGGTAGTTACGGATCACATCTGGATCCTTTTTCAACAAGAACGTGTTCAAGAAGATATAATATGTTTTTGAGATGGCCTCACTTTTAAAAAAGATATACTTACTCCTGCCTCTCGGTTCATATAAATCTGTTGAAGGGTGTAAAAAACTGCATGGTCAGCACTTTTATTCAGGGATACATCAGAAAGTGTCCATGTTGGGTTATTTGTATCCATGTAGAAATGACCAACTCCTCCATCTATGAGGGGATTTGGACTGTCTATTTTGGGTAGTTTATACACAACAAACCTATAAATATATAGGATACCAAAAAACAAAGGCAGTTTCAAGCACACCCTTTCCTCAATGATGCTCTCACATGGAAAATCATAGCCCTATTATCCAGAACTCTATATTGGTTGACTACTATGTATGCATGCCGGCCAGATTCTTTTGTAGTAGGATCTGGGGCGGTGAATTCGTACGATCCGCGATCCGATCCGGATAAATTTCGTCATGGTAATAATGCATTGTGGGATTAAATCCAAGAATTAATCCGAAAATCTGTGAATTCGTACGATCCTGGGATTAATCTCAGGATAAATCTCAATCCACTTCTTGACGTGGATTACTTTTTGGATAAATTTTATCCGAATTCCAATGCAAATTGGATAAATCTTGGGGATTCCCCCTCATAATCCTCGGATCATACGAATTCACCAAATATTACAGATTAATCGGAGTAGCAATCCAAGATTTATCACAAAAGATAAAATTTACTGGATTGGATTGGGGATCGTACGAATTCAGTAACCCTAATCACATTCATCTTTATATGTAGAATTTGATTTGGCAAAATCAAACTGCTATTGAATCAATGAATGTGCATGATGATGATGAACAGGATATAAAAAATCAAAGCCATCGCAAAATTTCTTTCTTTTAGTTCTCAAACGTATATTTGTTTCCATCTTGGGAACAGAACATAAACACTTTTATTTGTATATACTAACCAATCGACTGGATTTCCATCTTTGTCCTTGCAAACAATACTAGCTTCACAAAACGGTAAAAGGCAAAAAGAAAAAAGTAGAAATAAACCACCGGAAGTGGTCATGTTTATATGACCTTGACCCCAACACCCTGTGATTTCTGCTAGAAAGGCCAAACGCATCATATTCCATTCTTGGTCCCATAGATCCCGGTCAGATTCTTTTGTAGTAGGATCAGGACCTCAATAAATATTCCATAAATGTACAGGTGTAGTTGATTTTGAACGTAGTCTTTGCAAATTGATGCCCGGGGCCAACATCACAGTGAACATGAAATAAGCGAAAAACTGTTGAGTTTGAAATTCAAAACTACACAAAATAATTTTCTATTTTTGTCTGAAGGGCATGGTTTACATTGCCTATCGGGGTATATAGACAGAGGCGTAGCGTGGGTATTTTGTGAGAGTACGCCACGATTGCCTCTTCATTGCTATCTTTTTGACTTTCATTCGTTTCATTATAAAGCAAGACACGATTTTTTCCTTGCCCTATAGATGCTCAAACAAGAGCGTCTCTTGCGAGTTCTAAAAACAAATATAAGCAATTCAATATTCCATATTTTACCCATAACAATGACATGGAAAGAGGCTATCAGAACTAGCAACCTTGATTTGAAAGGTGTAGGCTTACATGCATGTAACCGTCCGCTAAATATCTAATGTATCTAATAAATATTCATAATTAATAAATATCTAATACAATACGTTACCGTCCATAGAATTCATAGAAGTCGTCTAACGACATTGCGTTTGAAACCTTATTATGGCAATATACACCACGTTTCTGTTCTGGATTTTGTCATTTCATAGCTTGTTCATACATAGTTTACTTAGTTAATAGTTTGAGTTGCTTTGAGGCACATGTAGGCCTACTGAGAAAACACGAGAATGGACTAAAAATTATGAACTTTGATATCTCAGTCGGTAAGTTTACAGCTTATATTCTGCTTCTCGTGAACCACCTGGCAGATTTGACCCAGTCTTTATAACCATCCATATATACGTCACCGAATGGAACTAGTTGAAAAGGAAATCTTATCTGTGAATCTTGCCTACAGGCGAGAAAGAGGACATGCTGTCTTTCCCATCCGCCATTTTTTGTTATCGTTACCGCAAAATTTTGACAATCGCCTTGACGTAACCGTCTTGCTATAACACCGTGTGTAAGCTAGAGACTCAGTAATAAGGGACAACAGCCGACTATTCAAGGTCACATTTAAATCCAATGTTATATCAAGTACCTGTTGATAACCAGGCAAATGATACATGCAAAATGACATAAACGCATGAAAATCAAATGCAGAGAGATAAAAATGTTCACATATATTATTCGTTTCTTTGAATATGCATGTTATCTTTTTAACGAGTTGAAATATAGATATAAATACAGTAAATAAATCATATAGGCTACATACAGCTCTTACACTCATTATTTGAGCCTAATAAATTACATGAACGAATAATATAATTCTCAATGACCTTTATTGGCAAACAAATTTACGAAAAATGGCCATTTTTAATTGAGTGGCCATATTGAAAATTCCTTCCCGAGCAGAGGTTCTACACCCATAAGGCATAAGTCTATAAAATTTGAATGAAATCCGTCGACGTATTTGAGTTGTCGCCCGAACACACGGACGAACGAATGGACGGACGAACGGACATCATTCGTGTCATTTGTTGCTGCTGCATCAGTGTCTTGATTCGTTATCTTCTTTCTTTGTCTTGATTTGATTGTGATGTAATTATTTATCTTTCTTCAGGGTCCACAGGCTTGAGACTGCACAGACGGCTTCTCTATAATCCCTCTCCGGTCGTTTGGTGGGATGATAAGCGGCACCTTGTAAAATAAATGATCCCCTCTTCGTAAAGGCCCATCAGTGGACGTACCTAAACGCTCAGTGGACGTATTAGTGAGAAACCCTGGTATACAATATATAGAGGTTATGTCACTATCGTGGCATATATGCCCGAGGTCTCAGTGATATATGGCCCGACCTAAGAAGAGAATCGGCTAAAAAAAATTCGTAGAATACGTGTCATATTTTACCATACCGTGCGCCTATTCGTTTAGCAATTAAATCATAAACCTTTTCTCGAAAAAATAATTTTTGCAGATTTGTTCATTTTTCTACCAGAAATTGCTTGCTCCCCCCTCCGTCCCATTTTCACGATCACCGGGCGTGAAACTCATTTCAATCATTTTCAAATCATTTGTTTGTCAATTCTATAAGAAAACGATACTCTCTGACCAGTCTACATCATCAGGTATGTTATAAATCGTTTATGTCACTATCGTGGCAATATGCCCTCGGTTCTCAGAGATCAATGTCCCTCCCAAGGTCGGGCCATATATCACTGAGATCTCGGGCATATATGCCACGATAGTGACATAACCTCTAATTATACAATATTCCCATTTGCTTTTTGTAGCAAGGTAAACAATTATCTTAGAAATAATATTTTCAGAAAGAAAGGAATTAATTTGTCAAAGTCCATTAGGACTTAGGAGAGTAGGTTACAAGTTGCTTACATTTTACTTGTCTAGGAAGTCTTTTAAGAGTTAAGTAACTGCTAGATAATAAACCATACAATTTACAAATTAAAACCATCATTTATTACTTCTCCAAATATTTTGACATGATTCTTATCTATATAATTATCTAGTTTTATAATTTTATGTAAAACATTGTACCAGACTGCACCTTTAAACCGATAACATACACAATCATATAAAAAGAATTGTCGACGTGCTGCAGGTTCAGAGCTGACATATCAGACGATCAAAATGGCAACTGATAAAGACGCAATGTTTACATTCAGAGGGTATGGAAAAAACTTCGTAAGAGTTTTACATGTGACGCGTACTGGTAACATTCATCATGTAAAAGAGCTTGAAGTGAATACACAACTTTCCTTGTATTCAGATAAAGATTACACACATGCTGACAATTCAGACATAATTGCCACGGATACGCAGAAAAATACAGTGTACGCCTTAGCCAAACAAAATGGGGTATGTGAAATTGTTTTTTTTTTGTTTTTTTGTAAAACTGTTTTTTGTATAATTATGACAAACTAATTCTTGTTTACAATGTAATAAATTACGTTTTTTAAAATCTATCTACACTTTTTTGAATAGAATGGGCTAGATAATTTATTTTATTAAGGCACTGCCTGTGATTTATGGAGCTTTTTAATTTCCATTTGGGTCTTTATTAAAGATAACAAACATTGAGGAATTTGCGATGCAGTTGGCAGAACACTTTCTACGAAATGACAGCCACGTTAAGAGATCGCATATATACATAGAGCAAGTTCAATGGAAAAGAATGGCAGATGTAAGTGTTAACTTAAATACCCTGAATCCAATCCAGAAAAGGACATCAACATCATCACCCGGGCTCAAATAATATTTTTGAAACTCACTCCATTGCCCGCAAAAATGCGTATTTAGCATAAAACCATTTTTGGATATGTGATCTAAAAGTGTTTTAAGCCAAAAATGAAAAATGGCCTCTATGTTTGTACAGTTTTGATTCGGTAAGATCTTAACCAGCTCAAATGTAGCTCTCAAAGCCTTAAATGTTCAGTAAAAAGTTAAATGATAGCTAGATTTAATATAAAATAAAGAGGAATTATAAAAAATTAATTTACACCTCTTGTAATAATACAAGTACATTTTACTACCTCTTTAAGATTGATTGAGATAGTTCTAGTATCACACCGGAATAGCCTGACAACGGTAAAGTCAGATACCGTTGTCACAAATGGCAGATATAACCGTCGCTTCAACTGTTTAATCAATTAATGGTCCTCATTTCATGGAATCTTATCGTCGCTAATTCTGTTGTGATGATGTTACATATGAAATCCCAATTTCGATCAAATTGGGTCGTCAATCGCCACAATATAGCGTCTTCAATATCGTCAATGACAACGGAATCTGAATTTGAGTAATTTAGAAAGACAACGGCATGGTAATTACAGTGTCCGTTGTCCTGTATCTCATTTTGATCGGTTAAATTAAATACTTTATTTCGATGGTAGAACATTATGAACTGTACAATTAGTATTAAGACACCTTGATTGATTGTTATTCCAAAGGAATTTAGTCTAGGTGCTCTATTAAACATACAGTTCATGAATATCTAATTGAAGCGACGGTTATGTCCGCCATTTGTGACAACGATATCTGACTTTACCGTTGTCAGGCTATTCCGCTGTGAGCATTGATCATTATACATAGCATGATAGCAATATAATTATGTATATAAATAACAATACACTTAATAATTTTATTGAATTACAGTAACTACATTCTGCACATGCATTAGTTTTGCGGTTTAACATGAGGCATTTGCATGGATTTCATTCGAATCAATGTACTTTAGAATTGGGTTTTCAATGTACTTTTACCATGCATCATGTCATGGACATTATCTGCATGTACTCATGTGATGCATCGTGATCAGTACACACGTAAGAATGCGTGGCGTAAATACACGTAAGGACATATAACACTGTGTTATCACAATTAGTTGACCTTTATACAGTCTGTATATATATATTGCATTATCTTCATTCAATTATTCAGAATCTTCATTTCATCCCTTGCGTCAGATGTGAGTTGTTTCTAAACTCAGAATATAATCAGTTAGTATTAGTTACCGAAAAAACCTAGAATTGCCCATTCTTATATGAGTTACCATTTTTGACCAAAGCACCTATTTTTTGAGATCTACCGATGTGATATCTCACGATGGGGTTTCCCTAGTTCCAAATATATTGCCGGAAGATATTGGCGTTTGAATTTTGGAAAATCAAGGTGATGTTGAAAGTGGCCCCAGTGGATGATAGCAGGCCTCGCAACAGTGTCACGATTTAAGAGTAGCCAAAATATTTTTTATCAATTGAATAAGGAATACTGCCATTATAATGACTTACGTTGAATATATAGTAATTGTATATAATGACATTTTTAAGTTACCCTTTCCGAGTTTTGTTTTAAGTTTTAATGAAACTGTCTTGGAAGATATTTGAAATTTTTTTTATCCGATCTGGCTAGACCTGGTGGAAATATTGAACGTCAATCATGTACAAGCCTGGTAAAATTTATAAAAAAAACTGTAAGGTCTATTTCATTACACTCTTTAATCGTGACATATATCAGGCCTGGAAAATAAAATACGGACAAACACGTACAAATGGTGCTTTAACCCTAGAAGCCCTAAGGGGGGGGGGGTCAAAATAGACAAAATCGGAAAAAGCTAGCACTATTTCTACCATACGTGTTATCTCTAGAATAAGATTACACAATCTTTCATCATCATAGTAAGAATCACACCAAATTGTAGATAATTGAATGAATTATATTTTGGGAAAGTTTGATCATCCTAGCTTCACTAATTTGTTATTAATTTATTATGATGTAATCATCAGCTCCAATAGAAAAAATCAGAAAAAGCTAGCACTAATTCTACCATACGTGTTGTCTGAAGAATAAAATTAGGCAATTTTACATCATTGTAGTTGTTAAAGTTTTTACACCAAGCTGTAGATAATTGAATGAAGTATGTGTGAAAAAAGTTTGAACATCCTAGCTCTACTAATAACAATTTTACAAGGGGTGCCCTTTTGACCCCCCCTTAGGTGTTCGTGTGAATATTTTTACCTTAGGGCTTCTAGGGTTAATAGAATCTACAATTATACTGCTAACTCCACTTCAGGGCATCTAGGACAGAACGACATTGCACTTTCATACACAAGTACTTGAATTAAGGTGAATACATCCGTCTGAATTAGGATTTAGCATAGTTAATTATTATCAAAGGTGCATGTCTATTGTCTAAGCACCTCATCAAAGCTAAGCAATGCATTTCATTTGTTAATTATGTGAGAAAGGTTTTGAGAACGGTTTCATCTAGGCAATTAACAGAAATTCACTAACACCCCATTGAACTAGAATACGTAAAATTAAAAAATAAACAATTGAAAAACCAATAGATTTACTAGAAAACGGCAAATCAAAAGAAAATGAAAATCCTACGAACAGTAGATATATTCATGAATCTGAAATATTTCACAAAAAAGTATTTACAATTTACTGTTAAAATCCTTATTTGCTCATAAAAAGACATGCATAATGCCTTTGGTTTGGATTTTCAATGGCACAAATAAGAAAGAAGATAGATACAATATGTGAGCTACTTTAAAATACTAACTCAGGTGTATTATGACCATACTTTGAAGGGGTTTGATGAAAACGCGTTTTCGGATTAAAATATCATATTTAATCCATATACATCCATAAAAATGTTTCTGATATTTTATTCATTTATCTATTATTTAGACGTACACTTTTATATGAGTGGCTAAAAAATATTTAGGTGCGTCTACAGTCAAAATACATACATGATCATTAAAATATCTAAAAAAGTTCTTTGTCAGATTTAAGAATAATCTTTGTTAAAAACTGTTTTACCAGTCCATCTACAATATAAAATTGATCGTGCCCCCATTGACTAAGAACATCATCACCTTACATAAAATACAGTTTATTTTCCGAAGTACAGGATATAAAATAATTTAACACATTCTCATTGCATGTGTCTAGTAACTTACAATAGAAGTGTATTCTTTCTTTGTTAAAGAAAGAACATTCTACAAGTCTGTGTTGGATAGAGTCATCTACATTATCTTTACATAATATGCAGTTTCCACCAGTCTTTCTTTGTGATTCATAATTAGAATATAGAGCAAATTTGTTTCATCTTGCTAAGAATTTGAGTTTTGATCCATAAAAGTCGTTGTTTTGTTTCAGTTACACTAGTTCTCTAAATAAGTGTGTTTCTTGATTTTTGAATAAAATTTTAAGGAGCTGTACTCCTTAATACTAGAGTGAAACTCATTAACATATTCATCCTTGCAAATAGACAAATAGTTATCATACCAATCACAGTCTCTTCTATAAATTACATCATCAGCAAGACCTCGCTTACACAGTTATTCTTTAACATTAGATACATACTTCCACGAAGCTTCGTTATCTTGTTCAAAGCGCTTCACGAGTGAGCAAAATATTTTGTGTGAGAGGGAAGTCTTACAGGCTTTGTACTTTAGATACATAAAATAATCAATAAAGCTTTTTTCATAAATCCCACGTATAGGGCTCCAACCAAGATCTCCAATCAGACGGAGTGAGCATGTTTGAATTTTAATTGAAGTACTGCTCGAGCTGCTCTATATTGGATAGTTAAGGGTTTTATTTGATTCTTTCGTTAAGGTAGACCATATTGAGCCCCTGTGAAGTATCGCTGGTTCGAGCATTGACTTGTATATATTGTTTCTAAATTCAATTCGATTGACATTGCAATGTTTTGTAAGAGTTGCTGAGGTAAAATTATACATTTTACGTGCATTTTCCTTCACAAAATTGTTAACATGAGGTTTTTATAAAAATATAACCAAGATATTTATAATCAGTCAACTCAGTTAGGTCAAGATCGCACAATTTCCAGATCTTTTTACGGTCAGTGTGCTTTCCTATCACCATTTTTTTCCTGCTGAGTTTAAAGCCCCATTTAATACCAAAAGTATTCACATTTTGGAGAAGAATTTTCAAATCATTTTCACCTTTTCCCAAGAGAACAATGTCATCAGCGAATAGCAAGCATGGAATACGCTCCTTCTCAATATTAACACCGAGATTAGTTTTCATCAAGCTGTTTTCAAGGTCTGGGATCACAATTGAAAAGAGAGTTGGAGACAGAATACACCCTTGCTTGACACCAGCATCAGATTCAAACCAGCCAGTGCAAAAATTGCCAAAATAACTTTGTTCTGAACATTAGCGTATAGTTGTCTAAGAGTTCTCCAAAGTTTACCTTGTATACCCCTTTCACATAATTTTATAAAAAGCATATCTCTATCTAAAGCATCGAAAGCTTTTGAGATGTCGATAAAAGCTAAATAAGTCTTTAAACGTTGTGATTTACGGATACTACATATTTCTTTCAGAGAAAAAATATGATGTTCTAAGCGATGTCAACATACCATAGAGTATTAATTGAAAATATAATTGTATTGAACGAGCTTTTAATCAACTTTCGCCTCAAATTCAAAATAAATACGAGTAACAGGTGGGCGTAAAAGCCTTGCATAGTTGAGGTGTACTTTCTTACGTCAATAACACAACGCCCTTTTTACATGAACGTCCAACGCCTTTTCCCGAAACCCACTTCCCGAGATACCAATTAATCACAAAAATGATACAGTATTTAGAATCTAAAATGCCTTTCATTTGAGTATGATAAAGTCAAACTTCGAAGATATCTCATAA